TATTACTTCTACTATATACAATATTCATTTTTAGATTAAATAAATACTCTAAAATATCAAAAGAGTATTTGTGAAGTTCTAAACTACAAATCAATCTGTTAAATATAATATTAAATTCAGAATCTTGATTTGCTTAAAAGATTCCAATTAGTAATATAACTCTTTTGTATTTATTATCTACTTGAACTCAGATAATTATAACGAATCGGAATAATCGATGATTAGTCTTTATATACAAAAACAATCTTTTAAGATCGATTATAAAAGATTTGGAGTTTTTAATTAGATTAAAGTAAGTAATAGATTGTTTTTTCTTTTTCGACTTAAGATTTGTATATATCAAGAGTTTTCGGAATTCTTTCGAAAAATCTAAAAAGATTTATTATAGTTTTAAAAGATTTATAATGATTTGAATCTTCTTTATTAAAATATAATAATCTATAATATCTTTTCCTTAATAATCGATTATTTTATACAATTATCGGATTATTCAAGAAGATTTCTTAATTTGCTTTTTAAAAAATCGATTGAATTTATTTCTTGTAGATTCTGGATTAATAATATTATTTATCGATATTTATATTTTCTTTTAAAAAGATTTTATTATAAAAACAATCAATTTGATTTCTTTATTATTAGAATCCTCAAAATCAGATTCGGTAATAGGAAACGATAATATTAATTTCGAAAATCTTTTTTTTTTAAAAAGAATTTAAAGATTAATAAATAAAATCTTATCAAATATAATAATTTTTTTCTTAAAAACGATTTTGTTATTTAAAATAGTTTTCTTAATAAAACAAAAAGATAAAAAAAAGATAAAAGAAATTGAAATATAAATAAAAGGTTTAGTATATTCGATTTCAAAAAAGTTCGAATTAATCGAAAAGAATAAAAAGAATAATAAAAAAAATATTTCAAAGAAGCTTAATCTTTTAAATCTATAAAAAGTTTAATTATCGATTCTAAATAATATTATAAATGATTTTGATTTGAAATAGTAATTATCTTTTATAAAATTAACAAAGTATAATTGAGTATTTCCTTCGAAAACCATTTGATATAAATAAGTTTGTTTCCAAATCTCTTTAGGTTTGTTTTTGTAATTTCTAACGAAATGTTTGAACTTTTTATATTTGATATAATATTTCCTTATATTTTGATTATATTTTATAGAATTATTGATAAGAGAATATATAGAATCAATAAAAGAAAAAAGATTATTTGAATTAAGGGAATTGTTGTAATTGAATTTGTTATTGATTTTGGGGTATAATAATCCTTTATTATTTTTTGATTAACTTTTCTAATTATAATTGTTATTATAACCTTTATTTTTAGAATAATTGTAAAAAGGGAAAGGATTCGATTATATAATTAATATAGATAATAGTATAATTAGATATTATATAATTGGATTATTATACTTTTCGAAAAGTAAAGAATATATATTAGATAAATTATATTTGTTAATAAACTTTATAAAAATTATTTCAATTATTTTTTCGAAATATTGTTCAATGAATTTTTTAAGATTATATAAATGATACTTCTTATTGAATTGAGTTTTAATTTGTATAATAAAATTGATAATATAATATGATTTTTGTATTATATTATAAACCTTTTATAAAATATTATAAATATTTATATTCTTAATTATAATAATATAATATAAAAGTTTATTATATAAACCTTTGATAAATATAAAGATGATAATATTCAAAGTGAATTCTTTGAAAGAATTGAAAGCTTTGATTTTAAATATAGTATTTATATCGATTTTAGATTTATTTCGATTTGATATATAATAAAGAAGATACAAAATATATTAATAATATATTAATAATAATTCATTATTATATTATTCGAGAGTTTCTATTTCGGATTATATATTAATATCGAATAGATCTAAGATTTCGATAAAGAATCTTTCGAATAATTATAATTTGATATCTTCGATTTGATTAATAATAGTAGTATTGTAATTCTTCAAAATATTATAAATATGAAAAATAAAATCGATTCATTTTATTATATTATTATTATAAAATATATATATAATTTTAAAATAAATATTATTAAAAAAAAAGATAAATTCAATTAAATCGAAATTATAATCTAATTAAGAAAGTTATTTAAAAACGAAAGTATTATTATCAAATTGATTGATAAAAACAAACTTCGATTTTTTATAAACAAATTCAAAAAATATATTAAAATCGAAGATAGAAATAATAAAGGTATTGATAAATTATATAAACAAAGAATAATAACAATTTTTAATGAAATTGTAAATGAGATTGTTTTTGAATCTTTTAGATATCTTCGAAAATATATTTAGGATTATGATTTTCTTATAAAGATTCTTAAAATCAAGATTAGGTTTAAAGAAAGATAACAATAATATCAAGGAATATATTAATTTGAAGAATTAATAAAAAGAATCAAAGATATTGATATTTAAAGAATAATATAAATAAAAATTAATATTATTAATAAAAAGAAATAAAATAAGATCAAAAGGATTTATTATAGATTCGAATTAGGAAATTGTATTATATAGAATTTCTTGAAAATATAAGATTGAAAATTGGTTATTTGATTGTATTTAGATAAATCTGATAAGAGTTATTGTTTTTAATTAATTAATGAGTTAAAGTGATATACGATTATCTGAAATCGGAAAGAAATAGGGAAATCGATAATTATTTTTGAAATTGAGAAAGTGAAATCATAGGAAACGAAAAAATGAGATTATTCGTAACTTTTCGATTAATCAATTGAAAAAGTATATATAATAACAATAAACAATAATCTAGGAATTTGAAAAAGATTTGAAAACGAATTGATAATTTTCGATAATAATATATGAATAATTATTTCAGAGATAAATAAATATTATATATATATAAATAATCGAATAAATATAAATCCCAAAACAAAACCGAGAAATCTTATAGATATTGTCAAAAAAGCGAATAGTTTTAAAGGGTAAGGGTATAGATTGAAGAATAAAATTGATAAGGTATTTATATCCGGATCAGTATTAGATCTAAACTAAACTAGTGTATATATGACCTGATAAAATTACTCTCGTTACATTTACCCACACCAACCATCGTGCATTAAAACCTTGGACTAACAAAAGCCATCTACTGACTTCAAGTTCCGCCTATTCATCATCAATTATTTTAAAATTGACGCATCAAGGGAACACTGATAGCAAGTTCAGATGCTGTAGCTAGCGGTAGACTAGTATTTAAATCGCTCTAGTGTAAAGCTTTGAAAAAAAAACCCCCCCAACGAATGTCTAAGGGTGTAGGCGAGTAGCTAATTCTCTTCCCGCACACGTATACTCTTAGGAATGATTTTTGAAATAACGAAATGAGATGAATCTTAAATCTTTTCTTGTTCAAAAACATTTCATCGGACATCTCTTCATAAAAAACTAAACATTTTCTTAAACATATCATCGAGACACCTAAAGACGACACTGGAGCACCCGGAATTCACCATTACTATAATCTTTCATTTTTTTTTTACCACATATCACCACTTTACCACAATAGCATCTAATTCCATACCTCATAGTCAAACAATCAGCGAAAATGATAACCAGAATAATAGCCAACGTCCTCACAACCAACATTACTCTCCCTTGCGCATCCAACGCCACCACTTATCTGACCCCTCTCCTCTCACCACTAGCACTGCCCCCTCCTCCCCTACTCCAAAGTCATTCCCTTACCCCACCATCACCATCCTCGTCCTGTCTTCCCTCCTCCTGCTCAGCATTTCCATATCTCTTCTCAAAAAACGCATTGAAATGCATATGGAGGGATCACTTCGATATAGCAGATCCAGAGAATTGGAACAATTACTAGAGAGGCTAATAATGATCCGATATCTTGACTCAATTGATGATTCGTTCTCCGAAATATTCTGATAATACTCAGTCCCGTTATCCTTCGCAGCCGGAGCAAAATGAGGATTTAGAAGCTCAGACCAACGCATCTGCCAACCAAAATGAAGATAATGGCCACAATAGCGTTGATTCAGACGATGAGCTATGGTTATTGGTTGATTATTAGATGGAGCAAGGGATTGAATGGGCGGAGAATCGTGTGTCATTGGATGAGGTAGAGATAGCGAGGATGCATGCTAGGGAGATGGTAGTGAAAAGGGGTTCGCCGGGAGAGTTTTGGAGGTAGATTTTGAGGAGGTTTGGGTTGGTACTGAGAAGTTTTGCACTGTGAATGCAGGTTTGGAGTTGGAAGCGTGGATTGAATGGATATCTCATGGCATGAATTTTGAGGGACATTGGAGTTGGACTTGATGTATACCCCGGGATAAGCGATAATAGGGTTCGGATCAGGACTTTCGGGCAGCGGTTTATTGTGTTTCATATGTATGATTTGATCTTAGAGTGATCATTTAACGTTTATGTATAATTAACAAAGAAACTTTTGGACCTTTTGTGTGATATGTAGATAACCTTTTCATGGCGTCTTAACTTGTTATAATTAGAACTCAAGGTGAGGTCTATTCAAAATTCTTTCGTGTCAACGACTTATAACAGTTTCTTGCCAGCGACGTGATATATACGATTCTAAGGATCACAAGAGTAGATTAGCTAGACTTAAACATTCAACATATACAATCCACAACAATAGATATTCGTCGTATGCGGGGATGGATAAATCTTAATTGGGGATATTAGGAGCGGGAGGATCGGTAGGTTAAGCGAAGGATGATATCTTGCATCCTACTTAGCAAAGACGCAAAATAAGGAAAATGAATAGGCACAACGATGATAGGCTACCGGTGTGGTGCAGGATCTATGGATGATGGTACCTCTATATATATGTGTGTGTGTGTGTGTAAAACAAGAAAGATTAAAACACAATCGATACTTCAATACATAGATAATTAAGGAGTAAGAACTTGTACAGCCTCCAGAAGATGCCGATTTTTGGAGGGTATCCAAGCTAATCCACAGGGATGTAATGCAGAAGTGCAAACACAAATTTTCTTGCCGCATAAACAATGCTATAATATTTTCCGCAAAGAGGGAATGTTGAGAAAAGGGGGAAAATGGAACGAATCATGTACAAGTAGTATGGATATCGACGAAAAAACATGTTGTTGCTTTTACTGTAATTCCTGCAACTTCACCGATCAGAGGAAACCTCACTCTGAGTGAACCAATCAATCATGCCGTATGTACCATTTCGTTATTCATCAGATATATACAAATTAAGTCCAACTTTGGGGATGAATGAGATGACATCCCGTATATTCTGATGGAAGGTCGTGATTCTGCGCTTGTTATTCTTTCCTCCCTTTCCTAAAGAACTTTGCGAAGCTTTTCTTGGTCCGCAGTTGTGGCCTAGGAATAAGATCTTCGTGTATGGTGCCGATTTCAACCACACCCGGAATTGCTGACGGTGCCATTGGACCTAATGGTGGTAGTGGCTTTTCCCTAAGCTTTGCATCAGCCAAGGAAATTCTGGTTATCCGACTATTAGAACTTGTTGTTCGTAAGTTATTTACATCGTTCTTTCTCACCATATCTGGATGAAGGGATTGAATTCTATACAAAGGGACTTTTGTACCCTCTGGAATTGGAGGTGGTCTCCGTGATGGAATGAATCCGTTAGGACCAAGTCTGTTTGTTGTAATTTTACTTTGTTGCGAAACTGGTGATTGTGTTGGGAGGGAGGAATTGCACCGAGGAAACGGAATGGGTGTGTTTATGGGGGTTGGCAAATAGTCAGCCTCCACATGATCCATCATTGTGTTGAAAGCGGAGAGAGGTGTTGTGGTACTATATCCAGTACCGTGGTTGCGAGGATTTTGAGAGGTTATCTGCGATGGTGCAGTTCTTGGTCTATGTTGTTCCATACAATAGTTGACTTGTCGTCGGAGATCCATGTTTTGCTCCTCTAATCTCTTGGCAGCTTTTTCTGCGGCAATAGCACGCTCGAGAAGTCGCTTATTCTCAGCCTCAAAGTCATTGATGGCGTTAATGGCTGTTGTTGCATGTAACTGGAGGTATGAATGAGTATTTTTAACGTGATACTTTGTGGAGGGGTCTTACAGAGAGTGTAGGACTGATTGGAGATTTTGAATCCATATTAGGATTCTGGGGTTTAACGGCCCCGGGAGAAGTATCTTCTAATTCGGCAATAAATGATGATATGGCTGAATTTGGGGAACGATATGTGGCTGCCGAAGATAATTCAAAAACTGAATCGACCGCAGACACGGGTGTTAATCTGTCCGGCGAAAAATACTTTAGTTGTCGACCCGATGTATACTTCCAAGCACTTTGTGGAGTAACTAGTAGACTCAACGTGGGAGCCACGCCATTTGCATTCTGACGTTGGCCACTAGGTGAACGAAGGTTTTCATGAGAAATTGCCGCCTTTATTAATTTCTGTTTGTAGTTGTAAATTTTTTCAGGCCTTTCTCTTGGCTGCATTTGAGAGACAACATGAGGCATGACTACACAATTGCTCAGGTGATTCAACCAAGAGGGATGCCGGCCCAAAAGAAAGTGGCAAACCTCGATAACAAATGTCAAAAGGAGCTTAACAATGGATTTTCCTGTACAAATAAATAACCCCAAAATCCCAATATAATGTGCGCGGGTTAGTTGTTGAGTACTTTGTTGCCATGCGAGGGTGTATTGGAACGACAGTGATCCCCCGGAATGGAAAAGTCGCCTAGGAAGAATTGGATTGAAATAAAGGCAGGCTTAGATCTAAGGGTGAGGCTGGGACATATTCAAATAAATATGAGAATAATGAAGGATTGGACCCCATCTCACATGGTATTTTCTGACTTGAGCTGGAAGCCTTGATCAGTCAATCCAAGCGTGCGAGTATGCGGCAATGCTGCTGCGGCCCATCGTGTCTGGGTGATAAGAATCATTCTAAACCACTAGATTGAATGCAGTAACCTGAAACGAATGAAGTAGCGTCCATTTGAATTACTCAGACTAATCATAAAACACATAAAACCCTCGTAACCGCCTGGGGGCGGTCGCTTATCTTCATATCGCTACAACCAACCAACCGCGAAAGACACGTTTACGGCGAAGGGGGAAGACTCGGAAGTAAATCAAGATAAAATAATAACAGAGAAAAGGAAAGAACACGATTGGGAAGAGAAAGCAATCATCGAAGAGGTTTAGTAAGGGATCTGAGATCCAGAGATATATGAAACCAGATAACCGATTTCGAGATGAGTTTCAGGTGCTGCAATGTACCCCAAACTACATACAAAGTAAGACTTACATGCCTTGTATATTTCTGAAGAATAAGCAGTAGAGAATATAGAAAGCAGAGACAAATGGGAACAAAGAAGAATGTATCTTGGGTTGAAAATAGATCAGGATGACCATGAAAGTGAGGGAGTTGAATGATGGTGTCCACATGATCCTATTGATGCATAAGGTTATGTATGCCGTTTGATTTCCTTGAATTGTACATCATTCGTATTGTTGAAGAAGGGCAGCAAACAAACACAATACAGCATAAAAAATCACATCACATCACAGCACAGCATGATGTGAGAGATATAGAACGGGATTGTAAGATGTGGGGAAATTCGAAGGAGTATCATTTCAAGAGCCTAAATGATTACGTAATACAACCAAAGAATGAAACTAGTTTAAATTAGGTAAGACTGTAATGCTGACTGATGAAGTTCAGCTTGAGAAAATATTACGGTGACCGAACTTGCTGGATCATTGGTAAGCTCTACTTATGATGCTTCTGTATCAATCTATAATTCTATTACATCTCTCTCTTAAATCTACCTCACCTCTTTTACGATTTTATTACTCACTTCATTACAAAATATGGATCAACCCGAGACTTCTAATCATCAGAAGGATTACTCTTCCCGGAAATATTCTAGGTCACCTTCAACAGATTCGGAAGAAGAGAGAAGGCGGAGGAGGCGCAGGAGAGAGCGAGAGGCTGACCGTGGATCAATTCGTTCCGACCGGCGTGATGATCGTCCTAGAGGCACAAGAGATAGATACGAAGATAAGGAAAGAAATCGCAGGAGATCGCGCAGTCCAATTGATTCAGATTCTCGTCGACAGAAGGATAATCGACATTCACATCGCAGAAGAGGAGATAGATCGCGAGATCGAAGACGGATTAAGGATGACGATAATGCCAATTCGGTCGAACGAGCGACAAAATCCGCCGTGAGTCGAAGGCAAAATGGTCCGCTGCCATCTCAGGCTGCATCATTTCAATCGAAGAGAGATTCACCATCAATGGCTCTTGTCCCTGCCGGGGACGAACCGGTAAAAGAGAAAGAGAGACCCAATTTGGGACAAACGGGCGTCTTAGCAGCAGCCTCAAATACAATTACACAAGCAGATGGAAACGCTATAGTGCTAAAGTATCACGAACCACCAGAAGCATGCAAACCACCCGCTAGAGACGACTGGAAGCTTTTTGTGTTCAAGGGTGCCGACATTATTGAAACGATTGATTTGAGCACGAGAAGTTCCTGGCTTATCGGTCGCGAGCTTGCAGTGGTCGATCTAACCGCGGAGCATCCAAGTATCAGCAAACAGCATGCTGTCATCCAATTCAAAGCGACGGAAAAGATGAACGAATTTGGAGATAAAGTTCGAAAAGTAAAACCATACTTGATTGACCTGGACTCCGCGAATGGCACCATGATGAATAAAGATCCGGTGGACAAGAGTCGATATGTTGAGTTAATGGATAAGGACATGATACAGTTTGGTCACAGTACAAGAGAATATGTGCTAATGTTGGCACCGAGGACTTAGTTCGAAGAATATAGCAGGAAGGTGTTTATCATTATAATAGCATACTTTCGGAAGCTCATGCTAATTTTTGCTATGGTATACGAATTGTACGACGTCAGGGAGGCAGGAGTCAGCTGCAGTCCATCACAGGCGTTTCAAACGAAAGCGGATCCTGAAGATCGCAATAGAAAAAAGGAAATGCATGTGTCAAGGACTCAAATCTCTCCCAACACAAATTAGTCTCACTGTCTCACTGTCTCACTGTCTCACTGTCTCACTTATTCGCCGTCAGTATGAACTTTTCAAGGTCAAGCTCAGCGGGGTATTTCGCCGAGAATCAAAAATAGAGTTCAAAAGCTTCGATTTTTTAGGGCAATCAAGAAATGCCGGTGCTAACACTTACCGAAAGTTTGAGCCTCATACTCCGTACCATGGACACTTTTGACGCATAGCATAGGGCAGAGTGGGATGGCGAATCCCTATGACTCGACCCGGATCACACGCTCTGGGGCCTACAGGAGTAATTCTATCCGCCTCCTTCATGACGCAAGTAAACTTCCGTGGTTTAGTTCTCTCATGCATTGACCCTATTTCTATCCTTTCGAAGAAGATTTACCTGATACTCTTCGCATGGGCCTTGATGGGTTTCGAGGCTCAAAATCATGTGGTGGATTTCGTATATTTTTTCACGATATTTTAGGAATTCCAGAAGAGACCTACCTACCCACGCTTACTCAGCTTACTATATATAACTAATGTCCAACAAAAGTGGTAATTTGACTCTCTATGACGGTATCAATACATTGACAATATCGCTGCAAATCTTGATATCCGAATATATATACCCACCCCATATTGATAGCCTCTTTCCTGGTCTTACGGCGCTACGACGGCGGATAATTCGGATAATTCATGTGACAAACAGTTTAGTCGACCACCAAGCCGCCCTCTATTTAGTATTTAGTTAACCATCCCTCCCGAGCACGGGAATCCAGTATCCAAAAATATTACAAGTTGTGATTGCGTCTAAGCTCTTCCGGCGGTAAGCGTGAGTACAATATAATTGCATATAATTATATCGCGTTGTGTGAATCATATCAAAGATACTTGCTCTATAGGGTTTATGGTTTATGATGAGTGAGTTGATATGGTATGGTGACTGTGTTCCTGATGCAAGTAACCTATGACTAGGGTTGAAAGTGTCCACCCTAATAACCCCTACAAGCGTCAATCCTGCCCGCAAGTTCGCCATTTTTAGAGTTAGAGATGTGAGACGCTTAGACATTGGGGATAGGAGGGATATATTATTGGGTGAAGGGCGCTTAGGTAATGCCAAAAATACACTGGCGAGGTTTAGTGCTATGCGGAGTCGCGCATCGAGGAGGACCCGAAAATGTGCTAAGCCTTCTTTTCTTCTTCTCTTCACACACCAAAAGCTTCGGCTTGATAGCATAGCCATAGCCTTATTGATAAACTCAACACCCACATCCTTTAAACCTAGCTGCCTGTTCTATTCTATCGGCCTACCCTACTTGGCCTCTTTAGTCCCTTATGTATTTCCCCCCATGTCACCAGCTGACCTTGATTCTTTTCGAAATGTTTTCACATCTCAACTCACCAATTCCAAACACGTCCCCTCATTCAAACGGTCGAAAAGGATATATCTATTACGACATCGCATCCTCAAATCTCTCCGCCCATGTCTTAAACTCAATAAACTGTTCTTGTGGCGTCTTATACACTTTTATCCCCCCGTGTGACTAACTCCCTTGGCGCGTGCCACAACCTTCACGAGTACATTAATATACACCGAAAAACTTATATGCCCTGAGTACATCAATTCAGTCAGGCAGACGTTTTCCATACTTTGCGCCTGCAAGCTTACTTTTGCACAAAGTTCATGACACTTTACGTTGCCTGCTTGTGTGAATCCATCTTTCATTCGTCTATATAAGTCTTCCTCTCTTTCATGCTTATATACGCAACGATTGAACTCGAGCTTCATCGCGGACCCACGAAGTTCTCGACATGGTAAGTGGACTCGTCCTTTCCCCAGATCTAAACATTCTATCCGTCTGCAAGGGACCAGCAGAGATCCGAGAGCTTATCGGCTAATTTCATGATTTAACAGGATGGATCCGCTATAAACCCCAATGAAATCAATCGCTACGAAGTCACAGAAGTCTATGCCCATCCTGAAGCTGAAGCAGATATTGTGCTGGTCCATGGTTTAAATGGTCACCCGCAACATACGTGGACTGCGAAGAATGGTATCTTCTGGCCCACTGCTCTTCTCCCGGTTACCTTCAGTTCAAAAGATCCGACCAAATCTGCCAAGGTCCGAATACTCGTATATGGATACAATGCGGATGTTGTAGCTTTTGGAGAGAAATCGGCTTCCCATGATAGAATTCATGAACATGCACAGAGTTTGGTTTCGAGCTTGGCCCTCGAGAGAAAGAGTGAAGAGGCCGATGAAAATCCAATTATTTGGGTTGCACATAGTTTGGGTGGTATCTTGGTAAAACGAGTAGGTAGCACCACCATACCCCGCATTATACTATTAATGCTAATGGAACTCTCATAGGCATTAGAAATTTCCCACGATTATCAAGGCAAGAGCAATGACGAAATCCGTTCCATCGCAGTCTCAACTTTCGGAATCATATTTCTGGGGACTCCGCATACTGGTGCTGATCCGGCAAAATGGGGTTTGATATTTCAGGGAATGGTATCGGCTTTGATGCCAAAGAAGGCTTTGGACTCAGAATCAATCCTCATCCAAACTTTAACGACAAACAATGAGACACTTGCAAATATCAACCTCCACTTTCTCGACATTTATCAACGCTTTAAGATCTGCATGGCTCATGAAAGTTTAAAGACCGACTTCAAAGGAACAAAAGCTTTCGTCGTGGATCAAACGTCTGCCAGCCCTCTACTTCCAGATGTCTCTTACTTTGGTATCGAGGCTACACATAGCGGCATGTGCAAATATGAAAGCAAAAGAGCACCAGGCTACATGAATGTTTCCACCAAAGTCAAGACATGGGCCTTGGAGGCTTCCCCGGTAATTCGCGCTCGTTGGAGGGAGGAAAGGAAGAAACGAATTGAGGAAAGAGAAGCGCAAATCAGAGAACTCAGAGGTCAATTCGAAGATGTACGCTCTCTCTGAACCTTCGCGCCGGAATTTACTAACCTAGTCGTAGCCCAATTCAGCGCCAGAAATTCCACAACAGCCAAAGGGTACGTACCAAGGTGCTTCGTCGGCTCATCACCAGCCTAGTCTGATGGAGCCGACTCAAGCAAGGCCTATATTTGATTATGAGGTGTGGGAAGTTGAGGGAGATACCGAGATGGTGGATCGTTAAAATTGATCTCCTAATTTCTTTGTTATTTGGACCTCGGGTGTTGAGATTGAATCTTTCCTTTGGTCATTTGGAGCTTTGCGTTTTGCTTTACAAATTGTTGGAGGAAGCTGATTTGTTTGGTTTCGTAGATTTATCGAATTCACTTCAAACCGTTGCAAGCTTTGAGCCCGATGTTACAGACGATAGTGCAGAATATTTCATCAAGCCACCTGGCTTTCGTCCCAATTCAATCTTTGTGGGTCGACAGCAAAAGTTGATTGAGATGCATAAGATGCTTTTTGATGAAACTAGACGATCTCAAGGTTCATCTGCAGTTTTGATTCAGAGTATGCCTGGCTGTGGTAAGACTCATTTGGCTCGACAATACGTATTTGAACACAAGCACGAATTCCCTGGTGGAGTATTCTGGATTCGAGCAAAAAGTGAACAGGAAATCACTGCTGGCTTTTGGCAAATCGCGAAGAAAGCAGCGTTAAAACCTTCCATGGTTAATGAAGATCCAAAGGTTCTCGACAATCCCGATCAATTTATCAAATTAGTCAAAAAGTGGTTGAATCATAGACATCATTGGTTACTGATACTCGATGGTATCCACTTTGACGACACCTTACGAAGATTCATTCCTGACAGCACCGACACTAGTATCATCTATACTTCAACAGAGAAGTCTGTCATTGGTGATCACCATTTCATGAACCCACAGATTTTGAAGTTATCACCATTTTCTGCAAGAGAAGCACAACATCTTTTGCTGCGTGAACTTGACAAGAAGGAACCATTCCTTCAAGATGATCTCAAGCATTCGATGGAATTGGTCCAGGCAATGCAATTCTTACCTGTGGTCATTCATGTTGTTGCTCAACGATTGAAAGCTACAGATGAGCCACTTGCCAGATATGCTAGGTCTTATGCATCGGGGCCAAAGGGATTAAGGGAACTCCAAGCTTTTACCTCTGTGGTTGAGCAATTGGAGAAGCTTGGAGCTTATGAGACTCTCAACTTGATACATATTTTGTGCTTTTTTAGTCAACATGTTCCCGTTGAGATGATTGCATTAGGTAGGTACCGAGCCGGCACCTTTTTCTTAAGTATGTACGTCCTGATATGATTGATAGGTTTGGATGCACTCGATGTTCCCATCAGGGCCAGCGAGCCTATTACAGGAAGATCTCTGAACAACACATTCAAGGTATTGAACAAGTTCGCTTTGATAGACCGAACCGAACGCGAGGAGCCTCTCAGTTCATCCCAAACATCGAAGGGGAGCAGAGATTTGTTACCTGATGATATCGATGTTATCACGTTGCATAGTGTCGTCCAAGGATTTTTCGTGGATACCTTACATGCGAAAGGAAGATTACCCATGTGGCTTGACCGAGCTATTGGAGTTTTTTGCCATTCATTTGAACAAGCCAACGATCGTATTACACAGAAAACACACACAGGACTTGTTGAAGATTATAGACTGTATGAGATTCACGGCATCAAGCTTCAGCAACATCTTGAAAGACACAAGAAGGAATACATCAAAAGACACAAGAAAGAAATGTTGGATCCTGAAGCTACTCATACCATTCTGGAAGATGTATTGAATACTATTAGAAGCGAAATCCAACGACGAACTCCAGAGTCTTCACACTCCATTGCTGGTGGCCGACCTGAAGCATCTCAAACTTCGATCTTTGACCGCACTAGCAGCTCTTCTGATACTGGCCTGGATCCGGAGACACCTGCGGACAAGTTCATTGAAGGTACCCCTTGGACTCTTGGGCCCCATACCGAATCTCCTCAGCGTCTTGTTCATAATCCAGATTTCCTCCGACAAGTTGAGAACATAAAGCAGATGCGATTTCCTCCTCGGCTTCCCAAGGAAGATACTGGATATGATAGTGATCGAGAAGGTTCTACTATGACACTTCAACCATTAAAGCCTTTAATTCCTCAAGCTAATTCACCCGAAACTCCTGGAGGTCCATGGGAAGTGGTCAAGCCTCGACGTCCAAGGGTCACACAACCAAAACTTGATCTTCATCGAACCATTAGAGCTCAGGAATCAAGAAAATATCGAAATCGTGCTGGTTCTTTTCGTACGTTGACTCCAGGTTATACAGATCCGCGTGTAAGCAGTGTCACTGCACATGGTGAATTGCAACAACCTGATAATCGACCACAATCTCGTGGTAGATTATCTGGTCAGTCAAATGCTAGAGTAGCACTTGCACATATTAGCAAAAATAGTCCACCACCAATCCGAGGAGGTGGTCCAATTCAAGATCGACGGACATCTGGTGATAAATTGACTGAGTCCAATCTCATCAGAGGAACTCCGACTTACGCTTCGGCTGTTGCTGGCTCAACGAGAGATACGGCCTCTCGACATGGTACTGAAGAGAACTTTAGCGACACAACTTCGAACCTTGGATATCCTGAGCCAACAACAGCCACCACTGCTCTAAAACGTATTCCGCATGAGGCAGATGTTCCATCACCACAGCCACGCACACCTTATACTCCCATGCCTCCGTATCCTCGTACACCGGATTTGTACTATCAGCAGCCTTATCCTGCTTCTGATAATGATTTGTATAATTTGCCGAATGTCAGTGGCAATCATAATAACCTTCAACCAATACCAGATCCTTTCAACAATATTTACCCAATCATGACAGGTCCAGTCCCGATTACAAGATCTGCTGTACCTTACACATCATTGTCACCACCACTTAAGCGCGATCTTCCTCATGATTATCAAAGCTGGGACTCGCAATCCTATCCAAGCTCTTTGAATGGCTCGCTATATATCCCAACTTCTCATCAGCCCAACCTCCAAAATCCTAACCATCTCAACCTCCCCACTAATTTTCAATCAATTTCCTCACCTAATCTTCTCCCTTCTCAATATCGTCCCAATTTCTCAACATATTATCCAGGGCACCCGGAATTTTCTCACTCTGACACCATCGGCTCAACAACCCCACGTACCACACCCCAAGAATCACTTTACACCTCTCAGCCCCTCTCTCGGGATCCTTCAGGCCAATCAACCCACTCAACAAGATCTCTTCATCCCGCTTCAGCTCGTCCCCGCTCAACATCTACCTCAGCATCTCTTCCTCGGCGCACTTCCCTTGCGGACACGGAACCTATTCCTCAACTTCCTTTTTCTCCGAGAATAGGAAGTACGATGCCAATGTCTCCGCAGAGAAGTTATCAAATGTATTCTTCTTCGGCTTATCATTTAAACCTTAGTCCGCAAGATCGAGAGAGAGGTATGGTAAGGAAGAGCCCGAGATTGGCTTTTGCGAGGGCGGTGGCTAGGGATGATCCTAATAGGGTGCTGTTTGAGGGTGATGAGAGAGAGATGGAGATTCAGAGACAGGCACAGGCACATGCACAATACATTTCTTCGCATGCGAGAGTACCTAGGACGTTTAATCCTTTAGCTCCGAATTTTAGCCCGAGGATGACAAATGGAGGAAGTCAGATGGTGTATCAGGGTCAAGGTGAGGATAGACAAGGAATTACACGGGATTTGAGTTTTATTTATCCAAGTCCTGATCTAGGAGCTGGAGAGGGAAATGCATTTCACAACAGTAGTCGGAATGCAGAACTAGAAGCCCCGGAAATGAAAAGAGGTGGAAGTAATGGAAGTGGAGGTTTAGTAGTTGGAGGGGGGAGAGTAGTAGAATTTGGAGATGTAGGAGCGATGTATCAGCGCAGTGATAGAGATAAGGTGCTAAGAAGAAATTTAATTGAATTTGGAGAGACAGGGTTGGGGATTCACACGGGAGGGGCGGTATGTCAGAGATTATTGGGAGTGTGGCGAGGAGACCGGGCTTAGTCAGGGGAGATGCGGAGGTGAGGGGTTGGTATGGGGTTGGTCAGAGGAGAAGCAGGAGTCGATAGGTTGTGTGCTTAAATTGTCGTGTTGGAGGGTTTATGGATGGGTGTTGCGGCGGAGTTGTGTACTTTCTTGTTATATTACATGGTAGGTAAGAGTTTTGGCCTGATATATATATATATATATATATATATATCTATATCTATATCCATAGAGGGAGGAGGAGAAGCGGCGCGGGTTCAGAAATAAGACATCAGCAAGGACTGACGAAACTGTATGGATTATTGCATCACGGAATGATTTGGGATAGGATATATTATATACCACAGAAAGGCAGGAGGAAGGGATTACGGGGAACTGGAATGGAATTGGAATGTATGTTTACATTTCCATGTATATCTTTTATAGACACGATACCGGGTAGCATGGGCATGGTCACGGATAAGGATGGATGCATATAATGGAATAGGAAAAGATGGATCGCATCGCATCGCATTGTCTTGCATTTGTAAGACTAGCTAGATATGGATTATCATGGATTCTCGGGCGAGAATATAAAGGTGTGGATTGCGGATTGTATAATTAGTGTATTTATAGGATACCCGGGATATAATATTCCTTAGCTTGTGGAGAGAGAGAGAGAGAGAGAGAGAGAGATAGAAATATAAAAAGCTTATTTGTTATTTTAATATTATTTTGTTATTATTATATTTATAAGATTTCTAATTTTCTAACAATAAGGATATAAGTAATATTTTGTAAAAGCTTGTTAAAGTAATGAAATAGAATAATAAAACCGTTAATTGTATACGAATACTTGATTTATATATAAGATTAGTATTCTTTTTCATTTACAAAGTTAAAGTTCTCATATTTATACATCATTCCTTTAAGAAAGAATGTTATTCAGACCTCGTCCGCGGTATAATATATCCTCAAAATTCCTGTTTAAAACTAGCGTTTCTAAGCTCGGCTCAAAAAAAGAAGAAAATTATAATATTATTATTCTTTTCTTGAGATAATATAGAGTGCGGCCTAAAATTTAAAAATATGTATCCTCATATTGGCATTACATGATTAAACAGTATCGAAAGATTCATAAGGATATCAGTTGTGTATATTTTGGGACTAGGCTACGCTAAATATATATGATAGTATTTTTGATGTTATAGTATATTCACAAGAACTAGATTACTATCAAGATATTCAACATGTTCTCTATTGTTTAAGTTACGGGGGAAAAACAAATATAATAAATACTCTCGCTCAAATTTTTCGAGAAACTAAATTCTAAATAGCTCAGTAAAAGCTTCTTGTCTCAAAAATGCCTTCTCATGCAAATAGTCTGGCGTGGAAATCGAATTCCTCTTTTAGGGTGATGCATTCGGTGAAACCTATTTTCCCTCTATATCATACTGGGTACTTAAAGGACTAGACCTAGCTCTTTTTCGCATTGCTTTGCACAGGTACAAAATTTACACTCTGCAGCTCATCATATGTGACGTTTAGTTTCGGATCCTAGGCATCATTCATATTAGGAGTTAGGGTATGCTTTTCTCTTTTCGGTTCTTCCCATCCCATTATTCGTCAATTAATCTATTTGTGGAATGTGGAAACCCCCTGTTGTCTTCTCTTCCCTCTCATCTATCGGCGCAAGCCCTTCGAGCTCATTCGCCACTTCGTCACGGCGCAATGAAGATTTTTCGTCACCAACAGCAAACCATCCCCGATCTATCGCTAGGAGTAAATGTATAAAAAGGATTGTGAAAATGAAAAGTCCGTTCACGTGACGATAATATAAATTAGATCGAGGTAATTTTGGTGATGGTGAGGAGGTGTGACTACTGTCGCAGTCTCACATAATGTAGGTATTGAGGATTTTTTGGATGAATTTGTGGGGCTCAGTAATTGAGTAGGTAGTTGAAGAACTAATACAGTAGCACATCGCCTAGTCTCGCTAGACGGTTTTAGACAGCAAGCCAAGATCAAGCGATGCCTAAATTGATATTTCGACATTATTGGTTTTGATATTCTTATCTGTTTCGTAATTTTATGGCTAAAATAAAAGAATTGATGCCATTTGTCACAGAGATAAGTATGGTCATTGGTGGGAGAGGCTATGCCAGATTAAGGCTGAGCTATTGAGACTATGCAGGATCATGAACCTCGTGTGAATATAGTTTGGTATTCAATTAGAGTGCCTAATATTCTATCCCCGTCGGCAATAAATTGCCGAACAGGGCAGGATAAAAATATTTTCAAATATTAGCTCCTCCTTGGTAATTATGTGAAATTCTATGTTCAGAGAGAATTTAGTTCAAGTGGCGAGAGTTTAGAAGAATCAAGCAGGAAAAAATGTACGGAATGATATTGATATAGGATATATTTTTCTACAAGAAGATTATTTTCTTACGTATGGAACCTGCTCGAACAATCAAAAGAAATTTCAGCATCAAGCGGCTTCCGTGCGTCCTCATTTCTCTTTGCTATTTGTAACCATACTTTGTAACTTACCAAGCTTGAGCTATCATCTACACCCTCTTGATTCCTTTGAATAGCACCAAAGGCCAGTTTTCGACATATTTGGTATCTTAAATGTGGCGCGAAGATTCCAGGTCACATCTTTCAGATCTCAAAAGTGTTCACACTACACACCAATTAAATTTGGCTGCTTTAGGGGCAAGAATATACAAGCATCACTAGTTACTAGGCCTCAAAAATTAAAAGCTATTATGGATACTAACCAGCTTCAGTAAATGATTTTGTGCACATCGAAGGATTCTCGGCACTCTCAGCTCCGACACTTCCTTCTAATGTTGCACATCTGATAATTCTCGGCATTTGCAGCTTCCGTATCGTTGAAGTAGCCACAAAGTAGCCATCGATCTAACTCACAAAATTGGAGACCTACGGAACTTTGCCCGAGAGCTAACCGAATAGTCATGTTTTGCGGCTAAAGAAAAGAATCTCTGCAAGCTCTTTCAAAAGATATCTTGCATGAAAGGCACTCAAAGGAGCTGTTTGATTATTCCTGCCATTTCTGGGGACCCTGAAGTTGTTGAAAGAGAGTATAGTAGATAAGGTGCTAGACCAAGAGAGAGCTCGAGTAATTCCACCAAAAAAATCCAGAACACATTAATGTATCTTGCTTACCATGAGATATGACCGGATATTCAGGTATAGACGCCCGATTTCACTTGATATTTCTTGTCCGTGGTAGGAAGGAGTTTACATTTTGTACGGTAGGAAAGTGTGTTTAAGGAATATTTGACTCCACAGGGACAAGAATCTCGATTGGGTAGTGTCTAGGAAAAAGGCAAGTATCTTTGAGTGTATTTACGCGGATTCGAATATAGTAGTATTTTTAAAAACTTTGCCGCAATATGGATTCCACACTGGAATTAAGATAATCAGATTTCACTGATTGGGCATGGACCACTGACTTTTTTGACGTGGAGCGATTCTCCAACACCAACTTTGTTGCAAAAATCCGAGAGTCGAGGTTACAAAAACCGTACTTTCTGGAAGACAGAAATATAAAGCAAGATAAGTCCTCACCAGCCTCAGGACAATAAACAAAGAGTACAGGTGAAAGTGGGTTGCAGGGAATTTAAAAATAAATTCAGGTAATATCGGCCGTAGCCAGGTATCCGAAACCTCCATGTATTGTAATATGCTCCTCACTCTGAACTATATCGCTTGAACTTTCGTACATCTAGGCATACGTTCCGCCGCATAACATAATTCCCCGACATCCTACTCCAGCTATCCACAGCTTCATCTCAATCATCATCTCCATCAACAAATTCCTAAACTCGCGATTTCGCCTTGCTCATTAGAGATTTGAGAACCAAGTTGGTACGAACATTTCCACCTCATCTTCACCTGATCACCTTTCCCGTGTTCTACACCTTGCAGGTGTATCTTTTGAGTGATGCCCGAGTCTTGGCGGGGATTGAGCCTCCGACCACTTTGGGGTTGTAATTTGAGTGTGTAACCCTATACATGATATTAGTATCTTCAGAGCAAGTTAAAGGTAGACAGAAAACAATATACCTTAGTGACAGCAGCTTGAAAGGTTAAATCAGATATTGGTTCGTTGGAATTATTTGAAAATGCAATGGAAAGAGTGATAACTTCAGGTGTAATAGGTTCGCGGGTAGCATTTAAGGATATTTTGAGGTTGGTATTATTAATGGTTAGATCGTTTGTAGATGGAAGACCCTCAGGTAAGGCGGATGAAAATGCCCATTCATCATCATCTGCTGCAGGCGCCGGAGTATTTGCTGCATGAGACACAGGAGGTTTAGGGTTCGCGAAATCGAACATGGAGCCAGACTGCTGAGGGGTAGATTGCCTTGATGGCGATGTTAGAGCGGCAAAGGGATCGATATTCGAGGGAGGAGGTCTCGAAGCTGCAGCTTGTTGCTGTTGCAGCAGTTGTTGCTGCTGTAACAGAGATGGTTGTGGAGTCACCGGTTTCGATGGTGGTTGTGAGGATCCAAATGCGGAAAACGAAGAATAATCGGGTTTCACAGGTAAATTTGAAGGAGCGGGTGATCTGGTTGGCGTAGGTCCTTTCGCAGTGCTGTTTTCAGTTGTCGAAGATAACAACGCTGGGCCGGGGATGTCTAGAGTTTGTTAATAGGGCAGTTTCAAAATATTTAAAGGACAACTTACTGGTATTGTTGCCAAATCCAAGAGAGATGCCACCGCCTTCGCCATATGAAGTATCACCCATGGACAACCCAAGAAGATCATCTTCTAAACCACCTGGTTGAGAAATGCTCGCCGAAGCATTATTCGTAGAAGAGCTTCCATTAGTCTCCGGTTCGCCATCAAAATCGATCAAGGAGAGTTCATTTGCGGCATTCTTGCTAACCCCTGTGCTAGTACCAAGGGTGCCCTTGGCAATCTTTGAAGCTGCATCCACGTCACCCTTCTTCATAAGCTTGTATCGCTCCACAGTACGATGGATACTATCGTTGATTTCCAGGAGCTTTGCGACAGCTTCGTGATCGTCTGATTCCTCTTCACACATCTTCTGTATTTTGGGATGCGCACTCTGAAGAGCTGAGGCAAGTTCTTCGTAAACATCCCCTTCTGTCATAATATCTCCAGGCTTGAATTCCTCGAGTCGTTCTTCCAATAATCTGGCTTTCTGCTGAACTTTCCCAACTTCCTCCGCGGCTTTCGCTCGATAATCCGTTTTCGACCTCGTATCGTATCCTGCCATAATTTTCATTAACCTGTTGGCTTCCTGCAAATCCTCCGGTCCACCACGGCGAATTAATTCTTGTAACTTCGCAGATTGTGCCTCCTTTTCCTCTTCTTCCATCTCCTCAGCAGATTTTAGATTCTATGATATTATCAGTCTGCTGTCCCAATAATCCTCAATCAACCATTAAACTTACATCACTCGGGTTGAGCACCGCGGCGTCCTCTACCCTTACCTCCGGGAAGACATATCCCTTATAACTTAATAGCCTATGCATATCCCTAATGAAACCTAAATCCTCTTTGTACCTCGAAGTCTGACATATTGTCCCCCTCCACTCCTCGATAGCTTCCAAGATCTTCATTTGAACTTTACTCGATCTGAGCGGTGGTCGTTCTGGAAACCTCCTCACTAATTCATTTAAGAACTCCTTTGTACCGATCTGCAAGTGAAATGGATATCCGCAATTCTTCACACAAATATCCAACAAGGAAAGCGCCAATATTGCAACATTTGGGTTGCGATGATTAATATAATTGACAATTGCAATAGCTGCTTCTCGTGGCGCACTTCCCTTTTTCGAATTTATAAGGTCGGAAATTTCGAGGTTCATAGCAAGATTTGGCTCATAATTATCGGGGGAGCATGCTTGCTGGATATATCGCTGGAGAGGGGAGGGTCCCGGATCTCCCATCATGGAGAAACGATCTCGTGCCGCCATTCTTGCGGAAGCTGCCTCCATTTGGAGGGATGTTCTTGTATATTACCAAGCGGAATGTTGTTGGGTTAAAAGAAAATGTTGGTTGGGGAAACTTCGTATTTGAGCTGATGCGGCGCGAGAGGGTGAGTTGTGGGTGAGCTCAGTGGGGTGGACACGATTGGACTTTGGGAATGATGAAAGTATGCTTAGTCAGCCTTACTTGCAAGGCTGAACATTTCTTGGCTTCCCCACCTCGATTTTGATATCATCATCGCCAAAGTTTATTTGCTTCTTTTGAAAACGAACCGTCACATATTCAGATAATCTACAGATAATCTACATACTTAAATCATGGTCCGACACAAGAAAGATAACTTCTCTTCTAGAGGCAAGAAATATAGCAACCCTCCCCGAAATCGAGGTCCGCGTAACAATTCCGACGATGAATCACAACCCCGCTCCTCTCGTCCCGCTTTCAAAGCTGCATGTTGGGATCTCGGTCATTGCGACCCGAAACGTTGCTCTGGGAAGAAACTCATGAAGCTCAATCTCATGCGGGAGTTACATGTTGGTCAAAAGCATCAAGGTGTTATTATATCTCCTAATGCGAAGGCTACAATATCACCGGCGGATCGCGAAATCATGTTGCAATACGGTGCGGCAGTTGTGGAATGTTCATGGGCTCGCACATCAGAAGTACCTTGGGCGAAGTTAGGTGGAAAATGTGAGAGACTGTTACCATATCTCGTAGCGGCTAACTCGGTCAATTACGGTAAACCTTGGAGGTTAAATTGTGTGGAGGCTTTGGGAGCTGCGTTCTATATATGCGGATTTGAGGATTGGGCGGAACAAATCTTAGAGCCTTTCAACTATGGCCGATCATTTCTGGATATCAATTCCAGCCTTTTAAAACGATATGCAGCATGCAAAGACGAAGAAGAGATAAAAAAGGCTCAGGAGGTTTGGATGGAGAAATTGGAGAGGGAATATAAAGAGAGTAGAGAGGGTGGTCCAGATGGTGAAGATGATATTTGGAAAAGTGGAAACACGAATCATAGATTACCTGAAAGTTCGGATGATGAAGATGAGAATGAAGAAGATGAAGAGGGAAAAGACAGGGGTGACGAAGTCGACGGGATATATCTCGGTAAAGAACAACCAAAAAAGAAACCACAGGCTGACGACGATGAGGATGATGAGGATGAGGGAGAAGATAAGGATCCATATGCTATCTCAGATGATGAGGATGATGAAGAAGAAATGGCAGAGCTCCGTCGACGAGTCCTCGCCTCTAAACCCTTTTCAAATCCACAGACCGCAAATCAAAAAGCAGCTCCAGAAAAGATCTCAAGGCCTATACCATTGAAAGAAGATTCTGAAGTCGAAGTGGATTCGGATAATGGAGAAGATGATGAGTTTGACAACATCATTGATGCCACTCCAGTCACAGACAGAACTGGTATAATGGCAAAAGAGAAAGCCAAGACCGTGACTCCAACGATTGCCAGTGCTACATTCTCTAGGACAGTCGTTGGTGCACCAAAAAAGTGGTAGTTATATCACAAATTCAATATCAATTTAACGAGTTTGACGGTATGTCCATTTAGGTTGATGCAAGTTGCGACATGAATTATGCTGCTGCAAGTGTTGTAGCAACTCAAAAGCATGATATCTTTCTATCTAGGCCCAGCTTAGCTTTTGTGGGTGACTGTTCTGCCAGCGAATTTCTGGCGCCATCAGTAGTGACCAAGATGAAAAGTCAATTCTGAACTTTTAAGGAAATGTTTTGTGCGTGAAATGTAAATTACTTGGGTTAATTATTATTATTTCTCATCTCTATCACTCTCTATCCAGCCTGACCCTTAATATTATTATCCCATTCGGTCATTGGTGCTCAAATATCTGTCCTCGCGTACGAAAAGCAATGCCTATCATTGTTGCTACATGTGGATACATTTTCTATGTTTCGCACCCACGGCTTGTGTATTATCATGTTCTTTAAGTATTTCAGAGATTTTCCAACCTCGTCACCATTCCGCCGTACATAGAGCTTGTGATCTTCTTTAGCATTTGCTTCCCCATAAACCAACGAGAATCAAATACTAAAATGTATCGATGCGAGGAGATATAGTGATTTAGAGAAAGCTATTGAGATGTCTTTCATGAAGAAGTATATACAGTCACCATTCATATTTCGCCAGGTCTAGTACTTATTATAAAAACTGTAGCCTGTTCTAAAAGTTGATACGGACGGTGATAGATGACCATTGCATGGCTTTAGTTCTGAACATGGATGAGATATTCAAAAACTCCTACCCCCTTGGTTTATAGATTCCACATCTTTCATTGGTTCATTTGTAATCTCAATGCCGTGTAAATATTGAGATATTATTCCGGGACTGTGCTCCGTAATGAGTATTGGTAGGTCATAACTTGCATTAGGATAAATTGGGTCGGGAAGACCTGGGTATGTAATCTTTCGCTCTAATCCTGATGTACAACAAAACAATCGAACAGTCGGTAGTAAATCACGAGACGTTATAGCTACACTAGTGTCGAGAAATATGTGTCTGATTGGTGATGTACGGAGGCAATAGAGCACTAATGAAAGGTAACAACTGGATTGCCTGGTGGTACATGTGATTTTCCCACCTATTCAGCCATGCAACAAAACGCCAGGTCTAAGAGTGAGTCATGATTTGATTGTCAAGTTAGGATCAGAACATTTTATCTCGAAATATGATCTGATTAACATCTCAGAAGCTGCACATTGAGAATATTTAAAGGCTTATTAGGTATATAGATATTTAATCTCGTTATACAATTTATCTCGTTCATCGCAAAACAGGGAAAACTAAAATGAATCTAATTTAACAGAGCTAACTATAATTTTCGAATACTTTGATCCAAAATTTAAGTGAAATGACCACATAGTACAGTTGTAGTCAAAATTGCTCTAGAATGATCTAGCTGTACGTTTGGAGCTATAGTGTGCCTAAAACGGTTAGACTAATTTAACCGAACTCTCCTATTTATACCGATCGAAGATCATCCCATCTAATACCGGCGCCAAATTGTCTAGTCTCTCGAATCTCACAAACCTTGTTTCTTCATATAATGAGGGGCTCAGTGAAAAACATTACTTTTTATAATTATGAAAATATATATATATATATATATATAAATTGAGGCGTGACTTATAGATGAACGAAAATCAAAAAAGATTTTTAGAAGGTTCTGATTAGAAAATTAATTATCAATTTTACTTCTTTGGGATATTGAATGTTTGGAGTTTATTTAATATTTCAATCAATTTGATATCCCTAGTGCCTTCAAAAAATAGAAGTATTTCATTGTCGGGCTGCAGTCTGAACTTTTGAAACACCGAGCGAGCTAAAGTCTCTACAGAATGAATAGGACTTCAGAGGAGGTTGTTAAAACTCTCAGTACTTAAGTTTATGCCATTTAGCTTTTAATACCTATTTAGTTTAGGAATGCCGGGAAAGGTTTTTTGTACCAGATCGCACATCATCCGCGAAGCCGATAAAAAGCCTCGCAGATGATACGATCACCAAATGTATTTCAGTCACGCCCTTAAAGGTGCAATAAAAGCTTTCTAGTTTGTCTAGACGGTCACCAAGGGTTATGTAAGGTACACCCACACACCCATGAATAAATTAATTATTTAAACCATAGAATATACTCTAACTCTGTTCTCATATTTATCAGCGATACTTATCAACTTCTTGTGGCCGATACAACTTTCTTATCACATACAGGGTCCTCGCTAATATTTTTATCACATTTAACAATCTTTCATCAAATTTAACAACTTTTCATCACATTTAACCGCATCGACGGGTCCCAGCTCATCTGTGAAGGAGATTCGAGTATAGATTAACTTTTCATCACAAAACAATAAATACAAATTCACAAAATGTGCATCATTAGCGACCTCATCAAAAAGCATCTCAACAAATGCAAAATAAAGGCTATTATAAAACAGGCCGAAAGGAATGGACAAGAAAGACTCGATAAAGAAACAAGATACAACACTAAGGAGAACGCCAAAAGGCCACCCATCACCCATCACCAATACAGAATCTGAAAAAGTCGAAATCGAAGTCGAAAATGAAGTCAACATTAAGGTAGAAGTCACAAGTAGGCTGCCCAAAAATAACCTGCGGGTTATGGATATCTATAGGTAATCCGTACTGCAAGGCGGGTTATAAACCTATAACCCATTCTGCAGATTATTTATTGGGATTTTAAAATAACCTGTACCATACAGGCTATTTGCGGATTATCTGTAGATAATCCGCTAATTCATAATTAGATATAATTTATAAAGATTGATATAAAAACTAATATAAAAAATGTAAAAATAGCTTCAAAAATTTAAACAAATATCATTTACAAATAATCTATCTATCTATTGTAAAAGTGGTAGGTCGAGATATGTATATCCCGATAGTATATTGTAAGGAGGGAATTGAAAGAGGAAGCTGAATTAGATTATATTGTAATATGTTATTTATAAAGAAAATGAGGTTCATAATGATTTTGAGATTGATGCTATATAGGTTCAAATGTATGTATGTAGAAAGTTGATTATTCTCGAAAGAAGGAACAAAAGCTTTTCTTTTATATCTAACTACAAGAGGTTATGTGATTGACTAGTTAAAAACCTCTATGTATTTGGCCTATAATTCCAACTTTCTCATATTATAAATTGATGGATTATCTACGAATTTATAGATATCTGTAAATAATCTGTAAATTATTTACAATTTACTTATTCAAATTCTTCAATTACCTGTTTTGCAAGTGGGTCATCTGTGGGTTACCCTTCAAGGGCAATAATCCGCCTTGCGGGGCCTCGTTGCGCAGCCTAGTCACAAGGGAAATCAAAAGAGAAGCAATACTCAGAAAGTGATCTTCATTGATCCCCCAGAGATTTGAATGAAGTGAGAAGTCCTGTCAAGATAAAGAAGACGTGAGATGAGCATAGAAGTGGATCTCGTAAGATGATAGAAAGTATCCCTGATGCTGTCATGGAGGAAAGGAGAAAGGATGTAAAGATTTTGCTATTTATATGGATGGAGAGGAAACATGTATCAGTTGGCGATTTGTTATTACAACAGACCAAGAATTATTTTGAAGGTTTTGGTTCAGTTGCCTCAGGATTTTGATGGATTTGGTAATATGTCGGCAGCGTTTCAATCTCTCATCCTATCCTATCCTTGAATTAAGGATGAGCAGGATGGCTTCAATTTGAAGTATATAAAAGATAGAGATATAAAAAAATTAAAAGGATATAATAGAAAATATAGAATTCGAGATAAAATGAGAAAGGAAAGGAAAGTTGAAAAATCCTTGTAATTTTCGAGATAAAAATTAAATTGATTATTTCTTTGGTATATTTATTATATAATGTCATATAATATCATCTATATCTTTGTAATCAGGATAGGATAAATATAATTTCCTTGAAGGGTAGATAGGATAATGATGTTTATTAAATTTATAGGATACAAGATCTGCTCCATTTTTGGTTTAGGATAGGATGAGAAAGGATGGGGATGGGAGATTTGAAACGCTGTGTGTCGGCGTTGGTATGAAGATGAAATCAGCACATGGATAGAGTTATTTAGTAAGTCTAATACCCTACTTTCCGGCCATCCCTCTTTCCGGACACCTTTTTACACCAGAAATCATCATTTTCATTTATTAATATTTCAACAATCGATTAATTAAATCGATTGAAATTTGAATTGTAGATTTATTATATAATTATCAATTAATCTTGAAAATTTTAGATTTTTCACTATTGATTTAATTGAGAATTGAAAGATTAAATTTTTGAATTTTTAATTTATATAGGATTTATATACAAAATTTAAAAATTATTAAAACCTTCAATAACTTTTGAACAAAAATTATTAAAAATAAACTATAAATATTTTTCGAATATTTATATTATAATTGATTAAATAGATTAATTTATTTTAAAAAAATATTATAATTTTTAATCTTTATAAAAATTAAAAATATCAATTAAGGTTCATTTATATTATTTAAAATTTAGAATATTAATTTATTATATAATATTTAATCTAAAAATCTTAAAAAAAATTTATAATTTATTTTTAATAATTTTTATTGAAAAGTTATTCAAGATTTTCAATATTTTCAAATTTGTATATAAATCTAATACAAATTGAAAATCGTAATTTCAACTTTTAATTTCTCAATCAATAAAATCGTCAAAAATCCAAAATTTTCAAAATCTATTAATAATTATATAATATATATATGATTCAAATTTCATCAAATCCTAATGATTAATTGTGAAGTTATTAATAGTTGAAAATGATGATTTTTGATGTAAAAAGGTGTCTGGAAAGAGGGGTACTAGACTTACAGTAATAAAGTTAGACTACTTCGCTCTAGAATATGTGAATGAATTGGATGACATGTATTTGTGCACATAACCACTAGATACATCATTCATTTTCCCCCTAACCTTCCACTACCATTAACACATATCAAACCAGAAAAAACGACGAATCGCGTCCAAATCATCAAGATATTTTGGAAGGTAAGGTGATATCTCCAACTGCTTTTCGTCCACCGTTGTAAGTGTCCTCGTGACTGACCCTCGGAGGACCAAATATTATACAGAAAATACGCCAGAAGAAATCTAACAGATCTTCGCCCATCACCAAAAGTATACGGTCATCGCCACCGTCGATTTCATAAGGTTTCGAAAAGAGTACGATACAATTCCACGAAGCGGTTGCATGTCAGTGCGTTTGAAGTCCTGACTAGATACTGAATGTACTAATATTGAAATAAACAATTGAATTTAAATCCAATGTAAAGAAGGTCTAATAGTTATTCATAGACAAAGATCTTTTAAATTCTAATATAGACGTTCAAACTAGCTGTACTATTCGAAAGTGATATACTTTCTATCATTCAACTATATAATTTCTCAATATCCTTAATAATATTTTTAAAAGTTAATCTTGAGATACTAAAATTGATTAAATATCTGAAAATATTCTATTAATTCAAAATTAAAATATCAAAAATCTCTTTTTTGTTTCTCTTTCTTTTTCTCTTTCTTTTTCTCTTTCTCTACTTCTCAATCCACTCACTATCTTCCATCTCCTATTTCAAATTCTACTCTATTCAAACCCAAATCAAAATTAAAATCTCAAATAAATACCATATTATACCGTTATATTGTATCATATCATATTATATTACATTTTATAAATAATAAATAAATAAAAACTATTAACTCTTATATTATCTTTTTATATCTTTATTATTTTTATTTCTATTTTTATTTCTATTATTTTTATTTCTATTATTTTTATTTTTATTATTTTTAATTAGTTATCTATATCTATTTATATATACATTCACACTCTTATACTGTGACACCTTCAAAACTAATGATTTTATAAATAAATAGATAAATAAACAAATACTTTATAATTAAAACAATTATATATATATAATATTAAACTTTTATTTTATCTCTTCCTCTTCCTTTATCTTCATCTTCATCTCTCTTTCCTTCCTCCTTCCTCCTTCCTCTTCCCTCCTTCCTCCTTCCATCCATCTCCATCTCCATCTCCATCTCCATCTCCATCTTCCAAGATCCTCTCTTTCTTCTCTCCCTCTTTCCACCTACACTCCATCTACACCACAACCACTTCCACCATCTTCCCATTTCCACTTCCACTTCCACTTCTCCCATCTCAATAAACTCATAAACTTAAAAACACCTACCTACCTGTATATATATATATATATATATATAATCATCTTCATCTTTCTCTCATCTCAGCTAATCTTTTTCTAGATAATTCTTCCCGATCATCTATTCACATTTCTTTCTATTCCATTTCTCATTCTCATGTTTTGCTTCTCCAGTAGTATTCATTCATTCACCATGTAATTAACTATTTATTAGGTTGGGTCTATTTCGTTGCTTATACATAAATGTAACTTGATGTGATGTTCAATGAATGACCTTCAAAAAACCCATATATATAACACACAACAATCACCATCACAATCACACAATCACACAATCACTAAAACTAAATAAAAATGAACTAACTCTTTAATTTCTGAATTAACATTTACATCTCATCACTAATTCCACTTCATTCATCATCCCCTTTTCTCCTACTCTCCCCTTCCAAAGAAACCAGCTCTTCTCATCATTCACCCACCAATGCAACCTTATCCAGTCTCATTCCCATCCCATCCATAAATCCATGCTATGCACGCTAAATAATATTTGTCATGTAATCAAAAATTAGAGGAAAGACAGCAATAAAACCATATCAAAGATCAATCAAAAACTATTAGACCAATCAAGAACATTGTAGCGTAAACCAGACCAGAAAGATAGACAAACGAAAAAAAGAAAGTGGAATCAAGTAAAGAATCTTTCTCATAGCTCCGCAAGTCATTCTTTCAATAGCTATCACACATTCGTAGCTTCGTTCATTCTGGTATCCTACACCTTTTTTTTTTTTCTTCTTCAATTGTTCGTCCCTCATTCATTGTTTGATTTGTTGCTTCTAATTTCCCTTTTCCCGACCCGTCCATTCTCATAGGGCTAGTACCGAAATCATGCTCGTTCTTGTACCCGTTCCTGGAAAGCGATTACCGAATAATTCCATCCCATTCAATTCCATCATGTCATTATCGTGAAGTTTCATTCATGATTCCATGTTCATATAAATCCTCATCCAACCCTAATCCTCAAATAGCATTTGCACCAGTAGCTTTCACCCCCTTAGGTGGCATAATCTTTCCCTTAAAACTTGCAAGTTTATGAGCAGCGAATTTCTCTCTTGCCAACTCAATAGCACTCTTTTGTCTCTCTCCTCCAAATACTTTATCACCACCTTTACCTCTTCCATGAGGCTTTCCAATTCCATCTCCCAGAATCTCTTTTCCAACCATAGCATTTGCATTACCATCTTGACTTTTCAATACAACTGTATTTGGAATATTGGATTTTCCTTGTGTATCTCCACTCTTAACTCTCTTCACCCAGTCTGCCCTTCTTCTCCGGAATAAATCCATCGACCAATTTCTCCAAACAATTCTTCCTGTCCAACTTTCTCTAAGGACAGGCTCGTAAGGCAGAATGGACATGGCAATACGTTCGCAAAGAGAAAAGAGAGAAGCTGATGAAGTAGAGGTAGGTGTAGTTGTTGTGTGTAGAAGAGAATCTAGAATATGTGTTCCTGCAGATGACAAGGATAATGTAATTATTGGTGGTTGGGTTGTTGAAGTAGCTGCCACTGGAGATAATATAATAGAGTTGATGAGTTTTCGGCGAAATAAGAGGTTCGAAGGAGTATTAGGTGGAGAAGGAAGAAGTGATGCTTGGATTATATGAGTTGTGGTTGGATATAAAGAGAGGGCAAGGATGGTGGAAGTAGGAAGTGCCAACAAAGAATTTTGAATGAGCTGAGAAGGTGGTCCAGGAATTTTAAGCATTGCTTGAGCAAGTAAAGATCCATGAAGTTGAGATGGACTAGGTTTAGGTAAAACAGTGACTGGAGCTGGCTTGTCATCATCAGTGGCTACTGGAGGTGGTGGTGCAGTAGCTGCTGTAAGAGTTTCGAGAGAAATATCAGCCATCTTCAAGATTAATTGATTCTTATCCGATCCATATGCAGCAGCAATACTATTTGTGAGAGCTTCTGTACTTGTACGTCGAGCTTGGCATCGTTCTAATAAGACCTTGATAATATTTGTTCGATTCCTGGCAACCAAACCTTCAATCTGAGGCGAGATTTCTGTGATTGCTTCCTCAAGATCCTCTTTGCTGAGACGATTTAAAACTCGAATAACAACGTAAGATGCGATCTCATTCCGTGCCAATCCTGCGATTCGATCCTTGAAGATTGCCCGGTAAATTTGTTTGAATAACTTTCCTGGAGCATGTGTCATGATCGTTTCCAAAACTCTAGATCCAATCTGGTCATAGACAATACCATTGACGAAGATGGCAGATTGACTGCCTTCCACCGTGATATCATCTGGTAAAAGTGTAGATATGAGAGTCTTTTGTTCGGAATTGCCAGCTTTCTTTGAGCTTGGATTTGTGAGTTCCAGTTCGAGTAACAATTGTAAACAAGGATTTCCAGTAGCATGTCCCACCAAAACCTGAATGAAGGCTCTATCCATGGAAGCAATTGTATCGGAAATAATCTTCTCAATAGCCCATAAGAAAGATTCCGGTACAGTACGCTTGTTGAGAGAGAACTCTGTCGCGGCGGTATCCAATCCATTTATACCAATCTTTTCCTTCTTCTTGCTTTGTAGTAATGATTTGGTCGAAGATTTTTCCAACGGTCGTCCCGAAAGGATGATGAGTAAAAGTCGAAGTGTATGAGATGCGAATCGATCGGTGAGAAGGGAGGATAATTGTCCTTCGAGTTCATCCAATGTGGCTAGAAACAAACTTTCCATCGACTCGGTAATCTCATCTTCTTTTCCTTCTCCGTCTTCCTCATCCTTTGCCTCTGCCTCTTTCTTTTGCTCGTTCTTTTCTGCCCCGGTAAGTTCCTCTGTAACGATAGAAGCGGATTGAATGAACAACATCTCACAACAATGACTTGCAAAACGATGTGACACCAAATGAGGAAAATTTCCGGCAAATTGAGTAAACAATTTCTTCTTCTGTTGAGCTGTACTCAACAAAATCAATCTTTCCATTAACCTCGAGCATGATTGACTACAAGCAATCTTCAATTCTTTTCCTTTGGCTTCCCGATATACATTTGCGAGGAAAAGACTTCTTTCTTCTTCTGAAGGGAAATCGTTCAATTCGAGTAATTCATCAGCCCTTTTAAAATATTCTTGTTCTTCATCTTCGAGTAACCCATAATATGGACGATCTGCCACTTGAATTGCATTTGTACCTGTGCCAGCTGAAAATGAAGGAAAAGTGTTATCGTTGTCCAGGGCGATGAAGGAAACGGCTTCATCTTGTGACGATCTCCGCCTTTTCAAATCTTGAGTAAGGTGATCATGAGTCTCTTCTCTTTCCAAATTGTCCTCCCTCTTTCTCTTCAGGGTATCTCTTCTTCCTCTTGCGTGTTTATTTTCTTTTGGCATGGTGGGTTGGTGGGGAGGATTGAGAGGAATTGAGTGTAGATGTGTAGATTGAGTGTAGATGTAGATAAAGGAAGGGTAAACTGAGTGATTGAGTCTGAGTGAATTGAATGTATGAGAGGGTATATGATATATGTGATCTGGAGGTAGTTATGTTATGTAGACCAAGATCATACGGTAGTAGTTATCTCTCTCTTTCACCCACGGACAGATGGAGGGAGTGATGAATGATGAATGATGAATGATGAGTGAGTGATGAATGATGAGTGATGATTGAAGAATTCGAATCAAAAGTTTTGGAAATGTGAATTGCGGGCGCTAGCGGTTAATTTTTGTAGTGTGTGTGTGTATGTGTGTGTGGTGTTGTGGTGTGTGATGTTGGTGCTGGTGCTGGTGTTGGTGTATTTGGTGGGTAGGTAGCAGGTAGATGGTAGGTGTAGGGTTACGAAGTATGGGTGGTGAGACTATTACACCATTACAACTATTACTCTATTACAACTATTTACTCTATTACTACTATTACTACTATTACTCTATTCCTCTATTCCTCTATCCCTCTATTCCTCTATCCCTCTATTCCTCTATCCCTCCCTTGGATAAAACAATAAACCTGGTTGCTTGGGGTTATCTATCTATCTCTTGCTTGGCCCTTGCCTTTTAGTTCTTAGCTGAACATTTTTATTTTTCTTTCCTCTCCTTCAACTCTCCTTGGCAGAAATGATGTTTTGAGTGAAGTTGGTCAATGGAGTACAGTTACGAGAGTGGCTCGAGTGGTAATATAAAGTGGATTGTAAGCCTTTGTTGTCCTTGTTGTCAACTCCAAAATCCCAGCGGTTATCAATCTTTTATCTTTTTCTTTTTCTTTTCTTTTCATTTTTTTCATATCAAGGGCGGTGAGATCGAAACATCGAAATATCGAAATCGATCGGGTTACTGGTTGGTTACTTGCTTGTACGGAGTATCCTTACTTTGGTCGTTTTGTTAAGACTACCTACCTGGTAAGATCTTACGAGTCCTTTCTCTTTTCCTTCTTTCTTTTCTTTTTCTTTCTCTTTTTCTCTTTTTCCTCTTCTCTCTCTCTCTCTATCCTTTCTTAATTTATAGAAATTGATGATACAATATAAATACTAATGTTAATACAAGGTATGGATTGCTCAATTGAGTTATATCTCCCATGCTCTTTCTGACTCTAGTTGCACAAGAGGATATAATTTAATGGGATAATTATTCCTCATTACTCATTCTGCATATTCCTTCTCTCTGCTCTCTCTCTACCTTCTGACTGTATTATATATAATCTTACACTTCTCTGACTGTATTATATATAATCTTACACTTCTCTAACTGTAAACGCCTTCATAACTTACTCTACTCTCCTCTCCTGCTGCATTTATATTCAACTTACACAATTCATTCTTCAAAATGTCTTCAGATGAAACAACGGTCAATCACGTTGAATTACCAATGCACGATACCACGCTTTCGACTGGCCAAAATGTTCCGGATGCTTCAAACCCATTGAACCGTGCTGATGAAGTAGAAGATGTGAGAAAAGCCCATGCATTCATTGATTCATTGATTCGTTGATTCATTGATTCATTGATTCATTCATTCACTCATTCACTCATTCATTGGCCTCTCATTGCTATCCATTGCCCTTCAATCATCACCCTTCAATCTTATATAGACATGTATATTATATACACCTATATATATATTATGTCTCAATATCAACCCTCAGCTAGCCATGAAGCCATGTCATCCCAATCCAATCAAAATACCCACAAATAATCATCACAGATCACAGTACACATCATCTAACATATCACTCTCACCTAGTTACTCAAAGCGGTCCAATCTCTCATCATTCCCTTCATCAGATCAGCCGATGAAGATGCCAATGCCAAACACACCGGTCACGGAAAATCCATTCCAGGTGGAGGTCCCCGAACCACCCTTCTCGAACATCACAAACCCGAGAAATTACTTCAACTTCTAGATTTCAACCTTCCCGCCAATGGAAAGGGGAAAGATGGTTTATTGATAACCGTTGAGCAAGTGCTTAAATATAGTGTCAATACGTGGGATCAAGGATTCCTAGATAAACTCTATTCGAGTACAAATGCGGTATGTACGAACGCATCCACAAATTTGAAGCGGTGAAAAATGCACTGTACAATCAGCTGAAATTTCGATATAGGTAGGAATTATCTCCGAATTGATATTGGCCGTTTTGAATACAAATGTAAGTTTAATCCCTGAAAGTAACCATGCAAACTTCCCGTCAGCCCTATACTAAAATCCTGAACAGCTTCACGTCTACCAAGTATCCCCAGCTTTGACTGTCATTGAGAAAACTACCGCAAAAGCTTTTGCCAACCTTTTCGGTTTCAATGGACCTTATGCAGGAGGAATTTCAACTCAAGGAGGCTCAGCCTCAAATGCAACCTCTCTGATAATTGCTCGAAACACTCTCTTTCCCGAAACAAAACAAGAAGGAAATGGCGCTCATCAATTCGTTCTCTTCACTTCAGCTCACGGTCATTATTCGATCGAAAAAGCAGCTCAAATGTGTGGTCTCGGATCCAATAACGTGATTCTCGTCCCAGTCGACGGTGAAGGCCGAATGATACCCTCCGAACTCGACAGCCTCATCAAAAAGAGCATCTCGGAGAACAAAACCCCCTTTTACGTAAATGCCACAGCTGGAACCACCATCTACGGTTCCTACGACCCGTTCACCGAGATATCAAAAGTTTGTAAATCCCACAATCTATGGCTCCACATCGATGCCTCATGGGGTGGTCCCGCAATCTTTTCCCCTACCCACAAATCCAAACTAGAAGGATCTCACCTCGCCGACTCTCTCGCCGTTAATCCACATAAAATGATGAATGTCCCCCTAACCTGTTCCTTCCTCCTCGGACCCGATCTATCCAAATTCCACAAAGCAAACACCTTGCCCGCAGACTACCTCTTCCACACCATCGAAGCCGGATCAGAAGTATGGGATCTCGCAGACCTCACCCTTCAATGTGGTCGTCGCGGTGATTCTCTCAAATTAGCTCTATCATGGATATACTACGGAACCAGTGGTTTCCAATCCCAAATCGACCAAGCCTTTTCCACCGCTGCATATTTCTCTCAACTTGTCTCGGAGAATAAAGATTTAGTTCTCGTATCATCAAATCCACCCCCATGTTTACAAATCTGTTTTTACTATGCCAAAGATAAGAAATTGGGAAATAAAGAAGAAAATACAAGAGTAACTCAGGAAGTAGCGGATAAATTGTTGACGAGAGGTTTCATGGTAGATTATGCTAGTGGTGAGCACGGAAAGTTTTTTAGAGCTGTGGTTAATGTACAGACGAGAAGAGAGACGATGGATGGATTGATGAAGGCTATTGTGGAGATTGGGGAGGGAATAGATGTTTAGAGATGGATGGGAAGGAAGTAGGAAGGTTTATGGATATGGATATGGGTGAATGCACCTATTAGGTTCCATTTACTCTATAGATAGTACTCAAGTTCAAAATGACGCTCGCTCAGCTTCTGTTAGGATATAAAAAGGAATGAATCAAGTAAATGAATTGATGATATGAAATGATATGAAATAAACTAAGATCAAAAGAATCTCTCTTCTCTTCTCTTTCTCTCACACAAACAGAATCCAAAATCCAAAATCCACAATCCAAAATCCACAATCCACAATCCACAACCCATAGCTGGAATAACAATATAAGAATACCATACCATCCCATCCCATCCCATCCCATCCCTTCTTTCCCCAAACCAAACATCTATCTATGTTTCTCTCTATCTGCCTTCTCTACCTGCCTTGATAAAAACATCACATCACATCTTCCTCCTCCTTCCCCCAAATAAACCCCATTTATCCTTCCTCCCACCATTTCCATCTCCATCTTTATCCATTTTAATTTCGACCAGACTTCCTCTCAACCAAGCCTCATAAAGATCCCATCTCCATCTCTAGACACTAATACTTCATTATCTCCATCTCCATCCCCATCCCCATCCCCATCTCCATCCGTATTCCTCCTTTATCCATTCCCGAAATCCATCCAAGCCCCATCCATCCTTCTCCAACGCAACCCATCCCAAATCAAAATCAAAACCACTCGCCCTCCTTCTTTCCTTCCTTCAAAATTCCAGCCCAGCCCAGCCCATCGCATCTTTGATAAAAAATACTTAATCTTATTCCAGATTTTAAATTTTGGGTTAAATTCTACTTGTTTACATGTCATTGAAATTAAGGATAAAATAAGATGAAGATAAAATAAAATAAAATGGCGTAAGAGTGGTGAAATATATAATCTTTTTTCGATGTCAAGTTTAACATCAATATCAATATCAATGACAAAATAAATTTGCCCCAATCATTCATTTATATTCATACCATTTAATCCTCATCTATTCTATCATCCCACTCATCCACTTACATTCCTCTCACGCAAATCTAATATGCACACCTCTTAACTCTTCTCAAACCCTCCCTCACAAATACCTCTTCTCCTCAGTCACCTCATACGCTTGAATTTGATCACCAACCTGGAAATCCGACCAGCCAATAAATCCCATACCGCACTCTCCACTCTTTCTCATTTCCGGAACATCTTTCTTTACATTTTTAAGGGAATCAAGTTTACCTAATCATGAAATTAGTATTTGTGCTTCAAATTCATAATGCCAAGACAGGGGTGAAGAAATGAAAGACAAGAAAACATACCATCAAAGACCTTCTCCCCATCTCTCAATACCCTATACCTAGCATCCCTGGCCACTGTTCCATTACGAACCTTACAACCCGCTATACTCCTAAACTTCCTCCCCTTGATATTAATATCGAAAATCTGCGCCACAACAGCTTCACCCAACACTCTTTGTGTCACCAATGGTGGTAAGGATTTGGACATTTCAGCTCTCACATCATCCATCAACCTATAGATAATATTATTATCCAAGATTGTGACCTTGTTTTTCGCAGCAAATTGAGCAATACTGGGTTCCACTTCAGTGTTGAAATTGATAACATATCCCTTTGCCGTAGCGGCATGTTCGATATCTGATTCGCTGAGTTTACCTACTCCAGATCGTAGGACGATGGCTTCGACTTCTTTGGTACTAGTAGAGTTAAGTTGATCGATGACTGCTTCAACGGATCCGCTCACATCACCCTTGACGACAAAGTAGACTGGTTTAGGACCAGCGGGATCTTTGCTAGGAGCAGCAGTATCTTGTACTTGATTTTCCTCACCACCAAGAGCAGCTTCTTTCTCTGCCTTTTCACGTTCACGTTTATCGTGTTCGATCTTGCGATTCTCATTTATTGCTTCCATATCCTCGGCCATTTTATCTCGTTCCTCCTTCTCTAGTCGAAATTCAATAACACTTTTAGCTTTTGCTTCATCAGGAGCTTGAAGAACTTCATCTCCAGCAATTGGTTGTTCTCTCCATCCATCAATTTCTACTGGAATACCAGGACCAGCTTCTTCAATTTCAACTCCTGCTTCGTTACGTAAACATCTAATTCTTGCCCAAGTCTTACCAGCGACGATGAAATCTCCCGGTCGCATGGTACCTCGTCTAACCAAGACTGTAGCAACTTTACCCATAGGTTTAATACTTGCTTCAATGACATAACCTTCTGCTGGTCCGTCTGTTTCAGCTCGCATATCAATGATTTCGCTTAATGTAACGGCGGCTTCTTCTAAATCATCCATTCCTTGACCAGTCTTGCCACTAACACAAACAACTTGAGTGTCACCACCAAAATCTTCAATTTCAACACCATGCCGAGCAAGATCTTGTTTAACACGTTCGATATCAATCTCGGGCCTATCAATTTTGTTGATAGCAACGATAATTGGCACCTTTGCTGCTTTGGCATGATTAATAGCTTCAATAGTTTGTGGTTTAACACTATCATCTGCAGCAACAACCAAAATTACAATATCCGTAACATTTGCACCTCTTTGACGCATACTCAAGAAAGCTTCATGACCAGGAGTGTCAAGGAAAGTAATAGTCTTTCCAGAAGACATAGCTACCGAAAATGCTCCGATGTGTTGAGTGATGCCACCATGTTCTGATGCCGCGACAGAAGACTTTCGAAGATAATCAAGAATTGTAGTTTTACCATGATCAACATGTCCCATGATAGTGACAACCGGAGCTCTTTGTGGTAATATTGATGGATCTTCCGCTGGTGGTCTAGCTTTCAAGTCTTCAGATTCGCCTCGTTCTATGATAGCTTCGAAATTGTATTCCATAGCAATAAGTCCCGCATTTTCAGCGTTCAAAATATGATCATGGTTTACACCTTCGAAACCTAATTCCTCCATCTTTTCTAGGAAATTCTCGAGTTTAACCTTGAGAGCGACGGCCAAATTAGAGACACTAATAAATTCGGGTAAAATGATGGGAGTCGGCGCAGCTGCCTTTTTTGCTGCTTTTTCACGTTTTCTTTGCCTTTTAAGTTCTGCTCGCTCAGCAGTCAAGTCTCTCACTTCATCATCTCGATCCATTGACATTTCACGTTGTCTCCTCGCGGCCTTTTTGGCCACTTTACTGTGTGCTTTCTTCGGCAATGCATGATCTCTGTAGTTTGGATCCTTTTCCTTCAAAGCCGTGTCGTCCACTGCTCCCCAACGTTCTGACAATTTTCGATGTCGTACTGCTAGTTCATCTGGGGATGAGAATTGATTAATAACTTGTTCGCGAACGTCTGACTCTTCTGGCTCAGTAGCTAGTGGACTAAATGCTACGTGCTCTTGGGCAGGTTCTTCGACGGAGTTTTCAACCTCATGGCCTTTTTCTGGTTCTTCAACGACATTTTGAACCTCATGGCTTTTTTCTGGCTCGACCAAGGGGCTTGGGGTCGTTAAGCCCGGAATTTTGAAACCGCTTCCACCAATCTTACCAAAGCCTGCGCCAAACGAAGGGGACCCGAAAGTGCCAAAAGATCCAAGAGGTTTCAACATAGCACGGGCAGATGGGGCTGGTTGAGGTGGACGTGTCGATCCTGGATTTGTTGTTGGATATGAATTTGATATAAATGTACTTTGGGGACTGTTTTGAGGCCGTTGGTAATTATTCGTCGGGGTAGTTTGTGAGATTGGAGTCATGGATTTGCTTTTATCATAATTGTTAGGCCTACTCCACATGTCTGCTCGTGGAACCTCTGTAAAACGACCTCTTTCTGAAGGAATTATATTTCTCAGTGGTGTGTAAGTCCCCGAACTAGCTTCTTGTTCCCTTTTGGCTTGAGCTTCAGAAATAGGATCTTGGACCTGTTGTGGTGGCGGCGAATGGCGCTTCTCTTCTATCTTCTTCCTCAATTGCGCCCAATTTGATGCGTTTTCAGAAGACTCGCTAGTGATCTCAGATGTAGTAATGGGTTCAGTAGAGTCATTTATTATTTGACTAGAAACCTGACTACGAATGGAAGATTCGTCCTTTTCAAAATATCGCAAAGGCGCATCAGGCTGAGTGTGCTGCTTGTTCATCGCATGTATATTCATAGTCTCCTGCCTTTTCGCTGCTATCCTAGCTATCTCCAACCTCTCCTCCTGTGAACGCGGTATTGGCCTAAAAGCCCTATTCGTCTCTGGCCCTGGTCCTGAATGTATTTCAACTTTTCGTTGTTGGCTCATACGAAGCTCTTCTTCGGGAGAAAACTTATTCGGTGACTCAGGTTTTGGAGGATCTGGTATTGTTGACTTCATAGGAATTCCTGGTGCTGGACGACCGAAGGTGGCAGAGGTACCTATTCCTGGAATTTTAGAGCCTCCAAAGGTTGCTTTGCCGAAGCCCATTCCCATCCCAGGTCCTGAACGCCATGGTGCAGCAGGTGTCTGCGGTTGGACCGGTGGAGGTGATTCATATTCTTCAGATTCTCGTACTGCTGTACCCTCGGCGGGTGGCTTCGATCTTGAATCAGAGGATTGTATAAATCGACGCTGTACAAGTGAAGGAGGGCCAATAGCTCCAAGTCGATGCCAACAAAAAGCGCATATTGTTGGCGCCGATGGTTCCTACATCAATTAGAATTTGATATATTATAACATAGCTTAAGTGACCATACCTTTAATAAACTGCCACCCCTCCTCATGATTGCATTGTAGTCTCAATGAATGTTTAAATAATTTTCATAAAGTTGCCATCATAATGCTTTCAGGAATTTACGGATGCCGTAACTTGCCAAGTTCGCATTTATGCTTACGAGAGGCCAAATTTATTATTATTATCCATGGATAGATAATTGTATGTCTCAACCACTTACGAGGAGATTTTAATACATACATTCATTCATTCTTTGTATCTACGAAATATCATGCCTCCCAAAACGAAGTCCAAGAGGACTTTTAAAACTACCTCTTCTACGAGATCAACCACAACCACTTCAGATGAACCTCCTGCGCCCTTTACGCGACCTCCTCCGAAGCTTGAACCATTCTTAGAGAAGCTCTCAAAATATCATATATACATAACACATATCGATTCACATCCCGCAGACTTTAAGAAGAAGATTTTTTTCGTTCCGGTGCTTATGAATGTTGCAATCGTCGCAGGTCTCGCATGGCGCGCTTCCACTGTTTTCCCCTTTTATATGAATATTTGCTTTTCGTTGATGGGAAAACAAAACGAGATAACAATTAATACGCAAAATACACCATTGAATGATACAGGATACGAGATATTACGCCGAGCTTCAATATTCATGATCGATTTACTTCTATACATTTTTGTTTGGCCATGGCCTCGGGACTTCTTTCTCGGACGAACTATTGGTAATCCTGTATCATGGAGACTGGGGATAGGTTTCCGCGAGAGAGAGATTGTAGTCCGTCGAAGTAGGAAGTGGGATCGAACAATTGGTGATTTCTTAAAGGAAGATAACGAAGCTGGGAAAGAATTAATGTCATCGAATGTGAGAAGGGCCATTGAACCATTATGGTTATCACAAAAGACTGGATATTTGATGTTAAACAAAGAGTGGGATTTGGATTGGAAGGCTATGATACAAGCTACAAATCTGGTTGATAAGAAGACTATGGATCTTATAGATTTTAAGACGACCGTTTTTGCATGGCATGCTGCTTATGGATGGATGGTTCAAACTGAAGCTCCAATTGACCCAAATAGTAGGGAAGAGTTGGGAAGGAAGAAGATTACAGCTTTCAAGGACGAGTTAACATTGATGGGAAAAGAGAATCTTTTCTTCAAATGGATTGAATTGGTTCAATATGAGTCCTCTAAACCTGAGGGATTTGGTCCAGAACAACGAAAGGCCACAATGGAGAAGGCCAGAGAAATGTTTGAGGCACAGGGAGTCAATTTTGAAGCGTTTTGGGATAAGATTGGTGGGACTGACGGACTACCTGGGATGGATTAATCTAACAGAAAATTTTAATACCATATAGAATAAGTTATTCTTTCCCACCCGAGATTTTTAGTAACAATACCAAAAGTTGTTTAGTGATCTGAATTATACGGCCTGATTGGGATGGAAGTCCATGGTGATATAAATGTTTTACAGAAGTGGATAGGAGACCAACATAAACGTTGATTGTTTCCAAAATGATGCTCGCGAATGTTCGACAACTTTGAGATTCCTCAAAAACCTACAAGTGTAGATAGAACAAGTGACAATTGATACTTGAATCGTAGTTTGGATTCTGTTTCCGCCATCCCTTCAAACCCGTGATCCCTAGATTACGGTTCGACAAGTGGAACTACTCTAGTTGATTGCATGCTTGAATCACTTTAAGCTATTGATCATCGGAAGCATCAAACCATTTTCAAATACTGAGAGCGTTTCATCCCCGAAGCCTGTTGATCTAACCTCGCTAGAATGACGTCCCTTTCCCAAGCTTTCCGCTCTTGCCAGCTCGGAAAAGCTCTATGATTTCCAATTGGCTCAAATTCATCTCACAGTACATATGCTTTTCCTATGTTTCTACTACATCGGAAAATTAACAGAACAAATTTCTCAGTGGACATATCGTAATGTCATGGCAAACGAGTTTGACAGAACCACTTTTCATCACATTGTAAATATGAAGCTCCTACTACCCCTTTCAATGGATCCAGGTCTGGAAAGAGACTAGTCATACTGATGAAACCATTGGAAGAGAAGACATCCAAAGGTATTCTCGCGAATAGCTCAGTCTTGCCAGCTTTAATTGGTGGAACATGGTATTCTGAATTATCTCATGGTAGCCGAGCAAAAGATCGATGTTCTTCATCTTCATAGCGGATGAATGTGCATGCTGCTGAACTTCTTACTAAATACGTCGCTGAATATGCACTATTTGTCCAATACCATCTTGCTGGTGATCCCGCCCAACAGCTATCAAGGGATGCAGTTGCCGCATATCAGCATCTTCTTGGTCCCAGGGTTTCTCCATTAAATCATTATTTCGGGAGACTCTGCTGTTGGTAATATCGTGCTTGTCTTGTTGAGATTATCTCTAAACAGAAGCTAAAGGATGGAAATCAAGTGAATATCTTACCCAATCCTCCTTGTGTGCATTACCAAGTCCGTCTATAACCGACACGACTGTTCAATTTGTGTGGAAGATGAGGCATTTAAAGGGAGAAAAGGTGGGATTATACAAAATTGTAAATGTAGCGCATGATATTGTTGTGTGAGTAAGAGAATGGGAAAGAATAATCAAGCTGGAGAGGCAGCAAGGATTGCGGGCTGATTCTAGGCCGATATAATAGGAAATTAATTCACTTGTGTTGAAGTCAACCTTTATTTTCATGCTCATCTCTGCGTGTTAATTGGGCAATCACCGCAATAGTTCTAAAATTCTAGGCTGTTCTTCCCTGGCATTTAGGGGAGCTGGTTTTTCTTAGATTCCAGCTTCATTTTTGGAGACTTATTCGTGTTGTCATTGGCTATTACACTTTTCCACTTTCACCCATCTAGCTAGTACCAAACTAATGCACACTAATGCTCTAATCGTGTCCTTTAAATAGTCCGGACCCAATCATACCTCTTATAGCGTTAATGTTGCACATCTATGATTTATATTTGCAGGCCTCACCTTGACAAGCGTTTCAAAAATTCACGCCGTCGGTAATCTAGAAAGTACTTCGAAGCTTCAAGCTAGCAACTGAGTACTAGTACTTGACCACGCCATACCCATGCATAAATCAAGATTCTAAAGTAATTATGTTGCACATCTGAGGTTGACATTTAGAAGGTCCATCCCAACAAGCCTCCGATTACTGTACATAGCTTCTCTCTTCATTACCACACTAGACGAAATAGTATTTGAACGAGGAGTTTTTGTTCAAGTTTCGGTGTCCTTTAGTTTGCGCTATTTCCATTGGGCTTTTGCCATTTTAATAACCGTGAATAACCTGGATTGGCTTATATAATCAGGTATAGTAGCACGGGGAGGAGGAAATAGATCGCACAAAAAAATATACCTACCAGGAAGGTAATGATTATCATTTCCGCTCAAATTTCACATTTGAAGATCCAACAGTTCTTCGATCGATGTGCTTAGGATTTGGGAGGTGTATCTTCTGGGGTGCAGTATATTTCGTCCATCGCGTGAATGGCCTGGCTTGAAAGTTCTCCTAAAAATTGCCGAACGTCATGTGACTATCAATTTTCACATGAACCATTGCACAAGTAGCACAGCTAATTCATAGAATTATGAATATTGTAGAACTAGTCCTGGCCTTGATTACGAAGCTTTACCTGATTGAAAGATCTTTCGCTCAGAAACTCATCATTCAGTATTCAAACTTTTCCAATAGGCAATCAGTGCGCGGGAACTAGTCCTAGGGAGCTCAATAACTTACATCACTAAGGAAAAGAGATTATTCAAAAACTTGAACCGTTCCAGTTATTGAAACACTCCCATACTTTGAGTCCAGTAGCGGAGTCTGGATCTTCCTTATCTTCATAATTACCTAAAATTACGTGATTGAACACCTCAAATTGCCTCGGAACCAAATATCATAGTACTTTCACTCTACCTTACTCAATTCAGACCAATAAAATATCTGCAATTCCGTGGCAACAATTTGCCATGGTAAGTCATGATTTAAAGACTTGGCAAATACTCTTGTCGTGGAAATCGTTGAGACTAACAAAGTATATATGTATAGATGCAATAATTGGGTATGCAACGAACCATAAAAGGATTTTTGAGCTAAATCATGAGGTATAATGGATATATGCGATGCAATTGCGTAGTAATAGATACACAAGTAGTTGTATTGTAAAAGAGGGTGGTCGAGATATGTGCAGCCTGATAATACATTGTAAAGGGAAAAGGGAGAAGAAAACTGATTAGATTATATCATGATAAATCATTTATAAAGAAAATAGATTTTATAATAAATTTGGGATTGGAATGATATAGGTTTTGAAAATAGTATGTAAAGAATTGATTAATTATAAAAAAAAAGAAGAAGACTTTTTTTTCTTATATTTAATTATAAAAGGTTATATAATAATTGAGTTATTGAAAACCTTTATTTATATGACTTGCAATTCCAGCTCTCTTACAATGTTTAGTTCGCTATCGACTGGAATTTGATATATATCGGGTTTGAGTTGAGCATGCCCGAGCTTCGCGGGAAGAGACTTGTATTGGGCCATAACTCGGATAAATGGAATGATTTTGAATATTTTCATTGATGCCCATATAAATGCCAAACAACTATGCCATACCGTTTCGATCTTCTGGCTTACCTTTCCCCATCTTCCAAATGACAATACCAGACTACCTAAGCTCAAAGAATCATAAAGTCACTTTTCTCCATCTACTAGACTAGACTAGAAAATTTGAATCCATCACAAAAATATCAATCCAACAGTGCATCTACCATGAAGCGAGGTCGCTCCGTCATACCCCTCACGCACCAAACAAGATGGGAAAACCCCAACTCACTATTTCATTTTAGCGTTATCTAGCATCAAACACCGTCGCACTAAGCTCCAAAGTCATCTCTACTTTGTACAAAAGAGACTAAAAGGACTCAATTCATTAGCTTACTAAGAATAGAGTGTATACTATCTAACGCTAAAGCAGGTATCGAGGGTCATGCGCCCATGCCAAGCTAGTAAACTAGAAAATTTTTCTGTTAGATTCAACGGGTTCATCTTAAGCGAATGAACTCGACACATACTTCCACACAAAAATATAAATATCAATATCCATATATCTACAACAATACATATATTTATATTCCCACCATATATAAACACGCATATACACGAATAAAAGCAACCCAAGACAATCACCAAGTGCAAAATGGCCAACTACAAAGAAATCTCCGAAGCATGTTCACTGCTCCTATTCTTCTACGTCACAGTCAATCTAATCGGAGACGCAATTATAATTAGTTTGATAGCCTTGATAACCGGCAAATCACTATGGGAAGCTTCACAAATATATAAAGAGCGTTGTGAAGAGATTTATAAATGGCCTCCTTCATTCTTGAGGATTGAGGGTGAAGAGAAAGATCAGGATAAAGAGACTACCATAAATGCTGAAGATGCTCCTGAAGCTTTAGAAGCCGTGGAATCGCCCAACTACAGCCTTAACACAGTGGAAATCTTCCTCGGCGAGCTGGAGAAGCATGTCATGGAATTATTCAATGACTTTGACGAGATTATCTACCAAGCTGCTATGGTGAGGCGACAGCAACAAAGTGCCGAGGTAAAAGAAGCAAGAGAACCATTGAAAACTCCTGCAAGTAAATCTGCTCCACCAGTCGTCTCTTCTACAGTTTCCTCCCTTCTCTCTGCCATCACAGACGAAACCAATAATGTCTCAGGTGGCACGTGGAGACTCTTTTACTCGGATACAGTTTACAAAAGGGATAATTCTCTACGGTTAGAATGGAAGACTAAAGAGAAATATGAGGCGTGGTTGAGAAAAAATGGTTGGATTGCCATTACAGAGGAGGAGATAGAGACGTTGGAAAGGTGGAAGGGATGGGCTTTGGCGTTTCCTGAGAATGGGGAGGATAGTGATTGGGAGGATGAGGAGGAGGAGGAGTGGGTTCAAATTTGTGGAAGAAGGGAGGGGAGTAGGGGAGTTTGAAAAGCGAGGGTGGAGTTTGCGAATTTGGAACTTGGTAATTTGGGAACTGGAAATGGGAAATTGAAAATGGGAAATGGGAAATTGGAGACTGGAAATTGGAAATTCGGAAAAATGGGAATTTGGAAATCGAAAACTTAACTAGAAATAGAGTTCTAAGATCAAAATATAATTAGAACAAAAGTACAACAATCTTATCTCATATTATATAGATACTTTATACAATATTTCAGCTTTCTGTGCCCAGATTATATATACTTTTTGAAGATATTTTATTAATCAAATAAAGTGATATTTATTAGATTAGAAATATTTTTTGTTTGTTTAATTAGAAATCCTCTATCAATTCCTAAATATTCCAACTCTGTATAATTATACAAAACCAACTCCTTATATCCTGACAGTTTATATTCAAATCACTACAATAATCAAAACTAACCAAGGACTTCTACTATCATTATAATTCATTCAGTACATACATAGACACATAGTCCACTTTATATAAACCACATTCCATTTTCTAATTACCTCAAACACATATACACACACCCCTAGTCTCAAAATCTCCTCACCCTCCTTCCTCACTAGTGTTTCCCTTTCCCTTCCCCTTTCCCACAATAACCTCAACCTCCCTCATACATACATACATACATACATACATACGTACCTAGCTATCCTTACCTACCCAGCTATAATTGCTGCAGCTTCGAATCCAATTCCACTAATAAATGAGTCAAGCATGACGTTCATTAAACACAAAATTAATTACCGGTTAGTCAATAACCACATATCCACATATATAACCCAAACACCAAGCAAGCACGCTCTAAATATCCTGAATACATGAGTACCTAGATATTCATAATAGAGAGAGACTCTTCAGCTCTCAGCTCTCAATCTGTCATATCATGCCAAGCATGAGCGAGCAAGCTCTAATTATTCCGAAGCTGATGAGCTGGAGGATTGTAGGTTGGGTTAAGACTTAGGACTTAAGACTTATTAATTTTAATTTAGAGAAATCGAATTATTGTATCTAAAATTCAAAAGGTTAAGATTAAGATTAAGATTTATATCATTCTCATTCTAATAATTGAGATCTATTTTGCAAAAATGAAATTTATTCAAAAGATGATGAAAATTCAAGATAATTAATTAATTAATTTAATCTTTTTATTATTTCATAATTTAAAATCGATATTTTTTAAAAGAATAATTTAGTTTAATTATTAATTATTAAGTAGAGAATAGGGTTATTTATATAATAATTGTTCAAATGTAATTATAATTTTACAATTTTTTTTTTTTTCAATCTAGTTAGAATTATAGTAATGAGTTTGGAATTGTATATACATAGGATATATAGGTAGATGGATAGAATAAAATAATTTGTATATAAATCTAAGATTTATATTTATGAAGAGGAACTGTAATGACTTGTGACTATTTGAGTGATTTTCCTTGATATCACTGCATTAAGGTCAAGTGAGTTTATTTAAAGGTAGGATTCTGCGAATGTAAGGTACTGAATACCAGGTAACCTGATACAGGGAACTCACATTTAACTGTATAGGAAAACATTGAAGAGATCTTTCCCGCGAGGCGATTATCTAATCTCGACAGTTAAGCCTCTATCTAACCTCTACGAGTATATCATCAATCTACACCCCATTTCAACATCCATCTCATCTCAAGCCAATAATTCAACCCACAATATTCCCCTCAACCCCCTCACACCACACCCTAACATTCTCAGCCACCACCCTTGTCAATTTCTCCACACTACTCCTCCCATACCACGCTACATGCGGACTCAAAATCAATCTTCCACCATCTCTTAATTCACCCTCTCTAGCAGCTTTCACTAATGGATTACTTTCCCCAGCAGGTTCTACTACATAAACATCTGTTGCTGCTCCTGCTATTTTACCTTGTTTCAATGCATCTACTAAATCATCTTCGTTGACTATTCCTCCGCGAGCTATGTTGATTAGGAGGGCATCTGTTCTCATGGCGGATAATTCTGGTGAGGCGATGAGGTTTTGGGTGCTGGGTGTTAAAGGGAGACAGAGGAAGAGGACTGTGCTGGTTTGGAGAACTGTAGTGAAAGGAGTGTAGTTTGCACGGGTTTCGCTTTCGGGGATACCTTTTCTTTCGCAGAATTGGATGGTCATTCCGAGGGCTCGGCAGAGGTTTGATACTCGGTTTCCTGGTGATTTAATTAGCTGATTGAGGTTCTAGGATTCTGCGATGGATCTGGGGAGAGATTGAACTTCTCGAGTGACTGATCACATGATTTGTCAATTTCGATGGATTCCATATTTCGAAGTAATCAAGAACAACAGAAGCTAGGCGAACTACGCCGTCACTCTCCCATAATCACCTCTTAAACATATCCACCAGAAAAGAAAATCCCATCCTTACCTAACTCCCCACCCCCCACAATTCCAACCACCTCCCCCTTAAACCCGGCCATGAAACCTCCATAAAAATGCCCCGTCAAACTCCCCTTCTCCTTCCACTCCCTTCCCTCCCTAGTCCTCTCATGCAAACCCACCACATTCCTTCTCAGGGCCATATACAAAGTCAAACCATGTTCAGAAACAGCCTCAATATTCGCCGCCGGAACATTGGACACCGAAATCGCATTCTCTGCACAATAAGCCAGATCGACATGATCAGTTCCAATAGCTAGAACAGCTACATGTTTGAGATTGGGGAGTTGGGAGAGGAGAGATGAGGGGAGGAAAAAACGGGTGGTGATGAGGACGTGGGCGGTTTTTAGATAGGTCATTAGTTCTTCTCCGGAGGGGGGTGGGTTGGCTAGTTCGGTGTAGGTGTATGGGATGGGGAGTGAGGAGAAGTCTGGAGTAGGACAATGGATTGGATCGAGACGGAGGATGTTGAGGTTTTTTGGGAGATTTGGTCGGAGGGTTTGGGGTGTTTGGTTAGACATATTTGATGAGGTGGATGAAATTGAATGGGTGATGAAGATGAGTTATAATTGAGTTACGTTCTACAGGTAACGAATGATGAATCAAATTTTCTGATAAAAGAGAGAAAAGAGAGCCGTTGGTTACAATGTCGTCTATAAAAGGGCGTGGAAATAAGCTCAAGTGGTTGCTTACATTTTTATGGAACCTTTCCCACCTTTGCTTTCCCCACATTTGAAATGTGATTACTATACATATATATACGTATAATCTTGTGCAACAGAACAGATATAATGATTTGGAATTTAATTGTATGTCTGTACTCTTATCTGATGGAAACGGGGAATGACCAAGGGAATTGGTTCCACGGGGTTGTATGGGAATATCAAGATACATAGTACGTTCAACAGGATTGTATGGGAATATCAAGACACATAGGACGTTCATGAAGAATTGGGTTTGAGATTATAACGGAGAGTCAGAGACCAACTTCAATATCATTCATTCCTATTCATCCATTCAATAGTCGATAGTCGATAGCTTAAATGGTTTAAATAGCTTCAAAACAAAAGGCATCGAACAATCTAATCCAATAAACCATAACTAAACTCAATTACCCCATTGCTACAAGACAATCCATACATCGTATTTTCCCTTAATCCATATCATCCCCAATACCTCCCCGGATAAACTTTCTGTCAATTCTAAATCCCTTCTTTAAATAGAAGTTAAAGTGGCTAGATGTATCCATGTATCTGATTTACACGCCGGAGTTCTTAGCAGCTATATAATGCGATATTATCAGTATCACAGCGCAGTTGACGTAAAAAGACGGAAGGGGGATAGAAACGATGAAAGGAGAAGGCCAAAGAAAGGAGGAAAAAGGGCATGGAAAGTCTAAAAAAGGAGAAGTCAGAGCAAAGTAAGAGGAGGGCCAACAAACCTTGATTAACACCTTTAGAATCAAAACCAACAACATTTCCCTGCGCATCACTCATAGATGCAGTAGATGCATCGATTGCTGGTGATTGACGTGATTGAAGTTCTATTTATGGTTAGTGGATAGGAAGGAAGTTTATATAATTTCAATAAGAGTCAATATGGGATGATGATAATGAAAATGAAGCGAGTTTAGTATATAGGAAATGTCGAGAACATACGAGAAATAGGTGTAGCGATCGTGGCGGCGATGAGGGAAATAATGGTGATGAATGTGAATTGCATGATTGCGGTGTGGATATATTTATTTAGTAGTGAGTAGCAGAGGACAGATGCGAGTTCGTAATGAGGGTAATGATTTGAATGAAGTCGTCCGGCGGCAAGAGAATATATATTTTATATATGCAGGATTCTTTGGAGATGAAAGCTAAGCGGTAGATAGACAGTGGACAAGATGAACGATATCACAAAATGCATCTCCTCAACTAAGAGGTGGTCATCTTTATATATTATCTTTTCTCTCAATCAATCCATTCATCACATCTCATCACATCTCATCTCACCACTCAAGCCAAGGACCCAACCTCAAACCACGCCTCCCACATCCCAAACAGCATCATCATAAAATCCATCTGATATCCGGTAATCATTCAAGAAAGAACCAACCAACATAGCAATCAAATTCCTGGTCTACCACCAAGCTCCTACTAATTCGTGAATATCCACATGCAAAGAACCAGGGTTCACTACGCTACATTGCTCCGGATGATCAAATGATACTGATACATCGGAGGTATGAACAAGGCTTATATTGTGGAAAGTATTGCTAAGCTCGTAGATATTTTATAACTTTCTAAGAATCTGGAGGAAAAAGTAAGAAAATAGGAGGAATGTATTGTAGGGTCAAAAGAAAGAGGTTGCTGATATATCAGGGGTATGAAACGTGGATGAAGTGAAGCGAGAGATACAAAGTAAGCTGATATTCATCTCAAACATTACCCATGAAGTCCAACAGTCTCATCAAGATTAATTATCGCTTTTGATTGGCTGAACCTTTTTCATGGGTAAAAGGTGTCAGGGAGACGGAAAGTATGAGATCCGAACGGATGAACTTCTTGTTATGTTGGGATTGTGAAGCACCGGGGAGTGAGGTCTTGTCTGAGGTTGGGGTTTGGGAGATAAGGGAAGAAAAGGTTGACTTGAAAGACATGTGAATTATGATATATGATATAACATTAATATCCTTTGCAGGTGTCGGTTACTTGGTAATCAAAAAGGGATGTTGGATGAGAGAGTAACTAAGCAGAGAGTAAGTACCTAGGTAGGTAGGGAGGTAGGGAGGTAGGTAGGTAGGTAGATATGTAGGTAGGTAGATATGTATGTAGGTAGATATGTATGTAGGTAGATATGTAGGTAGATAGGTAGATATGTAGGTAGATAGGTAGATAGATAGGTAGAGATTGTCTTTGTACTTGAACGGATGACGACATACAAAACTTGGAGAGGTTAAATCTGTCGAGCTCTTGCAAGTGTACAGAGTAAAGAAAACGAGGCTCGAGGATATGTTGGCTGTACTTTTATATAAAGGAATGAGAGCGGATCTAGATCATTCTCTTAACTCCGAAATCCGAAATACACAATCCATGATGCACAATGCACACAATTCACAAGTGCACAATTACACAAATCATCCACAAAATTAAGGTTTTCGTTCATAAACAACATTTATGCAAGTTGTATCTCTCTTGTCCAGATCAATCAATCCAATCAATCAAATCAATCAATCAATCAATCAAATCATTACTCCGTTAACGTTATCGATAATACCCCGCCATGAAGTCCCACAATACTACCACAACTACTAATCATCATCTTCACTTCCAACAACATCAACATCAACATCAACATCAACATCAACATCAACATCAACATCAACCTCAACATCAACCTCCGCCACAATCTCCTCCTCCATCTACATCCTCACCTCGTCATAAAACCTTCATCTCAACAAACTCAATACATCAACTCTTTCTCATTACTAAATTCCTTAATTACGATAGAGTCGAATCTTTACATGAATACACACATAAATATTCATATAGATATTTATATCACTATTCATCACAATCACATCTGCATTCAAATCTAAATCCATCTACATCTACATCTCCACCCCCATCTCCCTCCTCATCTCCCTCCTCATCTCCCTCCTCATCTACCTCCTCACCAATACCAATAATCATGGCTACTCCAGACCATTGTCTCTATTGTTTCGAAGTTTTAACTGCTCATCTCGAAAAACGTCCATCGTTATCCTTGGAAAAAGTTCAAGAATTATGGACAATCTATCCTAAAGGTCTCGAATTAACCAGTTCAGAGGAAGAAGATGAAGAAGAAATGAATCCTCAAACTCTTGATTCAACTTCACAAATTCAATCAAGAAGAGATCCAAGACCAGATCCAAATGCAAATACAAATTTAGCTCGTCATCCTATACTTCAACGTATCACACGATCTACTTCAGGAACCAGTACTCCATCTTCTAGTTCCTCATCTGAACGAACTTCTACTTCAAATTCAACATCTGCCACTACTCCTTCTAGCTCAACTACATCTTTCACTCCTATCGGTATCGCCCCATCTCCCCGTCAAACAACACAACTTCCTTCTTCCTCTCCTCGCAATGTCCGGGATTGGTCATCCCCTCTCTTCGTAACCTGGAACACCCTATCTACATCCTCACACCCTCATCAAAACTCCCCCACCCTTCGTGGATGCATCGGAACCTTCTCCTCCGAACCTCTCGTCACCTCTCTCCCAGAATACGCCTTAACATCCGCATTACACGATACACGATTCTCCCCTATCTCCCGATCCGAGCTTCCCACGCTCGAAGTAGCAGTAACATTACTCACCGATTTCGAAACCTGTGCTCACCCACTCGATTGGGAGATTGGAGTTCACGGTATTCGTATCACATTTTATCATAAGAATAAACGATATGGAGCATGTTATTTACCAGATGTAGCTGTAGAGCAAGAATGGGGTAAGGAAGAAACGGTTGTGAGTGCGATGAGGAAGGCAGGGTGGGGAGGTAGAAGGGAGAAATGGAGAGAGGTGGGTCAGTTAACTGTGGTTAGGTATCAAGGGAGAAAGGAAAGTGTTAGTTGGAAGGAATATAATGAGTGGAGGAATTGGGTGAAGATGTTGGATGAGAAGAAGGGTGATAATTAGGTATTTTTAGTGGTTCTGTGATGATGCTGGAGATGATGGTATATGAAGCATATGATGTTGTCATGAACAATAATACAGTACAGTACAGAATACAGAAGTACAGGAAGGAAAGAAAGGAATATCATATCATACCATCTCCTCACAACCTCACAAACCAAAGGAAATAAATATAGCAGTAACAGCCAAGTCAAGCACAGTATGAAGAAGACCAGCAGGGCAGGGACATACGGTATCTTATAATATCTTACAATATAATATGAATGGATGAAATAATCCATACCTACCTACCAGAACATGAAGACTAAACAAACAAACAAACAAATACTTGGAGATTTAATATTATCTAATCTAATCTATTCATTCTATCTATCTCCTCCTCTTCCTCTTCCTCTTCCTCTTCCTCTTCCTTCATCCAACATCTTTCTATATATATAAATAATAACTAACACCTATTATAAATAAAGCTTATTAACTTAACTTAACCTAACTTATTAACTAACTAGATAAATAAATGAATGAATAAGTGAATAAAAGAAAAAGAGAATAATGCTATACTCTACTCTACTCTACTCTACTCTACTCTACTTAGGTAGGTAGGTAGGTAGGTAGGTAGTTAGGTATACGAGTATATTTTTGAATGAGACGTAGTTGGTCAGTCAACCAACCGGCCGACAGACTGACAGACCAACCCAGTAAACTCCTCTCTCTGTATACATAGGTAGTATGAAATATGAATATGAAATTGACCTTCACCACTCCTTCCTCTTTGTCACCAATCAATAGATACCATATACTATATTACTATTCCTATACATCTGTTGATCCATTCAAATACTTCTTTTGCCCAAATTGACAACCTTATCAAACCCAATCCATAACCATTTCAATTCCAATCAAATCCATTCCAATCCGTTCCAATCCATTGCCTCCATCCATCCATCGAGCCAACCATCCCATTCCCTTTCTCCCTCCCTTCCTTCCTTCCCAAATATAAATACAAATGGATATCCAGTACGCAAGCAAGCAAGCGAGCAAGCAAAAAAGCAAGCAAGCAAAAATCACTACCCTTAGGTTATGAAAGTCATTAAAAATATGTCGTAAGTTCTCATCTTCCGTCGTCTCATCTCATTCCTTCTTTTTTGACCACCCTCCTCTTATGCAATCTCATCTTATGCAATCCCCTTTTATGCAATCCGCTCTTGTACAATCCCCTCTTATGCAATCTCATCTCCCACTCATCCATTCCAATGAGTACTACATCAAGTTATTTCCAACAAGATAACCTCCGTCCAATAGCCCCCCATTTCCCCTTCTTCATAAATCTCCATTTTTTATCCCTCCTCTTTTCATTCTCCCCATCAAGACTCCCCGGTGGCAATGGTGTTAATGGTTTTGTCATCGCTCTCCTCGTTCCCAACTCCTTCCTCTGTCTATCCAATTCATCCCCTTCTTCCCCATCCACACTAATCCCATATGTTGTATCATCCCCAAACTCCCTCCTATCCATAAACTCTCTATCCATTTCAGCTCTTCTCCTCCCTTCCACAACCCGTCTAACAATCAATGCGAAAGTCTCTTCAATGTTAACAATACTCCTAGCACTCGTCTCCATAAACCCACAATTTCTCGCCCTAGCCCATTCTAAACCTTGTGATGCCGTCACTTCTCGCGATTGTTGTAAATCACATTTATTTCCCGCCACGATTTTTATCGGAGGTATATATCCATATCCATATCCCGACATTGGATTTACGTTGGAATTCTGAAACTTTTTCGATTTCGAACGAGACCTTGAGTGTGATGATTCAACCTGCGCTCTTCTCCATTCCTCTCCCCTAACTTCCCCTTCCATGCTAATTAATTCATCAAACCACTCCAGCGCATCCAAACTTTCTCTTCGTGTAATATCATATACCAACAAGAAAGCATCACTTCTCATACTTCCATTGGCACTCTGCCACATCCCACGATATTCTTCTTGGCCGGCGGTATCTGTTATCGAGAGATGATACGTTTGACCATCGATGCGTCGAGTAAGAGTATAGGAATCTTCGATTGTAGGGTCGTAATCGGATGTCCATTGAGACTTTACTAGACGTAGTGTTAGGGCGGATTTACCGACGCCACCATCACCAAGGATAGTTATGGTTATGCGATTGGAGTCGTATGAATTCGATGACATTTTGGATGATGCAGTATTGTTTTCGCAGAGACAAGAGAGAGGGATCTGGTTGGAGATTAGAAGGATGGGAAGTTGACGGGTTTTTGAAGGGCGAATTGAGTTGTTTGAGATTGTGTTTGAGGTATGGTATAAGTGAAATTGAAACTTGCGCTCGAAAGCAAAATCGATTGTCGCAAAGAGATGGATCTGCTATTCGTTCAATGTTCAATGTCCACCCGCTCGTTCTTCCGTTTGTCTGTGTGTATATCCGTCCAACCCTCCTGCCTTTTTTCCACATTCACTCAAGATTCTCACTATCTCTCCTCCTCTCTTTCCTTTTTCTCACTTGCGCAAAAGGCTCAAGCCAATTGATTCAAAACAATTGACACCAAATTGGTGTAACCTTTCTCTAAAATAACTTCCGAGAAGCCAATTTATCCTCCGGTCGAAAGAAGAAATCCCGCACAGACGGTAATATATTAATAAATATAATACAATAGATCCTGCGTATTTTGCGACTCCAATTCTATCGTTTATCTCGTGGGATGTTTGTGAGTGTTTCCTTTATGGGCATCGCCTGTGTCTGTGATTCGAATTCGGATATGTATTCCTCCTCTTCTCACAATAAACAACGTCGTCGATCCATCTGTAAATGACGAGGACCTATACGTAAGATCGTACCTAGGGAGCGAAGGTCAAAAAGGGTGGCACAACTCAACAATCCCCAGGTCCGTAATCTTACAGCCAACCCCTCCTCGACCAAAGCAGATAGCCAAGACCGGTTTTGTTCTGTTGTGCGATATGTTGAGCCAACTCATGAACTCACGCCATCTCCATACGGCTATGATATAATTAAAACAGACGGGTACACGGGTACACGGGCACTCTTCCTGTTGTGCAAGGCGAGTTCGGTTCCTAGTAAATGAATGAAGCTAGGTAGTTATTGAAGTTATCGTATCCTGATGTGGTCGGAGCTGATCCGTTTTGACCTGAATATGAATCTGAATATGGGGATTGGGTGTCTGTTCCCGAGTCAAGGAGACCTGAAAATCAAAATAAAGGTTAATCTGAATCAGAGTTGAGTGGGAATAGGTACTAACTAGCCTACGAGGTAACCTAGTTCTCCGGGGAAGATAAAAAAAGATTGACTTGATGAAAATCATATCCTAGAGACATTGAACCAATGAATGATGAGCATGGAAAATGTCAAGTCCAGGATCAAGTAAATGATGTGCGGATAATAAAATGGTCTGTGAGATGGAGTGGTGAAGGTTTGGCTAGATCTTTTTCTTTTTCCATTTCTTTTACTTTTTCTTTTTCTTTTCTTTTTCTTTTCTTTTTCTCTCTCTGTCTCTCTTCTCATTCTCTTCTCTTGGCTGGCTCTGCGACTAGTTAGACATGTCAGGTCTCGGATATCAGCGACGTTATTCTTGATTTCATCATTCTCATCATTTTCCCCATTCTCATCATTCTCCCCCTTCTCCCCATTCTCCCCCTTCTCATTCGATGGATGCAGATGCAGAACACCACCAGGATAAAAACGTCTGCAAGAATCAATAATCATCAATCAATAAATCAATTAACCCTATGCAATCAAGACAGCCACATCTGATATATTATGTAAAGAATCAATCGGTAGATAGGTAGGTAGATACTGCATACAAATCAAACGATACCTACTAGATGGTAAGTAGTAATTACACAACCCGGATTCATTGCATGTTGAATGTTTTCCTGATGTGATACAATCTTCCTTCATTCATGGATGATAAATGAATGACACAGTTTCATGGGGCTGGGCGGGATGGGCTGGTTAAGGTTTACATTTGGAAATGGACATGGAAATGAAGAGGGAAAATCAGTATTTTGTAATGGATGTTGAAGTCAAGGTTGAGATCGAATGTGAGGTCGAGGCCATTCTTTCAATCTTTTTCCTTTAGTCTTACGAAATATTTATTGGTAATTTAATCATTTGGTCCTTCGGAGCTAGGTATAACTTATCAGGAGAAAGGTTCATCCGTTTCCTTGCGAATATTCACCATCGAGCAACAAACCGGATTTACTATTCATTCTATTCATTCTATTCATTCAATTATTTGAAGCCTTTTCAGCTAATCTAGTCAATTCTCACCCCTACTTCCTTTCACCACCTGCTTTCTGGGTGCACATATCTCGACCTACTTATTTCACACTATTTCTTATGGATGAAGGGAATAAGGAGAGTGGTTATCATACCTCCAAAGTGTACATATTAGAAATCCTCATTCACATATCACAACCAAAAACCAAAATTAAATTCAATCGCAGTTTCATTTCCTCAAAGTCAGCTAAGTACCACCTCAAGATCATCAAATTCCATTCATATCTTCTCAATTGAGGACATCGACCACAAGCCACACTAAAATGAAAAGAGGAAGAAACCCATCCTGCAACTATCCCATCGCTAAAACCTTTCGTTAATCGTTAATACCATCTCCATCATCAAGCCCATAATGACTTCACGTATCCATATGCACAAATAAAAGGAGGAAACTTGAAACCTTAGTCCCTGAAAAAAAAATCCGAGATGATTTCAAAGCCCGAAGTGAAGTTACAAGTCCTATTCTCAAATCCCTCATACACCAGTTGCGATAGCCACTAGTAAGCAGAGAAATATTGAGAAATCGTAAGATTAGGGGTCCGAGGATCAAAATATTGTAATAAAACAAAATAAAGAAGTAAAAAGTGGTCAAGGTCAAGGACAAGGTCAAAGATCATGGTGACGATGAGGAGTCGAAGGCACTTAAATGTACCACATACCGGTGCGAATTTTCACGAGGTCCTCGTTGTTAACCTTGTCTTGATCATTCAAAGTTCCCAAAGGAAGCAGTGGAACGTTTTCAACCAAGTTACTTGAACCTGTTTGACTGGATTCTGGTGGTGCGCGACCGGCCACTCTGTCAGCGGCTGCAGCAGCTTGTTTCTCCAGAAATTTCTCCCCACCACGAGGTCCTGCACTATAACCTTGAGCCTCATGTGCACGAGCACGGTTAGAAGCCAAGTGTGCATAGTAGACAGCAGGATCTAAAAGTAAGTTAGCATGAAGAAAAATGGTTAAGTATTGAGAAACTTACATAGGGAGACCGGGGTGGTAGAGCGCATGTACTGATAGCAATGCTGGTATACCATTCTTTGAAAGTCATTCACAGGAACCTTGGCTTCATCCATAATGACTTGATAGTGAACAGGACGAGCAGTACCCTGAATAGCCGAGTGTGAGCACAAGTAAAAGTCGTACTCAAATGGATGAGTAATATCACGCTCAACTAAAGTACCCGGAAGTGCGTTTCCATTCTTATCACTAGCTGCCATATCATTATCCTTGGGGAAGAATCTCAAATGGTGGCGCTTAGTGCACACAGTAACGGTCCAACGAATCTGAGAGTAATTAGTTAAAATAACATGGAGTGTTGAAAGACGGAATCACTTACAGTTGTAGCAAGCTGACCAAATGCGTTCTCCAGAGCAGCCTTCATGTCTTTGATTTCTTGGTTGATCACATGTTCAAATTGACCTTCAGAAACCCCGTCTCTAAAGTAATAAATATGTTGAGGTCCCGATCCTTTGCCGACCTTGGCGACCCATTGTTTAAACAAAGGAATAAACATGGAGTTGATGTTGTCCTTGGAAATCATCTCAACACGGTTACCATTTGTCTGAACCGTAGCAGCATATCTACAAGCCGTTGAATCCATTGACATTGTCAAGCAAGCCATAGATGATTGAGGTGAACCTGGTGAGGCGTGAGAGACATCTGCACCAATAATCATGGTTGGTCGTGAAAAAAATGGCTTCGGTGGCTTCGAATCAGCAACTTTGCAAGTTGTTCCACCCAACTTGGCATTGACTTTCATACAAACGTTTGAACAGTACTGAGGTTGTGCCTTTAGGACATGAGCAACATTCATCACTATAGTAATTAGTTACGCTTCTGAAATAAGATTGTCACCACTTACTTTGCGACATCATACCGAAACGACATTCGCTATTCTTCTTCAAACGTTCGTACAGGAACGAATTTCGATCGGGCATGATGAAGAAAAGAATTTGAGGCGTTTGTTTGCTTTGTTGACCAGCGGCCCTACGAGCTTCTTGAACGCCCACAGCGACTCTATCGACTTCAGGTGCGCACTGAAGAATGGGAGGGGTCTTGTTGGTAACTTTACCACCATGACCAATGTAGGTCTGAATAAAAACCTGTAGGAAGTTCTTCACAGCAGGTAATTGGATGCAACCACCGACAATGACAACAGCCCAGGAATTCAGTGGTTCTGGATTGGCGTAAAGGAACCTCTTGCCACGTAGATCCCAGCGACCAAAGGTCTTGGGATCAATGGTGGCCTTATCGAATTGGACAACGGGATTCTGGAGAAGTCGGGCTTGAGTCTAGAAAGTTGTAAGTGACCATATATCAAGGGAAAACATGTGGAAGGGCAACTTACCATAGTCATATTTTGATCGATTTTGCAACCATAATGAGCAAGGTAAGGGTCTTCTTGCCATTTCAACATATTGAGGCCGTGCTCAATTGATTGTATACGGACTTTGGGCCTGGTAACAGCAAACTTGATCATCGATGACGTCTGGTTGGGATCAAGCTTGTACTGATATTTCTGATTGGGAATCAAAGTACAAACTTCCATCGGGAAGAAGCCAGCTCTCTCTGTTTCGATCAAGGGAGCCCACCAAAACTTCAGAAGGATGTTATACTTGGTCCTAAAGTAGTCATACACAGACATCTCCTTGCCAGTGTCCTTTTGGGTAAAATAGTAGTTCTTGGCATTGACACCGGTGTTGGCATACTTAGGGTCGTGAGAGAAAGTAAACTTCTTGATGGTATAGACCTTCGTATCTGAATCAAATGTTAGTAAAAAAATATACCATTGAGGAGAAAATACATGCCTTGTTCCTTGCCATGATGCTTGAGATGAAACTTCAATTTCTTCATCTTTTCAAGAGTCAAAAATTCTGCAGACTTCTCAAGTCTACCACCCTCCTTGTTGGACTGACGTGGCATGAGGTCCTTGCGGAAGACATCATAGCTCAGAGCTCTATTTTTAGCACTGCACAAGTTGCGAGCAGCCTGCATCACATCTTGTGAAGTCCAGAATGTGCCATTTGCAACATCAACGTTGACTGCAAGACCACGAATAGCACTACCTTCAGCGATATGGTTGCAAAGACGGATTGATTGGTAAACACCCTTCATGGCCTCAATAGTGTTATCCAAAGGAGAACGATTGAGCCCACGAGCAAAAAAGCTGCGCTTTTGCACAGTGTATCTCTCACTGGGCCATTGACGAAGCATGTGGTCAAGGAAGTCTCCAATATGAGTTAGTTAATTCATCATAAGTTGCAACAAATAGACTTACTGATGGCGCAAAGAACAGTGTTATCGAAATCACATTGCTTATTGAGATAGGCGTGCAATGAAGCCATTCTAATGATGGTTGTCTGCTTGATATGGCAGTAAATCATTCTCTCGGGATCTCCACCTGGTTTACCATTCTCAACATCGAGATCAACGGCAATGCGAACTTCACCACGAGCCAGTGGTCTCGAGCACCTAAAATATGTAAGTAAATTGGAAAATATGAGATCGTATTTGAACAAAAAACCACTCACCAAGCAATCTTGTTGCCATCCCAAAGCCACATTGTGCCATGCTTTGCCAATTCATTTTGAACAGCTTTGGATTGCCAGACTTTCTTGACGAGTCCGGGCTTTGCATCGCCCTTACCAATCAAGATCTGCATTGTTCATTAGTTTCTAAGGTGAGTCACGAGGAAGTTTTAGTGCTTACATCGTACTGGTAGACATCTGTTCTTGGAGCATCGAGGACTTTGAACTGATTTACCCGAACACTAATAGCCTTGCCCTGGGTGTTGTAACCTGGACGATCAGGAAGAATGCTGGAGGCGGGAGCATTATACTGCGAGCCATTAGCTTGGAGATTCGAAAAATAGATGTTTTCCATTTTTACGGTCGATTGAGGTCAAGAAAAAGGTGAAGAGAATAGAGGATGAAGGTGACGATGTTTGAAGAACACTGCTGTGAAAATCAACCAGCAATAAAGACTTGGAAAAGTGGTGAATTTGATTGTAATTGTTGTATTATGATGGATAATGATTTGTGGGAGTATGTGTGAGTGTTAAAGATAGAGTTGTGGTAGGTAGGGGAGTTGTCGAGTGTTTTTGTTGTAAGATGGAGGTTGAAGGGAGAGGGAGGCCTCTTTTGTAGACAATGCCCCGAAGCTAGTTGAGAGGAGAAGGGGAGGAAAAGCACGCTAATGCCTTGGATAAGTGAATTAAGCACTCCTCAACTGGAAAAGTCGCCCCTAAAGCGGGGTATGATTCTGAAGTAGGTAGGTCCGTTCCGTTTTGATTCCCCTCACTTCTTCCGGGAAGAGTAGAATTCAATCAAGCAACTAGCTTGATGTGATTGAGAGGGGAGGGGATGGTCCCGCCAGGCAGAACAACCTTGCTGATCATAGATCTTGAGGGACAGTGAGGTTATGGGAATTGAGGCAAAAAGTTAAAGTGGTACGGTTAATCATCACCAATAGTGAGGTATATTCCCATCATGCAATGTGCCACACTTCCTTGAAGCCAACTGCGCCCACACAGATTGTGAAACCACCATGGTCAAACACCACACATATCAACAAATAAGAGCATTACTCACGCTATCACGATAAAGTGGAAGCTCAACACGAGTATTAAACTTTCTGGGCTCCTCCTTCTTCTGATCTCTAGCGGGATCAAAACCAAGGCCTGGGCCAAAGGAGTGTTTGCGTGTTTCACCTGGTCCGTCCATGTTGGCGGAAACTGGGCGACCTGATGATGATGCTGGTGGTCCACCGGCAACTGATGGTGGCGCCAAAGGACGCTGTTGCTGTTGACCAGAGTTACCAGCCGATGAAGGCGGGCCCTGATTGGCGCGACGTTGTTGGCCCACACCCATGATGTCGGCTTTGGCGGTGTCTGCAGTTTGGAAGCATTATATTAGCATTATTCATGCCAGAAGAATCTTGAGCCATGGATTTTTGATGATCTCGAGAGAGATGACAGTGAAGAACTTAGATCGTGAAGGAAACATGATGATAATAGATGGCGGCGATGAGACCGGTGTGAAAAGAATGATAGATCATAATCACAGCAACAATGAGGAAAAGATGCGAAGCAAATGATAGCGATGATGGTGAGAAAGAGTTGTGTTTGTTTGACTTACCAAGAGTTGATCACCGCTAAAGAGCTGTCGTTGTTATTCGTCTGCGAGTGTCTGCAGAAAACAAACAGAGATCACGGCAGTAAAGCTGTAAGAAGACAATTGAATTAGCAAGGAATTGATAGTTTAGATCAACAACAATATGAGATAAGAAGTAAATATTGTTGTGATGGAAGAATCGGCTTGTGTTTGAAGTTGAGGTTTGAAGGTTGAAGTTTGAAGAAACTGGGTGGCTAAGCAAGCAACAAGGAGAGAAAACAAACGCGACTTCAGCTAAAAGCCAATAGGAAAATTGATCAATTATATTCTGCATAGAGAAGAGTTACTCACTTGTACTTCGCTATTAAGGCCAATATGAATTATGATTGAAAAGAAGAAATGGATATTGTAAATACGAAAGGTTGTAGGAAGAAAAGTGGAAGAAGGTCGAGAGGAAGAGACGAAGAGAAGAGGTAGAGACAGCACGAAAGGGTTTGACGCTAGTGTTCAAATCAACGAATAGGCGTGACTTCCTTCCTTTTCTGTTATTGGAGGAAGGAGCTTTTTGAGATGAATTCGGTTCTATAGACCGAGGTAGGCAATATGAGATGGAAAGGTTCTTTCTTTCGGTAGGTACTGAACTAACTGTAAAGTGAGAAGAAACCAAGATCCTCAACTTTTCTATCTAATTCATTTGGTGAATTCAATGTACAGTGAATTACTGTAGCCCTCTAAGCCAACCATAAGCGCCGTCTCTATGATACAAATAGAAACTTCACGTCACTTACAAATTACGTATATGAAAATCGATGGCGTCAATCAGTAGTCCTTTTCGTCAAATATGCGTTTGAGTTTGCACCGGCGCATGCAACTACCCGTGACACCGATTCAAGATAGCAACTATATCTTCATGCATGCATGGAGTGTGTAACCGTCAATCCACACCTACGGTAGCGTTGTGGCTCATCAATGTATCGATGAGATCATAACAGTGGGAGAAAAGATCGAACATGAATATCCATACTCTTCAGACTTGAACAGGGCATGCAAAAGGAGAACTTGGATGTTGTACCGGGAACCGGAACAAGGAAGAGAGGTTACGGTGAGAGGAAAACGAAATTATCGCTATAAATTCTCCGTCTGGCCTCTATCCCAGGCTCAAATGGAAGAAGGGAGAAGATGATCTACCCCAAGTCAAACACGTGAATCAAACTTGAGATCCCTTATTGCAAGTCAGCCTTCTTTCAAAGGTCCTCCATAGTATGCACGTGCATGCAGTGTAACCTCATTCATCAATTACCCCTCAATCAAGCCCAACAAATCAAACAAGCGGAAATGCACAGGAAAAACAATCTAGGTATGATAAGTCATCACTATTTGCATTCATTAATTATTGCCTTATACTTCTTTAATATACATTCAGAGCCGACTGGCTGGCATCATGTATCAGAGCTTGCAGTTGTCCTCCCAAACGCCATTTTTGGAAGAAAGAAACCTGCATATCCTTATGCATAGTGTGAAACTTCCTTATGAGCACCCCCTCCACCCAACGAATAGCAACGCGTGCGGCCTAGAATCTCTTAACGGAAGAGGATATGCAGAACCAGAAATATCCCGCCGCCTCCGATGGTTCAACAACAAGTAACGTCAGTCTGAAGAAACTCAAAGATACGTAGAGCAGGCTGAAGAAGTGAAAAAGTTTGTTCAAATGTACATCATGAGCCTTAATTCGGTATTTTTTGATAAAGAAAGGGTCATGTTTGCGAAATGGCATCATGGTCGCTGGGAAGGAAATATCATCAGCGATAGGAATATCCTGTAAAAGATGCAAAAGTTAGCTTCAATGATAATATCCACCATTGGCATTTCCATTCCCATGATATGGAGTTTGCGTATATGGTCCGGGCTGTTGTTGCTGCCCTTGCCATCCTCTACTCTCGAAACTCGCATTGCGGGAATGAGAAGGCGCCTGACTGTATCCGCCTCCCCATTGGTTATCCTGGGATGTGACAGGAGATCTGGTGTAATCATGACCCTGAATTACGCTTGAAACTCGATCATCAACAGGAAGATAACCAGATTGCGACAGGTGACGCTGCTCTCCAGAATATCCACTATTTACAGTAGTTTGCCCACCGTAACCATAAGATTCACGAGTATTAGGAGCTTGATAACTGGGTTTCATACCGTCATAGCGTTGTTGAGGTTGTTGAAGTTGTTCCTTTGCACTTTTCCATTGCACGTAATCCGGGACCTCGGTTCTGGCAAGGAGTCGCACCAGATCATTTGGAATGAACTTTATGTCTTTCATTTGTGGGTCGCGAAGATAGATATCAGAACGAGGGATAATGCTGAGTAGGAATGTAATGTCCCGCGGGATTACGTATGGTGCCGTGTTTGATTGCCATGCAGGCGTGCCTTGCGTTTGCTGAATTCCCTTTTGTTGAGCCAATCTGCGTCCTGCAGCTCCCTTTAGTGGAGACTGACCACGAGCTAGTTTTCGTGGAGGGTTGAGCTCGCTCTCAAAGTCCTCGGTTGGGTAAGGTCGCTTTGGTGAGTTCGTGTTTTGGTTCTGCACAAACTGTGGTGGTACCTGTGGCCGCGGGCTTTGCTCTTGTACATATTGAGGTCGCGGGCTGTCTGGAATGGAGGGAGCTTGTTCAATGGATTGCATAACCAATTTTGGTCTCATCTGTGAAGTGGGCGAAATGATGGGCCGTACAGCAGTAGGGTCGAATCCATCCACACTGTAGCGCGAAGAAAATCTGAGAAGCTTCGGATCATCTGGGAAGAGTTCTGCCATTCGCTTTTCTAGCTTCTTGATTTGATCCAAAGTACCAAACTGGGATTCGTAACTATGAAAGTAAACGTAGAGTGGCTTTGTCTTGTAAACAGTATCGGGTTTCTGTGCTAGACGACTGACTGCTGTTTCAAAAGCAACCCGGGCATCTATCTCAAAGTTAGAATCATATATGTTGTAAAATAAGAGAAGAAAACTCACTGGTGATGTCTGAGATGGAAATTAAATGCTTCAGGTACTCTAGAAGATAGGCTTCATCATTTGGGAAAAGTTTGGCGCCCCTTTCAAAGATCTTTGTACCAGATTTGTCCTTGTACACCATGTGTTCAATTAGGGCGCTGGCAACATAAACTTCACTTGTGATCATACCGCGTTGACGAGCCTCTGCGAAAATGAATCTTGATCCCGTCTTTGCTTCAATTGAACCATTTCCTTGAATGCGCCGCATGGCCCTCATTAGTGCGATCCAGGAGAAAGACACAGTACGCTGCAAAAGTTTTCTCTGCATTTCATATCCTTGTGTGATAGCATTTAACTGGATAGCTTTAGCACTTTCTCGAGCATCTTTTTCGGGGTCACTATCATCATCATCATCCTCTGCCTTTCTCACAATTGCACTGATGGATGCATCAATTGCGGAGTTCTCCTCAAGTTTAGCTTTTTCTTTTGTCTCTCTGACTTTCAAATCCGCGATAAGTTCATACAGAGAGTCCAGAAGCTTAGTGTAAGGGACCCGAACAATTGCCCCTTTCTCCATGTCGCTCTTCCCGGCTTCTTCGGTGGCGAGAGTAGATTCAAGTCGATCGGCCTTTTTGAACGCCAATAGACAGCTCTCGGGGTTTGCGACAATTCCATCAGCAAGGAAGCTATCCCCTTCCTTATCTAAGTTGTTGTTGAAGCACCACTCAGCAGCATCTACCCAAATCTCAGGCCAGAAACGCAATGCCATGATAGCTTGTTTGTACACGTATACGATTCGCTGTTTGTAAGCTTCTGGTTCATCCGCCTGCAGAACCAAAGGGTCCTCTTGTTCCCAGAAAATCCACTTCTTCCATAGCTCTAGTTGATGTAAGTATTCTTGGTCACCTTCAAACCCAAAAGCAGGCGGAAGTCGAGGTAAAGTTGTGCGCAGAAGACCACGTGTAATATTCTCTAGCGCAGTGTTGGCACTTCTTGCAGTCATGTAATTTGGAGATCTTTCTTGGAGAAATTTCCGGCCCTAATAGGACCTGTTAGCCTTGAATTGCAAAATTTGGAAATCAAACTCACCGTCATCTTATTCAAGCCCATCTCAAATTGGTCATACTGTTTCCACAATTCATTCACGTTTGACATAGGCACACAGATGGCACGTTGATAGACTTTTCGCAATTGATCCATCTTTTGTTGATCTTGCCAACTACTGCCACCAATTGAACCAGGTGCACTACGAATGAACTGAATATAATCTTGCCAAATTTTTCCAGAGTCCCTATCAATGCCAATGTTTGCCAACACAAAATCGTATGCTTGGGACACGGTTGCACGAGCAGAACCACTAGGATCGACATTAAGGTCGTTCATACGGCGTATATAGTTCAAATAGACCGACCACAATTGAATGTTCGGGACAGTCAGCAATGATTTGCCAAAGATTTGCTCTGCTGCACTAAAGTTTTCGTATTCGAGTTCCATCTCAGTGTAGGCAACCCAAATCTCTGCCTGATTCATTATTAATAAGTGCGGAACGGGTAGAAGATTTTGTATGACCTACAGCATGGGGAAAGACCTTCAAAAATCTTTCATAAGCTGCTCTCGCATCATCCAACTTGTTGCGCTTCCGATGTTCACCAATTAAAGAGAGCCAAGCTTCCATATCACCTCGCGGATCCTCCTTGACACGATCTTCAAGCATACCTATCTTATCATGAGGAAGACGAGCTCTGGGAATAGATGTATTTTGCGATGTACCAACAAGGACGGGCACTTGCACCGAAGTTTGTTCTATGGGTGTTCCCATGCTACTCGGGTTCACAGAAGCAGGAATAGATGAAAGCGCTTCCGTCTTGGAATCAACTTGATTCTCCATCTTGATGGATACTTCCTGTTGAGTAATAGAGTTTTGCAATGGGGAAGGAGATCGTTTGGGGTTATCAGAAGCAGGGAGTTGCAAATGACCAGTGGTAATTGTTGGGGATTCGTTATTTTCCTCATCAGAATCATCTGCAATAAATCCTCCAACAATTTTTGGCTTGCGCACAGAAGTTTGAGAGCTGGGTCTTGAGCGGTCTTGTTCAGTTACCATTGCTGGAAGGGATGTAACGGAGGAAGGATCATAATCGTCGCCAGCGGCTAACGCGGCTGCGCTTGAAGGAGACAAAGCACGAGAAACTTGAGCATCTGTAACGGTATCTTGCTTGACATGTTCGTTGTTATCTTCTGTATTGGAAGGTAGGTCGCCCTCTGCGATTCCATTATCTCCATCTTCCCAAGCCGTAGCCTCTTGACCCGCCTGTAACTGATGTAAAAGAGCTATATCTGCATCTTCCTCCGCCATTTTGAAGACCGTTCTGATTATTTAAGTAGATGCGCGAGCGAAGGGGATGAAGAGATGATGGAAATAAACGGTGGAAATGGCTAGAGTTTGTTTGAAGATTGTTAGCAGAGGCGATTATGATGCATTGGAAAGGTTGTCATCGGCAAAAGGTAGGGAAAGGTAAGGCTAACCTGTATGGAAAGCTAAATAAACTTGCGCAAAATCAAAGGATCGTTGCGCAACAAAGAAAGTAGATTATCTCAATCAATTAACTATCGCGGGTTCTTTTGATTGTTATTGTTGGAGTCGAATCATGAAGGGAACAACAGGATTTCGTTCCTTGTAGAGTTTAACAACCTTTAGTCCAAGGTCAGTAAAAGTTGATGTGATGGAGCTCTGACAAGGCAGAGAAAATGGACATGATGAGCTAACACTAATCTGGTTAGTGGATATCCTCTTAAGTGGAAATCGCGGTTTCTACGCGATTTTGATTTTCCCTACGCGTCTTGATACTGTATGGGGGAGTAGCCTTATTCGTTATTACTTGGTAGGTTTATTGAATAATTGATACTGCCCCTTCTCACCGTCTTGAAGTAGATGTATGCAGGCTACCCCATCAACCAATTTATCAACTTTACTTTATTCACCCCTCGATTCCTACACTCTGTTTTCTTCACTTCCTCAATCAAACACCACTCCCGCTTGTTACAATTTCAATACAACTTCACTAACTTTGTAAGATTGCATCTTTTGGTTAGGGAGACTGCATGTTTTGAATCAGAATTTGGACATCCTTTAATCCTTTATCGAAACTACGCAACCCACGCAATCAACCTCTTTCAAGATGTCTGTTGTCTCACTCCTCGGTGTTACTGTTCGCAACAATCCAGCTAAATTTGGAGATCCTTATGAATTTGAGATCACCTTCGAGTGTCTCGAGGCATTACAGAAGGGTGAGTTTCCCCTTCTTTCCCCTCTTCTCTTGGGGCATCATCCATCTACTCTCCATTCTCCCAATCACTAACCTACTTGTTACTTTAGATCTTGAATGGAAATTGACCTATGTTGGTTCTGCCACGTCGTATGTCTCTAGCTTCCTTCGTTTCTACCTTCTTCGATTTCAAACTAACGAGTGAAGTGATGAGCATGATCAAGAACTCGATTCTCTCCTAGTTGGTCCCATTCCTGTCGGCGTAAACAAATTCCTCTTCCAGGCAGATGCGCCCGATACCAAGCGAATCCCAGATGCAGAAATTCTCGGTGTTACTGTTATTCTTCTCACTTGCGCCTATGATGGTAGAGAGTTTGTTCGAGTTGGCTATTATGTCAACAACGAGTATGATTCCGAGGAATTGAACGCGGATCCACCTGCCAAGCCACTTCTTGATCGAGTCAAGAGAAATGTTCTTGCTGAGAAGCCTCGTGTCACTAGATTTGCCATCAAGTGGTGAGTCATCATAAATCCTTTAGGCGTTACAGCATGCTAATATTAAATTACAGGGACTCGGATGCTTCTGCTCCTGCTGAATTCCCTCCTGAACAACCTGAGGCAGATTTAGTAGCCGATGGAGAAGAATATGGTGCTGAAGAAGCTGGAGAGGAAGAAGATGAAGATGTTGATGGAGATGAAGGTGGAGCAGTTGATACAGACGCAATGGAACAAGATTCAGAGATGGCTGGTGTGGAAGCTGAGGGCGCTATTGCCGAGGAAAGTGGTGATGAAAGTGAAGATCTCGAGGCGGAAAGCAGTGGCGAATCTGATGAGGAAGTTGAGGAAGAGGAGATTGCCGGAGATGATGACATGGAAATGGATGGCGTTGAAAAGTCAGGTGTTGATAAATCTGGTGGCGTTGCACATCAAGTCGATGAAGTTATGGCCCACTAATTCAATACCCCATACAAAGTTTTGATTTTTGAGTTCATTGAGCGCATTACGATAGTTTATGATTGGGAGGAAAGCAACATTAAGACACATATATGATGGAATACAAGATGTCAATAATGATACTCTAAATAGGAATATCACACAGGCTTTCAAATGCTTTTAGTATAGCATAACAACTATGAACATTTACATCTGTCCTTATGAAGTTTTTTCCTACTCATACACCCTGTGCCATAATGCATTCATCCTATCTCATTGTTCGCTATGCGGAAGTTACTCGGAACCTTTCATGGAATAGATGCTCTATTATCTACGATATTATGCTAATTCCTTTATATGGCTTGGACAATAAATCATCAACGTCCCACTTCAACTGGAGGGATAGTGCATCGAAGTTCCAACCCCGACATCATCATGAATTACAGTCACCTTTCTTTGCCTTGTATGCCTATAAATTATTCAATTAATAGTTGACTTTGGTTGAGTTCATCTCTTATCATATCACATCATATCATAGCACAGCACACGCATAACTGCACATTTCATCCCGCCAACCCCCCACCCAAAGAAAAGGGAAAGGGAAAGGGTAAAGAGGAACTAAAAACCTTGCAAGCAAGCGAGTGTAGAAAGGAGATACTTTACTTATTCGCAACTCACGAATTTGTCACGTATATTTAGGCATTGCTCATGCTCATGCAACTTAAATCGATATGAGTATGTATATTTCCAGATACATCTAATCGAGTAGCCAACCAGTCAACCAGTCAACCAGCTAGCCAGCTAGCCAGTACAAAAAAGCACACCCCAAACGCCAAACTCCAACCCAACCAATCTATCTATCGAATCCTAAATCCAACACACAACTCCGCACTCAACCCCCAGCCTCCCCTCGCCTCCCCAGCTAAAATTAAGCATCAAAACACCTCTCCCCCCTTACCTCTTAGTCCCCTTAGCAGGTAAAACCTTTCTCGTCCCATTTGATCCACTCGATCCACTCGACCCACTAGTGCTAGTATGACTCTTCTTCCCCGCGCTCCCGCCTCGCTCCGGACTACCAGCAGTTCTCTTTTTTCCATCGTCTCTAACTCGCGCATCGTGGAAGGGATCGACGTGTTTCTTTGCTTCGGGGATGGTCTGGGTGGTTTCGGAGAAACTGACTTTTGGCTTGGAGGAGCGGGATGGGTTGGATGAGCTGGCTCTTTGCATTTTGGGGGGATTTTTGTTGGTGGGTGGATGGGTGGATGATGGGATGCTGGGATGCTGGGTATTGTTTGGAGGTTTGTTGATGTGGATTTGCAGATTTAGATAGAGAGAGAGAGAGAGAGATAGATAGTGTGAATCCTTGATAATGTAATGTAATGTAATACGATGTGATGTTTTAGATGTAGTATGAAGATTTACTATTCAGGAGAATAGACAGAGGTATTTATAGATTATTCTTCACGAAGTGAGGTTGTTATTGCAGGACACTCCTCCAACATTTTAACCAGAGAGTACCGGTCGGTACTGAACAGCCACACCTATCCTGACCGTGTTTTATACAATAGAATATCTGTGGCCCATAATCTGTGTGTAGTCTATAACCTGTGACATAGCACAAAATAAGGACCATTATGTTTCCTTGCCACCTCAGATATGCCCCTGTAGCATGATTAGCTATCGATGAATTTTTACACCACAGGAGATAGAGATCTGTACATAGGTAATATAACATAATCTCTTCCTTTGCGAAGCATCCTCACTTTCCTTTCCTATCCTTCTCAGGATCTAAACAGCTCACCTTGCTCTCTCCCTATAATATCCATATCCATATCCATATCCAGTATTTCCAACCCCATGCAAATCATCCAAACCCATCCCCACATAATCTTACAAACAAACAAACAAACACCATCAAAAAAACAACAAAAAGTCAACTTACCAAGCCACCTCTTTTCCTTCCTAGCCGCATTCCCCACAAGTCAAAAAGACATTCGACCCCTCCTTCGGACCTCCCGGTAGTTTATTGTAATGCATTGTTGGTAGAGCATGGGCTACATGACATTGACATAAACATACACCCACCCTCCAACAGACCTCGACCAAGAACTTGACCCCAACATCAATTTCTCTTCATTCTCACGCCCACCTTATGCCTCTTGGTTTTCTAGGTAACTGTGGCTCAGTATGTACTATGTAATCTTACCAACCAACGTTGTACTTAGGTCACTCACTCAATCTCCTGCAACTACTTATAGCTTGATATGAAGCAACAGAATGCTCTCTCGACCAAAACCGAGTTTTGATTTCTTTCATAACTTTATGGCGGGAAGAGATTTATGTTCCAATCTTCAATCAAGGATTATACACATTTTGAAGTCATATATTGAACCGCAATGGCTATTTTTATGATATAGATGTCATATGAGATATGAAATCCAGCCCAAAATCTAACGCCTAGGAACTCACACGCTCGCAATGTCAAGTAGACACATAATCTTTCAAGCATTCTCGAGGTATAATTCCCATACCAGGTATCCGCTAAATCCCAAGAACGCCCATCCATACATCCTATCTATTATTGTCCATACAATCTCCATGTCCTAAAACCACTTTCCAGTAATTCCTCCCAGCAACATATTCCTCTTCTGTTTGTTGACATACTTGCTAACATCATCGGCCCATCCCGCACTATTCTCCTGCACCTTATCCAAATTATCGCCCATAATATTAAGTTTCTCCGTCCTCTCGTTTAGTTGTCTTGTCATATAGTCACCCCATCCCTCTTGAGTTCCACTAGGTCCTGCTCCACCACCACCAGAAATTCTAGCTAGACGTTCTTCCTCCGCTGACGCCGCAAGCATGCGTTTACTAGGCGGGCGATCGGGACCACCAATCAGAATATCCAGATCAGTGGGAGAAACGTATTGAGTTCCTGATATCCATTGGAGATTTGAAATGGTGGGACGTGGAGGGATTAATGCTTCGGGATTGAATAGCTTATCCTGGCTTCTGCCGAGTGGTAGTCCGGTTCCCCAGACATTAACCATTGCAATCTCACTTGGGCCCGTCCAACCTAGAATGTCCCCAGAAGGCGTTACGACACTGTTTGAAGAACGAGTCTTGTCCAGCATGTCAAGCTTGGCCATGCCAATTTCTTTCAATGCTGGTAGCGAGTAAGCACGGGTTGTTCCATCACCGAAAACGCCAACGAGTGCGAAACCATGAAGTTCGAATTCGGTGACGGCAGCGGAATCACAAAAAACATCATCGAATGTTTTGTGGGCACCTTTGGCACTTGAAGGTTTAAAGATGCGAGCTTCCGTTTGGGTTACTGTACAACTATTAGTACCATGTTGTGGAATGTTGAATCAAGGATTTAGCAAATGAAGGAGTGATGATAGGCATGGCAAGCTGCTGACCTCCTCCCATACGAAAGAAGATCAGTAGCAGCACACACCCACGGTTATCTTACCAACTACAAGAGCGCCATTAGTTTGCTGTCCACTGCGAAGCGCAGCTACTGTAGGCCCAGTTGCTGATGCAGGTTTTCCAGTTTCGGCCACAATTGGCGTAATTGAAATTACCTTGTCGGAGCAGGCTGTCACTCCTGCAAATTGAGCTGTATATCCACCATTCTGCTGTGGTAGAATTTTGAATGTGGCAACTTTACCATTGTTTGTTCCTACGAAACAAGCAATGCTAGAGTATTTATCATCATCCAGTGTCATAACGCCAAACTCAATACAGACAGGCCACTCAGATCTTGCAGATGTTTGGCTACTTCCCTTTCTCATGAAACTACTTCTCTTATCTTGCTTAATGAAGTCACTCATTGCGGCGCTGAAAATGACAGATGGTCCTCGGAGATCTATGATTGAAAAAAGTCCACCTTCAGATCCAACTCCTACGAATCCAACATCTGACATTCGTGTCGCACTTATAGACCCTTGCGGCATATCATAGAGAATGAATGGTTGTAGACCTTCTTTGAGAGATGGCTCAGCACGAATAGAAATATCTGTGATACCACCGGGTTGAGTCTCATTCGGAGACTGCTCGCTACCGTAAGCTCTGTTGCCACCCCATCTATAAACTACCACTTCACCAGCAGTCGTGCCAACACATAACTCCCCGGTAGCTGAGGCCATACTAATTGTAGAAATATTGACATCTTCGAAACGTGCGACTGCTCTGGCGATATCAACCTGTAGTGAACTAGAGTTTTCCAATTCATCTCCATGGCCAGCGTCCCAAATTCTGACTGTGCCATCTCCGTGGGCTGTTTGAATGATATTACGTGCTTCGTATCTCCGTAGATGTTTCACTCCTTCTGCACCTCCTTTCAGAATTGGTGGACCCATAGCACGAGTTTCTGTCATGCCAAGCCATCGACCTCTATCAACGGCAGATACTGCCATGAAATTGACAAACGGATGGACAAAGGAAAGGGAGGGGTGAAGTTGGTTCGTAGGAGACACAGGATGGCCACTAGGGAAGCTTAATGTAACTAACTCACCCGATGTGAGAAGTGCAATAATGGCAATAGGATCTTGAGCTCCGGCAAAATGTGGAGAAGTACGAGGAATGAGACAAAAATCTGTAATGTCTGCCCCAGTAGGAGTTGAAAGGAAATGTTGACGTTTTGCATTAAAGTGATCGGTCAAGACTTGCCAAGTTGACGTCGCATAAACAGGAGTTACACCCAACTCTATAAATGTCAAACCTTTGGTAGGCGTCGTGGTTGGGACCCCTCCAGCCACAAGAAGACCAGTATCATCCGGGTTTTCTTTGCAGCACCAAGCTATTTTTGCAAAATCTTCCTTGAGGGAGAATGTACCGAGCGAGTTGCTAGAACCTTGCGGCTGAGATCCAGGTACATTCACATGCGTATCTTGTAGAGTTCGAGCCATCACAATTCTTCCATCTTTAGGATCCCAAAATACAATGCTCGCATCATCATGCGCTGTAGCAATGAAAGTTCCAGTTGGATGCCATAGAGCTTGCGTGAGACGCGGTTGCCTAGACGCATTCTTCCCCAAAGGATCTCCATTCCCACCAGGAGCTCCGGCTGGAACTTCGTATTGAAAGTATTTGACAGGTTTGTTTTGTTTAAACGAGTATATTACAGCTCCCTCCGTATATCCTATCAATAACTGCCCAATATCTCTGGGATGTAATTGTAAAGATACACAGCTCAACAACCTCGATTTTGGATTCTTTTCGCGCCAGAAATTCGGAAGCCGTAAAGGCGCAAGCTTCTCTCTATCCAAGTCGTAGCATATAATATCTCCCGTTTGTAATCCTATCAAACACCAATCTAGCATAGGATCCGTCACAATGGTAGTCACAATTCCTGGCGGGGAATAAGCTGCCAACTTCTTTGCTGTAGCTAAATCCCATACTATAACTTCGTTCTTCGAATCCACACTAATAAGTCTGTCGGCGCAAAATTGTAGAGTTTTGACTGATGCTCGGCGGGGTAATGTAAGCTTTGCTTGTACTCTCTTCTGACCAAAAATGTAAATTTGTCCGCTTCCAAAGGTTGTTTCGTTCGTTCCAAGTGCAAGTAAAGATTGTACTGGATCATATGCGAGAGAACTATAGAAGTTTAGAAGTTAGCTTGACCTCGAATCCCTTCATTCGTTACATGGTAGCAGAGCAGCAGAGCAGCAGCGTAGCAGAGTAGCAGAGTAGCAGTGTTAACATACCCTATTTGCGAATTGATACCGAAACGATCCAAATCATCTGGCGCAAACAAGCCTGGCAAGATACCGGCAGATAGATCATTTTGTATACCTGCTTGTTTTCCACGTAAAAAGCCTGCCATTTTGTTCTGACAGACAGATGGTGGAAATGCTAATGTTGCTGGTGTTGTGTTTTGGTGTTGGTTAACCAGGAGGATCAATGTTGGTGGGAGACTTTAAACCTTGCAACGGCTTTATTTGCGTCATCTGAAGGCACCTACGTGGTATTTCTTGGCTATGAATAATAAAATAGATATTCGGCGCTTCATTACACATGGAGAAGGAATCAACATGACAATCAAATAATATTATTATATCTTCAACATGATTATGATCTGGGGTAACTTTTTAGATTGCCCCCTTACCCAATGTGGGTGCATGGGCTATGAAATCCAGTAGATGTACAAACGTTGGCTTCGTAGGTTCGTAATGGTCCAAGCCACCAACTAAACTAATTAAAGAACAGGCCGGTAAATGTCGGGCTTCTCACAGATATATAGAAAATCGCCATGCTCATCATCTCTTGCTCACGTTTCCTCATGGTCGAGGTTGCCCTTGTTCCCATCCCCAAATCTCCCAGTATTCATGCCATGCACTCCGTATATTTGCATCCCTTTTCTGTAACCTCAACATACCTTCTTTCATCAGAGCAGGAAGCTTCATCTCCAATTCTTCTCGCCGCACTCCTGCCTTGATCAATTCTTGTGTTAAGTCGATTTGTTTTTTGATTTGCGCAACAGGATTGATATAGTATGGTGGTGGAAGGATTGCATCAGCGGCTCGTTTCTCTGCTGCCGCTTGATCGCAATCTTTGCAACGAGGTAATTTGCGATCACAATTGAGGGAGGCTCTGATGCGAGGAAATTTGAGAGCTATGTATGCGAATGCAGGAGGCAGTATGAGAGGATGGTCGCAGGTGGGACATGCAGACATGTTGTTCTGCAGATGAGTCTCGAAAAGGAAATAGACTCGACAGTGACTATAGGTAAGTGTGATTCAAGGATGATTGGATGTATAGCAAATAGTCATGATTAGAAGATTGATTTGTATCTTCTCGACAGTTCAATTTTACCTTCTTTACCACACTCAAACAAAGGGTTCCTATCGCAGTTGTAGAACTGGATCTGGCATCCAAGGTTGAGAATATCATAAACATCTGCTGCAAGCATCCTTTGTCCGTTATGATGTGGCTGAAAGCAAGCGGAGCGCAACAACCACAAAAGCATGAGCAAATTCCGCAGGCAAATCGCAAATCTGTCGCCAATTCAAAATAATGCTATTGGTTCCGAGAAGAATAAAGAAAAGTGCCAAGAGGAGTTGTAAATGTCCCGTTTTTTATATTTCTCCATGACCCAACGCATTCTCATGCCATAGGATGGAGGGTAAGTAAACGAAAAGATTCTCTTCTATCCTGCAATTTCCCCTCCAAGATCCCGCCATTGAAAGACATAAGACCAGAGTGAATATTGAGGAATCAGTTTTAGTTTTATGAAGAGAAAAAGAAAAAGAGGAACAGAAGATTGAGATTGAAATCGTCTTGTACTCGAAATTTTTATCAATCATGTGATCTAAGCGACGGTAATTCTGATCTAGTACGATCTGAGCTTAGACTGGTGGGCTTTTGGGTAATCGGCAGTACAGCCCATTAATAATGATTCATTTTCTACATATTCTAATTGGTTAAAATCTACATGTACACTACTCGAGCACGCTGAGCTAAAAGAGACGGCGGGGTTGCACTGATATTTGGTATTAAATGTGCCCCGCACTAAATTCAAATTGACATCTTCTGAATGGATTAAAGGTTGAAAGTACAATCACATCCTTTTTCTACTTGACATCATAAAACAGGAAAAAGTCTCCTCGTCTTTAATATCACAACAAATTTCGAAAGCAAATACAATCAATCTTTTTGGTTATCTCGATCTTCTTTTAACAACATGGCACCAGGAGGACCAGCAGCCGGACGTGGCAGAGGTGGAAAGTTTAAGAAGTTCACTCGTGGGGGTAAGAATATCCTTATCACAAGATTACATTTCTAAAGATGCTAATTTGAACTTTGTAACAGGCGGTAAACATTTCTCTCGTGATCTTAGACCTCTCGATGCCAATGGAAACGAAATCCGCGAAAAGAATGCCGATGATTCATCCTCAGAAGAAGAAGAGGACTCAGAAGAGGAATCTTCTGAGGAAGAGGAAGAAGAGAAGCTAGAGATGACCCGTGAACAGCGTCGCGCCGCTGCCAAGGCGAAGAAGGAAGCTGCTATCAAGAAGAAGAACCAGAAGGTCGCACAAGTTGGAGATCTCCCAACCGATAGCGAAGAAGAGAGTGAAGATGACGACATGCCTGTCAACCCTAACCATAGTAAAGCTGCTAGAAATCAAGCCAAGGCCCCACCAAAGACTGTCGATGAAGTTGCAGGAGACGTTGCAAAGATGAGTGTCAGCAAGAAGCCGCAAGAGTTGAGTCGCAAAGAAAGAGAGGCAATTGAAGCACAAAAGAAGAAAGAAGCATACCAAAGATTACATCTTGCCGGAAAGACTGATGAAGCTCAAGCTGATCTTGCAAGGTTGGCAAAGGTCAGAGAGGATAGACGTTTGGCAGCGGAACGCAAGGCCGTACGTATTGTTTACCTCCGTCCGTATTTGATATTAAACTAACTTCACGTAGGCTGAGGAAGAAGAACGTAAGGAGCAGGAGCAAGCAAAGTCGGAGCAATTGGCGCGGGAACAGAGAAGAAGAGACGCTGCTATGGGACCTGCAGCCAAAGGAAAGAAGGGAAAGAAATAAGCGGTTTTCTATAGGATCAGACTTAGTCTTCTGAGTTTGGTGATGAAGGCTTCTAGAATACATATCCAGGCACATAGTAGCCTCGGCGTGGCGTTATTCCTTTTCCTTTTGTATTGCTTGTTGAGTACCAATCTAGAAAGCGTTACATATTCCGATGCCTGTGCATCTATTCGGTCTCGCTTTTTGTTTACTGTGTTGTGGCTAGTCGATCATCATACCATGCTTGCATAACGTCAATTATAGAAAGAGAGGGGAGAGAAGGCAGTGGCAGTGGCAGTGCCAAACAGGACTACTGACACAATGAAGAATGTGATTCCAACAACAAAACAAACCCCAAATTGAAATACTTTCGGAGTATACCATATAGATTAGGTCAATCCAGCACAATTAGAATACCCCAAGTAGGTATTTTAAAGGAGTTATGCCATCTGAAATTCAAAGTCATACTCAATCTCACCTCACACCACCTCTCGGTTTCATAAGCACCTTCACTCAAGAAACAATATAACAAAATCAAACATTTATATAGATAAAATGAAATAAAATAACATTTAATCGAAGACATGGCGCAGTGGCTAGCGTATCTGATTCCAGCTTGTATATATCTCGAGTCCAGATGGTCCTGGGTTCAACCCCCAGTGTCTTCCTCAGTTTGGTATTTTTGAATGTTTTTGAATGTTTTAGAGTTATGCATGGGGATGGAGACTGAGATTGGGATGCAACTTTGGGGTTCTTTGATGATATAGAATAGAGGTATTTTTTAATATGAGATGGATTTTGTCAAAATTAGGTGTATTGTTTGCTTGATGGTTGCGTCTGTAGGTAGTGAGGTGAGGTGAGGTAGGATGAAAGTTCGTTGTTTGTTTGCTTGCTTTTGTCGGGTGGGACGGCGTGGAACGAAAAAAGAAAAGATGCAAAGATGTGTATGTTCATGACTGCTTTGTACATTTCTTCGGTGTGTCTAAAGCCTCAAAAGGGTTTCTGTATATGCAAATTCGAGTCTGCAATGGCTGCTCCATATCACGGGGATCGTTCCGCCATAGTTTCCTGCACATTCGAGTTCGGATTCATGATAATTCTTTTTACATCCAAGTAGGAACTGAGTATGCGACCATAGATCATGGTCATGACTGGGGACTGTCTCCTAAAGGATGTTCTTCTTGCAGACGACCGAAGAAGTGAGTGGTAAGAACTTTATCTCCTCTGAAGTACCCTAAGATATAATTCACCTGGATTACAGCTTTCAAGTAGAGGTCATCACATCTTACACTCCCCGAAAATTAGGAAATATGTACTCGGCTGCAATTGTGACGGTCCCCTGCGAATAGCGTTTTCACCCCATGAATCATGATGATGGACGGCTTATTGAGAATCATACATACCCGATTGTCGGTCCTCAATATCAATACACTCGCAATTTATCTTGGTCATACTCTATTGTCTACATTTACTCATACGAGCAACAGAGTGCTTTGGCGATCATATGTAACCTATTTGGAGCAAGTCTCGGTCGGTCAGCAAAATATTGGGGCGTCGTTTTTTGGCCAATCAAACGCGCTTTCATGCAGCTCGATGTGGTTAGCATGAACCAAGTTAGCGCACTTTCGAGGCTGAACTAGGACCAACATTCTTCACCTCATAAGGAGTCGCAATTTTGAGGTACACTAGGACGAACCTCATTGCCTCATGTTCATGATTTAAGTCATATTTATTTCGAGATTTTTGGGTTCTGATGAAGCGGGTTGTGTGCTTTCCCTATTACGGCTTCTAACCTAAGGTTACAGCTTCGTGCGAAACATACAAATTCTCGATTTGACTTACATGTCCATCGTGGAGTTGTAAGCTAGGCGCGTTTTCAAGCGATTCATCGCCTTCAAATCCAATTCCGAGGAGCGGCTGGTCTGATTCATCGCCATTAGACTCGAGCAGCGGCTACTTAGATGCCTGGTGAGGGCTCCATATTTAGGGTTGTATGTCTTCAACGGGGCTGACTTTCATATGCTAATGAACGAAGACATGAATGTGCCGTGCAGCTTTGAGTTTTATAGGAAGATCATATAGTTTCAGGATGATTTCACCAGCAAAGAATTCAGCGATCTTGATCGTTCACAGCAATTGGCGGGGTCAACCCCTCGCCTGCAGCTAAAATATGGAATATGAATATCAACAAGGTTGTGCGACAGCTTTCCGCTACATTGCTACTCATGGTATTTTTGAGTCTAGAATTGAGAATCCGACAGCAGAGCTTGGATATAATGTATTTACCGGCCCTGGCACAAATTAAAAAGAACTACTTCGATGCGAAGTAGCTTAAATTGGCCTGATCCAGCGCAGAACCCAGAACCGCGGCATCAATTTTTAGCAACACCTTTGGCCGCAGATACGTCATTAGGTGAAGGAGTAAACGCCTCTTTACCGCTCAGTAGCCAGCTATTATTTGGCCGCGGTTCTGAAATTGAATTGAATATGTCCACTATGAGATAGTTCATTGTAAGAAATTCAAAGTCTTACTGGTGGAGTGTAAATGGGGAACTGTGTCAAATTTCCAGAGCGATTGTGGGCGGAATCAAGTTACAAAAAGCTTTAGGAACTCAAGCATCAGCAGACATCAGCCTCAGCAGAAATACCTATGATCCCACACGAAGCTCCTCTTCCAGATGTGCGTCTTTTGAAAGATATGGTCTTAGTGGACCTGTAACCTCTCTGGCACGCATGGGCATGAAAGCTATCGGAAACATTGGAGATGCATGTTGGAGATGCAGAGTCCTGGGTAAAAAATCAGTTCCGTATTAATTGTTTCGTGAATTTCCAACGACAAGAGTCCTGAAAGCTGCAAGTGTGCTGAAAAGAATCCTTGCCATACTTGTCCCAAACGAGGCAAGGCTGCGTGGACCTGAATCAATTGTAAGCGCTCTTTCAGACAGGAAGGAGCCTATCAATCTATGTCTGAAATCACACACACAACAAATGATTGGATTCTTAAAACGGCTGCCATCTTATGAAGAGATTTTATGCCGTAGATATTGTCATCATTGACGTCAGAGCTCAGGGCGGCAGGGAATCAGCTGCGAGAAATGCCAAAGCAGTGACATAGAGATGATGACTCCTTTTTCGGCGAAAACTCAAGGGACTCACATTGGGAGATGCTGCAAGAAGAAGGCAGGACGATGTATCAATGTCACCGAGGCAGAAAATGCAGTCACCGAGTTTGTTCAGCTATTCGTTCACTTGGACAAAACGCGTTCCTTGAATTTTGGACTGCCACCCCACCCCACATTGCGATTTGGATACAAGAAGCATGTACCGCAACCATGTGAAAAAGAGGCTTCCGCACAGCACTACGACGGGAAGAATGTAAGTAATTTGGTATCCGCAATCACTAGGTCTATTGAGCGATTATTGGAGGTCTTGATTAAAAAATAGAATCTGCGTAGCAAGACCTGGCGGCTGTCAGTCTTCCATAATCTGACTACTCGGGGTTTCGTTTGAGAGATTGCGGAGATAGCACCTAGCAGTGCGTTTGTTTATAGCTACTTTTGGAGACTAGGATCCATTTGTCCAAGGGTTGGTAACATATGATTGGCTTAAAGGTGCAACGTTTGTGTTTACTATCTTTCGAAAGTAACTTGGTACACTGAAACCTTTGATAGATAAAGTGTGGAGGTCCAAACCATCTTGCGAAACTTACCAATCTTTGCAGCGCCGGTATATTTACTGCATAGAGCCAATAGTATATGACTCATGTGTTGAAGATCATGGAGCTGGAAGGTTATGGGTGCAATAGCAATGGCAGTTTCCCGGATCTGGTGATTCAGGAGAATATTTACGGCATTTTGTTTCAGGACGATGATTGCCTACCACTCATGCATTCCGCACTCGAAACATTGGAACCGCCGACTGAGCGAACCAATTGAAGCAGACGACCTTGAAAAGTTTTCTTTTAAGCATCTCCCAGGCTTATGAAAGACACAGAGGTATTACCCGGGGACTGCGAAATCAAGCGATGACAAGCCAAACGAGTTCCACTGTTTGTTTCCGATCAATTCACTCGCTAAATTATCTCCTTCATTAACCATCACATAATGATGTCATCCAGTTACAGCACCCAGATGAACCTTTGAGAGTTTCGCCAAATGATTTCCACTAATATCCTCATCTTAATAAGGATATCTTTAGTTTTCCGATTCTTGTTGACCACTCTAACATTGTGAGAAACTCCATCGACGAGTATTGAGAGCCAGAACCGAGAAATTTTGATAACACTTGCTCTTCTTTTCACACAGTCATGACATAGCGACTATTTTGGCGAGCATGTCAGACATAACTGCTCCACAACTGGAGTTATCAGGTTCTTTTCGGAGGGCGAAAGCACAGTCTACCGCAATCCCATACATATTTGTCCGTCAAAGCGAGGGGGTAACATCTCTCAAGGATGACTTGAACATTAAAGACTGAGTAGGCAAAGAAAGATTGCACATCTGATTCTCATCCGTTCAGCATTTGAAAATTAACCAAGTCGATCCAGCCGAAGTATTACCGAAGAATATAATTTTCTCGGGCGGCCACGTGCACATATCCTAGCAAGTCTGCAGAAATTCTGCGTTGGCATACCAATTACTCTTGATCTTCAGAACCCTTGTTATATCTGATAAGAAATTCACCGCCACTTTTGAAGTAAGAGGTTGCGATTGCTTGAGAGGCAAAAATAGTATCCAGAGCTGCATACAGAAAAATGCCAGCTCATGATTCTAATCCAATGAGGTTTTAGTGGGCTATGAAACAGCCCGTTTGAAGATGAAAAGGTTCGCGGCTCTACTGGGGCTCAGCTAGGCATTCGATGGCCAAGCATTCGATGGTAACGGCAAGGGCTGGATCTCGAAATTTGTCGGTCCAGCCGTTTCTTTTCCTTTTCACATATTCTCTTACACAATCACATCCAACTGCCCTCCAAAAATGTCGAACATTAGCACTGAAGAATTATTAAAGCGACTTGATGATCAACATCAAGCTTACCTTGAGACATTTAGGCTTGTCCATGAAGCCTTGAATAATAACGTTACCAGTCCGAGTCCTATCAATGCAGCAACACAGGGCCCCAGCTCCATTCGCACTTTTACAAAACGACGAAGAAGATCTACCAAAGACGATGGTAACATACCAGAAATACGACCATCAACACTTCACAGCTCTGTCTTGTCAGGAGACAGTGACGATAGCGATGACGATGACGACTTATATGTTCAGACACCGCTCAACTCATTCCAATATGGCGAGGAACAGTTACGGAAGCATTTCAGATCTTACAACTTTACGGATGCTGGACACACCATCTTAGAAAGTGTGATTACGAAGAATGGAAGACTTCTAGATCCTGTTCTGTTCCCGGATTATCATAGAGCCGATCGGTTTCATAACTCCCACTATTCTGTGTTTGATGTCGGAAAAGATGGGGCTCCTCTATCGAGAAAAGATGTAGTCAAACCTGGTACGACTAAGATTGATTCTGCTATATGGCAAGCGGTTAAGGTGAGCCAAGGTACCAACTTTAAAGTTGTCATCGCAACTAAGATATTGAGCGTAGGATTTAAATAGCGATCCCGAATCACTTCGACCAGCTGTTGGCAGGATAACGTGAGTCTTGGTGCCGCTTCCCAAGCTGGATATCAATGTAACTGACTGACACCCTCAAAGAATCGTTCGAGAGCCATCTCCTGTCATATTCGGGGCCTTACATCTCACATTGAATAAGACTTTCGACATGGATGAATTATTCAATTATCTAGTCTCTGGCGAAGGTACATCTGTATGTGTTCAAACTACCAATTTTCTTCTCCTGCTTACATGCTAGGCCAACATAATGCGACGTCCATTTTCCATTGACAGCCGGCAACAAAAGTCTTTTGTTTTCAACTTTGAATACTGGACAATCGTGGGGGAAGAGTGTCAACCAATGCCGTGGCAATTGGCTGACAAAAGACCGAGTACTTCAAAGGACCATATTCCAATATCGAGATGCAATTCAGTCGTGGCTCTCTCCTTATCTGGAGAACCAATCCGGAAATTGAGGAATCCCGCTAGGCGTGCCAGGACAGACTATGGGTATGTCTATGATCCATGGGCAGCATGGCATGTTCTCAATATGCAATGTTATCCCGACCATCGTCACACTATGGATGTTCATGATTCAACAAAACATTATGTCAATGGACCAGAAGCATTCCTTCATACTCTTCTGTCGGAATTTAAAGATGCCGAGAAGAGATTCGAGGCAATATATATGAAAATTAGCAAGCTCGTATCACCACCAGTAAGTCAGGCTTTAGATTTCGAAAAATTTCAACTCATGCTAATCAAAACTGCAGGCCGATTTTATGTTTGATGGTGAACTCAGAGACAAATTACTTTTCGAAGATGAGGAATTTACCTACTCCCGCCGATATTTCTGGGCCTATCAAACACTTGGTCTATTAAAGAACGGACTAAAAACCATAATGGATAGCTACGAAGATACGTTTACCGAAGATGTTTGGGAAGGAAAACACAAAACACTATGGCCGATGTTAGATCCGGACACTCACCGAAATAAATACTGGGCAAAACGTATGCAAAAACTGAAGCTAGATTTCGATAAGCAGATGTCTAATCTGTTCAAACTTTACGAAGAAACGGATGAGAAGATGAAGGAGATCAGAACATTGAGGGATCAACTTTTCTCGGGTACAAGTGTTTTGGAAAGTAGGAAAAGTGTGGAGATGGCAGCAGTGACAATATTACAAGGTCATAATATTAAACTCTTGACTATGGTTTCAATATTCTTCCTTCCACTTACATTTGTAACCTCTGTCTATGGTATGACGAATATGAGCACTGCTCAAAATTTTACTCCATTCGGAATAACGATGGTAACTGTCTGTGTTCCATTTTTCTTTTTGGTTGGAGCGCTGAACACAACTAGTGGGATGCAGTTCTGGAGAGTAAGATGGTATAGATTTTTGGGATGTTTTGGACAACAGGGCATTCATTCATCATCTTCGTCTTCAGCAACCAAGAAAAATTCATTATTGATGGGAGGTATGTATATCCCAAATGAGTAGCAACGAGCTTACAACAGGCGCTAACAACTTTAAAGATCCCACTCAACCCAATCCGGTTAGCAGCACCAGCGCCATAGCAATTGCTAATGATAAAGAAAAATCTCTACCATATTCCTACTCTATCACTACAGCACAATCTCTTGCAGCTCGCAAGGAACTTACTTCAAACCTTGGTCATGATTCCCCACCAAAGTCACCATTTTTGCCGTCAACCACACCTTCAAGTATGAATTCCATTCCAGAGAATTCAGTCACAATGCCTATGACTTCACGTACACCTCCACCTAGAGCGAAATATACATCTATTTCGTCAATTGATACAATTACAGCCAAGACAGGTCCGAGGCCTAGTTTAACGAGAAGTGCGAGTTGGTGGGATATGGTTCTAAAAAAAGGAAAGAGGACCATCAGTGATAAAGGGAAGGATTTTGGTGGGGTTTGAGAAACAGGCAATCTCGGTACGTAGATAGAGTATATATATAAAAGTTTGTATTGCATGGGAAGCTTTTGCAAGCTTATCGTTAGAAATATTATGAGTTTCCCGAGAGCCAGCCTATTACCTTATATTCTCATTCGGATGCTTATGCGAGGCAAGTCTATATACATATATAATAATAACAGCTCAAAAATCATACCCCTGGTGATAGGGCGAATATAAAAGTTGCTCCGCCACAAACTGGTCATTCTGTCTTTGAAAGATATATCGGATTGGCAATGAAAAACTCGACTATTGTAGTTTGCTGTTGATTTTCTTTCGCGATTATCAATAGCTACACTTTTTGTCGATATAGTATATCACTTCAGATGTATCGGAGAAACGAACAAGTACACCCAGATGAATGACATGGTATTTGATAGGAGCGATACTGGAACGAGGAAAATCGGCGAAGAGATGTATTGGAGAGATCCCTGAGAGATGGGGCTGAATCATGGAATAATGAAATAATGAAAAGTAAAGTGGGAGTAAAAGCATAAGCTGAAAAAGTAGGAATGGTTCAATTTGCAAGTGGAATTCGTCTAGATTTTTTTTTATGACTCTGATTCTGTTTATATACCGGTACACGTACAATCCAAAGGACCAAGGTCCATTTCTCATGCCATGCAATGCCGGGAGCAGCTCCACAGTTTTCGCTAACCCTTATAAGATTATATAAAACGCATTTTGGGGAATTATATATAAGATTATAATTATAATTAAATTTATTACATGATCAAGATTGAGTGATTTGATAAACAGTGTAATATTGATTAATTAGTATATTTCATTCAAACCTCACTCCTAATTAATCATCTTAATTCCTTATGTATCTAAAACCTTGCATTTATTGAAGAACAATTCAAAATCCACTTATCAACCGAGGCTAACTTAACTCCCCAGTCCTATTGACCCATCACTACCATGTGCTATCCCCCATTACCCATAATCCTATCTTGTCACTCCCAACTACGACCCCAGTACTAGTAACTAGGCCAAAAATTCCCTAACCACGAGAACCCCACCAGCCCATAGCAGATTTGTCATTTCCCTTTTCATCATCTACTGTTTGCTCAACGGATCTAGAAGCCACATCCTTGGTAATACTAGTTGTAGCACCAATATATACCGGCACAGCGGGAATACATCCAGGCTCATGCCAGATACTCATCATGAAATTGCAATATTTGCATGGACGAACAGCAGAGATAGAGCGGTATTGAGAGGTCTTGCATGATAGGCAGTACCAGATGTTAGTTAGCCCCATGATAACTTGTTTCTATAAGTTTTTGCGTTTTGTTGGGATTTTAGCTTGGTTTTCGGAGTCGAATTGTTTGTGTTTGGTGTGAAGATTGAGTGAGGTCGATTTATGTTTTTACATAGGTGTTTTTGTGTTGAGATTTGGAAAGTGGTTGGAGGGATTGTGGATTTTCGCTTAAATAGATGCTTGGTGCTGGGGATTTGGGTATTCACAGCAAGTGTTATGGAAACTGAGTACCTTTTTTGAGCATAAATCTGCGCGACTCTGTCCCATTCAGTTTGTAGCATCATCTGGAGCATCTTGTTGGGCCTATAAATTGGCTTCTTATGACCATTCACAAAGTAGCATATGATTATTATTACATTCACAGCTCTAAGGGCCGTTGTGAGTACATATCCGACAAGGTGAAAATGAATCGCTTAGATTCCGGTATCAAAGAACTTGCTTGATTTCATACAGTGATTGGCACGAAAAAGCAGTTCTCTTGCAAGACATTCAACTGAAATTATTAGAATATGGTGTATATGAGTTTATTCACTAAAGGTCTTCCGTTATATAAATGAAGCGTTGTCGTGAATCAACTGGCATTTGATGAGAAGTTATGTATTTGCCACGATTTTACATATTTTGAAAGAGGATACATTTAGAGCATAGGAATACGCACTGCACTTTAAGACTTCCCTTACTAAATAGCATTACTAGTATTCCCATTTTGAAATTCTTTAAATCCTCACTTATTGATAGTGTAGTAAACATAGTGTTGCGATACCAGTGAATCGCTAGCGTCACACCGGTGATTCTCCCATACATATAATCCTCGTAGTTCAGCAACCTCTGATTAACACACAACTCAAAATCAACCACTTCTTTTACAATTTATGATCATGACTTAATGACCGCCATCCAGGTGATTCAAACAGCCAGCATGAGAAATTCTCTTATCCTGGCTATTTAAAGTCTCCGTCTACTACTGCACCTAATTTATCACCATACAGTTACTCAAAGCCTTTTAGAACAATAAAGAGAGCCTATTCACACTTCTTTGCAATAAAGACATATCCTCATATCAATTCAAAGAAAAACTCAATATAGGCAATCAACTGCCATTAACACAGCAGTGATTTTATACTTTCAAGCCTTGACACAAATATCCCTTTGAGCTCGCTCTCCAACAGAAAGTTTCCTCATTTTTTCAACTCCAACTACAAAACACCTCAAAATCTCTACTATCCGCGCAAAATAAATACTACAGATACTCAACATGTGGCCCTAGAGTCCCAAGTCAACGTCCAAAGTCCCTACGATAGTCACCTGGCGATGTTCATGCGGAACCGATAATAAATGTTATGCTGGAATAGCTACCAGGAAATGCAAGTAGACGAGCTGCGAGACCTACTGGGTGTTTAGAGACGGCAAGTGGGAAGAGGATTACTATGGTGGCAGAAGCTCTTACTGTGAACCTTGGAATCATGATCTTGATCTGGATTAGAGGGCTTGAAATGGGGTGGGTGGTTGATGTATCTAGATGGTGATATAGTGGAGACTATATCCACAATTTTTTAAGCATAGTTTAGTTAAGGGAGAACGGGGAAATTTTAATTATCAATTGTGTGTTGGCATAAGAAGCTGCTTTGTCAAATTCAGTGACACTTAAGATCCTCTTGTGACTCGAGAAGCAGATATTTAAATCCTCTATAGCAAAGCGGAAATATACGGCACAGGAATATAGTAAAATAGCACAATGACTTGATGATGTTATCTCTCTTTTTCTGAAGATAAGTTGAAACTTCCACACCGAGTTCCAATTAACTGCGCTGCATCATACTTTACCCCAATCTTGCACCTTAGGTATATGGAATTTGCTTGGTAAGGGTTGCTGAACGATAATAAGACAAAGTGATGAGAGTTTAAAATTCTAAATCAAATTGTTCAATGTATCCTATATATAAATAATAACTAATTTCCGCCCGTGTCAATTCCATATAGGATGCAAATAATAACTCCATGATCGCCTTAAAAACTTCCCCTACCCATCATCCACTAACTATAATTCAAAAGCCTATCTATCTGTCTCCAACATCATAATCCTCTCGCTTCCTCTTCAACTCCGGCTGTGACACGGGAAGTATTATTTTGGGTTTTGGTGAGTTTGATGATGGTGAAATTGGTGGTGAAGGTATAGCCTCCGGAGTCCCCAAATCTTTTTCATCATCTTCCCCGCCATCATCCACCGTTCCATCCTCGGTGTCTTCCTCCATCACTGCTCTTTCCTCCATCGTCTTACAATACTTATCCAATCTGCTTTCCACCTTACTCTGCGGGGGAGATTTTCTACATATTGGCAATGATTTGCCTCGAATTGCTTGCTCTATCAGTAGAACCGACTTTCCTCCCGTTGTTTTACCGGGGCGGTCTCCTACTTGCAGCTTCCGAATGATTGCCCTCTTTGGCTGTTCTGCGACGAAGAAAAGAAATAAAAGTTAGCCATTATACGAATATACAGAGAGATTCTCCTATACCTTTCATTCGAACGTATGGGCAAGTATACACAGCTAAATCCATCGATGGTTTCAACCACAGAAAGTCTCTGCAGTTCATCAACATCTCCTCCGGGAAGTTCGTCCTAAACCATTTTGTGACTTGAGTCTTCTTTGTCACTGTCATCCCCATCCCGGTCGTCCACCGAGCGTTCAACGTTCCCGCCTCCACCAACAAACAATCACCAGTATCCAAAGGCGCTTTTCGTAACTTGGATTCCAGTGCAAACTTTGCCAAGAGCACTGTATACATGATACCCTTGTACACTTAGACTACGCAAAAATAACCCGTAAATTACAAATATCCATAAATAATCCGAATAATCCGCCTCACAAGTTACTCAATAAATCTATAATCTGTTTTGCGAATTACTCATTAATATTTTAAAATAATTTATATTATATAAATTATTTGCAGATTATTTATAGATAATCTGTTAATTCATCATTAGATATAATTTATATAAAATAAATATAATTTATAAAGAATGATATAAAAACTAATATAAAAAATATAGAAATAATTTCAAAAATTTAAACAAAAATTAATTATAAATAATCTATAAACAATCCACAGATTATCTATTCAGATTCTCTAATTATTTATCTTATAAATGGATTATCTGTAGGTTACCCATTATAAGCAATAATCCGCTTCACGGAGCCCCGTTGCACAGCCTATATCCATTTGTGCCCATTGCTCTTCATCGAACGGTTCGATCTAGTCACCAATCGCCCTCGCTTGTTTTGCCGTCTTTGATTTCTTGATGGCATCAAGACAATGCTTGTTACCCCCCGAGAACGCTTTGTAAGACTGAAAAAAACTTTTAATTCATTAGTAAAATGTCGCTTAAAGAGGTCAAGGGACGGAATAAGCTTACTGTTCAGCACTTTTGTACGTGTTCCACCCAGACTTGTCACCTCGTGCATGGAAGAGTTTGAGAAAATGCCATACTTGCTTTTGAATGTTGAATCGAAGACTATGGCAGTTGATGGTAGTTTGCCACCTTTTGTGACAAATTCACACCTGCGTAAGTTAGGCCAAGGATGGTCCTGATATTTCTGATTTGTAGTAGCTTCAAATTTAGAAGTTGTAGCTTTTGAATCCTTTGTTTTTGACTTCGACTTGGTGGTTTTCTTTGAATCGCATTTAACACTCGGCCCGTCCGACATCTTGAAAGTGGATGCATCTCAGCTTTGTCGACGACTTCTTTTGAACAGAGTTATTAACAAATAAAGAATCGTTTCGTAGAATACGTCTGGAACGAAAATTATAATACAGTAATGTAAAGAATAATGACAAATAGAGTAAGTTGAATGTGAGAGATAGAAAGAAATATGTATCCCGCTCAGCTTTGATGCTGACTTCTTTCAATAATGGATTGTTAATTAGAGAAAGATTCGTCCTTTAGAATAGACCCGGAACGAAATTATGCTTTTGAATAGTTGGCAACTGGTTATGTGTAGGAATAAATTTGAACTTGGAAGAAGGAGACGAAGGATCGAATGAGAAGTATATCAACCTTAACTTTGATACTAACCTCTTTCGGAATAGATTACCTTGGAATAGTCAGACCTTAGGATCTGTCCGGAACGAAATTCGATATTGAATAATAGATACTTGGTTGTGTGTAGGAATAAGTTTGAAGATTGAAATCAAAAGATGAAAGATGGAAGAGGGAAGATGGAAAAGGGAAGAAGGAAGATCGAAAGAGGAGTATACTCACTTTAGCTTTGCCACTGACCTTTTCCAGAATAGCGCTGGTGATGGAGATGACGATGGAGAGATTCGGGCTTTAGAATCCTTCCCGATTGGAATTGGATTGTAAATAATAGGTCATGTTATATAAAATAAATTTGAAATTGGAAGCAGGAAGATTGAAAGACGGAAGATCCAAAGATAGAAGATCCAAAGAGAAGTATATCCACCTAGCTTTGGTACTAGCTTCTTTGAGAATAGAGCTGTTAATAGAACCCATGATGGAACTGGTGATGGAGATAGTCAGGTCTGAGAATCAGTCCCGACTTATTTTCCCTTGTGAATAGAAATTAGAAAGAATTTGGCTTCAGAATATGTTCCGACTGAATATTTCATTCAACGATCAATGGTGTATATATATATAGAGCAAAGAAACTATCACAAGAGGGGATCTACCCCTTTGACGCTTAGTTCTAGCACCTCTTGAATGGATGCTATATCAGTGGAGGTTCAGGAGTCAGTCTGTACCAAATTTGAAGCCTCAAAAAGACAGTTGCATTCACTCAAATTAAATCGGCGTACAACAACATGTTTCTTTACCTCTACATTGATCCTCTTCATATCATCTCAATTCACTTCAGTATTGATTTTAAAATCGAAGAAAGACATACTTGTGCTTACTCAGCTTGAATTAGATTAGCGTCTCACAGACACTTGTTCCGATTTCTCTGCGACAAGCCCTCCTTCTCTTCTTTAATATTTACAACCTTCAGAACTTCAACTTCAACCCACGAGTCTATTAGATATGGCAAAACAACACAACACACATCTACCCCTTTCCACTCTTACTCAACTGGATTAGCGTCTCGCTTACAAGTATTTATACCGAATCCTTTACGGCAACCCTTCTCTTTTTTAATATTTATAACTTCCAAACCTTTTCCTCCATCCTACAAATCCAATCTTTACATAACCGAACCAACAACTCAACACAAAACCCACTTATCCTTTCCGCACTCACTCAAATTGGATTAGCGTCTCCTCATCTTCTATTCACAACTTAGTATTTACAACCTCCCCTCTATCACGTCAATCGCTTCGAGAGTTTGCCCATTCGAGTAAATTAGGCCGACCAACATATCACTTGCTTTAAGAGCCTATCATATCTTAACTCTCGATCTTGTAAGTACTAACTCCTATGTCAGATAATTCAAACCAGCTAACATTTAGATTTGGTCAAGCAGATTTCGTTTTTCTCTACTCGAGCATCGAACATATCGTTCAAAATAATGTTAATAAATGAATTAGATGAATTTGTGGTGGAGGTTTCCATACAGGACGAGTTTGATGGCTCAGATGTCGAAAAATTCATACCCAGATCTTCCTATCTTTAAAGAATATCCGAACCTACAAAAGAGAATACAAACGAGAAGGATAAAGCTCTGATGATGAAGATGTTGACTCAAATCCACCTGGTGTCAAGATTGAGAGGTTTATTGCCAGAATAGACCACGTCACTGACTATCTTGGTTTTAAGGACACCGATACGTTCAAAAAATGGGTCAACTACATCACCAGCCCGGCAGGCACTTTAAGTGAATGGTCGACATACCAAGGTCACGTCGCAACCATCAAGCCTCAAGTTAAAATTGAGCGGGGGTTATTGTTCCGTATCATCGAGGACTTGAAGGACCCGGAAATTTATGAACTTGTCACAGGTGAACGATAATAATTAACAAGTCACAGGTCGCCCATAGATTCACTCAGAATCTCAACTCTCAGCATTACTATTCTTGGTTGGCAGCAATGAATCTTTGGTTTCCTTGCTCAGCAATATCAATCAGAACAGCAAGCACTTGGGTTTACAAGTGGTAGTTCTGATTTTTTTGGCCAGTGGACAGGTCAACCCCGTGCTCCACGAGGTCGTATCGAATCATGATCCAAATTACTCTCGTGGTCGCGGTCGGTGAGCAAATTCCTGCAACGGGCCGTCAGCAATCCCCAAGTCTCCTTCAGGGGGGCAGGACACCGACATGAATTGAATGTTGATATCTCCTTGAGCAATTATATTATTTTTTTGGGTAATCAGTTAGAGAATTAAATCTTCGACACCCACGTTACATCTCTATGATTCCCTCTTCGCTGAATGTGATATTAATATACTTTCGTTTCTTGCAACAGAGACTGAGAATACCCTCATTACAGAATGAATATTAAACTAACTTTGTGGGGTTGGGGATTAAATATAAATCCCCATAACTTTTAATAATTCTTTTTTTGATTGATCAGTGAGTAATTCTTAGATTTCGAATTTATGGATCTATTATTGACAATTTGGGTTAGGTTTCCAAAAAGGGTACAGTTAACCACCCATCAACACACTGCCGTAGATACGTGGTGTAGGTTTCTCTATGTGTACTGGGCTTTACTAGGTTTACATTATCCCAGCGACTTTCCTGATTTTTGAAGTGCATCTTTGCATTATCCGTTTGCCAACCCTTTTATCCGCTCTTAAACAGGAACTTATCAGGTGATGGCCCAATCAGCCAGTTCTGTAACTCTATGAAAGCATTGAGATCATTCTTTTCTACCGCCTTCTGAACCTCAGGGTCATGCCATCCATGCGTCCTTTTGATTTTATAAAGCGACTCCCCAACCATTGTGCAGCTATCAAAGTCGATTAGAATTGGCGTACCATCTGGGTCGAACATAATGTTTGAGGGTGCAATATCGTTGTGAATAATACCGAGTGAATGGAGATGATGAATGCCTGCTCGAACCCCATCCAAACATGCTTCTATGGAGTCATCAACAGCTAAACGGCCACTGGAAAGGAAGTCTGATTTATTCAGATGGCCAGGGTTAACTTTCTGTTGTAGCGTTGTTAAGTACTGCTGGAAACATATTCCCGATACTCGTCCGTTTGTACTTAGACAACCAACATACAAGGAGATATTCGGATGAGGATGGAGTTTTAGTAATTCGCATATTTTAATTTCACGAAGGATCTGTTGCTCGAGGTCAGAATTGCCGTAAGCCCAAGGATTTGGTGTTTTAACGTAGTAGTTCTGCGTGGAGGATAGAGCGGTCCACATTGGGCTCAAGATAGGGCCCCTATCCTTCGTCTCTAATAACTCCATATTATAAATCTTGGAGATATTTGACTTGCGATCGAGACATCTTGCACGGTATAGTTGACCATCCTTCCGTATAATAAGCTGCAAGTAGCTGAACTTGAAAGGACCTCCATCGGCTTTCTTGAAGCTTTCGGCTGATGTGATAATCTCCATGGTATTCAGGACCTCATGAATAGAAAGCGATGTGGAATTAATGTGTTGAATCTGGTAGGTGTTGTGATAAAAAGATCAAGGATTCAAATTAAAAAACCATTGAAAAATATCACGGGTTAAAGTCTAATCGGAACTGATCGAACTCCGATCGAAGCCTAACGCCACTTTCATCGTTGTGAGGTTGGTGGTAGAGCGATATTGACCTAATCAGGCTTAGCACATTCAGCTGGGGACCTTCCAGGGGGCACGGGAACGTTAGGACAAGCCTAAGGAACTATTTCATGCATATAGCTGATTAAGCGATCATGATCCTTTCTTTTCCCCGCAATTTTATGAAAATTGCCCTTCCCATATTCCCCAAAATAAAAACAATTACCCCAAAATACAAAATCATGACAATCAAACTTATTGCTAACATTGGCCAGCAGATGAAGCCCAGCTATCTGCTAAAGCGAATAATAAAACGACTTTTAATATTTCTCCGGAGTCAAATATCAACAATCGGCGGCTCGATAAAGATTAACACATCCTCATCGCTTGTGTAATTGTCCGCAGCGTAATTAGACATTTTATCTGGATACTGGGATTGAAACACATCCAGAGATTCACCCCGCTGCAGGACTCTCTTTCTTTTCCTTAAAAGTCCTCGTCCATATCAGCTCCAGCAGCCGACTGATAAGATGTATTCTCCACTGGTTTTGCCAAGATTCTGGTATTCCTACGCTCATCGTCTGAGTAAAGGTCCCCAATGGAATCCGAATAATCAGTTTGCGTCGGCACTTGGCACGATGAGCCTGACTGTGTGTTATTATCAGTGGAGTAAATACCACCAAATTTTATGGGAAGCTTCATTGCTCGTAGGTCTCCGTAGCGCAGTAGGACCCGGTATGGTTTTCGATGTCCGTTATCCCTCAAGTTGATCATCGGAACAGGAACGCTATAACACTTCCTCAATTCTGATCTCAAATTTTTCATGCCTGATTGAAGTATATTGAGACCCACCAAATCAGCAGAAATGATGGCCAGAGAATCATCCATATGTTGTGAAGAATTCTTAAGATTCCCTTCCAGAGATTCTATCGTATGATTAAAACCATCCTGGCATCCATCCAGTGTAACCTGCAGATCCCCCAAAACCTTTTTGACCTCATGGAGAATATCTGTAGTAGATGTAGACATGGTATCCTCCTTAGTCAATCATGGAAGTGCATCGAATAATGGTTCAAATGGTTTTAAAGTGGGAAGCATCAACATAGTCTCCTCCTTGGCCAAACTCACTAGCATATCTGCTGTAGCTAAACCAGAAACCGTATCTTGTCGCGCCAGGTTTCGCACAGTATCCTCCCTGGCTAATTGTAAGACCGTCTCTTCCTTTGCAAGCCCAACTAGCATATCTGCCGTAGCTAAATCACAGATCATTTCTTGTCGAGCCAACTTCCGGACAGTCTTCTCTTTCGCCAACGTTGGCACAGCACCAACAAACGGCTTGAGAGTTTGGATACTTGTCTGGATCTTCTCAGCCAATTCATCAAGATAAGAAAGAGATGAATCTATGTTGACACCGCGCTCCTCAATTGATTTGACAATGTTCATCAACGCATCGAATCCTTGACACACGGTCGAATTCTCCACCCATGCGTTCCTATTTAGTTTAATTAGTTCTTGTATCCTTAGACCAATTTTCTCCTCTAGAACCTTGAGTGCGTCCGTATTGGTGCTGACGGCTTGGACTATCGGCTCATCACGATAACGATACATCCGAATCATCTCTCTTGGTACTTCTGTGACCCTCTCCGCCAATTGAATGTTTGCGAGCTCGAGTGAATTGACTCTGAAACCGAGACCGGCAATATCGTTCGCTGAGTTTGCACATATCCCGTCTACCTTTTCTTCCAGTCGCGCAAGAATCTCGGTTTGGTCTTGGATTTTTGTCTTTAACAGAAGAAGAACTTTATTTGGTCCTTGAGTAACGCGATCTATTATTTATTCAACCCGTTGGATTCTGTGCGAACAAGACTTTGTGAATTTCTCCCCAATGGAATCCATAATTGAAGATAATAATGGAGAATAACTGTATAATCGAGAACGACCATCAATGGCATAAATGTGTGTAATTCTTGTAGATCAAAGATAAGAGGTTAAATACAACATTGTTAATGAGATGATTCAATTGAGCAAAGAACAATGATTTTATCGATGAAAATTTTTTCCGAATTATAAGATGGTTGATATCATGAATGAATTTTAAGCGATAGCGAAGAGAACGTTGAGATGATAGAATGGATACATAATGCTTTCCCAGGAATATGTTCATAATTGGGGTATAAATGGATGAAAATTGGATGATAAAATCCGTACATAATAGAAAATTAATCAGTTTATTCTCTAGAGTGAGTTGTATTGGATTAGAATGCAGTCTACTATGATAAGGCTTTTATAACTTTGAGAGATCCAGTATTACTACCGTTATATCTAATTAGGAAGTGGCGTAACTAGACTCGCTTAGCTATATGTACCCCTTAGTTCTTTTGAATTTGCCATCTTTACTCCTCTCCCTTCAATTAATCCTACAATCTAATTTATATTTCAAATATCAATCCAAACTGAACGAACCTCCTCGAAAGATCGAACCTCGTCACATCTTCAGACACAGTTTATTCTCTATATACTTCTTAATTCTTTTGAATTTATCATCTTTATTCCTTTCTCTTCAAATAAACCAACAATCTAATCCATATTTCCGAATATCTCTCAGTACTGAACTAACCGCCTCGAAAAACTCAAAATCTCTTCGGGTCTTCGAAGGATGAAGTCGTGGCTCTAGAGTTATATGTACTTCTCGAAATCCAACTTTCAAACTCACTAACTCGTCTTTCAAATCGCTTCTCATTCCCGCTCATCACTCACCCAGTCGTCTTTCACATCGCTTCCCACATCCCAACCCTCACTTGCTTGCGCCCCTTTTGGATCTTCCCCCTTTCCTATAATCGACTTTACCTCTTTCAGATCGCTCATTTCACCTCCTTACTCGATAAGGCCACTTCCATAGCACTTCTTCCATCTTGAAGATAACTTATCTCCACTTCCCTATTATATATTCTTTCTTTCTGGTTATTTATACCCATCTTCGATCCTTTAATCTTCTCTCCATTTCTTCTCTCAACTTTCCCTCACTCATTTTGAATCCACTCCATTAGATTCAATCTCTGGTCATTACTAAACCTAGTTATTAAGAATTTCATAATGTCGGAATTTACCGCCTTCATCCTCTCCTAGACCGGTTCCTTTACTTGTGTGTACCAATCCACATCGCGCACCATTCCGTGAAGTAGGCCTTCTGGCATATGTGCTGAAATGCTATGGGAGTTCGATAAATGATTTTATTACCTTGCATCGTGCATTGAAAGAATCGATAGAGGACAACCTCAATGGCAAGAAGTTTTGTCTGTCTAATATCTATTGGAGTAATTAAATGATACCCAAATTGTCAATGATGACTCCAAGTCGCAAGTCGCAATGGCAAAAATGGAGTCAGAAGGAACTTCTTCGCACAAGTAGCGGCAGCCAATCTTTATGGAGATTTTGACCGAGAAAAAACTTTAACAGGCCAACATTGCTGATTCGAGGCAAATTTGCACCAGTAAACAAGGTGCTGGTGAACTTCAAAATTGTGCGAAAGATCTGTTCATAGCCATCGATTGAAAATATGTACATTTCAGAAATGGGGCCAATACTTTCCATATCGTATACCAGAGAGGGGAGGAGATTAATTATATCATTTCAGATGAACAATAAAGGCTACTATGATCGTGCGGGAAGATAAAAAAATAAGAAGAAATCTAGTTACCGGCTATTCGGGTGTCTAGCTGATAGCATTTCGGACTTTTAAGGTGGGAGAGAATAGTTATGTACGAATATACTTGGATGGATATATTTGAAACATTGGAGTCTGCCCGAACCTGTACCACAGGTGTTGATGAAATAGAATTAAGAAATGTGAGTGAATTATGACGAGTAGACCGGCTAACTACTACTGAAGGTGAATAAGACTATACTAACCTGACCCGTGACGAATGCAATAGGACAATTTGAGCTTGTCAAGAAACTGCTGGAGAGTATTAAAAGTAATGAGAAATTTGTTGCTAATCTTTAGAGAGTTAAACTGTCAAATATTAACCCGTAACTGTTGGATGGTATATATGGTTTGACAAAATGGTAAGTAGATGTGTAGTGTGGGAGTGAGGGATAAAGGGGGAGCGGTCTAATGGTAACAGTAGCTGTAGCGACGAAAAATGCTAGGAGAATAGAGAAGAGGAGATGAAAGAATAATCAGAAAGCAAAGTTGAAATTAAAGGAGAAAAAACTGAATGAAGGAATAATGGAAAAGAGTGGAGTATGGAATAAAAGGAAAAGAGGAAAGAATGGAAGAAGGAAAATGGAAGGAAAGAAAGAAATGGAAGGAAGGAGAGGAATGGAAGGAAGGGGAGGAAGGAAGAATGGAAGGAAGGAAAGGAGAAAGAGAGAGAAAAAAGGAAATGTAAGATGGAGGTGGAACTGTATTGGGACTTGAAGGTCAAGAAAGTGGGGTGGAGAAATTAGATGGAAGGAGTGAGTGATGAAAGGGGAAGGAAGTTGAGGTCATGGAAAAAGGTAAGGATGGACCATTAAAGTACTTTATGATGTTGATAGACTTATGATGAATTGATAAATAGTGATTTTTGAGAGGCAATTTATAATGTTGATAGGCTTGAAGATGATAATGGGGAAATTGACAATGGAAGCAATATATCGACAATGATGGAGAAAGCGATGATGATGGGAAATCTGCAATGATGGGAAAACCGACAATTGTAGAGAAATAGTCAATCATGATGATACTACAATGGTAAGGAAATAATAAATGATAAATATATGACCGAAGATAGTGGCACTACTATTAGAGCTTGGATGGAATCAGGAGTAAAATCCTTAACGAATCCTTAACGAATCAAAGTGCACGGATATTTCGTCAATTACCCCACCAGATGATCTGTCCTTGTTGATGGAACTACTCAGGTTAAAAGTTTAATGGATCGTCAAACGCATCGGGGCGGAAAACACCCATATCCTGGCGGAACTAGATAGCATCTCGATCTTCTAAGGAACCTTCTAATTCTTGGCTTACAGGCCAAAGCACAAAGGGACCAAGACGCCAACGAAGAGTTCTAGATTGATGGCTACCAGAACCAACATGTATGTGCTGAGAGCATTGGTTAATAAGATGAGAGCATTATATAATACGATTGCTTTGGCTCTGGGCGAAACCACTTGGAAGATAAAAGGAATTTGCGTTACTTTTAAATTTCAAGCTGCTGTGCTCAAGAAGCATCTAGAGTGCAATTCAATGTATATCTTTAGAGATTTTGCTTGGAACTCGTGTTTGCAATGTTGGTTAAAGTTTTCTAAGAATAAACTTTAATTGATTTGAATCTGTGTTCAAGATATTGATGAGTGAAATCAATGGAAGTTATATGATGGAAAAAGGCTATATAAACCTCTCTACTTCCCCTCTCAATACATTCTATCATCATCACACTCATTCATTCATTCATTCATTCATTCATTCATTCATTCACTCATTCATTCATTTATTCACTCACTCATTCATTCATTTATTCCAACAATCAAACTTTCTTTAAGAAAATCAATCACTCACTTTCATCAAAATGAGGTTCTCTATTGCCACCATCATTGCCTTCGTTGCTATTGCCAATGCAGCTGCTTTACCAGTTGCAGCACCAGAAGCTGCAGTTGGAGATGCAAATGCAGTCGTTGAATCTTCAGTCGATACTTATTTCAGTGGACAAGTGCGAGATATCTCTCAAAATTCCTTATAAAATGCTAATGATTTGATAGTTTAATGGCGCTGGAGCATTGGTTTCCAAAGATGCTGACGAAGTAAATCAAGCACTTCAAAAGCGCGATCCAGCAACTATAACTGTACTTGCAATAGCTGGCGTCGCAGCCATTGCTAAATTGACCGAAATCGCTATTGAACTCGCATCACAGACGCTCGCTAATGTCCAAAAATGGAACCCAGTGAGTAGCCTTTAAACCTTCTGAAAGGAATTGCTTTGATGCTAATCAATCTATTTTCCAGGCACGTGAGGCGTTCACTCGGAAAACTACCCTCGAGATGTGGAACAGAAACCCAGATTACAACAAGTACCCTGCCGTTGCTTGTTACAACAAAGGTTATCATCTCCAAAATCCTAGTGGTCAAGCTGGAAGAGTATCTGTCAAACTCGAGCTTGGTCTTCTTCACACTAAGTAAGTAACCTATATGCTTTGACAGCTATCCCTTCACAATTCGATAGCTTACTATTATAGCTACGATTGTCTGTTCATGACTGGAAACAATGTATTTATTACTCATAGCGAAGGTGGATATATCAATGTAAGAAACCATTTTTATAAAAAAACAAATGCAACTATTTTACTAACACATAACTAGCTTTCCTACAGATACAATGGCAGCCGTTGCAGCTTCAACAAATCCAATGGCGATTTGACTTGCAAATAAAGAGTTTAAAAGCTAGAGTTCTCTACTACGAGAACTCCATACAGCACAGCACGACTGTCTTGTTATCAGTAGGAGGAGAAGCGAACATGGGTCAGGTGGCCACCTGATCCATTGTTTCGTTGATAGATTTTCGTTATCATTGCATGTTTACTTGTTCGGGCTTTGTTTTGGTTTGGCACTGTTGTGCTTGGTTGGTTACTCGGATAGACTAAAATATAGGATTTGTTCATTTTGCATTCATTCGAATCTTTTGATTGATATTCTTGATTGAGAGGAGCTCCATTAATGAATACAGTGATTCTGCATGTGAATCACCCCCAAGCTCCACTTGATCGACTTGGTCGATTCCGAGTAAAAGCTTCCGCCAGTCGTCGGATGCCAACTTATCCTCTACTGGCTTGCCTATCTTTTTCAGCAACCCTTCGTAACCGCCTTTCCCAATCCTTTCATATTCACCTAACTCCGCTTGGATCAGTGGTACCGATGAGTTCCAGTCCCGGATTAACCTCACAATCAGGGTCCTTGAATATCGTGCGAGATAACGCATCTTTTACTCTGTTTCTCTCGCTTTGGAGGTACTCGATATTAATATTGAGTACTCTCAAGTCATTGGCCCGTCATAAGTAAATTTCTGCGGCTCCCAGAAACGCAACGCCCGAAACTCAATAGGGTCCGCTGGTACTGGCCAGTTTCGTAAGTTTCCCGCTCGTTCATGTGTGATGGCTACAAGACCTCCTCCTGCTTTGTGCTGTGTTCGGAATGCAGTTACTTCTCTCAGGAACAGCTTGAGTTTCTTAAACGATAATAGCCTCAGCTTTGACCACAACAAAGGCGGCAACATTCACTAGGTAGCTGAGAACTCACGGAAGAAACCAATAAGTTCATTTTTAATGAGGTCTGATTATTGTATTATGTTCCACGTTATGCCAGATGAGTGAAAATGCCTTGAGCTATGCTTGGAATAGTTCTTCTAATTACGAAAAGCTCTGCGAACTTAGGTTATGGAATAATGCTTCACAGAGAAGTGCCCCAACTCAATTCATCCTCATCAATTATTCAATCATGAATTCGCGCCACCATCTTTCAATCATTGCTACACCCATTCTATGTATGTAAATAGCCATTAAATACGGAAAATATGGCACACAGAGTTTATGCAACGATTCGTTGACTGGAAGGATGTTTTACCAAATGATTTATATACGGTACAATACCTGACCGAAAGGGACTTTCCCCTAGATCATTTGGGTTTGGAGATTACATATCCTACTCCAGGTCAAAACCAAATAACTTGGGAACAAAAGAATCGTGGCCAGCGGGTAGCTGCACTGATTCAATCTCAAAAAGCTCCGATTCTAGCTGAACAAGAAGGTTTTTCTGCTGCTGCACCGAAAGCTCTGATGTAACGGATGAGATATTGTCGAAAGGGAGGGTATGTGTACCTGACTGGAGGTACTCGTATTGTTTCTGTTTATGTTGATTATGTGTGGAGTTGAAGATTGGCGTAGTTGGCTCCAGCTGAGCAAAAGTTTTTTTCTGCAACACCAAAGATGAATATGCATGCCCATCTAAAACTAATTCCTGAGGGTGCTTCGATCTCAACCATTAAGGAAATTTTAGGAGGTTTGAACAAATTGAGCATGGGTCAAGGTTCTGATCCTTCATCTGCTCAAACTTCAGCAGCCAAAAATGCTCTTCAATGGCCCCAGGCTGATCCATACATTCCGTCGCCAGCCGGCCACATGGGTCGATTTGTTCCACTTCAAGAGCAGAAGACTCCGGAAAAAGAGAAAACTTCAAGGAAACCTTTCAAGTTTTCCAAGACCAGTCCTCAATTCGCCAGTGCGAAAACTCAGCAGGGGGCTGGGAGTAGACAATCAGTCACATCCCGATGTTCCAATTCCAGTCCCTTCCGTTTAGGTTGGATGGAAAGCCACAGTATTGTGCCGAAGGTCTAACCTTGAACTTTGACCAGTGTTACAAGGGCAAAACAAGATTTGGCCAAAGAGCTTGATTGAGAACAAGTTCAACTTCAACTTCAAAGTTTTAGATTTGCCTGGAGACAGATGTCTTATATGGGTTGAGCCCAGAGGCTCAAAATGATCCCAATTAGATTTGGGTTGAACTTTATCACGGAACAAAGTTGCGGATGTTACATAAATTCCTGCAAGACTTCATGGAAGCTCGTGTTGGTCTGAATACCAACAGCAGGCCAAATATCTGGGCATATTTTGTGGAATGGGAAATGGATCAAAAAAATCCCGCCACAAGAACCAAGAAGGTTTCAAACGAGCCAGCTTTGGTGAAAAATGGGGGAAAACATTGAAAGTATCTTCATTGACGCTTTCTTGGAACTTCCGAATGCTATATGTTACTTGGATGACGATGACGATGACGCATATGCATCAAAACATCCTGGATATCAATCGGATTCATTGTCCGGAACCTTTATGCCTAAGGGTTTTGGGAGTCAAAATGGCTAGTCTCCGAGCTTGGAATAATGACTGACTTGGCGAAACCTTTTTTCTTTTTCCTTTTTAAGTTAGATGAAATGTAATCATTTACCCTTACCTTTTCCTTGAGTGACCAATGTGCATCTATGTCTTACGTGAATAGTTTGAATTGAGATATACAACATAAACAAAAGTTGAAGATAGGCTACACTTCATCACCGCAACTTTTTCGAGGGGCGTCTGAACGTCTAATAATTTGTTTTATCGATATTTCGAACGGTCATGATGAGGTCAGTTTGTCGAATCATTCAATATTTTCAAATTTCCTATGCCAGAATCAGAACGAATTAAATGTCTATACCTGCCAGCCGAAGCGGTGGCATGGCGTGCTTTTGGGTGGACCATATCTCCAAGCCCACACCCAAACACTTTCATCACAACACATACGATCTGCGAAGAATCCATTGGAATGCTATGCCGCTCTGAGAGTTGCAGCTCCTTGCTCCTTCTCCGTTGCCAGCAAGCTTGGAGGAGACTTTCAAATCTAGTGAGGAGCATTAAATCCAGATATTATCGTCATTATTTTTTTCCCCCGAGATCCTCGCTTCATTGAAATGGTTAGAGCACCATCTAACAAATTGAAGGAGTTTTGTAGTGAAATTTTCCTTGATGCGCCCAAGAAAATCAATTCTTTATTCTCCGGTACAGCAGCGACTGTGCTTCTAAATAATCTGATCGATTTCCGGGACTCCTTGGTTGAACTAAATTGCTGCAAGAACAGAATGAACCATCATAGAGTTTTACCATTGAAAGTTATAGCAGTATTATACTCGATTTCGTTCTTTTGCATCATTCGCATCATTCGTATGTATTTAAAAGCTTGCGAGGAGTTCCTCGGTGATATCCTAGATGTTTAAGCATCTTCAGGATATGCTTTGGAGGTTGATGGCATTTGGGACGTGGAAAGAGAGATGGTGGAAAGAGAGATGATAGTACATGGTATTAAAGTTTAACAAATTCCTCGATGAAACAGCCGACGATAATGAATGTTAGAGATGTCAAGTAATACTGTTAAGGACATTTGTTTGATAATGATTTAGAAACCTGAAAGGATGGGAAAGAAGCCAGGAGGGACGAAAAGTTCCGGTGGAAGTAGAGTTTGTGCTCTCGCTACTAATTCTGAATAAGTTTTAATGGAGTCGTGATTCATGCAGTGATCCATATCCTTCTGAGCAACGGGATGGAATAGAGCTTAGTTTGCCATGGGATGTGATGTTAGTCCCCAAGTCTTGTTAACCCACGCTTTGGCATCATCAGTGTAGAATGAATTCGCCACATCACCCTGACTTACAGCCCCTTCTCTTGAGACTTTGCTCTAACCACAACGGGCATCGAAGTGAAAGTTGACGGCCAATCCAATTCCACAAGATCCTGCTTCCCATCGCGACAATATCGCAACCAAATCGACCAGGTAATATTATTATAAGCGGCGATCCCAGTCAGAATATGCCTACATTCATTAGTTTCCTACTCTATCTGAACATCAAAGACAAGAAAAACAAGACAGTACTCACCACCAACCATGACCTTCTAAAAGAATTCCCCACGGCAATCCTACCTCCCTTCTCCATCTCCTAATCTTCCCACAATAAATATTATCCAAGTTCCAGATGGCAAATGCGATAGCTACATAACTCAATCCTATATAATTCAACCTCCACATATTTTTCAGAATGTGAGAATCTCTCTCATCTCTTCTTTTCTGTTCTGCGGTGTTGATCTTTCCGACACTTCCACGGCGAGTGGGGTTGAGTATATGTTCCATTATCCACATACTGCGGAATACCACCACGGCGGTTATCAGTGCGAACATGTTCTGATGAAAGACCGGATCCTGAAGATAGTGATAGTACAAAGTAATGAAGATAGCCATTGCAGAAATCGAGATACCAATGAGGATACGAGCCAAAGGTGATTTGCGGTGCGCGAAGACTGCGTATGCTAAGATACACTCCAAGTAAATCATAGCCAATTCGTCGAGAAGTTGCATGGGGTCTAACGGGTATCAGTCTTGTCGACTTTTCAACTCCTGCTTGAGACAGGAGAATGGCATCAGAGAATGAAAAAAGAGATATTACAAATCAAGGTAGAATGGAATAGCATGCTTCCGGTTCCAATAACCAAATAACTGACAAAACCAACGAGAAACACGTGGGCATGGCCATATCTAATACAGCTAGCAATTCCCTTCCAAGCCAGAAATACAAACATTAAATTCGTAATCGTGTTCACAATTTCAGCTGAATAGATAGTGGCATAGTAGTCCTGAATACCATGTTAGCAGTGAAGATGGAAGTATTGACGAAACGAAATTTAGAAACGTGGGAAATAGAGGAATACGCGCTTCTTCGCACCAATTAATTGTTGATGTAACAGGACCCCAGTAGCCAGGGCCAGGGGAAGGATAGGGTGTTGATGGAAGCATTTTGAGGGGATTCGTGTAATGCTATGCTAGAAAGATGCCGTGCTGGTCCCCCAATGCAAGGCGTGGATGATGTCTATCTGAACTCTGAGTGAACGGGAAAATTCAGATGGGTTGATGGGTGATGGATTAGACAGATTCAAGCATGATATAAAATGTGCCTTTAAACCGTCGTAAAGCAAGTCTGCCACGGGATTCACCTCACAGTGGACAATATGTGGCCTTTTGATCTTTTGATACCTACAGAAAATCTTTAACATAATTGAGCACAATTTTATACAGTATCACGTGATGGCATGCATGATAACGGGTCGACTTTACCAACCTCGGGATGAGAGGCGCTGCTTCGTTTCTCCACGACTTTTTGAAGTGTCAACTGCGTTTTTGTCCTTCCTTTCATTCGCTTTTCACAAAATTAAAGTTTGATTTCTCGACAGTCTCGATTCATCTCATTAACCAGCGACTTATCTAGGGTATTGATGAAATTTTAAAGGACACAATTCACAGGGTCCAACACTACAATCTATATCTAAAACCCCTCGTCTCAAAATCTGTAAAATCCCCTTCGATAACCCCATCTACCACATCACTATTCCCACATCTGTTTCCTACAACCCCCTCCTCCATCTCTCTCCTCCTATTAACCCTCTTCAAATAAATTCTCAACACCACGCCCATCCCAACCGCCACACAATAACACGTCAAGATAATTGCAAAGCCCATGCTATATCCAGTCTTCTCATTCTTTCTAAAAATCTGCGGTCCAAACATATTTCCCACACAGTAGGCTACAAACATGGCGGCACTAACTGTCATTTTCTTCGTTGTGCCTTTTGTGTTTGCTCCTATGAGACTCATTGTTAAGGGGATTGTTCCGTGGGAAAATCCGATTAGGTAGAAACCTGTTAGTTTGAGGGAACTGAGGGGTGCCCAGTTCATGAGGGAGGTGCCTATGATAGGGGGAAGAAGGAATATGGGGAGGAGGAGGGTGGTGGTGTTACGATAAGAGGAGGCTAGATGACCGGTTGATAGGATGGTTAGGAAGGAGATTAGAGAGGAAGGGAGAGAGATGAGGGTTGATTGGAGACTGGTGAAACCGAAGCTTGTTATTAGGATGTTTGCGTAACTTGTTGTTCCGCCATTGGGAATCTGGATCTTCTTAGTTGTTTTTCTTTGGATTATGGCGGGAATAGGTGACAAACCATGGTAAATAAAGAGATGAAGAAACAAAACCACGTTTTTGGATCAAGTAGGCATTCGATAACTTGTTCGGCTTTCCATTCATTTTTGATGGACATAGTGACGCCAGTTCCAGCCTTTAAAACTCTCTTTTCCGCATATTCTCTCTCTTCAGGGGACAGGAATTTCGCACTAGATATAGTATCCGGAAGAAAAATAAGAACAACGAAGCCCCATATCGCTGTCGCGGATCCAAATATCTTACGATTTGTCAATTTTTATCATCAATCCCTTTGTGGAATACTCACAATATACAACCATCTCCAAGGTTTCAACGAAGAATGAATCTGTCCAATCGTAAAAGAAAGCAGATTGGCAACCGCGCCTCCGAATGAATTCCCTGCATACCTACATCATATCAGTTCTGGTATCCTGATCGGTCCTTCATCCAAATAATATCACTCACCACAACCCCATACGACTAGGCATTTCATCCCTAGTATACCACATACTCGTAACATACAAAAAGGCCGGACTAATACTTGCTTCCACGGCGCCTGTGAAAAATCTCGCAATCATTAGTCCCTCAAAAGATGTACAAGCCGCCGTACTGGCTACAATGATGCCCCATAGTACGATATCAGCTGCGATGTATTTTGCCACAGGAAGTGTTTGAATGAGGTAGACGCCAGGGTATTCCCAAAATAGATATCCGAAATAGAATACACTTGAGATAGCGCTGAATTGGTTTTTGACGAGATGCTATGTAGATATTAGTCATATTTTGGGGGACTATAGGGATTCTGATTTCTGGACTGCAGTTCGAATTGGGAAGGTCCTGAAGTTTGACACATTTTGGATACCTCTTGACAATTGTCGAACGCCAGCTAGATTGATTGCATCAAACAGATTTGACAACTCAATAATCACCCATTGTCGAATTGAGAAGGAATATATAGAATACCGGAGGATATGAAAATTATACACACCGTATCCTCCACCAATCCAAAAACAGCCGCACTACTCAAAATCGACTTGTCGATATAATTAAAATTAAACGTTATAAACATCAGAGGCATAAGTCTCAAATCTATTTTCCTGACTAGTCTTTTGATGAAAGCTCCGTTCCCGGGATAATTCTCCAGATGTGAGGATTCTTCATTTTGTTTGCTGGATTCGAGGGGTTCTGGGAGGGAGGATGAAAGAGGAGGGTCATCAGAGCTGTGTGAGGAAGATTAGTGTGTTTTGGTGATTTGGGAATGAATGGCACTGGAAGTCAAGATGGGGAGAAGAAGTGTAGGCAGATAGCTGTACATACAGTAATGGTGTATCTTCCGCTGACATGGTGAATGTCTAGCTTTGAGTTGTCGATATGTTCACGCCACTTGCAGACCTCATTTAAGATCACGATGTAGACAATCTCCGTTTCGAGGTTTGATACGAGGTATATCAATAGGAAACTCAAATTGTACCCGAATGAAAAAGTTCATTGAAGTGTATATGTTTTTGAATCATGATACCCGTGTTTGTACATGTCACGAGCGTCTTATCAGCAGTGGGAAAATCTCGGGTTAATTGCGGGGTTCGAACTGAATCATGGGCCAGCTGAGCTGACGAGGAAAATTATCATGGAGATAACACTGAGACTTCTGGTGTATAACTTGAAAGGCATTTTAGAACTTCTATTGATAAAGAAGGAATTTCTGAGGCATTGATGGATTTGTAGTTCTTATTTATGGATGGGTTGTCGTGCTGTATCATGTACGATTTACAGGTTGATTAGTCTTTACCTTAACCTTACTCGATGTTAGGAGATGTTCATTACAGTTTCCCGTCCCATCCATAGCTTGAATAAAAAGAACATCCTACCGCCGCTCATGTTTCGTCCAACCTACCATAATATCTATCCCCAAAAACCCAGCTCGTCATATTGCATGCCTTTGCAGCATCGCATCGTAGCACGTTTCGCAAAAAGCGGATGTAACTCCACAAGCCCTAAGCTCCTTCCTCCGTTCCAAACTCATGATGTAGAAGTAGATCAATCGCGCCAATAATTCTCAAATTCTGCACAATAGTTGGACTATGGTTATCGCCAGGAATCTGAATCCATCTCTTATTTAATGTTTGAAGATGCGAGCCCATATTTGTGACATCTTGACCTAGGAGATTGCAAAGATGGTTAGACGAGAGCCGGCGAAGGCTACGCGCTTTTCGCCTGCCATTCTGTAGTTTGTTGTTCCGACGCATGCGGCGATATGTTATGATGTGAAAGGGATTTATATACGACCTACTAACCAGGTATCCATCATGACCGTATGTGCAAAGCCTCGTAGACTGACGATGTGGAGTAAACAGGCATCTAGGCAAATTCGGCATTTTTCGAGTAAATTTTTTGCAACGTTAGTATATTCATAATGAGTCGTGGGAATCCTTGTTAGCAAAGGCCAATAAATAACATTTCTATATATCGAGTATCTTTATCTCAAGAATCCTGCGAGCTACCTGTTGACAGGATTGTGTATCGACAACTAATATGTAGAGCTGCGGGTGAAAAGTCTCGCCATTCTTCGAGTTGATGGCCCAATATTTTCACCGTGAAAGCAAATCGAGCATCATCAACACTTGCTCCGGTCTTTCGGGCGTGGAGAAGATTATGGACGCAATGTATCATCCAGCTCGTTGACATAAAAGCTATGAAATACGGTCATGAACGTTGGTTGCGAACCTGCGAGTCGTATATAGGATCCCGGCTAATGCATAATTGTTTCGATTGATGCAAGATCTGATCTCGCAAGACCAGATAGCTCGACGAGATCACTTGAATTGCTCAACTGAGAACTTTCGTACAACGGTTTTAGACTCAGCTCTCAAGAATACGACATGACCAGAAGATGCGCTTTAAGCATCCGACATCTTCGGCCAATTCACCGGGCGAGGGGTACGATAAGAGTAGCGAACATTCTGTAGCGGTTGAAATAATGTATTCGCATGCTCGAAACTATCGTTGCGACAATGAAAGTATCTCCCATTTTCATGGCCAATACTTATCATGCCGAACGAAAGGAACCCTCACGCAAATAAGACGAAGCCGAGCGGAATGGGGGTTAATAAGCTCAGAATAATCCCGCCATCTTTTGAAAAAAAAATTAAAATTGAGTCCAATCAGCTTCTGCTTCCCTCCAAGCCCGTCAGTCAAGTGCCTATTGAATGATTGCTTGAACTTTCTCCGTAGTATCGCGCAAAAGCCTTGAAAGCTTCATTGGCATTGGCTTGTGCCATCAACCAACCAGCAGATTCTGGTAACCAGAAGATGCTGATATCAACGAAGTCGGAAGAGAATAACTGGCACCAAATGGATACTCTCCAACTGCCTTACGATAGTGTAGCTCATATTTTCTTCCTTTCACCGTTAGCGCGAGGTGCTACCAAAGCCCCTCTGTTATCCTTCTCTGCAGGTCCATCATCATTCGCTTCATTCTTGCCTACCCCGTCGTACCTGCTTCTCACCTCGTCGAATCACGAGAGAAATCAATTTCTGGCTCTACACCGGCATCATCAACCCTCACTTGTAAGGTTAAGCATACCCCGGATTCACAATCTGGGGAAGATGGGAAGCATTTGCGACTAGTAATCCGGAAGCCAAGAGCTTCCATTTCAAATCCGCATTTCGAAGTCATGATCAGGGTGGGTGGTGCGCAAACAATTGAAACTCAGATCTCGTGCTTATCATATGGATAACCTTAAACTTAACTCATCGGCTCCATATTCCCCGAACCAAACTTTTGACCCCTCTTTTCACTCATCCTCCATTTCACCCAACCAAGGTCACAACTCCAACACATTTCGTGATGACTCTGTTGGATTAAAACATCGGAACATATATCCCCGAGCCAGTGGTTTCTCCTATCAACTCAAACATCTAAGTGTTATCTTGTAACGATGAGTTACTTGGTGCGCGCAAAAGTGGTGCGATGCCCAATCTGGGCGAAGATGAATACCGAGTAGTGATAGCTTTGATCAATACTTTTGTAGTATATTTTTACATGTCAATGCAGGCCAAATACCTTCCTTCTTGCAGCAAATGCTTATCGCATTCTCGAGGCTCGCAACATCCTTTATAGCTGTAGCAGCAACCCCACGATGGCTTCTGATTTAACCTCAGATATTTGCGACGAGAAGATTTTCCAGCGAAATCGACTACAAACAAGGTCTTATTATATTCCACCTTCTTCTCTCCTGTTGAACGGCACATGGGACTTTCATTATGCTCCAACACCGAAACACGCACCACTCCCGGCTCAAGCAAAAACACCAGCCCCAGAATCGGATGTTAAGGAAGGCTATATGAAAGCGCCACCAATCTCAAAAAAACAAATCCAGACTCTACCGGAGGATGAATTAGAATGGGAAATCATAACAGTTCCGGGTCATTGGCAACTTCAAGGGCATGGACGACCTCAATACACGAATACAATTTTTCCATTCCCGGTTTGTCCTCCTCATGTTCCAACAGAAAACCCCACAGGAACGTACCGCAGATCCTTTCACGTTCCGAAATCATGGGATGAATATTCACAATTGCGATTGAGATTTGATGGTGTAGATAGCGCTTTTCATGTCTGGGTCAATGGCCAATTTGTTGGATATTCTCAAGGATCCAGAAATGCGGCAGAATTTGATGTTTCGACATTTCTGAATCGAGCAAGCTCAAATGAAGTTTGGGTTCGTGTATATCAGTGGTGCGATGGATCATATATTGAGGATCAAGATCAATGGTGGCTATCGGGTATGATTTAACTCATTGAGAAGGGGATAATCAAACATAAACTTACAAATTGTCGTGCCAGGTATCTTCAGAGATGTGAATCTTTTATCATTTCCTACAAATGGAAGGATAGACGACTATTTTGTTACACCCAAGCTAGATGAGAATTACAATGATGCAACTCTGGAAGTTGCTCTGGATTTGTTTGCCTCCTCTCCTGGTGATCTGGTTTTGATGTTACGAGATATTTCCAACGGTAATAAAGTCATATCAGCTTGCTCTGGATCTTTTGAGTCTGGTGCCAGGAAACTGAGCTTGTTCGTATCACAACCTAAGAAATGGACTGCTGAAACACCGTTTCTATACCAGCTTGAAATTTCAGTCTATATGGACGACAAGATTACCCATACACTTCAGCAAAATGTCGGCTTTCGTTCTATCGAACTTAAAAATGGTCTTATAACAGTCAATGGAAAAGCCATTTTATTCAATGGTGTAAATCACCACGATCATCATCCAAATTTCGGACGTGCAGTACCATTATCTTTTGTCAAACAAGATCTACTGTTGATGAAGCAGCACAATATCAATGCTCTACGCTGCTCGCATTACCCATCTCACCCGGGATTGTATGATTTGTGTGATGAACTCGGTTTGTGGGTGATTGATGAAGCAGATTTAGAGTGCCATGGATTCTATGATGCCGTAGCATACCCGGCTGATATTCCAGAATCAATACCTTACGAAGAGCGCAAGAAGTTGATCTTTCCACAAGCCGCTAAATTTACCTCCGATAACGAGACTTGGCGCGATGCATACATTGACCGAATAAGCCAACTTATTCATCGAGATAAAAACCACCCGTCGATCATCATATGGTCTCTCGGAAATGAGGCATTTTACGGGCAAAACCATAAGGCAATGTACGATTATGCAAAGAAGATTGATCCGAGTCGATTGGTCCATTACGAAGGTGATACTGAAGCGAAATCGGCAGATATGTACTCCTACATGTATCCACCAATCGACGTTCTAAAAAAGCACGCGAAGACTACTGGTGTATCCAATGGTTCTTTTGATAAGCCTATTGTGTTATGTGAATATGGTCATGCCATGGGTAATGGTCCTGGAGGCTTAGAAGGTTATCAGACTGCGTTCCGGAATTACCCAAGACTCCAGGGTGGATGGATTTGGGAATGGGCGAACCATGGACTATGGAAAGAAGAACCGGGTAGAGAAGGCTTCTATGCATATGGCGGTGATTTTGGCGATGTCCCGAACGACGATACATTTGTCATGGATGGCCTGTGCTATAGTGACCATACACCAACACCTGGCTTGACAGAACTTAAGAAAGTCATTGCTCCAATTCGTGCTTGGGTTAGTGGTAGTGAAATCGCCATTTACAATGGTTATGATTTCATAGGACTAGATCATGTCGTCGCTTCATATAAAATTGAGACGTTTGGAAATGGGTTCGTTAACATCTATTGCACCCTGAAAATTCCAATTCCTAATTTTTGAATGCAGCCCGAAAATTTTGAAATCAGGAAATTTGGCAATTCCAGATACTCTCCCTGGAGAAATGTCTTGCATGAAATTGCCCTCTATTATTGCTCAGCAAGGGGAGACTAGTGAGAAATGGTTTACAGTCACATTCCAGCAAAAATTTCCCACAGCTTGGGCTGATGCCGGCCATGAGCTCGCGTGGATGCAGCACCAACTCTCAGCTTCTGACAAAAGTTCCATTCCCCGCGTTCTTTCCACAAACACATCATATTTGGATGTAGTTGCATCTAGAACGAAGTACAGGATTACAGGATCAGATTTCTTATTTGTATTTGATGCAGCTCGTGGTAGTTTGTGCCAATGGAATTTGACACGTCCAGCGACCTTCAAAACAGGTCAAATACCAATATCCTCAATTGCACCAGGTTTCTGGCGAGCACCGACGGATAATGATATGCCATTTGACTTTCCTTACTATCAACGATTCGGTTTAGATGCGATGACATCCCAGCTTCGTTCATTCAATGTGGAGCCCTCTAAAGAAGAAGTTACTATTACCGCTGTGACATTCATTTCGCCGCCAATATTGAATTGGGGTTTCGAAGCTACTACTACATATCGAATTTCATCAACAGGTTCGCTTCAAGTTAAAGTGGACCTTAAACCAACTGGGTCAATGCCAAATCACTTACCTAGAGTTGGTTTGGACATCAAACTCCATGATAACTTCGATAATGCTCGATGGTTCGGTATTGGACCAGGAGAGTCATATGTGGATACATGCTCTTCACAAAAGCTTGGTATATACTCTGCTGATGTCGATCAATTGCACACTCCTTATGATGTTCCTCAAGAAAATGGTAATAGGATTAGGACCCGATGGGTAAAGATGACCAATTCTTCTGGAGTTGGAATTAGAGCAAGTTCATCTGGAAGCCCAAAAGCTTTCCAGTGGGCAGTTACAAGATATTCTCCTACTACATTGCAGAAAGCAAGACATCCACGAGATTTGGTGAAAGACACAGAGGTTCTGTTGAGATTAGATGCTTCAGCTGCAGGAGTTGGATCGGCAGCATGTGGACCTGGAGTTGAGGAGAAGTTTCAAGTGAAATGCGAGGAAATAGGATTTGAGTTCGTGTTTGAGAGGATTGGGATATGAGCAGCGATGGCAAATAGATGGACAACCAATTGGATCATTAACCTTTTCATTCCTTCGATAGCCCGATCTTATAAAACTCCCTGCCTGCCTCACTCCACCGCCGGGTCCCCATTCTTCACTGATAAACATACAAAGCCCGCTCAAAAGCAATCCTTCTCCTTTCTTCCAATGCCTCGCTATCATATTTCATATATTCCGGTGCTACTGCACTCATCATTTGTGATAAATTTGCGCTAGCGATTCGGAGGGAAGCGGTGTCCTTTTTTACCAAGCCTGTTGAAAGATGGGTGATTAGAATTTCTTTTGAGATAGTGCTTAAGAGACTACACTCTGCTGGACCACAGTCGTCGAGGGTTTTTTGATTCGCTTTATATAAGGAGAGGAAAGATAGAGTAGTGACAGAGAGGAAAGGGTAGGAATAAAACGTACCGGCAACCCACAACTTATCAAAAACAGGTTTCGTATCAACCAATAAAGAAAGTTGACCCTCCGTCATATCAACTACTTTTGTCATTGCTTCAAGAAGGCTTTGTGCCTCAGGGCCACTTGGAGTAAATCCTTGCTGTAGATTTGTTAACATTTTGTTTGAACATCGCTTCTTCATAACGGGTGAACAGTCATGAAAACAAGACAAAGGTTAAAGAAATAAGAGTGGTTGGTTCGGCTCGTCGTACCTCATAAACCGCAATTGCTTTATTAATAGTCGAGCATACATCGTTACTCTTTTTTCCGAGGTTTATGGCGTTGAAATAGGATATTGAGGGGCCTTTTTGGAGTATCTCGTTTATACCTTCCATTTTATGTGGGATGGAGGTTATGAGGAGCTGGAGATTGTCCATTTTTGGAAGTGATTATTGTTTGGAATAATAGGTAAGGAATTCGAGAATTGAGAATTAATTTAATTCAACGACAAAAACAAATTTGTAAGTTAGTGCAGTGAGAGTATAGTATTGCTTCAAAAGTAGGATGAGTTTTCGATGCTTGCAAGTGCTGTTCTGAGGCTTTTTATGTATTTATACATCCATGCCACCATCTTCAAAATCGGCCTTTCACATGTTGAAACTTCGCATGGTTGGCTTTTGCCCATGCGAACTTGTTTCGTGTTGCATGAATATGGATCATTGTTTGTGTTTGGACCTCTCTTTGTTTATGTGCCCCAATATTCAAGCGGAGAAGTGGGCTGAGTTGAGGCAGTGGGCATTGCGGTCAGATCTTTGGGATTGAGAACCCAGGGTCAGGTGATTGATTTGGATAGTGGCTTTAGCTTTGATGCATGGTATTTTTTAATTTTGGGGGTTTGCTTGAATTTCTTTGAGTTTTGGGATATTTCTGGTGAGAATTTTTGGTTTGTATGGGTTTGGGAGATTTCATGGGGTTGGATGGGTTTGAGGTTGCATGTTTTGGTGGTGATATAGATGGGGTGTTGTTTTGATCCTTTCTTGGCGAGTAGAGTATTGATTGCATGCTCTTTTTCTTTTCTGTTGTGTCGAAGTTGAAAGTGCAATATAATCCTGTTATTAAATGATGTTGAGGTTATTATATGCTCCGAGGCTGGTGCTTCAATGCCGGATACTTCTATGTTCAAGTACGAGTGTTCCTGGAATAATGCTGTAGCCCTTGAGATACTTGGGTTAATTTTCGGTTTTTTGCAGTTGATATAAAGATGCTGGTAGATGAAAAGAAACAAGGTTACTTTCTGCTGTGTGCTTATTGAACTATTGAGATCTGCTAGTAACGTTTTTGAGCCATTTGTGATTTAGTGATCTTCAATCTGGATTGTACTGAGCTCACATAGATTTTAAAGAAATGGAATTCTATCCCTATTTTGTTGGTCTTTCAGATATTAAAATATGTACAGATATTGATAACATATATCGAGGATATTTGGGAGCCACACGAGCCTGAATTCTCTGTGTATTGAATTACGAATGTCACATAATTTCATTGTTCTGTAGATGATTTTATTGACCTCGAAAAGATCATTTCCCAGAAAGTCATTGGGCTATTTGGAGATACTGGACAAAGAACCTGCGTCATGATTCCTGTTCACGACTCAAAGAGATGTCGAGTAGCGAGGTCTATAGATTTCTTTGTCCATTACTTTGGGTCTTTCACATCCCATCACATTACTGGGGATCCTCATTACGTGAAGTTATAATTTCATCCTTCGAAATTAACCAATTCCTATTGATACTGAATATCCTACTAGTTGCTCAATAAATTGCGTAAAATATAGTCAGTGAACCTCACCATGCAGACAAATAACTTCTTGCTGAAAACAATTCCATGGCTTCTTACCCTATTAAACTCCATTCAACTCATCACTGCTGATTCTTCAGCCGGACAGCCAGGCAATCGGAAGTCCCCCGGTCGCTATGTCTTCGCTCATTTCATGGTAATCAATCCCTTCTCGTAGATACCAAAACCCACTGACACCCACAGGTTGGCATAGTAAGCAACCGCGCCAGCTCCTCCGACTATGACACTGATATGCGACTCGCTCGCCGCGCCGGCATCGATGCATTCGCTCTCAACATCGGTACCGACGCTTTCACAGACACACAACTCGACTACGCTTATGCATCCGCCGCCACAAACCATATGAAAGTATTCTTGTCCTTTGATTTCAATTCCTGGAACCCGAGTGACTTCTCTTCAGTAGGCACAAAAATCGCAAAATATGCTAATCATTCTGCACAATTAAGTGTCGATGATAAAGTCTTTGTATCTACTTTTATAGGCGATGCTCTTAACGTTGCAGATTTGCGAGCAAAAGCAGGGGTCCCCATATTCTTTGCACCGAATTTCAGTCCGGGTTCGTCTAATTTTCAGGAATTGGATGCCGCGTTTAATTGGATGGGTTGGCCTAATAATGGTGCCAACAAAGCGCCATCTTCTTCGGCAAACTTCACAGTTCGTGATGGTGATGTGGCTTATATGAATGCGTTGGCAGGTAAAGATTACGTGGCACCTGCTAGTCCGTGGTTTTTTACACATTATGGACCAGAGGTGCCGTATAGTAAGAATTGGGTCTTTCCGGCTGAGGGACAGTGGGTGCAGAGGTGGCAGGATTTATTGGGGTTGGAAACGAGGTTTGTGGAGATTGTTAGTTGGAATGATTATGGTGAGTTCCAAAAATTTACGCGTGATTGGAGTGGAAGAGATTCTGATTTGGAATAGGCGAAAGTCATTACGTAGGCCCGCTATCTTCTCAACATACTGATGATGGAAACTCGAAATGGACAAATGATATGTAAGATTCCTTTTAATACTATAGTCCACTTAATCGAATTGTACTAACACAACCAGGCCTCACGGAGCATGGCTCACACTCGCCACCCCCTTTATCCGCGCCTTTCGCGCGGGCGCCACCTCCCCCGCCAAATACATAAACCGAGACCTCATAGTTTACTGGTACCGACCCAATCCTCTCTCTCTCAACTGTGACGCAACCGACACAACCATGCTCGACGCATTCAATTCATCCGGCGAATACTTCCACGGTAAACCCAATGGATGGGAAACCGAAACCGATACCATCTTCGTAACAGCTCTTCTCAAATCCCCCGGAAACATAACCGTCGTTTCTGGAAACGGTACTTTTCAATTCAATGCCGTGCAAGGCGTAAATGCATTTACGGTACCAATGGGAGTAGGAAGTCAAATTTTTGGGCTCTGGCGAGGTGGGAAAGTAGTCTTGCAGGAAACGAGTCCTATGAATGTAACGGAGATTTGCGCGTGTGGAAATTATAATTTCAATGCGTATGTAGGACGAGTTCCTTCTTCGAGAGAAAAAGATCAGTTGCAGCCTGCTGGGACGGCTTTGTTGACGAATGGCATTAGGGTTCCGCCTGCTCAGTGTGTGGCTGTTACTGGGAGTGCGGGGGAAGTTGGTGATGATGATGGGAGTGTGAGTTTTTCGGAAAGTACCAGTGAGACTTTTGCTAGTAGTGAGAGTACTAGTGAGAGTAGTACTAATCAGAAGAGAGCTTGGGGATCGCCGAGTCGCTGGGAATGGATTAGGGGCTGGAGGGACTTTGTGGATTTGGGCTAGGGTTAGGTAATTGATTTTTCGGGTGGTTCATTTGCTGTTTCGTTTCTTTTTGTGTTTTTATTTTGGTTATAGTTCGGGCACTTTTTAGGGCTGGATGTTTTTGTTCGTTGTTGCAAAAATGTAAATTTCAAAGAGAAAGCTCAAGTGCTCTTGGTTTATCGCATTTAAGTATGTTTATAAGACGATAATAAATGTACTTTCCCAACATCATTTTGTGTAAACAGTTCGTAATTCTCGAATCGTGATGTAAATATCAATTGGAAGTATCATTTCGCGTTGTTGAGACTGTTTAGGGAGGTATGAGAGAAAATGTAAGATTACTTCAAATGAGAATGAATTTTTATTCATTCATTCAGTTTTGCTAGTTCAACAGTTTATATATGCGTGCTTGTGACATTATTTTAGTTCAAGGCGGGACAGTTGGGCCTATTCGCAATATAGTAAGTCCGCACGTTAAAGGTTGACATTTGAAATAGCCTCACCTAAGTCCCTCCTATCTTCGAAATACGAGAGTCGGTTTCTTACACGTAGCAGTCAAATTGATGTGTATATGTATCTTGCCACCAATTAATCTGAATATCACTTCATAAGCTGCCATACGTAATTTCTTCTTGTCCGTTGGAAACTTCACTCTAGTATGTCACATGTACCAAACAACAGCAAATCTCCGGGTGATTTCACCCTATTGGTATTCAAAGTTGGAATTCTAGTGCATGATAAATAGGACGAATTATCATAGGTAGGGGCGATGCCACTCATTGTGCCGTACACAACGCAACCTGACAGCCATTACCATTCTTCACTACCAATTTCACGTCTTCAGTCCATGTCCTATTATCACGAGTCTCTATCATCTCAAACTGAAGTGCCATCCTAGCAATTATGTATGAAGCCTCCCCTACGGCTTTGTGTCGACCAGCGCAGCTCCGCGGACCGTGACTAAATGGCATATATTCCCAATTGTTTGGAAAGATATCATTCCATCGGTCGGGATTGAATATTTCGATATCCTCACCGAATATAGATTTATCTCGGTGGAGTTTGTAGAAGTTTGTGCTAACGCTTGCGCCAACTGGAATAAATATCGGAGCTTTACCATCTGGACCTCCGCCAGTTGGAAGTGTGGTCTTGGTAAGAGCTACACGACCGTTTGCATGAAACAGAGGATAGATGCGTAGAGCTATTGTTGTTAGTTTTCTAGCGACTAAAAGTCCGAAAATTCTTGAGTAAAGTTAACTTACATTCTTTAATACTATTATGAAGAAGTTTGAGATTCTTCAAGTCGGCTGCGCTCCAATCCTCGAATGGTCCGAGACCTGCAACCTCCTTTCGAAGACGCGCCCATACTTCTGGATGTCGAGACAACAAGAAAATAGTATTGCTTAAAACTATCCCTGTCGTGTCTTGGGTAACTAACATACCTTGGATGATTTGCGAGCGGATCTCACCCTTGCTTTTTCCGCGCAATACTAATTTCTCGAGGAGACTTAAAGCAGACTCCTCTGGCTTTGAAACTTTTGATTTCTCCAGTGCCTCGGTAATATGATGATCCACAAATGAATGCACTTTCTTGCACGATTCCCTCCATTTCTTACTTATTAAAGAGACACCGCGTCCAATCTTTCCAAATGCTAGCCGTATGCCCATCCAACCTTGTGCAGTATTGAATGCATCCTCAAAAGTATGCATATCCACCGCAAAATCTCCCGAGTATAATGTTGCAAGACGCTTACCGAACAAGAACTGAAGTGATAGATCCAAAAACTGCAGCTGATCAATGTATATCCAGATTTTATTCTAAGTTAAACTCACCAGTTCGTTGAAAATTGGCGCCAAATCTACAGTCTCCCCTTCTGATGGCAAGTCTTGTATGTACTGTTCATAAGCCTCACCAAGGAGTTTTAGATTAACAGTATTGGCCTCCGTCAAAGTTGAAGCAAATAAAGCTCGATGACTTCGCCATTCTTCGCCATTCCTAGTAATGAAACCTCTGCCACAAAAAGTTTCCATGGCATCAGCTCTTCCTGTACCCCATTCCTTCCAATTTGTTCCATATATGGCCTTCAAATTGTCTGGATGCACAGTATAAATGGTGGTCCGCCCAAGACGTAAAGCCTGAAAGGTCTTGCCATACATATCATGCTGCTTTGCGTGAGTCTCTAAAATCTTGTGCTCCTTGCTTATCTTAAGAGATTCTTTAAATAGATCCAGGCCGAAGAAGGGGTCGACAGAGGGTAACTTTGGAGGTGGTTGACATTCCACAGGTATTTTTCCTCTCAGCTTCCATCTTGTATAACAAAGGTAGCAGAGAATAACTGGAAATAGTAGTAGGATATCAATGATAGAGGATGGCATAACTAATCGTGTTTCCTAAGCATGTGGTTTGGGTATTTATTTTTGATTTACATGGCATGGGGATTAATAACTTTGACACTGGGAAATGTTCAACTCACGTGCTTTTATTTCTTGTGGTATGAAAAGGGGTAGCTCCGATTGGATATTCTATTCACTGCAATAGATGGGGTCAATGCGGAATAACATCCGAGAAGTGATTGAGATATATTGTCTCAAAACTACATGACCAAAACCTCTTGGCCGCTAAATGCCGAACCTCAATGTTGCATGAAGTTTCAATCTCTTGTTCTCATCCATCAAAATGTCATCAAATCAAAATAAATGTAACAACACACCCTTTACATGCCGCTATCTTCCACTTCTGGATCTCGAAACTCAGCTCCACACGGTCGGAATCCCATTTCAATCCCTATCTGACTCAGTTTATCCAGTTTTAAGTAGTGTTCGAGTCTTCGTAAGCTGCAACGAGAAGCCCATTCTCATCAATGCTGTTATCAGGCCATCTGACATATTCATCGCCATCTACCATGAGTTTAGCACAATCACGCTCCATATTTGGAAAGTTTTTTCACGGACCCGTGGCTCGAACAATGGAGTAGTCTACCAAGATTGATGTTAGCGGAGTTAAATTTCAGTTGTGTGATCTATTTATCTTACCAATATCGCCTAGAGGGGCAGCTATGGCGATAAATCCAAGACTTAGAACTACGAGTTGGTAGAAAGTAGCGCGCATTTTGCTGTAGGTCTCTTGGATGAGGTCGAGTCTGAAAGGTGTTGGACGGAATTCCAATAGGTATGTGGGTCTAATTGACCATTTTGTAGTTCGGGAACCTTAAGGTCATCTTTATTTCCACGTTCAAATCAGTTCCTCGGATAATTCCCAAAGTATTGGATGATGACAAGTAGTAGAAAGCTTCGCCTTCCACATGCATAAGTGCCGAGTACCATTTATGAAGTTCTGCCCTACGAGGTTCTTTGGGCATATTGTTTAATCCCCCCAAGTTTCATATCCTTTTCCCCTTGAAAAAAGCCTTATCGGTTTCCCCCTCATCTTTAATCTCAACTTTTGGTCGTACAAGTGTCGGACATTTATCGTTTCCGCAGGTACTTTTTACGGTTTCTTATTTAGCCGGTGACCAAAAGCAGGTTCGGTGTCAATTTTATTGGATAATAATGTTTCTTTTCAGCTCCTGGCGTGTCGAGCATCTTCCGATGTCAATGTTTCCCTCACCGTTCGCGGAGATGTCATCGGGCGTTGAACTCTCCATAATCCTTGGCTAAGTGGGCAAAGCACTGAAGCCCACTACTACCTAAACGATCATACGATGTACTTCACGTAACAGCAGTGATACTACGATGCTGTGCATATTTATCAGATTATGTTGAACTGGATTCGCCAAGGTGTGATGTACTTGGCTCAAATTAAATATGTGTACTCGTATCAATTTCTAGCAAATAATCCATATTCTTATGATCACTACACAATGTCATCAGAATACAAACCATTTCTATCAGACGAGGAAAGATCAGAAAATGAAGATTCTGGGAATAGACCAGGTAATTCAAATGTAACTTGGCGATTCATTTTCTTACATTTTTTCCTTATCTCAATATATACAGCCATTTTTGTATTCATCATTCACCGAGGAGCCTCAAACACATCAACTTCAGTCCATCGTATGCTCATTCACTTCCCTATCACAGCTGGACGCTAACTTACCTTTTATTTAGCTATATCAGGCTTGAAGATTCAGTATGTTCCGGTCGCTCCTCCCGACCTTCCATCATCACCGTACGCTGGACCACCAAGTGATTCGGTAGACCAAGCATGGCATGATATATTGAAGGATATCAACATACGGGTCACAGCCGAGGAACTAGAGAAAAGCAATCAGAAGTCCATAGCTCTCCCAGAAGGTGGTGGATATATGGCTTGGATTGGAGCTCATCATCAATTGCATTGCATTGCAAGTCTTTTCTCAATCATGATTTAGAATGAATAAGAAACTAATAAGCCGATAGAAAATGCTTCGACGCTGGAACTATCGGGATCATTATTATCCAAACATTACAGGCTCAACAATAGAACATTGGAATATCCATGCAGGTAATCAGTCATTTCCACTCTTCATCTAAACGATGATATTGACTTATTTATTAGATCATTGTTTTGATGTTCTACGCAGTGCGGTGATGTGTCAGGGCGATACAACACTCACAACTTTCGGATGGGACAAATTGTCAAAACCACAACCGCATGTCAAAGCAACAGAGCATCGATGCGTAGATTGGATTGCATTAATGAGTTCTCTTGCAGATCGTGTTGTGGGCGAAGAAGAAATGGCTGCGCTTGTCAATCCGAGATTGGAAGGAAGTGCATGATCGGGATAGAGACTGGGGCCGTTGCATTATTGAGATATTATATACGACAGTGTTATTGAAAATTAACCCCTTTTAGCACTTTTTTTACGGCATTCATGAATGATCGAGAGGATATTGATATGAGTTCTTAAATGTCTATCGCGAGGCATGGTATCTCTGCTGAGTTGTATAGCTTGAAGACTGTCCTGAGCTTATAGTAACACGAATCACTATGTGACTATATATAGTTCCATTAGCACAGAATAGAATATCAATGGACTCATAATCTTTCAAATCATTCTTCTGCATACGTTTGCAAGCCTCTGAAGTTTTCAGACTGGCTTTCAATGCTTGTCCCACTTCTTAGCAATACAACTATCATGCAAATATCTTCCTAATGATACTCTCTTATCTAGTAATCGTACAATTCTCAGCTATTCAGGCTTTCCTCCCAAAATCCTTGCACGCATTATCTTCCGAATCAGATCACTCCGCATGATCTTCTCCTATCTCCAACTCTCACCCTCACGTTCCAACTTCTGTCCCTGCCGAACCCAATCTTGCAATTCTTCCCAATTCGTACACATATGCTCAGTATCCCAGCCTGTTACACCCTAAGTATTCTCATCAGTAAAAGTTCTTCCCTTAATATCCATCCCGTTTACCCCAACCGTTTGCCTCAATCATTGAACAACGAGAATATCCACATCAACCCCAAAATTGCGAATATGCTTTAGGACTTAGACGAACTTACTTTCAACTCAGGATCAACTATCTCAATACTACTATCTCCACAACACATCAAACTCTGTCTTAAAAAATCAATACAATGTCTCATATGACTTCTTCGCATATGAGGTTCTAGTTCTTCTTCAACGAGTAATGTTCCGCTTGTCGCAGCGTCATTATTGAGGTAATATATTCGGCGTATTCCATCCTATTCTACCATTAACTTTCCATTGTTTAAACTTCCAGAAGTTAAGTAAAGGAGAGATTTCAAGGCTGTGTAAACATGGGAATAGAATTAGGAGAGGGGAAAAAGCATATTCTTACCAAGCAATGCAACTGATGTAGAACACTCAAAGTAGCTCTTTCTCCTTTTAAATAAGGATGATTGAAAAATCCGCCATTTCCTTTTCCCGGAAATAGTTCATCCCAAGCATTATCAGTGACATTAGATGGCGGGTATGAGAAACTGCGATTATAGGAGAAGATATATGGTTCTTTAGCAACTATTCATCTACTATCAGCATTGCGCAATGATTCAAAAAATCAAAATCAAAATCAAAAGACGTAAAACTCACATTGAGGTCCAGAAGAGGTGAGAACGATGGAATTTTTATTTAAGACTCTTGCGAGGGCAAAACCTAGGACACCGGATGCGAAACACGCCGTGAAAATGGACAGGATATTCCATTTTGGCTTTTTGTCTTCATACTTAACATCCACATGTTGTTTTGCTTCTTCGTCAGAATCGGCTTTGAGGGGTGTGTAAAAAGGATTTCTGGTATTCATTGGAAACCACATTGTGCCAAGAACTTTGAACATATTTGCACGTCACTCTAATCTCTAATACACAATGAAGTAAATGAAATGGTAAGATTATAATAACATTACAGCATAGAATGAATGACGAAGCACTTCTCCAAATATTCCGCGGATAATTCCTGCCTCGGAACCATTTATTGGAGTAACTCGTGGAGCGGCACGGGTTACAGTATGCATGGATACGGAGATGGCGTGTTTGACTCTACGCACTCTTTGCACTATTATTTCAGAGTAAATTGTAAATTGTGCTAATTATTCCATTTGGTAGGCGCCAATATTTCCAGCACGAGCTACCTACCTAGCTATAGAAGAAAACCGTACGTACGACTGCCAATATATATCTTTATCGTCTTGGTTTCTTGGTAGGTTGTACATGTATAACCTTGGATGTGACGAGTGCATAATCATATAACCGCTTCAATCATTCTCTTCATCCTTAATATTTTAGTAGTTATTGTCCCTAGAAATTTTGGATATCTAAAGGTCTTATTATTCGCTCACTGTAACCAATATCGTTCCAATATAAAAAGGCTTCAGCCGAGTTTTAAGAAATGATAATTACTCAAGAAACGCACAACACCGGGAATTAATGCACCCTTAAAATCTCCAAACTTCCAGCTCAGAAGAAGAGTGGAACCGGCCCGCCCGAACTGACATCTTATAAGCACCTTAGTAACCTTAACTGAAGTCCTGAAATCTCCGAATCAGATCTCCCTCCAAGCCCAGTTCTACCGTCTTGTCCTTCTAGGCCCTTGGGTATGATTGGGGTTTAAGTTATAGGCTGAGATAATAGGCATGAAGGGTAAGATGAGGGGAAACATATTTAAACTTGTAAGTTAACCTAAATGTTAGGTTGTGCTGTTACACGACAGATGGATGGATGGATGGATAAGATGGGATAGATCAGTATATCATTGGTGAATTATGCGAAAATATATAAAATTAGGGCGGAAATTGGTTGGCGAGGAGTAGTGTGGATGTGCTTATGGTAGCACATGAGGAGCAGCAGCTGATATTAGAGTATATTCCAGGCGTTGCTTGGAGGAGGAAAGAATTAAAAGGTATGAGGAGTTTTGAAGGATGAAAAGATTTCGATAAGATAGATAGCGGGAGAATCATGAAGCTTAAATGAATGCAGTTACTATACACATCTGAGCATTCAATGATGTAACCTTAACTAAGAAGAATGAACACTTCGATCTAGCGGCTTATATTATATCTGCAACCAGCAGCAAGAACTTGTGTTAGCAATCCAGTACCACAAATATAGCCACAAAATTTAAAATCGCGTGTCTACCCGGTCTATGCCCAATATCTCAACGCCTCATTTCTTGGTATAATACACAAAGCTCATGTACATTGTAAAAGAAACGTGTACATCCGACTCGTTGCATTCATTAATTCACTGAAGAATATTCCGGCTCAGCCGTTTCCACATTTTATCCCTCACGATTCTGTAGGTATGTACCTACCCAGCCATGCATCTTGAAGAACGGTAAGCTCCAGTACCTAGGTAGGTAATTACTGGTAGGTATGCAGTACGACAGTCGTCGGCGCTCCGGCTAACGAACCGGTCATGATCATATATGTAAAAATATCCCCACTCGAGTCCATAGGTATAGGTATCATTCATGCATTTCAAACAATAGATGAAAATCTACTCCGTGATATCTCCCACCAAATTTGCAAGGAAAAAATAAAAATAACCCGAAGCTTCTTTTCCCCAATTATGGCGATTCCAGAAGTTGCTGTTGGCGGCGTAGTCGCAAATGTGATTCTCGCCTTCTTTGCAACTATCATCGTTTCCTTACGCTTCTACGCCCGGAAAAGAAGTAAGTTGCCTTTGAAATCTGACGATTGGTTGATTTTATTCTGCTTGGTATGTTCACATGATGATTTCCCTCTCACCATGTAGTCCATTAATGATTTTTGTGTGTTAGGTGTGCTCAATCGCACTATGCGTCGAATGTATCTATGCAGCAGCTACTGGACTTCGAGGAGTTCACTTATCGACATTGAGTTTTCCAGATATCGAACGGTTCTTTGAGATACAATTTGCGGATACCTTGATTTGTCATTTCGTGTATGGACTTATCAAGGTATCGGTGGTGGTATTCTATAAACGAATTTTCACAAGTCGGACTTTCAATATTTGTGCGAATACGGTCTTGGGTATGATTTCGCTGTATATGATTTTGTCGTTTTTCGTAAGTATTACTCATTTCCATGTGGAAGTAGATCTACTAATGAAAAATCACATACAGCTTTTCCTCTTCTCTGCTCACCCTGTTGCCGCTTACTGGAATACACCACCCGAATTAATCGGCACTCAATTTATTCTCGATGTTCCAAATCTCGTCATTGCTTGTGCTGCTGTAGACATCTTTCTTGATATAGCAGTCTTGAGTCTTCCTTTCCCAGTAATCAAGCGTCTGCACATGCCGACTGAGAAGAAATTTTATGTTTCTGGCGTCTTCCTTCTTGGTGCCTTGTAAGAATCCCTTACTATTTTCGCCCGCCCACAGTAGATCTATTGCCAATACTAAACTTCCATAGCTGTCTCATCTCATCTTGCATCAGGCTTTACTACTCGGTGAAACTATTCGGAACAAGTACACCAGACCTCAGTAAGTTCTTCTCCCTTCAGCAAAACTCCACCTCCACCTCCTCACCACATAACCACAATCTAACTAGCATCCAGAACTCGACGAAGAAGTCTACCTCTGGGCACACATCGAAGCCTACGCCTCAACAATAACAGCCTGTCTCCCGTGCCTCGCACCTCTCCTCCGCAGCGGCCGCAACCTCGGCAGTATGATCGGCAGCGTACGATCTATATTCTCCCTCCGCAGCAAAACCAGTTCCCTATTCCGAAAACCATCTTCTGATTCCACTTCCAACAATATACCAAGTCCGATCTCTGAAAAAGCTCCTTGGAATGAGGATGGATCGACGTCGGTTGTTACAGGCGGAGCTAAGGATTTGGAGAGTCAGAAATACCCAAAGGAGAGAATCTTGGTTGAGAAGAGCTTTGTTTCCGCTGCGGGGTCGATGGTTAATTGAGGTGTAGTGTTAAGTTGGTGGATGGGTGAAATATGTAAGATATATTTCCCGGGGTGGAATCCGGTCGGTTGGAAAAGGAGAAGGTAACATTAAGGTTATACTCGAGTATTTGGACAGCTCTATCCCTTCCGTAACGATTGTATTACAATTAAATTTTGGCTGTCTCAATAATTACCTTGACATATTCCACGATTAATCTTTGAAAAAGCCCCTAATAATTCTCGAATAATAAAACGATGTCCATTTGAATGATCAATGGTTCAGAACAACCCCGGCACCTTAATCGAAGCTCTGTTTTAGATCCTAGCTTCAATCCCAGAATTTTCGATCCTTTAACTTTTTCCAATTGTATTTACGATAACATTGACTTCAAAAGCTATAATATTGATGTTCTCCGACCCCAAGCGCGCGCGTGTACTGTACTGCCATCAATCCCAGCCCACCCGACCTAGACCAACACGAGGCTGAGTAGGCGCGAGCCCTAACATATATGTAGATCATGAAAAACTCTTTAGAAGGTTGAATCGATCAACTCTCCGAGTTATAACTACTTCCTTTCTTTTTTGCTTCGTGGGATTCAGAAAGCTAATCTAGTCTCTCTTATTCATTACGATCTTACAACTATTAACCTCTGTCCACAGGAGACACTTGCAACATTATGGCAATTCAAAATTTGGATGTAATTCCCCGATTTCCCAAACGACGTGAAATTCAAAAATTATCAGTAAACACCACCATCACCCTCAATGCCTTACCCGCTCAATCACCCATTCCACTTCCCACGTCCCCTTCCAAAATCATGACCTTATCCGCTTATTCCAGAGATTTATCACTCTGGGGAATACCGCGTTGGCCATTTGAGCCGAAAATGGAGCGAATTCGGACGCTCGTACTGGAGCGTTTGGGACTACGAGCTGATATACCTTGCATCATATCCTTTGATTCGAGAACAGCATTTAGGAAAATCTACAAGATTATTATTTATCAGAAGATAGAAGTACAAGAGGGTAGAGAAGGACAGAAAGAGAGGATATATAACCTGAGTGTTAGATATCCCTTACAAGAAACTGACGAAACGCTAAGTGATGTGGCCACTATGAAATTTGCACGAAAATCGGGGGTTCCAGCTCCAAGGGTAATTGCTTGGGACGCGGATAGAAGGAATAGATTGGGATTTGAGTGGATTTTGACAAGGAGGTTGGAGGGTAAATGTCTAAGGAGTGAATGGGAAAATTTATCATTTGGACAAAAGGAGAAAGTGGTGAAAAGCATAGCGAAATACCAAGCAAAACTGTTTGCGACGAATTTTGACGACATTGGAAATCTTTTCGACGCGCAAGATGCAGATGATTACGTCACGGACTACCGATATGGCGATTTTAATACTTCACATCAGATATCTAGAGAAGTGCAACCTTTTGTTGGTCGATTGATATCGATAGCGTCAATTAGTGAAAAGAAATCATACTGTTCTTTTCCCAATAGCAGCTCTTATTTAGAAGCTCTTCTAATACCCATTTGGAAAGAAATATTAACGACATTACGGACGTCGACTAATGAAGAAGAAATCATTAAAGCACAAAGGCTTCAGAAGCTTATTGAAAAGGTTCATGTTAAAATCCTTCAAATAATTCCAGAGACAACTGTATCTACAGTCCTGGTTCACGACGAGTTATCAATGAGAAATATTTTAATTGATGAAATAGGAAATGTAATAGGAATCTTGGGATGGGAAAATGCGATGGTTATGCCGACCTGGAAGGCGACCCAGTTTCCTCAATTTTTGACTAGTGAGTATACACCGCAATCAGAGAGAGTAGATCAGGAACATATTACTGGGAACATGGATGCAAGGATTGAAGCAGTAAGATTGAAACGTCTATATGACGACGAGATGGCAAAGAGGGTAGTAGCTTGGAAAGAAGAGATCATTCTAGGGAAAACAAAGAGGGAGCTTGAATTTGCATGCAAATTTTCCAGTATTGAGAGCTGCATAAAGGAAATAGAGGACTGGGTAGATGCACTCGAAACAAATGTACCGATAGCTCTAGTAAAACAATAACTTCAGGTACGTATGGTGGCTTCAGGGAAAAGAATCGTTGTAATAACAAATCGCTCTAGAGCTTATGCTTTCTTATCCTTTGCCATGTTCGCAGCAATCTTCATTTCCTCGTCGGAGGGCATATTGACGATCATGAGATACAACACATCCTACAACCACATGAGTATACCAGTATATGATAATTCTCACCCAGGGAAATCGACTTACCTCGTGAAGCCTCCTCTTTGCCGTCCTTAAGATTCCTATCCTCTGAGGTTTGGGATTTTCATCCTTCGTCAAACCTTTTCTTTCACGCCTTCTCTCTTTCCTGGCAGCTCGCCCTAGGTGACCACCAGACAATACTCCGATTATTCCACCTTGATTGACAGGGTGAGATGGATCAGCCCAGCGTGATGAGGGTATTTGAGGTTCGCCTGCGTTAGTTGCCAATGTTGTTGAAGGACTTTCGTATGCCTGTTAAAGCAAGTTAGACACTCTTCCCATACAAATACGATGGAATAAAACGTAAAACTATCTTGAGATGAAAATGACGCAAAAACATACAAATTTTGCTGTGCTTCTCTTATCCCTCCATTCTCCAAACCACACTCCTGCTTTCTTCATAGCATTCTCTTTTTGTTCATCACTTGCCTTTTCCAGTAATGGAAAGACTAGTTCCGCACTTTCCGGCATCTGCGACTGTCCGATTGTTTTACCACTGGTAGAGTGTAGGCCACTGCGGCCTTGAACCTCACGTGAAGCAACAGATGTGACTATTTTGGTGTTCATATCAACAGTAGAGACAAACGGTTGAGGATTCGAAGAGAGAGCTGGTTTCCAAGTCATAAGCATAGCATAAAGTCCGTATGGCTTGAAGAGTTTCTCATTCATCCCCTGGAGGTATTTGTTTTGTCTAGGGGGTAGAATTAGATTCATACCTCCCAGCTTGACGATTAATGGATCAGACAGAACGTACTCTTTAGACATATATGCCCTTCTACCAAACTCAATACTGGTATGCACTGCAAATGCAGCAGCATGAACAATAATGCTCGGGGCTACAGCGATTCCTTCAGCCATCACACTTGCAGCCACGGCCAAATTGACTACATGAAAATATGGTGATGCCTTCATAATTTGTTAGCGATCATAAACAAACGATCATATTATCACATTATGAATCGCCAAACAAGCCGTACCTTGATAGAAGCCTCGAATCCTACCAGAAAATCCATGAAAGTATCCTGATCAATGCCACAATCCATCAATACAGGAGCATAGGCCCTCACGAATCCTCGATGTTTAGATCCCGGTCTTCGTTCTGGAATAATTACTGGGACAGGCAACCCTTGTTTTATCTTTCCTTGTGTAGACGAAGATGAATCAGGATGTTGTTTAGTGAAGTCTCCGAGTATTTGCTTTACACTCTCAGGTTCATCCACCACTTCCTGATCATATGGAGACAATTCGGCTTGTGTATCGTCTCTAATCCAATCGCCTTCGTCATCTTCATCGTAACTTTCGTATCCATGGACATTGGAGACAGTTTCATCGCTATTAGATGGAGCAGCCGAAGCATCTGGAATTTTTTCTTTCTGGTCGCTAGCTTCTATGGTCTTTCCCGGATTGGCTTTCTTATCTTTGTATGAGGCGTATGCATCGGTGCCAAATCCAATGATCCCATTAACAGCATCTCTAATAGGACGTCTACTCATGACTCTGGTAATATCTTGTTCAATGACAATTTTTGTAGATGTCGGCAATGTCAACTTTTTCTGAAATAACCAAAGCCCAAAAGTCAGAATAAAGGACACGAAAGTTCTCTATTTTTAGACCCCGCATTCCTCGCGTTTCTATCTCTATGGTAGATTGATGGAAGCGGAGAGGAATGTACCTTTGTGGCTTCATATCTAGGTCGAACTTATGCGGCTCTAAGTAACAACCCATTCACTTATTCACATTTCTAGAAACCGAATAATTCCTTCTCAGTTTTCCCCTTGACCTTGTTGATAACGAAATGTATAGAAACATATTCGAATATCTCATGCGATTGCAGTTGAAGTAGTCTTTCCGCCGACCATGGGCAGTCGAGGGAACATAAAATCAATAAGTCCAACATTTGGGCGGTTCTCATAAACGCCGCATTCAAAGTTTCTTTCAGTTCAATCTCACTGCTTCAGGAAATTGAAAAGTATCGACGGAATGTATGTATGGAATACCGATGGGAGCGGTGGTATAAATACTGATGTACAGAAAATATAGTGCGGCTTCAAATCTATGCGGCCGTGTTTCCTGCAGACCCGTCATAATCAGCATTTCCAACTTTCCAATAGTCCGGGAATGCATTTCGACAATTGCAAGCTTTTCAATACCTAGATCCAAGCGAAACACTCATGTCATATATGTCATTTAAAAAAGTTTATTTAATTTTAAAAGCCTAATTATTTCAAAACATTAGATTAAAAGCTCACTAACGAGTTCGCTATGGAATAATGTAGTCCGGAACATCGAATAACCTTGTTGTTATCGAGGTAGCGATGGCAATCAATACCTTTGACATGTGAATCTATAGTAATGGAAGTTGAACCCATTGATGGGACAAAAGACTCAGGTTGATTTTCCAATATTAGGAGTAAAATGACTCCTGAGTATATAACATGTAAAATTTCAATGTAAATGTGTTTTTTGCTAATTACTAGATATATGCTGAGTGACCATGGACTTTAATATTGAATTAGTTTATATACAGTAGGCAATTCGAGTAAAATAACGATCGCTTGTATACCTAGTACAGGAGAGGGGCAAAGAGGAAGAAAGCCTAAAGCGGGAGTGTCATGTGGTATCCACGTGACTTGGTCATTTTCCAATGATGCAGCTTGTTTCACACCGAATACTGTAATGTGAAGTCCAGGCAGGAGCAGGAATGCATTTAACCGGCAACTATAGGGCTACGATGATTCTAGGAATGCCTGGTTTTGGTGAAGAATAGGCTCGACTTAATAGGCAGATCAAATTCTACATGATAGTTTCATGCAAAGCTAGGGCGGGCTGCATCCAGCGAAGGAAGATTTAAAAATGGAATCACATTCTAGTAATGGAAAGATTTCCAGAGATGAGAAGCAGGTACAAGACGAAGGTTTTGGATGGAGTTTGTTACCTTGCGTGGAGATTGATAACCGGTACCATTGATATCCATAGGTAAAGACTTGCAATGCTTTCAACATTTGCCCCAATGAAGACTCCTCAGTCCGTCGATAATTCGGATACAGTGTCTCTAATAATTCAATTGATAATGCATTAAAATTTAGGCCGAAGACCAGTTGCAACGTCTATCTATCAATTGCCAAGACTGTGTTATCGGGGAGAGATATACCAATTCGAGTGTATTCAACCTCGACTAGATAGAAAGTAGAAAAATGTCTCATTTTCCCTATCTAAGGCAGGGGAATGTGTAAACATGATATCAGTATCGACATTATGGAGTAGCCCAAGCCCCAGCAGTCCAAAGTGCGGAGCGTTATCTGTCTGTCTGCACACGCCAGCCAGCCTGGTATCAATGCTCGAGTTCACACCTGGGGACAAGCGGCAATACTAAATACTCCAGCTAGGACCGAAGGACTGGATCCATTCACAATTATTGGGGAAAGTGTGAACGATCATGATGATATCTCCTAGATACCAAAATAGATTAGACATGATGAAGTACTGGGTGTGGTATGAGAGTACGGCGTGGGTTAAAATGTTTGGGAATTCCAAAGCTGTGAAAAATGTTCAATGCGAGGAACCCCGGGCGACTTTATTTCATTGCGATGATGACTTTTTCTTTTTCTTTTTCTTTTTCTTTTTTCCTTTCTCCCCTCTCGTTCTGATCCACCACCGGACTACCTAATGTAGTAATTCGTGTCGTGACATAAATAAGTCCGCATATAGGTATCCACGATACTGGAGTAAAATAGTAATGCCAACCTCAGAACGGTGTGCTCCAGTATGAACAACTGTTAGGGTGGAGATAATTTTGCAATTTCCAAGACGCGATTGAGAGACAAGACTCGGAAGAGGTACATATGAGAGAAGGGTTTCCGAAATGCGAGATCAAGCATTCATTCATTCATTCATTCATTCATTCATTCCTGAGAAGAAAGATACGGAGGACAGAAAGATACAAGGGATGGATGGAAAGTTAATTTACAATAGTCATAGTAAAATTAGCCTCGCAATTGCAGTAATACGGGTGGTGGAAAACTCGACTGGACAAATCATATCCTATCCGAGTTGAACGGAAGCAGAAGGACTCAACTAACCAATAAAACACATCTGTGGACCGTTGAAGACTCCACTTATGATCCTACCGCAATGATAATCCCACCGTATACTGTATATCAATGGGGTTACCCAGGTTCACCCCACCCCACCGTCCGTCTGAAAGGCAATTGAATTCCCCAAGATTGTGTTTCGTCTGTTTCCTATGAAAATTTCCATCGTTCCTTTGCCTCGGCCTCGGACGATACCATCTAGCGTAGACGAGAATTCATTTCTATCCCGTCTTTAACCTATTCAGTAGCTTGCTTCACTTGACGAGAAGAAGAATGCCAGTTTATCCTCCCAAATCGGCTTGGTAGAAGTTATCCGTCGTTTATGATGTACAAGGGGAGGGAGTCCTTCACGGCACCACCGAGGTTTGTCCATTTCAGCCTATCTTGACACTTTCACTCTACCTACCATGCATGTCTATTCCTCATGCAAGATGATGCATTTGTCTCCATGTATTCCATTCCCACTCTGATACTCACCCCATCTCCATGCCCACTCGCGCTTACTTACTTTCTCACCTTGTAAAATCCTGGCAATTACAATTGCTGGTCCATTAAGCCTTTCCCACCAGACTGCAACCTGCGCTCGCCAGTAAGAACTAAGGTTGATAAGGCAATCATACCAATCTCTTCCCACCGTTACGTAAATGGAAGGCTTTAAGTCGTTTGCTAACTCTCGCGCCTGTTTTGAACTAAACATTTTTGAGCTTTGCCAAGATCAATTAATTCTGCCATCCATGGTCAAGTAGGTATTTGGAACGGCAAACGCTCTATATTTTTTTTAGCTGCGGATGTTATATATCTGGAGAATTTTCCATCCCTTTTTTATCTTTCTCCAGATTTTGGTATTCATTCGTTATTCGAATTGGGAGGGATCGGACTTGATAGATCTAAAAATATCAGACGTATTTACGATAGGCTACAACAATCAACATGGCGGACTACAATACTTCATCTGGTGCAATGGTCGACCATGATGCCAACCAAGGACAATTACGTCAGAGAAACGTTGTCGGTATGGAAGAAGGACCTGATGCTGATGCACAACTCGCTGCTCAGTTTGGATATCAGCCGGTATTCAAGAGAGAATTTGGATACCTCTCGACTTTCTCCTTCGCCGTCTCTATCAGTGGATTATTTGCTACTATTATGACCACTTTCTCCTACCCAATAATGTCTGGTGGATCTGCTGCGGCCGTGTGGTGTTGGGCAATTTCTGGTGCTGGTTGCATGTGTATCGCTGTGAGTTCAATGATAGCGACAATGTTTCGACCATTTTACTGATTCCATATTAGCTTTCTGTTGCTGAGCTGGTCTCTGCATATCCTACCTCCGGCGGTCTATACTTTACAATTTCACGACTTGCACCGCAAGGTTGGGTGCCATCTATCAGTTGGGTTACTGGTTGGTTGAATCTTCTTGGACAGGTCGCTGGTGTTGCTTCATCTCAATACGGTGCATCTCAAATGCTGCTTGCAGCTGTTTCGATCGGAAAAGATTTCAACTACACAATTGACGCAAATACAACAGTTGGTGTAATGGCAGGTCTGATGGTTCTTACGGGCTTAGTCAATTCTTTATCTACCTATTGGATGGAAAAGATGACAAAGAGCTACGTTATTTTCCATGTTCTTGTTTTGGTATCGTGCTGCATTGCTCTTCTGGTCAAAACCCCAAACAAACATAATGCCACCTATGTTTTTACCGATGTTGATTCAACCTCCGGTTGGACCCCTGTAGGATGGAGCTTCTTGTTCGGTTTCCTTTCCGTTTCCTGGACCATGACCGATTATGATGCTACGGCCCACATTACCGAAGAGTAAGTAATCCGACTTTTCTTGAACCATTTGGGCTAATCAATCCATCAGAATTTCCGAGCCAGAGAAAAAGGCACCATGGGCTATTTCCATGGCCATGCTTTTCACCTACATCGCTGGATTTCTCTTTAACATTGTCCTTTGTTTCTGCATGGGTGATCCATCCGAGATTCTTGGCACAAGCATTGGTCAACCAGTCGCTCAACTTTTCTATAACAGTCTTGGAAAAGTAGGTGGTATTTTCTATACCGTTTGTGGGTTCATTATTCTTGAATTCGTTTGCTTTACTGCTATGGTATGTGATGAATTCTTTCCTTTCGTCTCTTGCAAAAATGGGCTGACAATCAATCTAGCAATCATTGGCGCGAACAGTTTTCGCTTTCTCTCGTGATAAGCTTCTGCCATTTTCCAAAGTCTGGACGAAAATCTTACCCATTACTGGAACCCCCATTGCAGCTGTTTGGATCTCTGTTGCCCTTTGCATCGCTATCAACCTTATCGGCCTTGGTTCCTACACTGCCATTTCTGGAGTCTTCAATGTTTGCGCCATCGCTTTAGACTGGAGTTATTGCATTCCAATTGCCTGCAAACTCATGTTTGGCAAATTCGAGCCAGGTCCATGGCACATGGGCAAATTCAGTACTGCCGTAAATGCATGGGCTTGTATCTGGACTGTGTTTGTCAGTATCATCTTCATTCTCCCGACCGAACGACCAGTGACTGCCCTCAACATGAACTACGCTATCGCCTTCCTAGGACTAATCCTAGGATTCTCTACCATTTACTGGTATATTTCCGGCAAGAAGTTCTACACCGGTCCTGTCATCGAAGCCGCCGACGGAGACTCCCTCAGGAATTCGTCAGACCGTGGCTCGAGACAGGAGAAGGTGGAGAACGGAAATAAATTATAAACCTGAGGTTTGGGTTATGATTATTTTTAAGATCATGATTGATATGATAATTTTGCGACGTATCTGCCATTGCGACCTTTATGATAAGGGAGAAAAGGGATTATTAGAGCCATTGCGACTTGACGTATCGATACGCGCAGGAGGATTTTGTTTTTTTTTATTGAGATACCACTTCATTTCCCATTGCGACCATACCTATTGCGCCTTATAAAAGCTATTACGCCTTTAATAAATAAAAATACAATATAAGAAGAAAAAAATATGCAAAATAGCCCAAGGCGCAACAAGACTCTGCCCATGCTGGGAGAGATTTCTTGATTACAATTCAAGATCACGTGAAGATAAAATGTTCTGCTTCGATAAGATTAGCCGAGGTTCCAAAATTTTGCCCCCTCATCGATAGACTAATTAGCGATTTCTCCAAGGAGGACGAAATTTTACGCTAAATTAATATCGTCCAATGTATATCATTTGATAGAACGAGCTCAAATATTGTGAGAAAGTTGGAATTATAGGCCAAATACATAGGGGTTTTTAACTAGTCAATCACATGACCTCCTGTAGTTAGATATGAGTGTTTGCCTTTTCTTTCTATAATAATCAATTTTCTATATATATATATATTTGAATCTATATAGCATCAACCCCAAAACCATTGTAAATCCCGTTTTCTCCATAAGTGACATACTACAATGTAATCTAATTCAGCTTTCTCTTCCAATTCCCTCCTCACAGCGTGCTATCGGGACGCACGTATCTCGACCTACCACTTTTACAATATATAAACGTGAAGCGAAGCTAGCGATTCAAGATTCAAGATAACCGTCAAAAGGAACTAGGTGTACATAGGGATATCCTTATAAAATAAGGGTTATCCGCGAATTTAAACTTCTAAAGGTCGTCGATCACGCCACTGATATTTCTTCGCCTTCCCCCGGCGTTATTTGATGAGCCATGAGTCTTGAGTCTTGAGTTAAAGATGTTGGTGGGGGTTTTTGGGGTATGTATGGCTCTAGTGTCTGGGTGTTGGATGGGGTAGGAATCTAAGGTGGACTAGGTTGTCATTGATGGGTAAGTTGGACGGAGTACATTGTAAGTTGTAAGTTGTAACTTGTAACTTGTAAGTCGTGACTGCCAACTTGTAACCGTTAATGTGGATGTGGATGTGGATGTGGATATTTTATACTCCGAGTCCGTATACGGTCTATGTTTACGTATGTATATAGAGTATTTTTTTGAGAAGTGAGGGGAAATGTAGTGGGGTGGGGCAGAGCTAGCAGGCAGAATTACGACTTATGTGCATTTTGCATTAACTTTTAAGGTTTGGGGGGGTGGATGGGTGGGAGAGGGGAGAGGGGAGAGGGAGAGGGTTTTGGGATTGTGATTTATGGTAGTGTTGGGTTGAGTTTGGTAGTTTGGAGGTTAGTGACACCATGATGAACGTGAAGTCAAGTGGCTCGTGACTTGGTGGTGACAGATTTGGTAAATGGGCTGGGGATTGGGATGAATGGTTGTGGATGGATGTGGTTGTGGATGGATGTGTGAAGTATGATGTGGATTATAATTGGGAGATACCAGTATCTGAGTGAGTGTGTTTGTATGGTTGCGGTACGTACCTTCGGATCGAGAAATGGAGATGGGGGGTATGATGTTATGTATGTATAACTACTGCAGGTGACAATGAATGCGAGGTTTGTGCATCTACTCCGTCGATCAATTGCTCGCTATTCACGTGCGCTGGATTTATTCCAAACTACGAGCGTTGGACTAAATCTCATATGTTATGCCATTCTGGGAACACGCCGTGTTCCGACAAACGTATTTGGCCCAATTCCCATTCTGCCCGTTGATGAAAAAGAAAAGAATCTCAAAAATTTTACTGATATGAAAATCCTAGCAGAACTTCATGGTGTATGCAAAACGAGATTTGATGAGCGCACAGAATCGGTTATTGAAGGTATAGTATCATATAACTGATTCTTCCTTGGATCTTTCCAACCTCTTTTGCACCTTTTTCTGATATATGCATATAGCATGCGATTTTTGGAGGCGATATTCGGAAATTTTATAATGGGCCCCTCTTTCCCTACCTTCGCGGTTCCGCTTGCCGATGATGTACGGAGTATCAATATGTCAATTTTTGTTAGAAATGTGTGTTCAAACAACTCGCAATTATTGTGATTGAAACTGATGCGAGGATGGAAATATATATATTCTCTAGGGCGCTTTCGAGCTTTGTGTATTAAAATAAAGAGTGTTGGTATTTTGGGTTGCTGGAAGAGTAAAGTTGTTGGTGTTTCTCGAGATCCGCTAATTAATTGTACTAGTTGCATTTAGCCAAGTGTATCCGGTAAGCAGCTGCAAAAATTTTCATTTTCAGCAATGTCAGGCATAGAAAACGGCAGCTCACAGGGCAGGGAGGGGCTGACCCTCCTAGAAGCAAATTATCAATAATGGAATCGAGCAGTGTCGATCGGCTTGACAGAGTAGTATTATGTCTGGTTGAGAGGGCTACCAGTTAGAAAAGCAGGTCTTATCTAGAAAGATGGATTTTAATGGAATTGTGGCCAGATGCTCGGACGGATGAGCTATTTCACTAGCTCGCACAAATTTCTTTGGTTGTGACGAATTTTGTTATATGCTGACTCTTTCCTTCTAGTATCAATACTTCTTGAACACAATCATTCTTGTTTAAAAACTTCGACTGTTTATTTATTGTACATTGCGTTGGAATCCACTTAATATTTAGGACTGTTGGTGTTAGAGTTGGTAGACGGAAGTGCTGTGGTAAAACATTACGGGATCAGAGAGTGAAGACTTTCACCGAATTGTCTGTTACTGTAACCTTCCGACGTAGTTTGAAATCGTCGAGGTTCTCAGTTTCAGCTTTTCTCACTGAGTCACTGCATCCAAGGAGTCCACGATACGGCAGAGAAAGAGTTTCAGGAAAAAGGGTATTCGGTGAGAGGAAAAGAAACGCATCTTGGAAGTTGGAGGAAGTCATTACGTTTGGAAACATCGACAATCCCGTGCACGCACTTTTTTCGCCAACATGGATCCACATTCACAGATGGATACGATTAAGGCGGTAAATAAGGCCACGGGTGATGAGAAGAATGATTCGTATTCTGGTCATTCGTCACAGGATCCGGAGAAGGCTATTCAGGTGGGCACTGGGCCGGAGTTGCAGAGGAGGTTGAAGAGTAGACATTTACAGATGATTGCTATCGGTTCGTTACTCTTATGGGCCACCAGACCTTCACGTTATTTACCATTCATTACGAGATGGACGATGAAGGCTTTTGGGATGAAGTTGAAATACTAATAACGTGTACTAGGTGGAACAATCGGCACAGGTCTTTTCATAGGGTCCGGATCAGCCATTGCTGAATCCGGTCCAGCAGGAGCTCTCATCGCATACGCCTTCGTCGGTACCCTCGTCTACAGTGTCATGATGTCTTTAGGAGAAATGGCAACCTTTATTCCTATTCCCGGAGCTTTTACTTTGTACGCAGCACGATTTATCGATCCTTCACTTGGATTTGCTATGGGTTGGATTTATTGGTTCTCATGGGCCATTACCTACGCTCTCGAACTCACAGCTACAGGTCTCATTATCCAATACTGGGCCCCTCAACTCAACATTGGCATCTTCATTTCCGTTTTCTGGGTCGTCATCACCGCTGTCAATTTTCTACCCGTCAGCTTTTACGGTGAAATTGAATTTTGGTTCTCACTTATTAAGGTTGTCACTGTACTCGGTTTCCTCATTTTCGGTATCTGCATCGATGCCGGAGCTGGTCAACAAGGCTATCTTGGATTCCACACTTGGGGAAATCCAGGTGCATTCGCACCCTATCTTATCAATCCCGAAAATCCCGTCTCCAAATTTGTAGGATTCTGGGCTGTACTCATTCAAGCCGGATTTTCCTACCAAGGAACCGAACTCGTTGGAATCGCAGCGGGAGAAACCGAAAACCCAAAAAAGAACGTCCCAGCTGCTATTCGCAAGACATTTTTCCGAATCCTATTTTTCTTCATTGGAACTATCTTCTTCATTGGCTTATTAGTTCCATACGATAACCCGCAATTATTATCCGGAAGTTCAGATGCGACAGCCAGTCCTTTCGTTATTGCCGCAAAACTAGCTGGTATTAAGACATTACCCGGACTCATCAACGCCGTGCTTCTCTTCGTCGTTCTCAGCGCCGCAAATTCCAACGTCTATTCCGGTTCTCGTATCCTGGTGGGTCTCGCAGAGGGAAATTGCGCCCCAAAACTTTTCTTGAAGACCACCAAAGCCGGAGTTCCCTACTACGCTGTTGCTTTTACCGCCGCATTCGGTCTCCTTGCTTTCATGAATGAGAGTGCTGGGGGCGGAACCGCATTCGAATGGCTTCAGAATATAACAGCCGTTGCGGGATTCATTACTTGGGCATGTATTTGCGGATGTCACATTGCATTTATGAAAGCGCTCAAAGCTCGCGGAGTCAGTCGAGATCGTTTACCATATAAAGCGCTTTGGCAACCATGGTTCGCATGGTACGGATTAGCATTCACGGTGCTTATTATCTTTACCCAGGGATTCACAGCTTGGATTCCAAAATTCCAGGTTAAAGAGTTCTTTGTGGCGTATATTAGTCTGATACTTTTTGCGGTGGCTTATCTAGGTCATAAGATTATTTGCAAGACGAAGTTTGTAAGTAGTTTAGAGGCGGATTTGGATACGGGGTGTGTGGGATATGAGGAGGAGGGGGTTATTGATTGGGAGGATGAAGAACATAGGACGTTTAAGGAGAGGTTTATTAGTTTCTTCTGCTAAGAGAGCATGCATGATTTGAATGAATAGTCTGAGATTGGGAGATCGGATGAAGGTAGAGGGGGGGTATTTGAATTCCCCCTTTCTGGAATTCCTTCGATGATTGAACGGTGGCAGGCTTTTTTATTCTTTCGGCTTTTCTGACGAGATGAGGTTATGATGGAGCTTTTTTCTTTGGAATGATGGTCCTATGTATGACATACATTGATTGATGAGGGCGTAATGGATGGAATGATGTTATAGGTTAGATAAAAGGTTAATGTGTGGATGGGAGATAGATATTTAGATGTTTAGGTAGAAAAAATGAATTCCTTACTCTAAATTTTTGCATTTATTATAGTATAGTGGATTGAGATGAATCTGGAGTTTTATGGTGATTTATGTATTTATGGTTATTGTATTGAATTGTATTGTACTGTATTGAATAGTTGTGAGTTTTGAAAGAGAGGAGTTAGAGTAATCGGAAGAGGGTTGGTTGCTGTGGAGAGGCTCAGATAGAGTGAAGGAATTCAAACCTAATTTTATTGGGGTGGGAAAGGGGAAGAGGGGAAGAGGGGAAGAGGGGCACTATTTAAGTTCTGATCATGTATATATATGAAGGAGTATGAGTTCGATTTGGAGAGGAATATTTATTGTAAGAGTTACGTATATGATAAAGTGATGGCTATTTTACACATATAATATTGGGGAAGTTTTCTAGGTTTAAAGGATATGATATGTAAGACTACCTCCACTCCGACTATGGTGATTTCTGCGATCTGGACTCTGTTGGACTTATTCTCATTGCCTGGAGATACCGTCAACGATACTAGATACTCGCATATGTATTCGAATCTTGAATGAATGAACCATTCCCATCTTATCCTCATAATTTATCATGTTAAGACCATCCACTTCTGGTAGAGTAGAAATGCCCATTTGATACTTCACTTCTATCAAATAACTAGCATACTATCTATCTTTAAAATTTCCTTGCATGTCTAAGTTTAGAAAATGGAAGATATATAAATATATAAATACCTAGATATCCTGCACATCATTGAGAGCTTAGGGATAGATAGTCTTGCTTGGAGAGTCTCGCTAGGTTTCTATCTCGTTATCGATGGAAATTGCCTTAATACGCTTGATGCTTGGTGGAATGGCTACATAGATATTCCCTTTGGGACTATCCGAGGAGGTTGAGCAGTGTTGAGAGACATCGATATCAGGTTCATATCTTCAAGCAGCCATGAAAAGTCATAGTCCGAATTAAACCTCTGTCTGGATCGTCCATTATTCCCTACCTCAGCAATTTGATTGTACATCTAAGAGTAGATTATTTCGTCATAAAATCCTCTCTGGCTTGGAGTTGTGGGATATCTTTGAGGTTCAAGATGTAAATGTTCGAGGTGCCTGCCTTGGTGATGACTGAATCAGAGATCACGTGTTATTAACCAATCAGTCGCTACCTCCAACATTTTGTTGCATATCTGAAAAAATATTGTCTTTTTAGGTGATATATTAGGCCTTTTTGTGGTAAAAGATATACATACATACATACATACTACTTACTGACTGACTGACTGCTGCTCACTCAGTGAGAGAGTGAGAGTGAGAGAGAGTCTTGTATCTATCTGTGAGCAAAGTCACCCTCAGTTGCTGGAAAGCCTGCCTCTACTAATGATGATTTATTATATCACTGGGTCCAGACTTCCTCTCTTTAAGCAATAAATTAATTATTCTTTACCTCCATCCCAAAAGACTTCTCTCAAATTCAAACCAGATAAGAGAATTAATCAATTTTAAGGCTTCTTTTTTATACGCCCAAGTAAGTTTGAGGAGTCGATAGGATCACCAGATTTTGCTGGAGAAGCCTGCCTGCCTGATGAGGTTGTGTCTAGTAATTATATTACTTATAATCAATCTTACTTCTCGGCTGGACGTGTATGGCATGTAAAAAGTAATTATCGAGGCGCTCAAATTGAGAATCGATCACTATACTACCTAGGTATCTGACCGTTTTCTGCCAATGAATATTGAAGCTCTTTTCCTCGAGAGAGTGGTGATGTCAAGTGGGAGGTTGTGGATAAGCCCTATGAGACACTATGGCGGCAGGCATGAGGCTACTCCAGCACAGCCAGCGGAGACTTCCGACGAGGATGGATCGACATCAACAAACACTCTTGCAATGCGGGGAGAGCATTCAATCTTGGTGAAATCAACCTTCAACATGACTCGATCCGAAAATCTTACTTGCACTCCAGAGGTAACCCTTCCACTTCATCTTCAGCTGACAGCTAGAACGGCCTACCTCATAAAACGCACTCTCCAATCTCGACATTATTGCGCCACCAAACCTTGAACCTGAATGAACCACTCGTCGATCTCGTTCCATCTGCCACTTGTCTGTACCCATTCTGACGTTTGCTTCTTTCCCTTCTTCTGCGATATCACTCTGTGCCAAGCAAAACTTCAGAATAAGGCTGTGGGCACGTACGACGAGTAAACAATAGCTCTGCCATTTGCATATTATACGACCCTTTCAAATCTTCAATATCTCGGGAATTATAGCTGCCGGGTACTGTTCTACATATACATCAAGATACACATCAACAGCTGAAGACATTTGAAGAAGAAATGATGTGCGACCAACGGACAAGAACTGGACTCCGAATCCCTTTTCTGTGCTACCAACCTGGTGTGCTTCAATGTCCGACTACCGTGGAGATGGGGTAGGGAAACAATATCCTGGCCGTGGTACTTGTGGTTCATACACGGCAGAATGCAAGCAGTCAATAGTCAAAACCTTCGGAGCAGTGTGCAAAAATAAGTGTAAGCTTACTATTACGAGAAGCTACTTTTCGACAACAAAAATAGGACACCAATTTACAACGCTTTGCCCGATGGCAACAAAACTATCCGGTATATACACTGATACGAATATGCTCTATCCGGAGGACACTGCGGCACTTGTACGAGATGTCTCATCTCAATAATGAATACGGGTACGCGATGCGAATTCTGCAGAGAATATGGAACGTTTATCAATACTACGATATGCAATGTCCATCGAATTGGTTCTGCCGCTTGCTACGTTTACAATTACATTGCATTCGATATATGCAGAGGTCGCATGCGAGATTAGGGTTAGTAAGAGTGCATGATGTAGTTGAGGTTGTATCGGTGAGTAATTTGGGGATGTTGGAATGGATCTGCGGATATTACATTTGGTTCCATGTGCGATGTGTGACTTGGAATGTTGTGGTACGAAAATGAATCGAGGCGTGGGGAAAGTACTGTCCTTGCACGGATTGCGGTTCGGAGAAAGAATTAAGGGAAATCTAAGACTTGGTGAGGATTGAAATGGGCGGATTAGATGACGGAGAAGGGAGAAGAGGTAAGTTTTGGGGAGGTGTCAAAGAGAAGGGCGGAGCCTAATTGTGGCTGGGAACAAGAGTAGGTCTGAATGGGGTGTCTTTTTTCCGGAGGTAAGGACATTTGACTGCTATGTTCCTTCTTCTTCACGCATGTCTTCTTTGGGCTTTTTAATTGCATGTTGAACTACAATATTTCTTGCATCAGGCTTTAGGATTCAAATGCAGGTAGGTCATCAAGTAGCAAGAGGTAAGTGGGAAAGCAATCATAGCACATTTCAAGGTTCAAGCCCAAATATTTTTGTAATCAGGATGTATTGCAGATCTTTTCATTTACCCAAACTCTGCGTAGTCGCAATGTATCTCTTCACGCTGATAATCCTTTATGATGTTCAAATTCCAAATTCACCACGAAATATTTATTTTATCACCCGCTCCGTGGAGTCTTTCTCAACGCTGGAAAATGCGTCCCTTCAAGACACAAATTTTGTACATTTATCTCTTCAAATTCATGAGACAAAATCAACACATTAATGTGGTTTTTTGACATGTACATGCCTTGGAGACATTATATCGTATCGTATGCAATTCATCTAATGATCCCAAATAACTGGAAATGCGAGTGCGTATCTAGTAAAAGTAACCGGTGATGAAGATGGAAGATGGCTGGCTATAAGGAGAAGGAGGATGAGGATGAGGATGAGGATGAGGATGAGGATGAGGATGAGGATGAGGATGAGGATGAGGATGAGGATGAGGATGAGGATGAGGATGAGGATGAGAGGAGAATATTTTTGAAGTAGATTGATTGGTTGATATTGAGAAGGTAAGGGTCTTTGATTTGGGATGGGGAATATGGAATGTAGTGGAGGATGGGATGGGGATGGGATGGGATGTTTAGGTGTGGGGGGTGTAAGGATGGGGTTACTTTACGGATTGGGATTGGTAATTTTTACCAATGATGTTGAATTTCATATTGAGGAGTAATAGCAAAAGCACGGTTTGAAGTGAAGTGGAGATCTTGGAGTTTTTGATTTTGCGGGGGAGGAAGGAGGGCAGCTGTATATGGTATATATAGTGTGTATGTGTACATAGCTAGGTATGGTTAGAATGATATATGGTATTATGTCATATCATATGGATGATATAGAAGGTTAAAATCATTGGATTTTTGTATATGCTGTATGGTGTAGGATGTTTTTATTAGGTACTCAGGTGTGTTTGTGAAGAGTTCTGTATTTATCGTTATAGTTGTATTTATTTATATCTACTAACAAATACCACTCACTATTTTATGATTTATGATTTATGAAGAAATGTATCCTATCTACTTCTTCCTCCGTACATAACAACGTTAACAGGGTAAGCTGCACCTCGGACAAGGGACCTGCATCATCTGCACGTCTCATTGGTCTAATGCCCTTGATTAACTATTCCGGGCTAGATTTCCGATGCGAACTGAGGGGCTTATCTGAACATCATATGTTTTATTTGGATTCTGGAGAAGGTTTTTTTCTCGTGGGATTGTTTGTTCCCACTTTAGTTTATGAGTAGTTTCATTTTGTTTGTTTTGGTTTGTCTTCTTTATTTATTTTATTTTTGATAACAATTTACAGAGAGGTTGCTTTGAGTTTTCGAGTTTTCAACAGCAAGACTAGAAAAGAGTGGAAATGTCTTCGTGGGTTCTTTTCTCCTTGTTGGAAGCTATGGTCAGTGAATGATCAATAAATGATTAATATTGAGGATAGTGAGAACACGACATCGAAAGACGCTAGAGCTATGGAAAATTCGGAAGGAGAGAAATTGAAAGTTTTGATTGTGGGTGCGGGGATAGTGGGATTGACGTTGGCGCAGGGGTGTAGGGAGAATGGAATTGAGTTTGAGATCGTGGAGAGGGATGGGAAGGGAAAGAGGGCGCAGGGGTGGGCGATTACTTTGCATGTGAGTTTTGGTTTTAGATGTTGGAGGGGATGGGAGGAGGATTGGAGGGGTTAGAGGGCGAAGAGGTGCAGTGGGAAAGGGGGCTAGTGCTGTACTGAAACGGTTGATGCGAAGAGTGGCTGCTGACGAGATTATTCTAGTGGTGTTTGAGAAGTCTGGAGAGAACAATTGGGGAGAAATTATCGGAGCTGATACCTATGGTAAGAATTTCCAACGTTACGAAGAGTTCAGATATAACGACCTAGAAGGTCAAAATTACAACGACTAATCCTCTAATCGCCACAGGCAGCAGTAGATCCAGCTCTTAACGACGACGATGGTAATTTTCTATTCCTCAACGCTCGAACAGCAGAACCGCGCTATAAAATCCCACCTAGTAAATTACGTCGACGTCTAGATCGTCAAAAGATACGCAATTTACTTGCCACCGATCTCGATATCCATGAAGGCAAAGGGCTTGTATCACTTGTACCAGCTATTGATTCTGATCTCGTGACTGCGCAATTTTCGGACGGTTCGGAAAGTAGTGCCACATTGATCGTGGGTGCTGATGGAAATAATAGTGTTACCAGAAAATGTTTGTTCAATGGAGGACCAGATTCTGAACTGACGAAACTCCCTGTTTATTGTCTGGGAATCGTGAGACCTTTTACGGAGGAACAAATTACATCTGTTAGAGCTATTGATCCATTATTATTCCAAGGATTGGATCCGGAAACTGGGACTTTTATGTGGTATAGTCTGCAAGGAATAATACCAAATCCTGATGGTAGTAAATCATACATGGGATTGGTGGTTATTTCTTGGTTGATTAAAGATGAGGTTACGGATGCGATGCCCAAGACGGATAGGGAGAGAGTGGCTTATGTTAAGAAAAGGGCGGAAGGATATGCGGAACCGTTGAGGAGTATTGTGCAAGATATTCCGGAGGATATTACGACGACGCCGTTGAGGTTGAGTGATTGGCCTTGTAAGGATTGGGATAACTGGGGTGGAAAGGTTACTTTGGTGGGGGATGCCGCGCATGCCATGACTATGTGGGTTATTTCTTTATTTCCATCTCTCTTCTGATCATGGTATCGGATTACTTAAGTGACCAATATTCACGGAGAATGGTAGATGTTAACAAATGAATAGGTATCGAGGTGAAGGTGCAAACCACGGGATTCTAGACGCAGCTCTTCTAATCGACCAATTGAAAAAGGTCAAATCAGGAGAAATCACGCAAAAGGAGGCAATCAATGCATATGAAGTAGAGATGAGACCAAGAACTCATGAGGCTGTCTTGAAAAGTAGACAAGCAGCATTGGATGCTCATGATTGGGAAGTGCTGACAGAAAATTCCCCTATCATCGGGGGAAGATTAGCTCCTAAGACTGCTTTTATTTGACTGGGAGATGAAATATTTAAAGAAATTGACGAATAAAAAATTAAAGATAGAAATTGGTATGGAAAAAGCGATATATTCTTAATTGATGTCATCTAATACATGATTTGAGATCCCAAGTCTAACGACTCTCGAATCCAGCAAACGGCTTTATCTTCTTGATATTTATTAGTGCGCCCAAAACTCCTTCCTCGGGTAAAATCCCCCAAGCTCAACGAAATAGGATCTTTTGAAATGGGCTTCATGTAAAACTTCATCTTTGTCTATTTATTGTTCGACATTCTGCTCCGCACTTGTTCGTTGATATGAGATGCGCATGTGAACGAATATACGCAATTCTTGACAACAAAAATATATTTCCATCTTAACAGTCATATTGAATTAAATATGTGATATTTACGAACTCCCTCCCTCCTCGTGTTTCTCGACGCTATTTCCGAGCTCCATAAGGATTTCTCGAGCTGCAGGGGGAAAGGAAGGTATGTAATATATATTAGCTTGCTAGGCTTAATTCAAAGACGGAAATTCATATCACATACTCCGTACGCGATCCTCTTTTCCTAGTGCAGGAGTAGCAATTGCTGTGCAGTGAATGGATGCTATTGTTATATATGGAGTTTTATGCAAATGTGAGGTTTAAGGACTATTCGTAGATGTAAAGATGTAGAAAGGAAATGCGGAAGGAGTCTATGTTCCCATTATGGAATTTCTATAAAGTCATAAATTGAGGTCGTTCGGTCATTCTTGGAGACGTCGGGAGTCTTTATGGAATTGACTTCCTAATTTATCGGGCTTGATGATCTTGTTTATTGGTTGTGATGATTGGAAAATTGCAATTGCAATTGGCCATAGATCTGTTTGTAGAATACCCACTGCTCGTTATCCATTGCTGCAAGGATTGGCATATGGGCTTGAAGGTCCTGCCTGATGGTTCGAATGGAATACTGTCTGTATGTTTCATGAACAATGGGTGGAGTGGAACGGAATCCATATCAAATAATGCACATGCTTCCTGAGAGATTCATCCTTTGGCCATTTCGGTAAGCAGGGCCTGAGGGCCTGGAAACCTCAAAGATACGCACGCCGCTAATCACCCCTTCATCGGGCGGTGGGATGCGGCAATATTTTGACTGCAATACATCACTTGAATATCCATCTATTTACGCTGTGCCCATGACATTCCCGTTTTATGGATTTTGCGATGGAATATGGTAACTGAATGGCCTGTGGTTCATATTATGTATGAATGTGACCAATTGCTGTCGAATATTCAAATCAAAGACACAGCTTATGGAGAGAGATATATCAAGATGTTTCAAACGCAAACGATGAAAGCGGTTATCTATCGAGGTATGATTTTTACTTCAATTCCATGGATTACAACCCGATAGAATAACTGATATTTATTTTATGCAGAACGCTTCAATGTATCGGTTGAGACACGTCCACTAGCGACTTGAACATCCGGATGATGTGCTGTGAAGGTGACTACAGCCTCAATCTGCGAGTAATACCGATAAGCGGAGCCGCAGACGGCGCATACGGATATGTTGGAACGGTCCCTATCAAGGATGCCAGGTACAATTGATTCGTTAGGCTATATTCTGGATTCAACTACACCCTTCTTCCCGCCGGTAAGGAGCACGAAGCGGAGTTTATTCTTCTCAAAGGCATATTTCCAACATGAACGGCACGGCGTTGAGGTTTCTAGCTTCCAACCAAGAGAATCAGTTGCTGTTTTTGGAGCTGGGCCTGTTGGATTGATGGCCGTATATAGTGTGGAAGTCAGAGGAGCGGGGAATCTTTTGTGGTGGATAGCGTGAAGGAACGTCTGCAAGCCGCGGAGAGAATTGGTTGTGTCGCTGTGTATTTCACGAAATATGACGCGGTCGGGAATAAAACACAATGGTCAGATAGCAGATAGGAGCGTCGATGCCGTTGGATACAGAGCTTCTACAAAGGATGGAAAATTAAGAAGCTCCGAGTAGAGTTTTATATCAAAATGACAAACCAACCGGTAAATTGTTGTTCCTGGGTCATACATACCAAGCGATCCCGGTGCTTCAAGTAGTAATGCCGCGCAAGGCCTCTTATTGATAAGTTGGGAAATTGTTCGAGAAGGTCAGTTTAGCGATATTGGCGATAAGCTGCTACAATCAGTCCTGGTGACATTCCCAGGGTCTTTCACTTGACACTGGTTGATGCATTGTGAAGGCCGTGCAATTATTACCTTCGAGATAGGATAATATCAAGCGTCGTAAAGCCTTCATTCGTTGATTCCCACGAGATTGGTATTGGCGAGGCACCAGAGGCCTCTACTAAGTTTGCTTGAAAAGAGGATGGATATAGCAAAGTCCTGATTAATCTCAATAGTCTTGCTTCAGCGAGCAGGATTTGAAATTAGTATGGAATGTGGTGGCACACAACTTATGACCAGTTTCGTAAATTTTCTTGCGGCATGCACCACAATACACAATCCACTATAACTCTAAGATTAAAAGATAACTTGATCTTCTTACTGCCCGTGGTTAGCTAGATAGTTCTGACAATGCACGAAGGATACCTTCGCAGATGTGATGTTTCAAACATCTCACAAATAAAAGTTATCCAACAACTTTGCTGTTTTCTTACGGTTACATTGTGCTTCAATGCTCACTGTAAGATTAGACCCACAATTTGAAAGATTTAAAAGGTTTCAATGCTGCACGAGTATCCTCGCAACACATAAAACAGTGGTCGAGATTCAAATTTGTTCAAAGAGGTAAAGCGATGGAAAATTATGTGATGGGATGCTTTTAACACTATTATATCCTCCTGAGCTATCTTTACCGCGTGTCAGATTTGCTTCCCTCGAGAAAGAAATGTTGAGTTTGTTTTGCTGAAAATAGACGGTAATAATTTTGTTGGGTCTAGGCAATGCCCAACTAGCAATAGTTGCATATCATCCACTCTCTTATTCTGTCGTCTCGCATACGCAGCATGGTCACATAATTAATTAGTTTGGAATCGTGTGCATAGAGTCTACTGTCACGATGCCGTGTAATTTTATATTTACATTACTATTTTACGGAAAGATTTGCTCCCTGCGTCGAAGTCTTTTGGCTTAGTGTATAAGAAAGAGCATTATAAATTTCTGCATCTGATCATTTATATATGTTGCTAACGACACAAATAGATTCCAATCTTAATTCGCAATAGAGAAGTTACAGTGGATCTTCTCGTAAAGGTTGGAGGAAAGCCGAAGTTAAACGGTTGTAATAGATTGTGAAACAGTGGTTTCTATTATGAAATTTATAATGAGCGCGAATGTGGCTACAACGGAAGTGGCAAAAGCTTGCGGGGACACGCAAAAAGGGGAGGTGTTACAGCGTTGCTTGTGGAGAGCGCAATTATAGTTCTCCATTTCAGTACTGTCTTCTTCTCTTCTATATGTGAATGTTTGCATATCGGTTTTTGATTGGGAGGTAGAAGTGACGGATACCTAGTGGAGCGAAACATATGTGTAGAAATGATATTAGGCTATGACCTCTCTCACGAAAGGTATCATTGTGCCCTGAAAAGGTCACTCGGCCATGAAATTCTCTCCGCTACGAATACGAATACATGAAATGAAGGGAAGAATCTCTAAAGTTACGGAGGTCAGTCGATGTATCCCAGTGGTAGATGAGATCTTTTGTGAAGATTTTGAGAAAGATTAGGCGCGATGGATGTAACCATTTAGTCACATAGGCAGAGGAGTCTAGTTGAAACGGGGAATTAAGTGAAAAGAAATGAGTTAATGGAAGATTGATTGGAAAAAGGATAAGCTATTCTTCTATTGTATTAGTCAGTTGATTCGGTGACTGAGAAAATGATGTATTGGTTATTGTTGGGGTCCTTTGTGAGTAGTGTGCTGATTTGGTGAATATATATTATTTGTTGATGATATAAACATCTATCATGATTCGAACAGTTTTGCCGATTGCATCAGCAATGCTATATGAATGTGAACATATAAATGGAAACTAGCAGTTTAATGGTAGCCTTGCCGCGAAGCTAACTCTATTTTGTCTAGGCCATCTATTCAGCTGCTCAGGTAGATCTCTTTCGATAAGGCGATTATCGTGTACGTGTATCATAACGTTGCATGCAATAGAATTACAGCTTAAATTTTATATTTGAATGACTGACTTGCAGAGACTTTCATCGGCATTTATATATAAAACTAATTTTCTCCATATAGAATGGAAAGGTAATTGGAGATCTACCAACTCACGCTTCGCAACATAATGCCAAGAGGTCATGAACAGAAAAGTCTCAATTGTCTGATATCCCAGCAGTATGAATCTGACGTCGCTCATTTCATAACTATGCAACCTGTTTAAACAGGAACTCTACTCTATGATTAATTTGTGGATCTGTAGCCTATGTCTTCACAATTTCCTCTCTCGGAAACAGACGTTTGTCTCGTACTATTTATCTAATCTACGGGTAAGTGTCACAACTGGCTTTCTGTGAAACACAGAAACAACTCCTTGGGTCATCAATCCATTCTTCGGTGTTATCTATTGTGGATTGTTGAACAGCGCAGACATTCCCGACCAACAACATCTGGATCTACTTTTGTTTGTCTTCGATACTAACGATGACAGGATCAAGATCGCAACTTGCTATCAACCAGCAATTTTCGAGCGGCCCTTCCAATGTAGAATCTAATCTTCTTCACAGCCCTGATTGGGTAGTTGAAATCATTCTCGTAGTATGGTAGTTTGATTACTACTTCACAAGATCCAAAAACGATAAAAGCTCCGAATCTCGGAAGAGTCGTTGCTGTACCTGGAGTACAAAGCAGGAATGCATGCACTGCATCTGCATTCATCGCGATAACCTTCTGCACGGTATATTGTCAAGGACTAAAGCACTGGTAACACTTTCTCCATCGAGGTCCTTTTTTGCAAGGGATATCAAAGAGAGTCCTTCTGGAATAGGAAACTGTACCTCTATACGAAATTTCACAAGTAACCTTGAGTTTTAGATAGCGGAAATTAATATGAATCTAGACCCTTCATTTTAAAGAGCTCAGGATCTATCGATGCCAGCATAGTTGGTAGTTTGGCTTGTAATCATATCAGTTGAGATGAGTTTTGCTTCAAGAAAGTACTAAACAAAAACAATGACAATACTCCTAATCCACAGAAGAGCCAAATGCATTTTATATCAAAGGAACCAAAGTCGAGTGTACTACTCAAATGTAACCTTCAAAATAATACCAATATAATCACGTGCAAGTTATTTTCTGACAACTATCCGTAGTACCGCTAAGGCTAATAGTATGCAAGTTTCCAGCTCGGATATGCATGTAGCCTGGAATAGAAAGATACTAATCTTTCACTTAAAAGTAAAAGATGAACGAGAGCAAAGACATTTAATGCGTCGGAACAATTGAGCTAGCCCCAAGCAATCAGTCATTATCGCAACGAAAATGTTGCTGTACGTTGCTGAATCATGGTGTTGTTTTTTGGAACAATCTGATTTCGGATATTTTGTGAATAGAGGGCGTAAATGAAGCAAAGAAAGAAGAAGGAGAAGAGAATGTAAGGAAGGAGTTACATTGGACATGTTTGGCGGAAGAAGAAAGTGGTCCGTCAGGGTCACGTGCCACGAAGACCGTAAATCTCGTTTCGCTAGCGTGATTATTTTCCGGTCGGACAATCTCGACCACAACTACAACTGTACAATTGCACCTATGAAGGTATCTCCCCACGTTCAAGATCCTTCCCGGATGAATATGTATATCTTACGGTAGACTAGCTGGTCGACTTTAAGACATTTGACTCCAACAAAACTTGTTCTCACGTTGGAATGCGTTCGGCTAGTAGGCCGAGCTGCTCAAATTAGAGTGGAGTCATGACCGCGTGGGGATGTCCGCCGGACAATGTCGCACCGGAACTTGTTACAATCAATGCTGCGGTGTTATGTACCTGAAATACGGATGTTGCTTATGCGAGGTACTACCTGGCTTGAACGTCAATTAGACTCGTATTTTTGGCACTAATCTCGGGTGAATGAGATTCCTTTAGTCCAGTCCGATCTTTTAGGATAGCTAATCATAATTGATGCGGCAGAATAAGACAGACCGTCTCATTTCGTATCCGTATAAGCGTTGAACCAGGGACTATCTTTCCGGGGTAATAGACGTTGATACCGAAAAGAGAGTGATGCGAGATATGGCATTGTCAGTGTTAGATCTCCCAGTACATTCTACTTCTTCAGTCGGCCCGCACTCCATCATTTCAAACAAGCTTTTTGACCCTTGTATGTTCTATTATTCTGAGATTGATGACCGGACAAAGAGATCAATAGTCTATGAGCTGATGATGATCCACCCAGTCTTGCCATCATGACATGGTTGAAGCTAGAGGTTACTCCGTAAAGTGATTTCAAATCAGAGCAGTTGAGCTGAGCTGAGATTTTGAACAATTAATATATACAGGGCCCGCCACAAGTTGTGCAATAGATTTGATGAAATACCAGCGGTTTCTTCTGGGGTTTCTCCTACCAACTTAATCATTTTGTATCATACTGAACATGGGAAAGAAAATGTCTTTCCTGGTCTTTGGTGACCAGTCATTGGATACGCATACTTTCTTGACCGACTTTTGTCAACATGGAAGACCAAGTGTGCTTTCGAGATCATTCCTTGAGCAGGCTGGCTCTGCTCTTAGGGAAGAAATCGATAGACTACCAAGCCTCCAGCGAAACAGAATACCAGAGTTTACCACTATACTCGAATTGAATAAGTTACATCACGCTGGAAACATCAGAAACCCTGCAGTAGATAGCGCTCTTTTGTGCATTACTCAAATATCCCAATACATTGAGTAAGTATAAATACCTTATATAATGAGTTCCTTCTACTAACGCAGGTAATTAGTCGTTACGAAAAAGAACATGGAGATTCGACTAGTCCCGGTGAAACTTGCCTCGTTGGTTTGTGCACCGGGCTTTTCGCTGCAGCCGCAATCGCCTCTTCTCCATCGATATCCCAACTGATACCCATCGCCATTCAAGTGGTGTTGATGGCGTTTCGAACAGGTGCACACGTTGCAGCTCTTGCCGACAGGCTTAACAACCAATCAGAATCACCAGAAAGCTGGACTCATGTCGTTCCAGCTGCCCAGGAAAGCGAAGTCAACTCAATACTTAACGACTTCCACAAAGAAAACGTGCGTTTACATTTCTAAGTTTCGACGATATGTACTGACTCTTTACAGGCAACACCTCTAGTAAATCAAGCATACATTAGTGCAATAACTTCGAAAAGTATTGCGATAAGTGGGCCCCCTTCAACATTAAGAGCACTTTTTGCATCTGAGACTTTCCAGGCAAAACCGATATCTATTCCTGTCCACGGCCCCTATCATGCTGCTCATCTTCGTTCGAGTCTGAATGTGGAGCAAATATTGCATTTGAAGGATGAAAAGGTCCGGGAAGTGCTTGGAAACCTGAAAACTAGATTTCCAGTCATGTCATGCACGACTGGAACTTGGTATACAGAGCAAGAGCCTGAATTGTTGCTCCAGGCAGTTTTGCTCGAGATGTTGACGGAGCCAATAATGTTTAGCAAGATTCTTCATGGTTGCGTACAGAAAGGCCGGGAATTTCAAGGCCGAGAATGCCTGATTATTCCATTTGGTAAGAAGCAGCCTTCAGAAAATCCATCAGTTTGCTAATTTTTGAGCAGGTCCTACTAGCACGGCCAAGGTTTTAGCAACAGCTCTAGAGTCTCAAACAGAGCTTGATATAACTTTGAGGTCACTACAAACCGGAAACCAACAGGCGGCGAAGCAACAAAATTCGATAGAAGTATCTCCTGGGAAATGCAAGCTTGCCATTGTCGGAATGGCTGGAAGATTTCCAGATGCTGCAAGTCATGAAAAATTATGGGAGCTGCTCGAAAATGGCTTGGATGTCCATAGAGTGGTACCGAAGGATAGATTTGATGTTGCGACACATTTCGACCCTACAAGCAAAATCAAAAATACAAGTCATACTCCTTATGGATGCTGGATTGAGAACCCTGGTCTTTTTGATCCCAGATTTTTCAACATGTCTCCTCGAGAGGCATACCAAACATGTCCCATGCAACGTCTCGGCCTTGCGACCGCATACGAAGCCCTGGAAATGGCTGGCTATGTTCCCAACAGGACGCACTCTACAAAGCTTGATCGAATCGGTACATTTTACGGGCAAACAAGTGACGACTGGCGTGAAATAAACGCGGCACAAGATGTGGACACGTACTACATTACAGGAGGCGTAAGAGCCTTCGGGCCCGGTCGGATCAACTATCATTTTGGGTTTTCAGGACCATCTTTCAATATCGATACAGCTTGTTCCTCTAGCGCCGCTGCACTCCAACTAGCCTGTACATCTTTGTGGGCAGGAGATTGTGACACGGCTGTTGTTGGCGGTCTCTCGTGCATGACGAACCCGGATATTTTTTCAGGACTCAGTCGAGGGCAGTTCTTGTCAAAAAATGGGCCATGTGCTACTTTTGACCACGATGCGGATGGATATTGCAGAGCAGATGGAATCGGTACTGTCATTATTAAAAGGCTGGACTATGCTTTAGCTGAGTAAGTTTCATCTACGAATTCTGCTTTATATGATTCAGAACTAATTTTTATTTCCCTATTTTTTTTAGCAAGGATAATGTTTTGGCTGTTATCCTTGGAAGTGCTACCAACCACTCAGCAGACGCTGTTTCAATTACCCACCCGCATGGAGGAACACAAGAGGTTTTGTACAAGCGCATTCTAGCCAATGCGGGCGTTGATCCCAATGACATCGACTATGTGGAAATGCATGGCACCGGGACTCAGGCTGGAGATGGGACGGAAATGAAGTCTGTCACCAATGTTTTTGCTTCGCCAGATCGAAAGAGGAGACCAGATCAACCGCTGTACCTTGGAGCTGTCAAAGCAAACGTTGGACACGGTGAGGCTGCATCTGGTGTCACCGCTCTCATTAAATGCTTGATGATGCTGCAGAAGAACGTCATACCCCCACATGTTGGTATCAAGAAGACGATCAATCAAGGATTTCCTAAGGATCTTGCGGAGCGCAATGTACATATTGCCTTTAAGAATACGCCACTTCCGAAAAGGAAGTCCGGAGCTCCACGACGCATCTTTGTCAACAATTTCAGCGCCGCTGGTGGAAACACTGGATTGCTACTTGAGGATGCACCTGATCTACCTTCGAAAGTTGCCGACCCGCGCTCCACACATGTCATCGCTATCACAGCCAAATCGAAGTCAGCTATGCTTAATAACGCAGAACGTCTAATATCTTATCTCGAACGAAATAGAGAAATAGATATTGCAGATTTAGCATACACCACAACTGCACGTAGGATACAACATAAATGGAGAATGACAGTGACCGCGAGCGAAACATCTGAGGTCTCAACAGCGTTGAAATCTAAGCTGCACGAACAATTTATTCCTGTCCTTCCAGAACCGCCAAAAGTTGCATTTTTATTCACAGGACAAGGCTCTCAGTATGCAGCAATGGGTCATGAGTTGTTCGAAAATTCATCACTGTTCAGGGAAAGTGTTATGGAATTCGATAATATTGCCACAATTCTTGGTTTCCCATCATTTATCTCCTTGATCGACGGGAGTGTAACTGACGCCCTTGGCTTATCACCTGTCATAGTGCAACTTGCCATTGTGTGCTTGGAAATGGCAATGGCTCGTCTATGGGAATCTTGGGGCGTCAAACCCTCCATAGTAATTGGTCATAGTCTGGGCGAGTATGCCGCTCTCAATGCTGCAGGAATATTATCTGCCAGTGACACCATCTACTTGGTCGGGAGACGAGCTCAACTCTTGATCGGAAGATGTACCGCTGGAACTCATGCAATGCTTGCAGTTCAAGGATCGAGATCAGCTGTAACCGAAGCACTTGGGGAGATTGGGACACCAGTAAACATCGCTTGCATTAACAGTACTCGAGAGACTGTCCTTAGTGGCGAGGCTGCTGAGATCTCGAAAGTTTCCGATCGACTGTGTAACTCTGGTTTCAAATGCACGCAGTTGAAAGTTCCTTTCGCTTTTCACTCTGCTCAAGTAGAGCCTATATTAGATCAATTCGAGGTATTGGCCAAATCTGTACCCTTCGCGAGAGGCAATGTACCCCTCATCTCCTCCCTACTCGGTAGATGCCTTACCGAAGCTGAGGATATCGATGCCACATATCTCCGCAATCATGCTAGACAGCCCGTTAATTTCTTAGAAGGCCTGGTTTCTGCTCAAAATTCTGGCATTATAGATGAAAAAACTGTCTGGCTTGAGGTAGGACCACATCCAGTATGTTTGGGGCTCGTGAAAGCAACAGTGGGTAGTTCTACTGTTGCTGCTCCATCGCTACGCAGAAATGAAAGTGCATACAAAACTCTCAGCAACAGCCTTAGCGTCTTACACACCGCTGGTCTTGAAATTGACTGGAATGAGTATCATCGAGACTTCCACGACTCGGTCCGTCTTCTTGACTTGCCCACCTACGCTTTCGACGACAAGAATTATTGGATTCAATATGAGGGAGACTGGTGTTTGACAAAAGGAAATTTACCTGGAAAAGAGCCCCTTCAGTTGGAGCCTCCCAAACCTAAGCTCTCAACTTCCACAATTCACAATGTTGTCAGCGAAAAGATTGAAGGAGACACTGCAATTATTACCGCCGAGTCTGATCTGGCACGAGCAGATCTTCGCGGGGTCGTCACTGGGCATCTAGTCAATGGAGCTATGTTGTGTCCATCAGTAAGTAATTTAGTCTGGATTGAGTTGGTCAAGCTAATAATCTCCTAGTCTTTATACGCAGATATGGCCATGACTTTATGTGAGTATGGCTACAAGCTTGTGCGACCTGATGTCAAAAATTTGGGCTTGGACGTTGGAAGAATGAAGGTGCCTAAGCCATTGATAGCTGACCCTCAAGGGAAATCTCAAGTACTTACACTTACTGCCACTATAAATGCTGCAACTGGCCGTGCTGATCTCCTATTCTCAACGGGAACTGACAAAGCTCGAGTTGAGCACGCAAACTGTCAAGTCTTCTTCGGTGACACCGAGGAGTATCATGCCGACTTCCAACGTACTGCTTATCTCATTCAGTCACGAGTTGATTGGCTACAAGAGGCTGAACGAAATGGTAAAGCTTCTAAAATTGGTCGTGGTCTTGCCTACAAGCTTTTTGCTGCGTTGGTGGATTACGATCAGAAATATCGTGGTATGGAGGAGGTTATTCTTGACAGCATGAAGATGGAAGCTACGTCACGTGTCGTGTTTCAAACTACAGAAAAAGACGGAACTTTCAAATGCAGCCCTTTTTGGATCGACAGTGTGGCACATATTTCTGGATTCATCGTCAATGGCTCAGATGCTGTTGATTCACGTGAAAAAGTCTATATATCACATGGCTGGGATTCTTTGAAATTTGCCGAGCCTCTGAGTGCCGAAAAGACCTACCGCTCCTACGTCAGGATGCAACAGCGCAAGGATAAGACTATGGCTGGTGATGTCTACGTTTTTGACGGGGATACAATTATCGGCATGGTCGGCGGATTAGCTTTTCAAGCCATTCCTAGAAAGGTTCTCAATATGTTCTTGCCCCCAGTAGGTGCAGCGGCTGCTGCAACCACTGCAAAGGCAGTTCCCGCGCCCCGAGCACCACAACCTTCTAAGGTTTCGAACTCAAAGGCTGCCAAGAAGACGCAAGTCACCAAAGCCAATATCACCAAGGTGAACCAAAAGCTCATGTCCGTTACCTCCCAGGTTATGGATATCCTCGCAGTAGAAGTTGGGGTCAAGATTGATGAACTTGTTGACAACATTGCTTTCACTGATCTAGGAGTCGACTCGCTTATGGCCTTGACGGTGTGCGGAAGACTACGAGAAGAATTGGATATCGATATTAACTCTAACGAATTCATCAACTATGCCAACATTGGAGCTTTCAAGTCATTCTTATCGCAATTCGAAGGGAAGCCACCAGCTGCCTACAGTGAAGACCCAAGCTCGCCTCTCACTACACCTAGTCCTGGAGAATCAGTACACGACCCGCAAGAAGACTCGGAGTTCACAGATCCTTCGGACGACGATGTTTCAGCGACCGGTGCTGTAGATAATCTTGGTGATATTATAAGAATTACAATTGCGGAGGAGATGGCGATCGATGTTCTAGAGGTTGCAAGCTGTCCTGACCTTGCTTCTCTTGGTATGGACTCACTCATGGCACTTACGGTGCTTGGCCGATTGAGAGAGAAGACGGGACTCTCACTTCCATCTGATCTTTTCCAGGTCAACCTGACCATCCGCGATATCGAAAAGGCGCTCAATGTCGAAGCACCCTCCAAGCCAAAGCCGAAGCCGAAACCTAAGGCCCCATCTGAGCAGCCAAAGCCTACCAAAACGTCAGCCCCTTCCGTCAATAGCACTGTGCACGCTACACCTCAAAGAATAGCAAATTCAATTTTACTTCAAGGGAATTTGAGAAAAGCCAGCAAGTATCTTTGGATGGTGCCCGATGGAGGGGGATCCGCAACCTCTTATATTGAGATCCCAACACTTTCGTCTGATGTTGCTGTTTTTGGTTTAAACTCACCTTATATGAAGACACCTGAAGAATTTACTTGTGGTGTACCCGGTATGGCTTCACACTATATCAATGAGATGAAGCGTCGCCAACCAAAAGGTCCCTATCTATTAGCCGGATGGAGTGCTGGTGGTGTTATTGCTTATGAAATAGTCAGCCAGCTTACCAAGAACAACGAAGTTGTCGACAAACTTATCCTACTCGACTCCCCATGCCCTGATATCATTGAACCTCTTCCGTCATCACTTCACAAGTGGTTTGCTTCCATTGGTCTTCTCGGGGATGGCGATCCAAGCAAAATTCCGGAATGGCTTCTTCCTCACTTTGCTGCTTCCGTGCAAGCTCTTTCAACTTATATGCCCGAGGCAATAGATCCAAAGAAGGTACCTCAAGTCATGGCCATCTGGTGCGAAGATGGCGTTTGTAAACTACCATCGGATCCACGGCCGGATCCTTTCCCGTATGGCCATGCTCAGTTTTTGTTAGACAATAGGACGGATTTTGGACCTAACATCTGGGATAAATATCTTGGCAACGAAAAGTTTGTGACCAGACATATGCCAGGAAATCATTTCTCCATGATGCATGCACCTCATGTAAGTAAAATTCTACTATTAATCGCCGTGGCAATATACTAATCACTTCAATAGATAAAACTTCTAGGAGATTATATGAGGGAGGCTCTTATGATGTGATATGATAGATTTTTTTCTTTTGTCTTGTATTAGAATATGGTGGTGCTTGTCTGGGTGGCTGTTTCTGTTTTTGGCAATTTTCCTTTATTTTTTATGAATATCACTTTCGTTACTGCTATCTACGTACACTAGCCAAATATACACAATACAATTACATATGAGTTCCAACCATTCTATTGTCAATTTTCATCTAGCAAACATTCTATGATTCATCGATGTCTTTAGTGGATGCATCAGACGCGTACACAGTGGCTATAGCGAAGCCCCTTTCATGCGCCAGCACTTCAACAGTGCTGTTCAATATAAGGTTACAGATCTCTAATCAAGTCTTGTAATATTACGTATATTTTGCGTGCCTATTGCGATTCAATCCTTTGGATGCCTCGGATGGCGCAATTGTAAGACTTACCTTACGCCCCACCCCACAACCATCTTTACATGCATATATCTAGTAGATCAATATGTATTTCGCGTTCCCAAATGCGGCAAACAATATTTAAATACTTAACCGCCAATATAAAACTGCATTGGAGCTGCAGCTTACTTTTAGACAATCCTTGTCCGTGTCACATTGTCATAATTATTTGGTAAAAATACAATCTATTTTCTCGCTAAGGTGTTGAAAGAATACGAAAGCGAGCCTGTCATTGTATTGCCTGGCATCCCTTGTAAGCTGCATATTGCGATAAAAAATATGCTGAAAGATGAGACAGGGAACGCGGATAGGGCAAGGAATAAATATACAACTACCATAACGCTTGATAGCTGGAGTTTACGTACTCATTCCGAGTATCCCGGTTTCAGTTACGAGCGGATGAAGATCGAAATGACGTGCTGTAAGCAAGCTGAGGTTGAAGGTCTGTATAGTGAGTGCATTGCATATAATGAGTAGTAGTTTATCCATAGTAAGATCACTTGTAGTTATCGGTTGAGATTAGATTCGGGTTTTATTAAATGCCGCGACTAAAGGTTTAGAAGTGCCGTTCAATGCATTAGCCTAAATTAGCGTTGCCGGGCCCATCCGAAAAGAAACCACAAATGCGATTGGATAATATGCAAAATATGGGATGGTTCATGACATTAGCATGTCGATCAATTCGTAGGGTAATAATTGTAAGCCTGCCTCTTTTGGGATTTGTTCTAACCATGAAAATTATACCTGGAGCTCTTGACTCAACTAATTCTAAATGATATGGCAGACGGGGAACTATATTAAGACAATATATGCGCTTGACATATTACATAATTTGGCGCTCATAATGACGAATAACATTAAGCGTTCCTCTTCTATTGACGTGAAAATATATAGATGAACACTGCATGAAGGTGTCAACTTCCATAGCCATATCATACACCTCTAAATCGTCTGCGCACACGAGGAGTTTCTATGATGGCTATCCCGGGCGTCGATGAGCGGCTCGTACTTCGTAAACCAGACATAATGATGACCCGCAGCAGCTCGATTATCATAGCTTTGGTCTAATATTTTTATACGACAGGAATTTCTATGTATCTGTCAGCTTTCAATACCGGGGGAAGAAGATGCAGGTAGCACAAAGGCTGCCTTGAAGATACCAATACCAAGCTCATGGGCTGATGATTCCAAGAGAAATTGATGTTGACCACATCAACCTTTTGCGGAGAGAGATCCGATGAACTGCATTGCATCAAGTAGATAAAGCTTGGTTCGGTACGATCTTGCATTTTTTCGATTAATATTGCAATGCATGTTGATGGCGCTGATCTTCTTGGACTCGTTTCATACTTGATCCTGTGGTGTATAATCTTCGAGTCATTGATTAATGGATAACGCATTGAGGGATGCCTTTCTCAATATACTGGTGCCAACAGGATATACTCAACTCGCTTAGGAAATCGATGCATCCACATAGACTAACTGTCAGAACGATGAGATCACACTCTCCCGTAAGAATTATCGTCTCGCGTAACGCTTTATGTTTCTAAGAGAAGAAAATTCGATTGGGCGTTGCTAATGGTGATATTATTCGGAGATGGCTCCGCAGCTGACTGAAGACTCTACCACTCGACATATATAGCGTTCCCCGAGCCGGTGAGTGTATATGTATGGCTTCCCTTTCAGAGTATTATTTGTTTACATTCTATATGTGGTGTGGTGTGGCGTAAAAGATCTCACTTGCATAGACGGCTGACTGAACCTAGTCGGGGAGGCTGGAAGATGCGGCTTGTTTGAAGTGTATGTCTTGGAATGGGACGATTAAAACCTCGCTTATATGGGGGTTAGGGGATATGGGGGTTAGGGGGTGGGGGTTTGCCAAAACCTTTATGTTGGCTAAACTGGATTGGGGCTGCAACTCATTACTGCCTACCAAAGTTTGAAATATGCAAGTTCTGATCACCGGGGAGAGAACGTGATTAGGGTAGTAGAGGGTTCCTGGATTGATTCACCATTCAAAAGCTAAACCTTTCCAGTTTGTATCGTTCATGTCAGGTTGCAAGCTTTGTGGCTGGTTCCCCCACCGGATGTCCGGGTCAATGCTATTTGCACATATGAGTTATGAAAGTAAACAGTGCCATATTATCGGATCTACGTTCGAGCCTAGACTTGTGATCCGAGGTAGTTTTGGCTTCATACTGATAAGCACCCTTGACATCCTGTCTTCTTAACGCCAATCGGTTGTTTGGGCAATTATGTCTACAGAATTAGAGATAAGAATCATCGGATATATATGAAAAACCATGGTAAAAATGCAGCCTAATACTCATTTCTGCATTTATCTTAATTTATCGATCGAGAGATTCATTAAGATCTACCTAGCTATGCATGTACATATGTACGATCCCAATATATTCCTGGTTGATCATGTGTCCTACTTAAGGCATTTTGCTGGAAGCAATGCAGAATACAATGTGAAATCAAGAACAGTGGCACTCGAAATTGTAATTGTAATGAAATTAAATTTCTTAGACCCCTTAAATGTCCAGAGTTGGGTTATGTGACAAAAAGATACAACAAGATGAAGTAACTTGGTATGTCAGGACCTCCCCAATTCCAATGCTAGAATAACTCTATCCCTCCAAATATACAATCATGTTACTCCTAAACAAGTGCCAATCCAACTCTATGTATTCTGTAGTTTAATTTCCATGTTCCAATTACTCGACAACGCCACCAACTTTCTCCTTATTCCGTCCGGCATGGGCAATGTGACCCCAAAGTCGAGTAAGGAAATACAGTGATTCATAACATCATTGGGCCTATTAAGCTCCACGTACCCATCGGCCTTGCTGAGAACCGGGGTACCTTCCGCATTCCAAAGATAGGATTTGACAGAGGGATGGTCTGGTGCCACTGCATCGATAGGAAATATCGGACCTTTATCAAGTCTTTGTGTATATGTCTCAACACGCGCTACACACTCAAGCCATAAAATCATTGTAACACGATAGATAGCCACTGACCACCAGCGCGGACGTCCTTCTTTTGGCATAGACGTCACAAGACGAATGACTTGTCCACAATGAAAAAGAGCTTCTGCTGGATTGTATATGCACCGTTTGTAACGTTGAGAAAGCTCAAAGCTTGTGCCATCAAAATCCTCCTTTCGTGCTAGGCGCTCAATGTCTGGGAAGAGTGTCACCGCGTTCAAGCTTATAAGATGGTATAGCACGAGGTTGGCTCGAGTTATTTGACAATTCGGGTCGTTTTTGGCATTGAGTTCGCACAGGTCATACCATTTCTGGAGTAATGATTGAGCCTCTTGAAGACGTAGTAGGTTAGATGCCTTTGTAACAGTTCTAGTTCCTTGCCGGGAGCTATAGACTTCGGACTGAAAACTTAAAGCTTGGTGCAGATGACATAATGAGCTATGAAGCGGATGGAGAAGGAGCTTCAATTGTAATGGGGACAATTGGCCGTGTCGGCGTTCGATATTATCGGATAACATGTCACGAAACAGTCCACAAAGTGAAGGTCCTGCGGGTGGTGTACCAACCGGATTTGAATGTAACAGCCAATCAGTACCGATATATGTTTGTTGGATAATTGTCGACCATTCGTTTGCATCTTTAGCAAGCCATAGACACTCTAATCCAGGCATTGGAGTCTCAAGCTCTGTGATTGACATAATCGGTGCGGTGTCGTGGAATAAGCTAAGCTCCTGATCAACCATAACCCAATTGTAAACTAGCCTAAAGACATTGTCAGCGTTTGTATAGTTAATCCGATGGAAAATAACATGAGACTTTGTTGCTTTGCGCTATATTGGATATTGGGAGTGGGAGCCTTGCCTGCTTTTCTTTTCCCTCTGAAGCCAGACTGTCCACTGTTCATGTGGATTCAGGGCTTCGTGGAAAGAGGGATTCACTGGTATTTGAGGTTCTAGCATTCCGGCATGCTTGAGCATCTAGATAAACAAATTAATATAAGCTAGATTACTGATTGTAGTAAAACTTACCGCAAGATACATCCCTCGTTGTGCCATAGCTAGATTCATGTGAGAAGCATCTCCACCCCAAGCGCCGAGTATTGTGAAAAGTAGCGCACACTTAAATACCACGGGATCGGCTGATAAGTCGACATTCTTTTCAATTACCTTGAAAAGGGATATACGACAAGCCTCGGTCAGCCCCGCGGTCAAGCATCTAGCCTCGGCCGTTGGAAGAGCCGACGCACCATGGGCTATCATCAACAAGAGAAGCAGAGTTGAAGTTTGATTGTTCAGCATTAGTTCGTTTGGATCAAGGTTTCCACCATTAATCAGAGTATAGTATGGAGCTAAGCTGCGAACGTGACTTCGCAAAAAATATTCCAACACATTTGATGGGGGTAAGACGAGAAAATTGAATCCTCCGTCAGGACTTGTATAATTTGAAGATTTTGGCCAGCACTTCAAACCTCCTCGATGAGTTTCAAGAGCTGTATGAAGGAAGCTTTGGGTGATGGCAATTATCCTATCCCTGGTACTCGCACTCACAGGCATGACTGATATCCCGTTCCCATACTGAAGCTCAACTGGTTCCACGTCGTGATCTAATGAATCCCATGTGGCATCGTGCTTCGAATGTTGTTCCAGATTCTCGAGATATGCTATGGCTGTTCGTGTTGAAGGCCCTGGGATTAGTCGAGGATTGCATCGGGCAAGAGGCCAGGCTGATTCCGCAGCTACAAGAAGCTCAAAGTCCACGACACTATTGTCTGTCAGGATCGGAACTGCAATATCGATCATTTTGGCTTGGCGATTAGCATCGGACTGAGAAGAAATACTAGCACTCTTGGTATGCGACATTGCTGGAGATGGATGCAGTGACCCAGAAAATATTGGATCTGAATTTGAGGAGGTCTCACTTGACTCTAGAAAGCCAGCCGTTACTAGACTTCCAGATAATTCAGATCCCATTGAATACATGTCAAGATCTAGGGGATAGTGACTCCATGTCATGAGGTCTTGGTAATTGATGTTTCCACTGATTGTATCTGTGTTGCCGAACATCGAGTGTTCCATTCCTCCAAGAGTTTCCCCTGGGGAAGGTCCGAAGCCATCAACTGTAAATTTTAGATCTTGTACAGAATATTCGGTCTTTCCTGGTGCTACTCCCGTAAACTGCGGGTCTACAGGAGTGTCTGTGGGACTGATTTTTGCCTCCGTTAATGTTTCTTTTGGTGCTGTGTCCTGATCCATCGGGTCATGCGGTGGCTCTTGAATTTGTGGTGTCTTTTTGTGCGAGCTTGAAGCCCGGTTTGCAGCTTTTGACGAACGTCGGGCATATCTGCTTGCGCATGGTAGATTTTTCTCAGCGCATCTCGAGCATGGGACTCTTTTGTCACAGCCGGTCTTCGCACTAGCGCAATTGATACATGCGATAGGTGTTCGGCCATTGACTGTCGGAACACCACCAGGTAATGGCTCCATCGGGTCTTTTGCTTCATGATATGTGGAGTGGTGTCTTTGTAGAAGATCTCTGGAGATCAAAAAGTTAGTGGATCTCAAGCATGAACATAATAACCGTACGGGATTGTGAATACCTTCTGGGAAAGGATAGCTGACACAAAGTGCACCTATGCGGCTTTACATTTGTATCTATAAGAGAGCAAATATCTCAGTAAACAGCTCTCATATAAAGGGCAAACCGAGATTCACTGTTACTTACGACTCGGTATATGTCTCTCTAGATGTTCCTTCCGAGTGAAACTCTTTCCACAATATGTGCAAAAAATCATATTATCCATTTAACACTGGCGGCAGTTTTCTTTCCCTTTATCGTAGTAGCTTCTTCCATTGAGAGGGGGATCTGATATGGATTTGAATAGTTAAAGGCTGTAAAATTCTCAAGCATATCGTGTTGTCAGCGGCTGATAACTTTATGCTTGACCGAGTGTCAAAAGATACGCAGGCAGTCCTATGGGCAAGGCTTAGATTGACAAACATTTAGTAATGATAAGAATAGGTTACCATGACATTTTCAAAAATGAACCTAATATCTTATGCACGGTCAGACCACAGAAATTCATTGTGACAGGGGTTCAGAGGCACCCGAAGAGATAATTCGCCGACTAAGGCAATGTCGTATTAGCCATGCGGTGGCTTCGTGGTAATCGTGAAGCAGTTATTTAATATTGGAACTGAGGCTGGCCCAATGATACTAATGATGTTGGCCTGAAGGATGTTGAGATGTCCTTGTGGATAGTACTCTGGAAAGCGGTACAAGGACCAGGCCAGCTCGTGAGATCTGATGGAGGGGTCCAATTCCAGCCGGAAAGCCACCGCTTGCAGCTTGGTTGATAGCTGAGCTTGGGCTTTTTGTGTTGAAGGTGTCCTCAAAATCAATAATCAAACTGTAGGAACCCATTTCCACGACTCGAAGTAGTAGTAATATTTTCGTGAAGATAGCTAATTGTACAAACATGTGTCGTACCTTGACAGACGAGCAGCTAACCAGGTTTAAACCACAGGTATCATTGCATGCAGAATCCTTGTTGAAGCTTTCTTGTATGATTCCAAATCAGCTTTTCTTGGATGTAATGAACCCCACGTGTACCTAGATATGCATTTGAGGCGGCATATTAATTACAACTTGTTTGTAGTATGATCATGCAAGATTCCGTTACAGAAAAAAAACGAAATCTGCTGTAATAAGTAGCACAACCATCAGAAGCAGGATACTGTGCCCCTTCTGGAAGATCGTAGTGGGATTAGGGCGGATTAGTGCGTGGGACAGTGAGAGTACCGACGGGAATGTGATCAAGCCGTTAGAAGTGAAGATTAAAGGAATCAAGTCTACAGGAATAGACGAAAAGAAGTAATCTGCTAGCGTCGCTTAGAAAAATCGGGTTCTATCATTCGACACCAAACAAGGTTACATTGAAAGTAACCAGGAATGGTAAGCCCAAATTTCGGAATAAGGTACGTGTAGATTAAATAATAGATAAATACCTAGACACGGGTACACGGTTAGAATATTGCACGTCATAGACTTATAGCTTGATAGCGAATAGCAATTCGAGAAACGTATAGGATACCTAGCCTTCATGCGTACTTGATCTAGCCAGATGAGTGCGGGAAACGATAATATCATCTATGCTCCGAGAACGTTTTGAGGAAGTATTTGGCGTCTTCTTTATCCGACCGAGTTCTTTTATGGTTTAAGCTCGTAGATATACATGTAAAGGCCCACAAAGGTAGTGCGACCACACCTTAATTAACTTCCCTGTCCGGCTCCCTCATCAAGAACGTGAAACCTTGGCAGATATCTTGGCTAAAATGGGAGATCTCAGGAAGTATTTAGTTCCGACAGAGTAGAGCTCAGTACCAAAACATAGTAAACTAGTTCGTATTCGAAGAACGCTAAGTCAAGATCATCTGAAAGTTTACTTTCGACAGGAACCCGAAGGTTTAAACCCTGTTCAGACTAAACCCCACCATTTGTGTCCACCACAATTCACCTCATACCATGATGAAAGCTCCCATAGTCAAAGTTTATTTTAACCCTAGGTATTAGCGGAAAGTTTGAGAAGCACACCCCCTCTATCCACGAAATAACGAATAGGACGTTTCCAAAATGCTAGAAGCATTAGCTGTACACTCAAAGCAACTTTCAACCTCTATCCAAGGACAAGGCTGTGAGCAATTCCTATAGCCCGTGATTAATTGGGCTGTCAATTAGATAGTGAGCCAGCTCAAGGTGTTGACGTATAATTGTAACTTGGACTCATTTATAGTGGCAGTGATGGTATTTTCCAGTGGCACGAATCTGCAGGTCTTGCACAGTGGCATCTGAAAAGCCGATAAATATTGAGCGCTGCCAATCTCTACTCCACAGGTAACGTGAATATTTTTGCAAAAATGGAAGGTGCCATCCGATTGAAGTCACGAGTGTCCCCTTAGACGGTTTAATTTATTTGGTTAGATGAGACCATGAGCTTCTATGATGCTAATACTAAAAGTTCCTATGGTCCTACCTGTCTAATAGTAACTTATTGTTCATGTGTTCTCGGCCTTACTAATCTTGCAGCTGGATCTTCTGATGCTCAAATTACCTTGATCTCTATACGTCTCTTCCCACCGGATATATTGCGCTAGACTTCCGAGCGCCACGAGTAATATCGTCCTCAAAACAGCTCATCCCAAGGGTTCAAGGGTGCGCCTAAATCAGCCAGAAAATATGTAGCCTTCTCGGCTCGCCGTAAAACTTCCATTTTCGGATAGCTGGAAGTTTTTATGTTTTATCCCAGCTTCCCTAGTCCCCCTCCAGTAACCTTAATGCAGGACTTTTTTCATAGGTTGATTTATCTTGAAGGGTCTAGAGTTGCGGGCCAGTATGTCAGCCCTACATGACGTTGCCATATTCCCATGAGATGCCACATCGTAAAGATTCTTCCGATAATGATCCACTAAGCAGGTAACCCCCACTATTAAAGGAACGCCATCAAAATCTGAGTATATGTCTAGCGGAAATTGAAATCCCTCAGAGTAACTTCGTGATAACGAAAGTTTGCAAACTTTCCGGCGTGAATACCGACACATACACACCGAACAGTCACCACGAAGTCGCGGAACATGTTAGTGTTACCATAAGCTCAATGATATACGGGACAATACGAGGTGCAAGTGCTTCAGCATCAGCAAGCTCACTCGTAACTCCACGTATCAAATCATATGCAGTATCGGCATGAACCTGAAGATATTAATAGTTTCATCACTGATCAGCTCTTAGCCCCAAACAAAGCTGGGAGTGGTCCAAGTTTGCGAGTTATAAATCATAACATTATGCTGTTAGCGGGAACAAATCACATGACATCGGCCCCCTGATAAAAGAAAATTGTGGCACATACGGTGGCGCCAAGCCTGGGGACAGCTAGTGCTGAGAAGTATAAGTTCAAGAAAACTACACTGGTATAGATCATATTACACGGCCACGGGAGATAATAACCGAAACTTGACGCCGTTTCGTAAGCCTCATTGCACAGGGCACGTTACCGTTTACTTTTTATATGCATCTTATTATGGGCAAATCATGTTTGTTGAGGAATTAGGAACCTATATTTCAAGCAGATGGCATTCATTCACACTCTGAATCACCATGGATTGTGTGTTTCAGAAATTTGTTTGATATTCCTTGCCTAGCTCGTATTGTAACAAAGTTTCCGGGCTCGAGCTGGAGCTTGATAGCAATATAGGGCTACAACATATTGGAGATGCAAGCCCTTGATTCATGTTCCCGCTTTGCTGCATTATGCAAGTAATCTAGCAAAGAAAAGCAGGTGACAACCTATAGCAAAGATCTTTATACCATGCTCTGCAGCCACATTATGTCATGGGAAGAGAAAGTATGCCCATTACTAATACATGTGCTCATACTGTATTCGTAGGCGTCCACGAGATTGCCATGCTATATATTTGAGATAGCGAAATTCACCATGAGCGAATAGCCAGAATAATCGGCAGCCATGCAGAAACACCAGTGCACAGTGCTGCTGTGCGTCCACGGGCACTCTACCACCGAATATTTAGTGGGAATGATCAGGTATACCACAACCACTTCCGTGGATCGTTTCTTCGCTATATTGGTAACGCCTCAAGAGGAAATAATCGGCTGTAAGTCAGATTGGATAAGAAGAAAGTCATTAGATGTCGCAGATTTCACTGAGACTGCCGAAGTGATTCCGAAACTCATAAGCGTACCAGCAACGCTATTCGTCCGTGACTTTTGAGCGGCTTGGATGGTCTACATATGCAAGTCTACAACAGCTAAAATGCCTAGAGATAAGATAAGGCCCTAGAGGCCGCAGCCTGGTCGCTACATAGGCATATATGCCCCACGCGTATGGGCTTGTACAAGTGTAGCTCGACACAGATCGACATATCCCCGCATCGTTGCCAAGGGTAGCTGCAGCATATTTGACAAGCTTACCAAGAGATTGAGGCGAAAAGACTACCTCAAGCTGTCAACCCAACGCAGTCGCATCTCCCTCTGCATGCTTGGAGGGGCTAGCCGCTGTTACTAGTCAGTGCTATTCACTCGTTAATCACAATCTGTTACTTCTAAGAAAAGGATGAATTGATCACTGCCAGTAAGAATGAAGTGTTTGAGGAACTATGCTATGATTGATAGGCTATAAGTATTCCGCATCGTTATGAACATCCCGCCATGATGAAACACTGATAAGCGACTTCGCATCATCTTACCCCATACTTGGCAGTTTAATATTCCCGTCTCAAGTCACCAACATGGCCACACCCTGGATCATGACCGGGGTACGTATTATTGGTTCCGAGCCCCTGGATTTGAATAAGACTTCGGAAATTATTAAACATAGTATGAATTCCCAGATCCTCGGGACCGGTTTTGTGTACTGATTACTTGCATTGAAGGTTTCTAAGAGAGTAAGCGAATGAGCTACTGAGATTTCCTCTAGGATCAAGACCGAAGAACATAAGTTATAAACGCCTTAGCAATGTATTTGTGGTGTCAAGAAGTGGTCATTCATTCTTCAGCAAGGTATTTAGTGGTCCTGGCTGCTATGAGCAATGAGGAGCTTTTAAATTTCTAATCTAGTTACTACACTGAAACCATATGTACCATCGGATTATTCCTTGATAATCCAGACTTATTAAATATTAAAACTCGCGTCTAGTCTGCTATTGTACACTAATGAACACTTTGTTCTTCATTAAATTATCCTGCACAGTCCATCTCATCTCACCTCATCACCAGCGCAAACCTCTAATCATCGGCCCGCTCAAACCTAGAACGCAACATCATACCCACATCCCGTGTTCTAGATTTCAGACCCTAAAATTAGACGAGATATATAGGGTACAAAAAACACAGTAAGAATACCAGGAGCTCAGGAATATAGCAGCCCACAAATCTTGAAGAAAGTGAGATACTGAGAAGTAGTGTTAATACTTGTCTTTAAGAAACGTCAAAGCTTTGACGTCAGCAGTCAGCAAACCTGTGTGCCAATACCTTGGACTGTGGGGAACCAAGTGAGATGCTGAGATATAAAATTAGTCCCTATCAGGCTACTTCGTAAGGAAGCAGTGAAGAATCGAAGCCAATTCCGAGAGAGTCATGAGCAGGTATCATTTATATGAGGAGGCTGTGAGTGAGATTCCAAGGACCAAAATGTCAAGACGAACGGATCAGACAAATAATGCATGTAGAGCTCGATAATAAGGCTTTACACGATCAGTGACGTAAGGTCAAATTTTGCCGTGTTGAGGAGCGGAGAGAGCAAATCACATCAATACCGTTCGAGTCAAACACGACAAAAGACCTTCACGTGTGATGATTCACGTTGAAAAGCTTGGATAGCATCTATATTCCAAGTTCTTGTTCATTCCACACAATCAATTATATAGTGCTATCTCTTGAAATGGGAGTCTTGCATCATGCAAGCAAGATAATGAGGATATGCACTAATCAACACAAAACACCCGTTCTTCAGTACACGTCCATATAATACTGTCTCATAACAACGGAAGTTTGTAGTAAAGACCCCCGAATGCAGTTCCTGCTTGATTCAGCTTGAGGACAAGAATATGTGAGAATCCTTGTTCATTGGAGTATCTATAATACTGCTATATGAATCACTATGGCCAAGTTAATCACTAATCATCACAACCCGCCTTGACCTTCAAACCACACAATACCTCCTATCAGTATTGTTGATCCCGTTGCCAACATTTTACGAAAGATACACATTAATCCTCGCCATCTCACTCTTCACCACATCCCGATGCCTAATTTCTTGGTTTCGTGATTTCCAAATGTCCATCTCCTGTCATAACCAAGACAACTTGAGACTTACCAAGATATTCTCGGAATAGCTCCCGGACCATGATCAACGCCAACAAGAAATCAGGCAACGCATCATCTACGTCAAGAACTACCAAGAGTGATAATTGCAAAGTAATGACAAATGGAACACCTGTGCCTCAAAGTGGGATTAGGTGAATCACAACAACAACAGCAAGTATCCCACTTACCCGAGCTGACCAATCCAGCCTCAATGTTTTGACCTTTAGATGAGAGAAGAGGAGATATGCTTGTGGTGTTAGCGTTGGGTTTGCGCTGATTTTTGTTGCGGTTGTTGTTATTGTTGTTATTCCCCCGCTAGCTGGCAGTTGGCCAGATCATTGAGTTCATCTTATCCCACTGACATCCATCTAGTGCTCGGCGCTTCACGTAAAGTAGAGCATCGTTACGTGTAAAGCGTAATCACAGCTAGCCGCACCACTGTTCACTTTACTTCAAAGAAAACTTGCTTCAATCGATATAGATAGGTTCTTCTAAAATATTAAAATGAATAACCAATATTCTCTTCGATGTATGAATTATAAATCTATTTCATTCCCCAAAATAATATTTGAAACACGTGTAATAATCACATAAGCTGTAATTATTACCACAAGACATAAAGCGAGCTACATTATCACGCTTTATATGATTACAGTTTTGCCAACCCTATCCATCCGTCCATCTATCCACAAACGCACAAGTCCCTACTTCCTCTTTCCTCACCTCTGATTTCTGCATATTATTAGACTTTAGCTCCGTTCAGCTAAGCTAGCTAGCTGATTAAGCCACCACTTATTCCCCTTTACCTACGACTTCTCCATATATATCGCATGTAAGAAATACAGATAATAGATGAAGGAAATTTTCGAATCAACTTCCAATCATTACTAATCAAAAGGTTCATAGTCTGGCTAATTTTAGAATTTTGGATTGCTCGTCTAGATTGTATGGGATATTCGGATTAATATCAAAAATGTAACTACTAGCTTGATATAGAAAACATGATGTTCTATGAACAGATTATGTTTTCTTTTAAAAAAAGATTAAAATATCTAGACTATATCAAATCCAAACTAAATAGAATAAATAATTCTTTCTTTTCTTCAGACGAACTAATTATATATATATACATATATATATAAATCTGACGCATTCCTCAATACACAGCCTCTAATTAGTAATCACCCCTGTCACACTTTAAGAATAGATAGATAGTTAAGTAATTCCAAACATAGAATTTCTAGACATTTATACTGATTCTACCTAGTATATTACTTTTACTTGTAACTACATACATACAACTACCCAGCTAACTAAACTGCGTCTCAATCATTTTAAATACACATAATATATTTCTAATTATCACACCCCTCACACTTCACACTTTACAACTCATCTCCAACCCCTGATTATCCCACACGATTCACAAACCCCGCAGACATGTACATACAACCTTTCAAAGTTTTTACAAACCCCATATATGATATAATTTATAAAACCCAAAAAATATATATACAGCGCATGTATGTATGTATATATATGCACAATACATCTATCATGTCTATTATATCCATCAACTTAGCAGGATAGGACAGGATAAGATGAGATTATGTGAGATGAGATATGATATGAAGAGGTGTAAAGAGATGTGAAGAAATATTAATATTAATGGGGTTGTATTATGGGGTAAACTTATACGTATAAGCATTGGAGTATAAGCCTTGAAGTCGATGTGAGATGTGTAATTTAAGATTTCAGAGGGAGTTTATAGGTCAGTTCGGTGGGAGCTAGGATAGTGCGGTTTTGTATGATGCGGTTTGCTATGGTAGGTAAGGTAAGATAGGTGAGGAGAAGTGAAGTAAAGCGGGAGTGTATGAGAAAAGATTGATGAGTTGAATAGAATTGAATATCTCCAAACTCATCCTCATCCACAAACTAAATCTCACCTCCCAACGAAATTAATTCTCAGTCCTCAATTATTAACTAAACAATGTACTGATGAATACTCTATACAACATTATAATAATATTAATCTATAGTATAAAAGTCTAGAAACTGGATATATTAATGATCAATACCTCATAGTATCATCTTATATCTCATATCAAACAACTATTTCCATTGACAAGAAAACTGATAAAATTTTTGAAAGCCCAGAAAGTATCAACATAATTAATCCACAAAATAAAATTAAAGATTCCATTTCATTCCTTCATGCTTCCCTATCATCATCACCGTCTAAATTTCTATTTCAATTTCTATTCTCTCTCCCACTCTTCTTAAAACCACTCCAATGCATCCTCATCCCCTTCAACAAAGCATACGCCAAAACTCTATAAATCAGCGTACAAATGCCCAATGCCACGATATTCCACAAGGGATCTGTATTCAAATTATACAAGTCCAATGCCTCGATTCCGGTACTGATCGGACAATCACCATTTGGCATTCTCTGTGCATCTGTGCATGTGAATTTAATGCTTCTCAGTGTATAGGGTGCAAGATTCCGGATCGAATAGCGAATTGGAGAGAGATAGTTTACGCCTTGGAGGAAGCCGGGCATGTTGATTGAAAAGATACCGGACATGACTTGAGCGATGGAGAGGAAAACGCTGGTAAGGTTTACGGCGAAGCCGGTGTGGGAGAAGAGGGTATTAAACTGAAGGTGTTAGTGATTCGTTAAACATTGGGAGACGAGGAAACGGGGAATGGACATACCATAATACCCAGACTCTCTCCACAATTGACTATACAAAAGCAATTAAAAAAGCAAACAAAAAAAACCTGCGCATTTCTCGGTAATCCAGCGGCCAAATCCGTCAATATGGCGAAAATCAACGATGTAAAAATTTCAAAGGGTATTTCAAGCGTAGTATACTGTGCGAAGAATGCTTCGACACTATAAATACCATCATCATTTTCTCGATAAAACACATCCTTTTCATTAGGATAAACCGCAACGTTTTGTAGCATACCAACGAAATAAAATGCACAAAACTCTTGGATAAATCCAAATCGATTTTGTACAGAATAATAATCATGTTTCAAAGGTGCGAAGAACAAAGCGAGGATTATGGCGAGACCCAAGACTTGCATGATTCGAGCCATAAGCAAGTTAGGTTGTCGACGAAAGTTTATAGAAGCTCTATGGACGAGAATTGGATATGCAGAAAGAAACCCAGATGTTTTGCGGACAAGCGAACCAAGTTCTGCAGGAGTAGATATGGTAGTTGGAACAAAAGCTTTTCTAAAATTCCCAGACGACCAAGAACTAATCAAATCTCTCACTCTGGAACGAGTGGCCTCCTCCCGACTGGACTTTTGTAGATCAACGGTAATTAAATCAAGTGCAAAATCAGCTGGATTTGTTGTTGTAGGGCATGGATGGCCTAGCATCTCAAAGTAAGAAATCATGTCAGAGCCTTTACCAGCATAAACAGGAGACCCGCCACGTGCAAGCAAAAGAACACTTCCGAAATGTTTGAAAGTGTCGGAACGAGATTGATGTATTGTGAGAATCAAGGTTCGACCTTCTTGTGCAAGACCTTGAAGTACTTCCATGATGGATGAAGCCGTAAATGCATCCAAGCCAGAAGTTGGTTCGTCCAGGAGAAGTACCTACGATGGAGTGTTAGATGATGTACAATTGGAAGTAGTGAAGGAATAGATTGCCTTCTTAAACTTACCCTTGGATCGGTCAAAATCTGGACTGCGATAGTCACTCGACGCTTTTCACCTCCTGATATACCTTTAATAAGATCAGATCCAATAAGGTTATCTGCACAATCCTTTAGACCCATCTTTAGAAGGACATCCTCAGCACGTCTAATTTTCTGCTCCTTAGTCATAAATGATGGAAGTCGTAGACCAGCAGCAAAATGAAGTGTTTCCCTAACCGTCAGGGAAGGAAGCAGTGCATCATCATCTTGACATACATAACAACAGACAGATCGTATGACCGAAGCTGACGGCACTGCCCCGTTGAACGTCATATCTCCAGTTTGTCGATAATTTGTCCCAATTGAATTACGAAGTCTTAATGCCATCGCATTGAGAAGAGATGTTTTGCCGCTCCCTGATGGTCCCATGATGACATTCAAAACTCCAGCTTGGAATGTTGCCGTGACCGGATTCAAGATGGGTTTGATGGGTTTTTTTCTTCCAAGCGAGTTTCTCTTCTTTAGATCTAGTGCAAATTTATCAAGACCAATATCAACCTGCGATAATTATTAGTTGCAGTCTACCGTGAAGAGCTATGCAGATATGGTGGAATAAAATCCATCGTCCACGTCGCAACACTTTACAATTTCGACGACGGAGCAGTTCATCTATCATGTTACAGGAAAAAGGGTAGTGAGATATCTACTCACAGTTCTAACCTCCGCCGCAGATCTTACCGTCATCTTTTCTTTCCCTGCAGAGAAGTCCGCATCTGATCCTCTTGCTCTTGCAATTGTCATTTCAACCTTTATGAATCGTAAACCAATGCCCGCAAGAACGTAGAACATGATCGCATAGCAGAGTAGAAAAATGATTGGCCTGACAATCCAGTTGTCAGGAAACCCCAAAGAATCTATGATAAACGTGCCTGTGTATTCTGCGCATTGCGGATTTGACTCTCCACCTTCATAAGGACAATCATAGAATTGTCCCACAAATTCATTCGAACACAAAGCACCAAATGCGTAAAAAACGTATGCTGTCCACTTTAGCCAACGCACATATACTGGCATGGTGTTACTTTGGATGAAGAAACCACAAGCAAAACTCTGAACAGTATAACCCATATTTGCAATAAGAGATGCACCAGGAAAACTTCTTGAGGCTGCTACGCACGTCATGGCGAATGTAACCGCAATGTATTGGCAAAGTAACACGATGGCAAAAAAGGTGAGGAAAGTCGAACCATCCGATCTGAAACCTGCCATCCAGTAGAAAATAACTGAGTAGATTAGCGGAACGGGAAAGTCTTCAGTAAAGAACCTTGCAATCCTTCTGCTTAGTAGAAACGGAATAACATCTACCACATTCTCGTTATTCTCGCGATCAAAAAGTTGTATATCAATGGTCAGACGGTAAGTTTCAAACAAAAGCATGAGATACCCTTGTAACGCGGCGGCATTATAAAGCGCTCCCTGGCGACTGCGAATACCAGAAAGATCTTCTCGCAGATTTAGAAACACCCAGCCGCTCATAATTCCTAATCCGATTGCTTCTATGAGAGATCCAAACATACCCATAGGGTCTCGATAGGTTGTGACAAAGGTTCGAGAGGTTAGCACGCGAGTCTGCCGGATGAAAGGAGAGTGCCGTGTCCACTTTTTTGATGCAAGATCATTAGTGACGGCTGCTTCAGCAAATGTACGCTTTTCATTGTCTCGGGAGAACTTTCTGTTGTTTTCCTCTGCCCAAGCAACTTTCAAACTCTCAACCCTTGCGGAGGATGCTACCTCGAGTTCAGGCGAGCGATTGTCGATAGCTGCCATGTCAATCAAGAACTCTGCGGGGTTAACGAATGGCGGTAGCTCCATTCCGATTTCTTTGAACCAAGGCAAGCAATCGGCAGCTTTTCCAGAATATACCGGGCTACCTTTTGTTAAGATTACTAGACCGTCAAACATTCCCCATATTTCGGATCTAGGCTGGTGAATAGTCGTAACAACCGTGCGGCCTCTTCTGACCAAACCTTTAAGAGTTCTGACTAGTTGAAATGCACTAGTAGCATCAAGTCCGGTGGTAGGTTCATCCAAAAATAAGATACTTGGATTACTTAACAACTGTACACCAATGCTGGTTCTTCTCTTCTCACCCCCCGAGCACCCCTTGTGTTGGGTACTTCCAATTCTTGTGTCGGCGCATTCTTTCAAACCAAGCTCTAAAATGACCTCCTCCACAACCTTCCTTCTCTCGTCTTCAGTCGTTGGCGGTGGCAATCGTAGATCCGCAGCATATCGCAGTGTTTCTCGAACCGTCAAAGACGGCAGTAAAATGTCTTGTTGCATGACATAGGCACTGCGAACACTATGCACACCTTTCATGCCATTGAATGTTGTCGTACCACCTATTGTCAATCTTCCACTAATCATCCGCTCAGCCATTGTGTTTAACATAGTTGTCTTTCCTGAACCGCTGCCTCCAATAATAGCAGTAAGTGTCCCGACAGGCATCGAGGCAGATACTGAGTGTAGAATTTGTTTCGTGGTGGATGTGGCGACTCCATTTTGGGCACTTTTCCGTGGTATTAATCTTTCTATTGAGAATGCTGAAGGGGAAATGTCGACGCTGACGGAGAGATCTCGTATTTGAACATCCACTGGTTCCACGGCAGATAAGGAGAATGTATTGCTCTGGGCAGTACTGATAACTTGGAGGTCTGTCGCGACATTCTCATTTGATGCTGATAAATCTACCGGTTGCGATCGTATGGACAATGATGATTTGCCCACTGCTTCCTGAGCATCGCTCTCAATCCGCGACTCCATATTTTGAGCCTTTTCTTACAGTCTCAACATCTGTCTCTAGTTTTGCGTTACTGATCTCTAATCGCTGGTTGCTGAGGTTGATTTGAGGTTTCGAATTCCTCCCCGCTGTCAAATTTGGAGCTGCAGGCTAATAGCAATCTCACCAACAATATTCAAATTTTCGACTCGCGTGTAACATTGTTGTTAAGATGCGAAAGATGAAATGAGATATACTTAGACATGTACTTGGGTTGAATAGAAATCCTTCAGGAATAACATCGACATTACCCATGCATGCGGATTGGCCATTTTCCATTGAATTTGTTTCGAGGTTCTTGATACTCGCATGGTTGTTCCTTCCATCTCTTGCGTTGCGGGGTTCTTTAGCGTACCTCGGTTGCGAAGCGATGACTTGTGTGCAGTAATTTGAAGCGATGAAACGCCTATCAAACCCTGTCGTGGAGAGATAACGCACTGTCCCAAAAAACGGTGAAGCTGTAAGGTTAAGGTTAATAAGGTCAAGCTTACTCAGGTCAAGGTTACTCCGTACAACAAAGAAACCGTAATATAACCATTTCTATGTGGGCAAAAAGTGCTGTTCGACTATATTCCTTGATTCCAGCCCCAAAATCAGATATGGCACTATTCGCATCTAAATCCGTAATTAATAGAGACAACACTGCACACTGCCTTTCAAAGCTCAAAGCTCAAAAGATGAAGTGATTAAGGGGACATATCTCTAATTAGAATAATAGGAGATGGAGGAGTGGAAACATTCTCATAATTTAGAAACAAACTATTTCATCCAAAGACCAGTCAGTGCGAGGCGGTATATAGAACTCTTACTATACTATCTTAAGATTATAATACAAAGAATCTTTCCCTACCCCGCGCAAATGAATACATACCCTTGCATAATTCCCTCGTTATATGTATATCTTAACCATTAAATTTCTTGCCGCGGCCCATCCGTCCGTTTCGTCAAGTATCAAGCAAGGTCAGATCACATTATATTCATCTTGAGGTGGGGGAAATTGGGTATATCTGATAGCACGACCTCCTGTGCACTGCATAGTATGTATTTTCTTTTGCATTTAGTGGTTTCTATAGCTATGTATAGGATATGGTTATATATATATAATTTTATTTCATTTTGCTGTGTTTAGGAAAGCCATCTATGGTCTGCTTTACCTTTATCTTGTACAAAATCCGCTCAGATAGCGCCATAGCGCATCCATATCACGACCTTGACATCTCCGAAACGCCAAATATCCAGCCATTACCATGTCCTAGATCTTCTTCCTTTCCTAATCCTTCCCCTTACCCCATCTTACAAACATTTAATACCCCTAAAAAACGGATTCTGCAGCAACCTCTTATCACTACCCACCAACCTCCTCAAAACCTCAATCTTCTCCTCCTTTCCCATCTCCGCACTCTTATCAATCTCCTCCTTCCACTTCTTCAACACCTCCTTCAATAACCTACTACCCTCCTCCACATCCTCCTTTGCAAATTCCTGAGAACTAGGATCACCATTGTCTAACTCCACCTTAGTAGTCGTTCCAAAATCTTCTAATTCCTCCGCCTTTCTTCTGGCCATATTAATTACTTTCTCCGGAAATTTGACCAGTTCCGCAACATGGATACCGAAACTCTGATCACAGATTCCTTCTTCGACTTTATAGAGAAGGGTGACTTCTCTTTTCTTCTCTTGAGAAGACGGTTCCGTATCGATATGCGCGACGACGTGTAAATTTTTGACTTGGGGGAAAGTATCCGCCAGTGCGGTTAATTCATGGAAATGCGTGGCGAACATACTAAATGCTCCTATTTCCTTAACAATGTATTCTGAGATAGCCCAGGCGAGACCAAAACCATCATATGTACTAGTTCCTCTACCCAATTCATCGATGATGATGAGGGATTCCGAAGTTGCCGATTTGAGGATATTAGCCGTTTCTAACATTTCTGCCATGAAGGTCGAGACACCTTTAAGTTGGGAATCTGATGCTCCAACTCTTGCTAATATGCAATCGAAGATTGTAAGTTCTGCTTCTGAACAAGGAACAAAACAACCGATTTGAGCCATCAGTGCTATAACACCGATTTGTCGAATATAAGTAGACTTGCCTCCCATATTCGGTCCGGTGATTATTAGAAAAGAGGATTCGTCACGAATGAGAGAGACGTCGTTGGTGATAAATTGAACATCATCTTGCATTTCCATACAAGGATGACGAGCTTCTTTAAGGATTGTGGAACCTGTACCACGAGGATGCATTTTAGGACGGACATAAGAAGTAGGGGCGTGGGCGGAAGTATGAGCTAGAGAAACAATGACATCGAGATGAGCGAGGACAGAGGCGAGTGTTTCAATGACTGGACAATAGGAAGCAGCTACAGCGACAACTTCGTGCACCAGACTGGTTTGAGTGCGATTATAGTTTTCTGAAAGTTGATCGAATTCGCGGCGGAGGGAAAGAAGTTTGGAAGTAGTAAAAAATACACCACTCTTGAGAGTTTGACATTCTTGATATTTACTCTTGTTTCGGATGCAAGAGGCTTCAGTTCGTGTGAGTCGCATGCACCAGCCATGAATTTTGTTGTTTTCCAGGAAGATTTTCTTCTCAATTTCCTGACCGAGATCTTTGGCTACAACACGAAATTCTTGATCCATCTCGTATTTAAGTTTATCCAGCTTCCGCCTGATTATTCTGAGACTATCGTCGAATTCAGGCTTGATGATATATTCGTGATTATCCATGGCGTCAAGGTCAACAGTAGTCTCGACCATTTCTGCCAGCTTTCCAAGACTATCGTTGCATTCACGAAGTTTGATTGTATATGCCTCATCGAGAGCATCGCGATATTTTTCATCCATAACACTTTCAAGAGTACTGATGAAATCAGGTATCCTGATGACAACTTGATATGCTCGGACAACATCTTCAAGGTTTGCCAACTTCTTCTGGAATCTTTTGGCCAATCGATATAAATCAGGTATTGATCGCATGTGACTTTCTTGTATAGTTTGTTTCAACTCTTGATCTTCGACAAAAGCCTCAACCAACTGTTGTCTCTTTTCAATTTCCTCAAGACTCATCAAAGGCTGTTTCAACCATTGTGCCAGAAGCCTACTTCCAACTGGTGTCTTGCAATGATTGAGTAAACCATAAAGAGACATAGTCTTTGATCCATCCCTTGGTCCGGGCATAAGATTTAGAGCTTTCAGCGCAGAAGCATCTAATTTCATGAATTGTGAAAGATCATGTTGATAAAGTTGATATTGTCCGAAATTCAAATTATCATGTAGCACACCCAAATAGTTGATAAGAGCTGCCGCTGCCCCCATAGCAAGTTTCAAATCTGTCTGTGGAAGAACTCCTGTAGATTTCTCATCCTTCAAAAGTCTCGCAAGATCTTGTTCAATATCTTTGGTTCCAAAGGTTCCTCCTGCTCGTTCTGTCCAGGCACAACCACAGCTTTCGATGATTTGCTTAAGTTTCGTTAATTCCACATCTTTTGTTGTTCTGTCTACTTGAATTAGACATTCCTTTACTCCCAGTTGAATAAGGAGTGATTCGAAGTTTGAGTATAAATCATTGTCGAGAAATTCGCTGACCCCTAACTCCCTCACACTTGCATCTGCGAAACAAACACCAATATTTCTTGCTTCTGATGCTTTTGTGGAAACCTTTACAGCGAGTATAATTGGCGCAGCATCGAATGATCCTCCTAATTCTTCCTCAACATCTTGTAAATTTCCTGGTGAAGCAGTCTTTGTAATTTTCCAATTGTTCTTCCCGGAAGTCGTGAATATCTCCACTCTCTTGCCCATTCGGTAAAGTGCTTCTCGTAAAAAGTTCTTATATACTGTGACTGTCATCGTAACTGAAGGGATCTTTGTAGAATTGCTGCCTAAATCTCGCAGTACGGAAGTAGTTTTGTAGACCTGAGAGTGTTAGATGTATGATCCTTCCATTTGCAAAGATACACACAGTGCGGGCAATGAACGAAGCATCATCTCCATGAGCAGTATAATAGTCTCCTCGATCGAAGACTCTAATGGTTTCTCCATCTCTTTGAGGTAAGCTCTTGAAAAGCTTTATAAATCCAAGCTCATCATCCACCTAAAGTACACTATCAGTAAAGAATCTTAATACCAAAAAGATACATATAAAAGGTGGCGTACCTTGAGCTCAGGGCGAGAAGACATCTTGATAAATTTCCTGAAGAATAAGTTTTCGAAAACAACCACCTCAATATGTCAAAGTCAAAAAGAGCTCAAATCATCGATGTAAAATTCCCAGTAGATCCCCCGACAAATTTCAAAGTGAGTGAACAGGGGAGACGCGACGGGGCGCCACGCTAATCAAATATTCAACGCGTTTTGCCAAAGCGGTGAAGGAAGATCAATTTATTTTCAAGAATGCGAAAATGAAGCTCCTCACACCAATTCATCTAATCCTCAATAAAAATGTCCGACATCGACGAACGACCCTCTAAAATCCGCAAAGTTGGATCTACCGACAATGCATCAGCTTCCGGAGATGTGATACCACTCAATTCCCCCTCCAATGACATAACAATGGAGCTTGAAACCTCAATAACTACCCAAGATACTCCCACCAATATTAACTCCAACACTACCGAATCGAGCACCATAATAGACGCAAACCAAGCCAATCCCCTCTCCAAATCGCAAATAAAGAAACGCAGAAAACAAGAAGAATGGGAAGCCAACAAATCCAAGCGAGCCGAGTTCCGGCGCATCAAACGGAAAGAAAAGCAAGCGCGCAAAGCCGCTGCTCACGCATCAGGACTCCTACCTCCTCCTCCGCCCCAATCGTCACGACGCCCTATTCAAGTTCCTGTAGCTTTCCTCATCGATTGTGATTTTGAATCCTACATGATGGAAAAAGAAATCATATCATTAACAGCGCAAGTAACAAGGTGCTATAGTGACAACCGGACTGCGGTTTATAGGGGACATATGGGGATAGCGGGGTGGGGAGGCAAGATGAAGGAGCGGTTTGAAGGGGTGTTGGCTGGGAATTTTAATAGTTGGAAGGGAGTTAGGTTTATGGAGGAGGGATGGCTGGAGGCGGCGGGGATTATGGATGGGATTATGAAGGGACCTGAAGGTGGAAAGTTGTTGGGGGCTTTGGCTACGAAGAATGGACTTGAGGAGTATAAAAAGCCGGTTAAAGGAGCAAGGAATCTGGAAGGGCAAAGAGGAGAATCCAGAGAATCCACACAGCCAGAAATCGAGGAAAATTTAGAACCATCAGAATCCGTTCCCGCTACGTCGGTAGGCCCAGAAACTACCTCCATCCCAGCAGTCTCAGAAACATCGCAAGTACCCGAGCCATCAGAACCCAATCCCACCACCTTAACAAACCCACCCCCCTCCATAATCTACCTCACCTCCGACTCCCCCAACACCCTGACCACCCTCACCCCAAACACAACCTACATAATCGGCGGAATCGTCGACAAAAACCGACACAAAGGACTCTGCTACAAGCGCGCCTGCGACGCCGGCGTCGCAACCGCCAAATTACCTATTGGAGAATACATGACGATGCAAAGTCGGACTGTATTGACTGTGAATCATGTTATGGAGATCATGATACGGTGGTTGGAGACGGGGGATTGGGGTGAGGCGTTCTTGAAGGTTATTCCGAAGAGGAAGGAGGCGAAGTTGAGGACGGAGGGGAGGGATGGTAATGGTGAGGAGGGTGAGGGTGGACATGACGAGGAACATGATGAACATGATGAGAATGAGAATGAAAACAGTGGAGACGAAAGTGAGGATGGTGAAGAAGGTGGAGTTGCTGTCGAAGCCGAACAGACAGGAGAGAAAAAAGTGTCCGAACAGAGCTCAAAAAATGATACCACAATAGCTGGTGCAAAATGAGCAATTATTATAGAAATAAAATAGCAATTATCTGCCTATCATTCATTTCATCATAAACACTAATCAAAATCCGGGTATAATTTTCCAGTAACCATGAATAACCACACCTAAACGCCTCTTCCTTTCTTTCTTTCTTCTCTCTCTCTTTCCACGACAACTACTCCAAGATCAACTCCTCCTCCTCCCCTCCTCCGCCCTTCCCCTCCTTCCAACCTCAACCCCTCCAACCCCCAATCCCAATCCCTCCACCTCAGCCAACCTCTCACTACCATCCCTTCCAATCCCATCCCCAACCCCCCTCTCATCCTCCTAACCTCCCCTCAATAACACCCTCCTCCTCCTCCACCGCCTTCCTCCACGCATTTTCCCTCTTCACCACCGTCCCCGGAACATTCCTCCTCAGCGCCGCAATCTGCTCCACTAATTCCTCCTCTCGAATCGCGAGCGCTTTTGCCTTTTCCCAAAGCTGTCCATCGAATGGTTCGTGTTCTTCTCGTTCTTCAATAATATCCTCATTTATATCTGAATGGAGATGCGAATCGAGGAGTTTATGCGGGGGGGACATGCCGTTTATAGAGATGGAGGGGGAGGCGGATAGAAAGGTTTTTTGAATGTACTGATTTTGAGGTTTTGGTTAGTTTTTGTTTTTGTATATCTTCTTTCCTTTCCTTTCTTCCATTTTCTTTTTCGAAAATACACCAACCCAATGACACAAAAGCCATAAGATTCGATATATCCTTCTCCCCCTCCCCAAAAAGAAATATAAACATACCTCTCCCACAATTTCCTCCACCAACCTCCTCATAGCATCTTCTCCCTCTATGGGCGGTAAATCCCGATCAATCATTTCCCTCGCCGCTCTCTTCACATTCGCAACTAGATATTGAAGATCATCTGGTGATTGAAGTTCAATTTTCCTCTGTTGTTCTGCCATTCTTTTTATCGTTGTGTGATATCTTCGCGATCAATTTGAAGTAAATTACATCCAGCGATTTTCCGGAATATGAGGGGTGAGGAATGAGAATATTGCTTCGTTTTTGTTGGTGTTTTTGATTTGTAGATGTAGACAGTGGCTTGCGCGGTAATTGTGTGTATAAATGTGAATTGAAATACTCAGTATTGTCTTCTCTATTTTATTTTAACGGTAGAACTTATTTGTTTACATTCGCGCATCGGTAACCATCTTATCGCTGAAGAAGAGCTTCTAGATTTCTGAGGTCTGTGCGTTTGTTTCGATTAGTAATCAACTGCTCGACCCTCACTGGTGCATCTATTCAACGGCATCGAACTTCTCGTCTGAAACTACTCTCGTAATATAATAAATATGTAATTCACCATATCTTCTTAATTTCTTTCTCTTCCTCACCATCCCCTCTCATCACATCCCCTTTCATCACATCCCCTTTCGTCACATCCCTTCTCCTCGCATCTCCTCTTTCCTCCTCCTTCCTCTCATCCCCTCCCCTTCCATTCCCTATCCCCATATTCAAACAATCCCTACCTACCTTTCCAAACAATAGCTTTATAAGCCTCAGTTCAATTAAACCAGAAATCAATAATAAATCAATAATAAATCAATAAATCTAAACTTCTAACCTTAATATCAATATCATTCATCCATTCATTTATAATTCCCGAATCCCAAGGCGATATATTCTACATCATATCTCAAAAACTCATCTCTCAAACACGCAGAGAACATAAATAATCTTACCTAGTATATACTCGTGAATGATATTGATCAGTACCTAAGCATATATCATCTAATAGACTAGTATTTACCTCTTCATGTTATCTCCTATTCCCCTTCTTCATCTACTTCCCCAATCCCATTCCCCTTTCTCATCCTTAACCACAGCTATGCTATCCCACAAATATCCCATCATACATAATCATGGTCCAAAGCATCAATCTATTTCAACGTCACTTACTTTTTGAAGACACTAAGCCGAATTATACATGAAATGCCAATCAATCAATCAATCATGACACACCCTCACACCAGAACCCATTCCAAGTATATACAAAACGCAACAACACACGCACAATGCCGTGACAATACAACTTTAATTTTCCCCACCCGCTGACAAATACCATACTACACACATATAAACCCATATCTAAAGAAAAAAAAAGAAACCCAAACCAGGTAACACCTCCAGCAAACCACATCCAATCCACCAAAATCGTATCAAGTCGACCTCAAAAACCTCAAAAACCACACCCCAAATTTCCCCAAAGAAAATCCCACAAACCCCAACCATAAAAGCCAAGCTAGTGCTAAATCAAGTTTCTGATACACAATCCAAACAATATCCAAATCCAAGTTCCAAAATCGACATCTACATCAACATCAACATAGAAATCAGTCACAAATAAGATGAGTCCGTGGTTACAAACCCAACAACTCCACACAAACAAAGTAAAGGACGCATCATCCTGATTCCTCACCCATAAGCCACGGGAGCACAGCAGCACAGCAACCTATGCATAAAAAAAACCCCGCATGCAAAATCTCCAATGACCGATTAAAGACTGACAAGACGGAATACATGGCAGATGCCAAAACACACAGGATGTTTCGCGACGCTCGGAGGTTTCTGCACCATGATTGATGATGAAACATGCTGATTGTTTTACCGAACCGAACTTCGCAAATCCGGGTTTCAGAGCCGATTTCTGCGGTATCAAATCGATAAGGCTTGGGTTGTGTGGTTATTGGTTGACTTTATATTCAGGAATATGTCATGGTAGGCAAGTACCCTTCAGCCCATCTGATAAACATTTGAATCGATGGTTCTTTTTCTTTTCATTTGGGATGAACTTCATTAGACTCTATTAAAGTTACTCGGTGGTGCATTAATACATACTTTAGACTTTTTAGTAGCATGAGCCTAGACTTTGATACATATCAGCATTAGAATAAATCCTTGTTGAGGTGACAATCATAAGTGAAATGCCAATCAGTGGTGGATGACACTGTCAGAACTGTAGTCTCAAAGCCTTGGAGATAACCCGCGAGACATCAAGAAACTTCATTTGACAAGTGGAGCGACCTTAAGATGTCATCGTCAATTCCGATCACTGTAGCTATTATCATATCCGATCCTAACGGTTGCCGCGATGTTGAAACTTGACATGGATCAACATCGCGCACGGAGATCAGCTTGAAATGTTACGGCATCATATATAGAAAGCCGGTCATTCACAAGTTATTATGAAGCCTTTGCCTTTCGGAAGTAGATGGACTATTTGCAGTCGACTTAAATGAAGATTCAGTGAACAATATACATCCTGAAAAACTACAAAAAATCGACAAGATGGTGAACACCGGCAGACCATCAAGAGGATGTTATCTCTGCAGAACCCGGCGCGTAAAGGTTAGAAAACATTCGAGGTGAAATATACAAGAGATACTAATGAAAACTAGTGTGATGAGAACAAGCCAGGCTGTGGTAACTGCCGAAGACTGAATCGTGAATGTCCAGGGTATCGACCAATTTTCGATATTATGCATCGTAATGAGAACTCTGTGCAGCGCAAAAGATCTCTTGCAATCGCAAAGACCACAGCTCTTGCAGCAGTTCAAACAACTCGCCCTCACTATCCGAGTCCTCCTGTACAACGGCGACCAAGACCGAATTCCCACTCTGATACCCAGAGATTGGTACAGGCGATACATAGTGGAACACAATCGCTGTTTCCACCTTTAACAGCCGCATTAGAAGAACGCGCGATTTGTTTTTTCTTTTCGAATTATGTTTTGGTTCCTCATGGACCGATAAAATGCGGCTTCCTATGGTTTCTACTACCATTGATGAAACTTCAACCTTCAGCTATTTTATCAGACTCCTTATCTGCAGTAGCGCTAGCTACCTTCGGTAATCAACCCAATGCAAGGATGTTAAAACCAAAAGCAGAGCAGGCTTACTCGAAAGCATTGCGTCAAGTTACTAATGCTATCGGCAATCCCAGACAAGTGGCTGAAGATACTACGCTCGCGGCAGTCTTGTTGCTTGGTCTATTTGAGGTCATGATATTTCCACTTTTCATGACCAGACGGCTGCTGACTTCGAGTAGAATATGACAGATAGCCTGGTGAAAGAGAATCACGGGTGGAACTCCTGGAACTCTCATGCAAACGGTGCCACAGCGCTACTGAAAATGCGCGACGCAAGAGGTCCAGTGACTTCAATAACTTTAGAATTGGTCTGGACGGTAAAATCACACTTGGTACGTCCAAAGTCGAGGGAATATCGTTTATTAGAATAGTCAGCTAATTTTCAATAAAGAACCTCAGCTGTCTACTCAATGGAAAAGTTTCCGACGTGCCAAAGGAGTGGGATGAAGTCCTTGATACAGTAGGAAATCAAGCTAGCGGAAATCTTCCGATTATATGTAATCATCTTCAAGCAAAAGTTGCAAGAGCTCGTGTCGAATGTGACAAGCTTATGACCAGCGCGAAACGAACAACTCAAGACTTCGAGAATGTCCTTAGTCTGATGCAAAAAGCTAAAGCGATAGAGCAGGGCTACCTGGACTGGGGAGAAGCAACTTCAGGTGAATGGAGATATAAGCCTATAGGATGGATAGACGCCATATCAGAAGAAAAACTTGCTGGATCAAAATATTTTCCGGGTAAAATTGACAAGTACAGTGAACTTTGGACGGCCCATATTTGGAATCTATCCCGAGGATCTCGATTACTCAATTATAGCACAATCGTTCGATGCGCTGCATGGTTGTGCTCACCACAGGACTATCGAACTACTGTAGAGTATGAGAAAGCTATGATAGTCGGCAAAGAAATGATTCAGGGAGTTATTGCCAGCGTGCCTAATTGCCTCGGCGAGATACCAAAAGCTATGGATGAGCCAAGTCCTTCTAAACACAGCTTCGCATGCGGAGAAGAAAGTGGCACCTGTGCAAAAGGGCTGTCTGCACTTTTCATAATGTGGCCTTTATTTTCCGTCGCTACGTCAGACTTTGTTACCAAGACGCAGAGGACGTGGGTTCTTGGAAGAATGAAATACGCGACAGAGGAGTTGGGCGTTGGCCATGGATCTACTATGTACTCCGAGGTATGCGCTATGTTATGAAATATTCCAGAAGTAAAGTGGTTAACCAGAATTGCAGCAACACTTATCAATGCGTATTCCATCTTCGATGTTAGAAAAGGACGGCCTGTTGGCTCCGAAAATAGACGACAATTTGAATGGTCAACTTCCTGTCCAACGAACCTTTGACAATGTTGGAGCCGCATACGATTGGACTTTGTTAAACCCTGATCTTTCGGTTCCATTATGATTAACAATTGGTCGCGGCCTAATTGGATTGATTCGAACTTGTGTGCCAACGTCAGCAGAATCAGCTCAACAAACAAACGCTGGCAATTTTCCCCGCTGAATCCCCAACCAGAAAGGAGTGACCACGACTGGTTGACATGTTGATGTTGACATGTTGATGTTGACATGTTGACACATCTACCCAACTATGTGGCAAGAGGAATTATCTTGAGGAGAGTTTTGAATGAAAATGTTACGAGTTTATTATTGGTGTTTGGGAGTTAGCTTTTGGGACCTCGGGAAGTTAACATTGACAATTGAATTAATTTTTAGCGGGACTTGCGCTTATCTACTTTCCATCTAGCGGTAAAAGCGGTAGTTAGCGGGATCACTAAGGCTTGGCTATTTATTATCTGGGAGTTATAAATGATATTTTGTGGAAATTTGTTTTGGGGACGCTACAGCAAGCACTGCTACATATTGAATTATAAGAATACCATAAAATAGATTTCGAGCACCTTTTTCAAGTCTACTGTTTCGAATTCAAGAAACCCGATAAATATGAAACCGAGACAATAAAAGTGATGCCCGTGACATTTGGATAGATAGCCATTAAAACATGTTTCATGGACAGATCTTAAAATCCAGTCAAGAAGCAGTTTCAATTTCATTCGTTCTAAAGACTAGTAAACATAAACGAGCGAAGCATTATTCTTATTCATTCCCTTTCTGAAACTTTAGAAACACACACAAAAAATCTACGCAACGAAGGAGTGGCCTACCAAACATCATAGGATATTGTGAGCCACAGCAGTCTTCGCTTCCTTTTGATAGCAAGTAAACTACCGGTCGGGAGGTACCTAGACTGAATTTCCTCTAAATCCATAAACATAAATAAAACCTTTCCAGCTAAATTAGAACAATTTTCAGAATCTCCGATTACCTAATCCACCCGCTCCGACTCCCCCATGCTTATCACTCGGTGATCACGATTAGCTGCGGCGGATTCACGATAACAGTAGGTATATACCTAGTACCGAGTAGATATCATGTGACTCGGTATTGAACGATGTAGATTTTACTCACTTGTAAATCTCATATAGGAAAATAGAGAATCATCTTTGATATACTCGATATTTTCAATATAAGATCACAAAATACACTCGAGTGCTCAACAAAAAAGAATAGACAAAAAGTTATCGGTATCGGCACAAGCGATTTATTTTAGGATAACTTAGCGATGACTTCATCGTGAGAGGAAAAGGCATCAAAATCACGCAGACGAACAAGTGAACAATTTCGAAAAGAAAACTCTTCTGCACAAATTTCAAAGTTCTATTGCTCATGTCGGAACGTAGTCATCCTCTCTGACTAAATCTGCAGTTCGTGTCACTAAACGTATCACAACATTTCGGTAGCCCCGACTGCAGCCTATGAATTCGATGTAGTCGGCCTTTACATGAGGCTGAGTTCATTGTACTCTCGCGCCACGAAAAATTTGAAGATTTCAAAACTTGCATGTTTGAAGCAAAGAGAAAAACTTGAATTGACAGGGGAATCTGTTGTAAAAAGAGAGACGCCTAGTTCAGTAGACCAAATAGCCACATCCCAATGATTGTAATCCAAACTCCTGATATTTCCCAACAAAACTAATACCACCAGTTGCCAAAACATATATTTCATCGCAGTCGCTGACCAGGCTACCTATAATAAACGTACCCCCTTTATCCGTAAAATTGCATTATTATGTTCAAATCCGCTGCGCCAGAATGTGTAAACCAGTACCCATCAATTTATATCAACGTCCACAAACTTGATGACATCTACACATTCTATTGGGGAAACATTTGTTTGACTTCCTCGTCACTCAATCGAATCTCATGGACAGGGTCGCGCTTTCGTTCGAGTGATTCGAAGTCAGATTCCATATAGGAAGGGAGGAAGATTTCTACAACGAATTATTAGCAAATTGAAAAGGAAAAACATATGGCGTTCTTACCAGGATTCCAATCAAACCCTTGTGAAGAACGAACACAGGTGATCTGTAAAACAGTATTTGTTAGTACATAGAAGTTATTGTAGGATTTCCAGCTGGTAGGATGACGCACAAGTCTTGGAGTACCGTCAGGATCCCCAATGTTAATCGTAGTATGTTCTTCCTTTGCAAGTGCCGTACCTGATGTAGATATTTTAGTTAAATCCTCTGCCTTTTGAGATGAGAGTAATAATCCCGTCAAGCTTCAGTAACAGCCCATCTGGCCATTACTCCTATCTTCTCAAAACGAGTTTGTAAGCAACAACAAAGATAAGCACTTACTTAAAAGACTCCTTCTCCGATCATGTCCGTATCGAGTACTTGGGGAGGAAGTGCTTGACGACGGTGATCTTTGCGATTTTGTGGGAGAGCTTGAATATGAAGATGAGCTGCTTGGGCTCGCCGTGGTAGTAGCCTTATTAGAATTTCTGCTAGTCGGAATCGTAATAGATGACGACATGGTTGAAGTAGTAGAGTTGGAGGGTTGAAAGTTGATGGATGTAAGTGATAATAAAAGGAAAGTTGCAAGTTTCTAACTCGAGATCCTATATTAGAGACAGAAGAACTTCCAGTGATTGCTTCTTGAAAGTTGTCGTATATGGATTACTTTGAGTGAATGAATGCAAAGTAAATGGTTGAAGGGAGCCTTGCGAGATAGATTAGAATCGGCATGAGTACCCCGTATTTTGTGGAGTCATACACTAATAGGGAAACTAATCTGGAATAAGTATAGTACACTTAAGGTTCCCGTCCGATGAATTTGTAGCCTTGAATGTTAGGACACAAATCTCTGGCCATTCACCATTATCACGTGTCAATAGTCCTGATTAGCTAAGCAATGATTTACATTTTGAACCTCCGAGCGTTTGGAGCTTCAGCTAGGCTAGGCTAACAATTACGCGCGCCTTCTGATTAAGCCAGAACGAAATCAAAGTAACAACACCATCATCATATCCATCCACATCTCACCACAACCATACCAGCAGATCTTCAATATGGGTGACGTTTTATTAGACAACCCTGCGACCCAGGTTTTGCCTCACCGAAAACCATTGCCATCCTCAATACCAAACATAGATTCGCTGGAGGGATTGGGGACAGATGGAAGTGATGAGTATTCAACATTGAAGAAGCTTCAAAGGCATTTAGAGTTAGTGCACCGTTGGATAGATCAAAGGAATCAGAGTGCTAACTAGGTCTGACAGATATATTCAACTCCAGGAAGAATACATCAAGGATGAACAACGGTATGCGATCTGAACTCCATCTGCTGTACAGGCAAATACTTATCATCATTACTATAACAGAAGCTTGAAGAGAGAACTTGTGCGAGCTCAAGAAGAAATCAAACGTATTCAGAGTGTACCTTTAGTGATAGGACAGTTCATGGAAGCTATTGATCAAAAGTACAACTCACCTCTTCGCATCTTCACTACAATCAGTATTACTAACATGATCGAAATAGTACTGGTATCGTACAATCATCAACAGGATCTAACTATGTTGTTCGGATTTTATCTACTCTCGATCGCGAACTTTTGAAACCATCATCCTCTGTCGCGCTCCACAGACATTCAAATTCTTTGGTCGACATCTTACCTCCCGAAGCCGATTCATCAATTGCTATGTTAGGATCTGATGAGAAACCCGATGTTACATATGCAGATGTTGGAGGACTTGATATGCAAAAGCAAGAAATTCGAGAAGCAGTTGAACTTCCTTTAACACATTTCGACCTATACAAGCAAATTGGTATTGATCCACCACGAGGTGTTTTACTTTATGGTCCACCCGGAACTGGAAAAACTATGCTCGTCAAGGCAGTAGCAAATTCAACAACTGCAAACTTCATTCGTGTCGTCGGATCGGAATTCGTACAAAAGTATCTTGGAGAAGGACCACGTATGGTTCGTGATGTGTTCCGTATGGCCCGTGAAAATTCCCCAGCTATCATCTTTATTGATGAAATCGATGCCATCGCCACGAAACGTTTCGATGCACAAACTGGTGCCGATAGAGAAGTTCAACGTATTCTTCTTGAACTTTTGAATCAAATGGATGGTTTCGATCAAACATCTAATGTTAAAGTCATTATGGCTACCAACCGTGCCGATACTCTCGACCCTGCTTTACTTCGTCCAGGTCGATTGGACAGAAAGATTGAGTTCCCCAACCTTCGCGATCGCAGAGAGAGACGATTGATCTTTACTACTATTGCATCAAGAATGTCATTGTCACCAGAAGTTGATCTTGATAGTTTGATCATTCGAAATGATCCATTATCTGGTGCTATTATTGCAGCTATCATGCAAGAGGCAGGTTTGAGAGCAGTGAGAAAGAATAGGTACAACATTATTCAATCTGATCTTGAAGATGCCTATTCCAGTCAAGTTAAGGGTGCACAAGAGGTATGTATAGAGTTCAAAACTCGAGCAACTGTAAATATCTCTCTTGAACATATATTAACACTTCCCAGGCCGATAAATTTGACTTCTACAAATAAACAATTGGAATTTGTGATAAGGATGATGGGAAGGGGTTGTGATATGAGAGCGGGGTGGAAAATGGAAAATGCCTTGAAATGTAACATTTCTGACAAGTATCAGATGGTTCATTTTAGGCTTTTGCAATTGTACCAACATCCAAAACATTACGTTTGTATTCATAGACTCTGCAATTAATTCAGGGATCTTATACAAAGTTCATGAATCTATACCCTATTGATATGGAATCTACCGTCATTTTAGTGATTTTTGAATGATTGTACGTGATTTGTAAAGTGAATATATAAGAATGGATATTGTAGACGATTATAATACCCCAACGTGTGGCGCAGCGATGATAACATTATTAAGACTCACTCAGAAGTTCCATTAGAATATAATAAAAACCTGAATTCGATATCTCTTTTCATAAAGCGCTTGATATTAATTGAATATATTCATTTATTAATATAAGATTATTTTTAAAAGATTTTAATTATATTATAAAATAAAATAACAAATATATATTTAATTAATAAATAATAATATTCTTAATTAAAATTAAATAACTTGTTTTCTTTTTCCTTCTTTATTATATATATATATATGAAACTCATCTATTGATTTTATTATTTCAGTTCATTGTTCTCTTTTTTATTAATTTATTAATTATAATTATTATATTCTTATTCAATTTCCTCTTACTTCTTTTAATAAGTCTCTAACACTAAACCCTCCCTAACTTAACCTAACTACCTACCCCTTTACATCTACTCAAATCTCTCGAATTTATACAACTACCTATTACTATCTAAGATTCTGCCTCACCTCACCTCACTCCTATAAACCAACCCATTTAGCAGTGAAACCTACAACTCATAATCTAGCATCTCTCCTCCCCAAGAATGGTATTGTGAGACTTTGAATATAACTTTGATTTTATATCGATATCAATGTTGATATTTTGAAGTTTCTATTATGGCTTTGTGAATCCAAGGATAGAAAAGGGAATGAAAGGGAAGGACATGAAAAAAAAGAACGATAGATTATTAGTGCGGTTATGTGTTGGCATTATCTTGTGATGAGGAGAGTAGGATTAGGTTTTTTCTTTTGGGATGGGAATGAAGGGGAGGAGAGAGGAGAGAGGAGAGAGGAGAGGGGAGAGAGGAGAGAGGAGAGAGGGGAGGAGAGGAAAATAAGAGCTAATTTAAACAACATATTTGTAGTTTTATATTCTGGAATAAAATGATGACACATTCATAAGCGTTTTGCTGTATACTTATAGAGGAAATAGACGAGATATATTTGCAATGTACATACTCAGTTTATTATTTGCAAGTGAATCTCTTGTCAAATATAGACTTTTGATATCTATTGCTCATTTTTCATCAACAATTGATAGATGTGCAGTCATCATTTCTTCCCACTTTCACTGTAGAAACTCTTTTATCCATTAATTCTTACCCAAACGCAGCTCAAGATGCTCATAGCTTTGTCCATGATATTTTGACTGAGATTCTATCCAAAGCCTCGAACTTTGAGATTTATGAACGTCAGAGTCACCAATTGCTATTCTCATACAATCTACTTAGAAGATAGAGTTTTTCTTCTGCAGAATATATTCAAACACGATCCACACACTTATTGAACCAGAAGAACAAAGACCATGTCATTCCGCGACTACTTCCAGCTTTTTGTAAACTAAAGCCGAGGAAAATGGGGATTGCCAAGGTCTTAGATATCATCAAACTTTGGAATTGTCAGTGCTAATCAACACAGAGAAAACAAGAGACCAATCATGAAGACAAATTTTGATAAAGCAGAACTTTTATACGCAAAGAATGATCTTGTAGAGTACCTATTACATGAAATTCAGCTTACCTCGCAAGACCCTAGCGTCTGTTGGGATCAAAAGCTATAATTGGACCCTTGCCTTGGAATGGAAATTCTTCATAAATGATATCTGACTGAAGCATTTCCCTGATAGTGACATTCCGCCAAATTGCACCACGGCTGTCATAACCCTCATAATGATATCGGCGCTTCAATATCATCAAAGTTAACCCGGTCGCGGTCACGGGTTTCAATCTCTTATAACATTGTTGTTTTGCGTGATTCAACCAACTTTCTCTTTCTTCGGGTGGAATGGCACTTTTCAAAAGTATCTTGACGTCCTTAGACCAATGGAAGTTCTCAACAGAAAAGATATGTTCATGGGTAGATATCTTTTCCTTCTTGTCGATTACAACGATATCCTTTAAAGTGTCCTGAGCCCTTTTACGCATGATCTTAAGGTCAGGCGCATAGGCTAACATGTTTAGACTAAAATGAATAGACCTGTCTACAAGGAATGGGTTGCTGAGTGCAATTTCGAATCTCGACTGTGTTCGCGTAATGTTAGAGAGCGACTCCCTGATAAATTCAATCTTGGAAGTGCCCAAATGACGGAGGATTTCCAATTGAGGGATATTTTCATCATTGATCCTTGGTGCGTAGATATCTCGTCGAATATTTCTCAGCCTGACTTCGTCAAGAGCGTGCAAGCGCACCATAATATTCACCAATGGTCCAAAAGGCTCACTGGTGTTGGGGAAGAACTTCAGCACCGATGCCATGTTGAGTATGAGTTATTAAAGCGGAAGGACTGAATGATTCAAACTCTATATCCAATGTTAACTGGCTTCCTTGACGACAGATTTTAAGTTAATACTTTGTTTGGGTATTACTCGGCTGGAAATGTTCCTTAACGTCCGAGTTCAATCAACTTGATCGAGATAAAACCCTTGCGTATTGTAGGTCAAGATTATCAACCAAGTGTAATTGAGTTTTCAGCCTCGCTTCCACAGTGCACTAAACACAACAACACGGCTGGCTATAAAACATATACCGTGCGTGATATTGATCGAGGCGAACTTCTAAATATCGAAGCTCTTCCACAACAAGATTAAAGTCAAATAGACATTGTGGCGTTATGGTAAAGTAAAATGCAACCCTCTTCTATGTAACTTGAAGGAGATTTAGAGGAACATTTGACGTTGCTGATGTTTGACTTTGTGTTGACTTTGTGAGGAGTGGACATATGATGATAAAGTTTACTTCTGTAAACCATTTCATAGCTGACTAAGCTAGACTCTAGGAGCCACACTTGATATTTTCTGTTCATACGTACGGAAGTAATGGTATAAACATCTACTTTCAAGCTTCAGAGATATACTTTTTTCACAAGTAGATTGATTGAGGATTAGGGACTCTATCCCGTTTACCCTCACAATCACGTTCAAGGTTCAACTATTTCATCAAATGTCTTAGGATTAACCAAATCTCGCTGCAAGCAAGTCTAGCAAACAACACAAACAACCCATCTATCCTGCCCTCCGATGCATCCTCTTTCACCATGATTAAACACCATGCTCAGGTGCACCGCCCTGAGGTCCCCAAATTGATCGTTCAATCATCCATTCCAGTTTTCCACTCTTCTCATCTACTTCTGCAAACATAAAGCTCTCAAATTCAGTATCTGCACCATCAACCTTAATCGTTCCCGTCATATGGGCCGCCAGTCGGTCCTCATCGCGAAGAAATTATACACGTTGGCTACAAGTATTTGTCTGCGTTGAGCTTGTGTAGTTCTACACTGCGTGCTGCGTCTGGCGTGGGGGAATGGCAGTGCAATTACTTACACAACTGGTTGTATTCACTAATTTTAGCTCGCCACTCTTCAATTCCCTTTACAAAGACGTCAAAGTCTGATCGCTGTCCGTTCATCACATGATGGAATGTGGGTAGGGAGGTACTTTCGGCATAGAGCTTTGCCTCCGCAGGTGGTCCAGTAAGACTCACTCCATAGCGCGCTGGAAGCCTTCGAGCGTGGAAGAGTATTCGGACATGTTGATGAAGGGTAATTGATTGATAGATGCAGGACCGTTGAAACCGCTGGCTGAGTATTTTTCTCCTTCTTTTATGGGAGAAAATTATGGATATTTTTCTGCGAAAGATGAGGTTGAAGCTGGTCTCCTTGTGCCCTTTATATTTGTGCCAAGTCGAGCCTCATAAATGGCAGTTTGAGTGATTTTGGTTATGGTTATGGTTATGGTTATGATTAGACTGTTGATATTGAACGTGCGCAAATAATGATACATGACACTATGTACATAATTACCCGATAAGCTTTGCAGGAATGAATACACTATATGAATTATGCATGTTGTTTATATGATTGCTGTACTTTATAATAGTTATGAAGTTATAACATATATACTTTGTCGAGTTTTCCATCACTTCATACCGTGGATTAGTTTAGATAATATCAAACACAGAACACAAAATACACATAAGGAATTAACATGGATAACATACTCATATTATCGAAATCACTTTCTTCTTTCGTCTTTCTTCTTCGACTTCTTCTTCTAGAAGAGATGCATATATAATATCCATCGCTTGAATAGCAATCACCATGTAAAATCCATAATAGACTGACAATATACATAACAAGTCTTTACGCCATCCATCCCCCTTCAAGTCACTCATTGGTGGCGCCAAAATTCCCAGAAAAATAAATTCTGTAATTAGATCAGAATTTAACGAGTTCCAAAACGCCATCCATGCATGCCTTTCATGCTTTCATGCTTCATGAAACCAAGTAATATTTATCAATATCTCAAAACAGCAACGAGTTCCGAACTCATCCCGTCTAGAAATATTGCAACTCTCCACTTCCACCACTCTTTCCACCATTACTCTTTTGAAGTTGCTCCTGATACTGCTGAAACTGCGCCTGTACCAATTGCTGCGGTGTTTGGTAGTTCTTTTGCAAAGGCGGAAAATCTTCGTAGGCGACTGCTGGGTTATATACTGGTGGCGTATTATTTGAGCTTCGTTCATTCACATCATCTAGAGATCGATAACCGAATCCTCTTCCTTTTCCCTTACCCCCACCTCCACCTCCACCTCCACCACCGTTACCATTACCATTACCATTACCCCCACGATTATTTCGACCATAACCACCACGTTGTGGGCCATTTCCACGGTGATTTCCTCGGCCACCACGACCACCATAATTATTTTCTTGGCCTCCTTTCTTAATTGGAACTTGATTGTGTCCACCGTATGATCCACTTGGCTGCCTAGGCTCAGGGGAATGTTTGCGCTTGAATGATTTATTGGGGAACAAACTTTCATACTCGTTCTCAGAGAGATCTTCCTTCTCTATCCTAAGAAGGACTTTCTCTCCAACAGTACTTTCAAAGACAAACGCCTTCTCTGGTGGAACGGGTTGCCAATTTTGAATCTTACCTGCATCAATTGGTCGAGCTCCTTTGCGCAATGCGAGAACGACGACAGGAATTGGATTTTCGGTATAGAATTTCTTTGTCTCTGGTACAGGCCTGACACGAGCGGCCCAAATCTTGTTCTCAAAGACTGCTGTACCTGTTACTTCCCAGGTAGTCTTACTACCCATTCCTCCAACCTTTTGCAGAATACTTTCTGGACAGGGGCGAGGAGTAATGAGAACATTGTTAGCCAGAAATTTTGCTTCTGTATCTGGCATGTTCAATGGAAGCTGAGCTAAAGTAAGCAGCTTCTGAGTGTCAGTATTATTGATCAAATATCCAGTATAGAAAACAGTCTTCTTAATTTGAAGTCTCTCGCCAAATTTTCCTGCATCGATTGCAGCATTATGATCATTGATCAAACGCTGTACCTCTGCAGCTTCCATAACAGGATCAAGTAATGTGGCACCATCTGCAACCTGAACCACCTCAGCAACAATAGCAGAACGAGATGGAATACCATTAGAGCCATTTTGACGTTTGTTATAATCCGTGAAGAAATCTCTGAATGCCTTAACATGTCTGACTCTGTCCTCGTAAATTCTGATTTCCTCAGCACCTTTGTATGTCTCCATTAAAGTTTCCAAGAAACATTGTTTGAAGTTCATCGTACTACTGAACCTCTCATTCCTAGGACCTGCTGCTGGTTTTAGGACAATCATATCCACATCGAGACCTTTACTAGCAAGCATTCTTTTCAGCAACTCTGAAAATCCTGCCTCGGAACGACCAGTTAAAAGAATTGAAAGAGCATCTTTTTGTTGCATACTCAACTCAATGAGATCAACGATTCGCTCATTCCACCAACCTTCCCAAGCTCGAGGTTCTTCTTTTTCTACACCTTCACCTGTAGCTGCAAGAATCCTCGAGTCATGCCACCAACCACCAGTCGCAAATGTATCTTGAGTCTGTAAAAATCCTATAGTTGGTCCATTCCATAATTTCGGATTGGGAAGGGGGCTGTTGAAAACTTTGAAGAAAAAAAGGTTAGCAAATTGTATTAGGAGTAAGTGAAGAGATGAAGTTTCGGGAGCATGAAAGACTGTTGTCCTCATAGATAAATCGTGAAACTTACGGGTATTATCAAAATCATAAACATGAAGAGCCTTAATTTTGTCAACAGCTATAAACAATTAGCAATGCATCCAATCTTCTCTCCAAATTTTCCAAAATTCTTACAAGGCAACTGTTTATCCGCAACAGACCAACGATTCAAAGCCGTAGTGGTATATTGATTCGAGTTGGACACTCCATTTGGAGTATGCGCCATGACGAGGCGTAAGAAGACACAGATATGTGCAGGCTTATAAAAGGATTTTTCGGTAAGTTTACGATTCGAAAGAGGTTTGCTGAATTTCTGCGAACGATTGTCGTTGTTTCGCAGATGCGATTGATGATTTATGATTTATTGACGTTGCCAGAATTTCTATTTCGAGTCACTTTCCTCGAATCTCGAAATGCTCGAGCTAACGGTCGCGCTATGCCTTTTTAGACTTAGCGTAATACTAAGGGTTTCTCGATTCCTACACTTCACACAAAGAACGTTCGTTTCGAGACCTTACAGAAAATCTACCACAACAACAATCCACAATGGCGATCCTTCCAGCAACAAAGACTACCGGCTTTCTAAAGATAGTCAAACAAACCATCCATCTACGCTGTCACGTGAAACCCAATGTCAGCGCGTCAAGAGCAGGCGCCATCAAGCCGTTTTCAGACACATCTTCCTCACTCGAAGTATGTGTCGCTGCACCAGCACGAGATAATGAAGCAAATGAACGGGTCGTTGAACTTCTCAGCGATGTATGAAATTTGGTTTCTTAATGTCTGATTTTATTGTTACTCGTTTTACAATATGATGTGAAAGGTTGATTTTTTGACAATATCTAGATATTACTATGTCCAAAAACAGACTTGGAAGTTATTCGTGGAAAGAAATCGATGGATAAGGTTATTGCGTATAAAAGCTTAGAAGGTTTATGGATAAATGATGCTATTGCTAAAGTGACTGTGAAGGAGCTTAGACAACGCTTGCAGGAAGCAAGTAGAGATGCCGAGGCTTGATAGATTATGGAAACTCGTTTTTTTCCATCTTTGTCAATAGTACGCACAATATGATGAATCTTTCAATCGACCTACATAACCTATTTTTCAAACCTTTGTAGAGCATCCCAACTCCTAGATGGTTCATCTCAAGAGTGGGTTTCGCTTATCAAACGCAACGCGTTCCCTCCTATGAGAGCATCTCTCGCATTTCCATTGATTAGTCGGCATGTCAGTCATCCTAGTAGGGAACTGTAGCAACGGCACGCATATCGGCCGACGACAAGATCAGCCCTAGCTCTGTGCGATTGAAGTCCTATAATACTCCCCTGTTGAACCCTTCAAGTTGATCCTTGGTGTCATGCCCGTCATTCCTTAGGCGAAGAAAGAATACATCATTCGAGAAGTCAATCATCGCGTCACCTGAAAAGGTAGCTTCCCACGTTGGTATGACTCGAGTCCCTGGTCATTTAGGTTATGGCTTCAAGGTATTCGGGGATGCGGCAGTCAAGAGCACAAGAAAGTGAATAGAAGACATACCCATAAAATCAACTGCGAGGGCCCCTAATTTCCCCCAACTCCTTCTCTCAAGTTTGGAAATTGAGCTTAACCAATCAAAATGACTTGCCATGATATGAACGCAGAATTAGCATACAAGAAGGATTCCAGATAATGGTTGCTTTTTGAAGGGACGAGGAGGATTCGACTAGGCACAAGATGCATATGGATGTGCCAAAAGTAATTTGGAGGGCAACTCAGCAAGACAGGGATATAGTAAATATCTATCTTGTCGCACAACACGACAAAACCAAGAAGAGGTTCCACCAAAAATCCAAAATACTAGGATCTCCTGCCTAATTTGTACCCTCCACACTCGCATTCATCAACCAAGGATGGGGGAAGATGCATGCATGTTTGTTGAGTTCTTGGGACGGATCATCAACTGGATGTCAATCATTTGAGCATAAGTAGGATTCTAGCCAATATCTACTCGTACCGATTTAGGTTTCTCATTTGCTCTTTAAAATCCACCACCCCAGGATGAGACTTACAAAGGAAGAAGAAAAGATGCCGAGAAAGTAATTGAAACATCTCCTTCATCAGTGGCTTATATAAACTCGGATAGAAGGGTTGCAAATGTTCTGGAAAATCAAGAAAAACGTGTAATACAGTCAATCTTCAAATAGCTGTGCTCTGTACTTACCGCGTACAGGGACATTTCAATAGTTATAGCCAAGAAATAGGGCTCTGGGGTCCTGTAAGCAAGCCACAAAGAGCATGTCAGAAAAAATTATGCTTTTACTTTTTTTCGATCGGTGGATCCTGTTTATGCATTAGTAGTCTGATATATATGATATGCGCGCCGGCTAAGTATGGAGGCACCAAAGAAGATCCTTTCTTATTCTTTCTGGATATATCCGATAAGACTTAAGTTGGAGGGCTGATGGTGGATGTCAGTGGAAAAATATCCCGAAATGTAAATATTTTTCGAGAAGCCGATATCCGATTTCCCATGTAGTAGTGGAGAATATTTAAAGCTTTGAAGCCTTAAATGACATAAAAATGCCACAGAGATCCCAAAGAGAAATTAGTTTGAAGAGAGCCCAATATATTGCTACATAAATATGTATTTCTCCTGCAGTCTACAAGAACATAGATACTTGATGAGATTGATACCATATAGCTCGCCCGTATTGTTACAAGTCGTTTTTCATCTCCAGCCGAAAAGGAAAGTCGAATAAAAGGTTCAGCTGTGCCGTAACCATACACACAAAGGGTCATCGATACCACCAATGACCCCTCGGATGTGGCTGTCACTGCGTCATTCCCACTCAATTAGTGGAAAACCTTTGTCTTTGAACCTAATGGGCCGATGGAAGCGAGGTGAAGGGGTAGAACTTCCGATTGCAACATATCCTACTCCGTAGTAAAGGTTTTTGTTGACCTGTTTACCTAGTCATAATTATTGGTGCAGTAAAGGGGGAGAAATTCTCTGTAAAGAATTCAACGTCCGTCTCCCAAATATGATGAGATTAGTTAAAGAACGGAAGCATCTCCGAGGAGAAATTGAAGTCCTTTCAACAAATAATATTGTATTGTACGTACCGTCTACCTTCCATTTGTTGAAAGAATTTCTGTCAGAAAATTAATACATAGCTGTGAACTTGTGATGATGCTTGATGACGATCAATTGCCACAACATTAACCTGCACATGCTCGGCTGGAGGTACGTTAACATGGATCATTAGAAAGAAGGAGGGGCTCAAGATTATCCGATAAAGGAGTGTTTATATAAACAATGAGTGCGCTTTATTATTGGTCGGATGTGTATGCACAATGCACATGCTTTCGGTAGCAGCCCCTTCATTTGAGCTTCATGATTCAATACAACGTCGTTGTCTTTTTCTTGGGAAGAGTTTTTAACATTAACAACACATCAAGTGGAGATCGGTCGGCAACTAGATCACAAGGTAAAATGCCTTATATAAACCGTTAATGAGCTGATTCAAGAATTGATAAATGCTTTTTTACAATTCCATAATTCACTGTATGTGGTCTAAGTCCTATAATATAATCCTATTAAAAATACATTCAAAGTCGTCAATTAACAAACTGACAAAATGAACAATATCAACTCAAGTCGGTACGCTCAAGGTTCAAGGTACCAAGTTTCTCCTATCAAGAGCGTAAATTCACAATCTTATTACCTCGGGGATCTCTTCCGAAAGATCGATAAAAGCAATAAGCGGTGGGTCCCCTATTCCAATTTCTAGCAGGTTTCAACCTCTTTTCCTCAATATCTTATTCGTCTTTCTTCTCGAGTCCCCTCCTCTTTCTGAACTTTTTTGTCTTTCGCCCCATGTACATACATGTGTGTACATGTTCCTATGGCGAGTTACTTTAAAAGTTATCCCGCCCGCTGAGTCCCAGGGTGCATTGAAATCTTTCATCGGCAAATGAGAGCGCAGCGTAGAGTGAAAAGAAAAGTGACAGTGACTCGAAAAGTGGTCCATGAAAATGAAAAGTACAGAGTGTATGGCCTGTATGTACTATGTACTCCGTACCGTAGATATAGCAGTACTCAACACACATCTGAGAAATACTTCCAACACACCCTCGGTACATCCACAATCGACCCAACTAGTATTAGCGAATCTGATATAGGTAAGGTCTACTTTCCAGCAAAGACCTTTTTACATAACTAGAGTATTTAACATGACTTCTTTCATATCTTCTAACCTAAAAGAAATCCCCATATCCATGGTGTTCACCAGGATCCTGGATTAGATTGGGCTTGTTGCTAATAGTATGGTGGTATTTCCATTGTAGTATACCTACTCGTACTAGCAGCCTTCTTACTACCTTGGTAAATCAACAATTCTCTTGACTTTGAGTAACTAACTCACACGGAGTACAGAGCGAGCTCATTTTATCATTCTAGCACCAGCACACCCCTTCTCATCTCACCTCGTACCGCGCTACATCCACATTTGCCTTAGACTTCACGAGTTACAATGTCCCACCTAGTTTGAAAAATAAGGGCAGCCGCACCAGACACTCACGCAAGAAACCTTCTCTCTCTCTTCTTTTCCTTCTCTTGTTCCTCGAGTTCTAGATTCTGGACCAGCCAGACCTTCTTCCAATCTTGAAATCTTCCCGTTCTAGATTGTGCGTCCCTTCATTATTATACTTGTAAGTCGTTATCCGATACAGCGATACCCATACCCGTACCCCATACTGGGAAACATGATTGATTATCATCTTATCATGATTAAATCTCGTTTCTCGTTTCTCGTTTCTCGAATCTCCAATTCCCCAATAATCCCTACGGGATTTTCCAAATGACTTCCCGTTAACCGTGTGTTCGTTGTTCCCAGGGCCTATCGATCTTCCTACAGTTAAGGCAACTTCTTTTTTTCGACCGAAGACAGGACGGCCCGTGCATCTGCAAAAGGTCATTTGTACTACCAAGTACTTTTCGAATCATCGTCCCTTTTTTCCCTCGCGTCCCATCCATATAGAGGTTTGTCCTCGACATTTTCGTCGACAATTCAGGTCACTTTGGGGGGAGGGAATAATATCTTCAAATATCACTGTCATCGGACAGGTTTCCGCGCGACACGATGGAGAAAGGTGGAGATATGGCTGGTCCTTCTGCCAATAATTCGAGCGACTTTGTAAGTACTACTACTACTCCTCTATCCCTTATCGCGACTTGATGGCGCATAATCAAAAATACCTTCAATCGCTAACATGTTCTCACAGGTTCGCAAATTATACAAGTGAGAAAATACCCCTTCAGGTGTCCCGATTGGACAATTGTTTTATGCGACACGCCGCTGATCTGCCAACCCTTTAGAATGCTCGAAGATCCATCGTATGAAAGTATAGTACGGTGGGGTGAAGGAGGAGAGAGTTTTGTGGTTCTTGAAGTATGTCTTCAGATTGGAAATTAGATGTAATCCATCGTTAACATCAATGATAGAACGAGAAGTTTACCAAACAAATCCTCCCGAAGCACTTCAAACATAGCAACTTTGCTAGTTTTGTCAGACAACTCAACAAATATGATTTCCACAAGGTCCGACAAAATAATGAAGACAATACGGCATCTCCATATGGGCAAAATGTTCGTGGTATTTTTCCAGATGTACAAGAAAACATACTAATTGACTTTTAGGCTTGGGAATTCAAACATCCCGAATTTCAAGCGAATAAAAAGGATTCACTAGATAATATCAGACGAAAGGCACCAGCTCCAAGGAAGGCTGCTCCAAGTAATGAAGAGCCATATCCAGCCCATGCTCAACAGCAAATGGACCTCCTTGGTAACCAACTCGCGGCCACGCAACAGCAATTGCAAGGTCTATCTCGCAATTACCAAGATCTAGCACAGCTTAATGTAATGTTATTGCAACAAGTTGTTGACTCCCAAAAGTTTATCAAAAACCACGAGGGAGTTATGCGTGGCTTGGTTGGACATCTATTCAATCAGGAGACACAACGACGAAACGGTCGGCCTGGGGGACTTTCGAATGGTGCTGGGCCCAACATGCTGGGTCGACAAACAGAGGACGATCATCCATCGACTCCATTACTTCAAGCTCAAAACCTTCTAGGACAACTATCTGCTGAAAATTATCCAAGTAAGGAACTGGAACAAATGAGTCATGATTATCATCTACGAACAGATTACTCAACTCCCCCGAACGATCCAGGAGGACTTGTTTCAATGCCCACAATTTCTGAGTCGGTAACTGCCCCAGCGGCCTATTCTATGGACAAGTCAGAACTAGATAATCTGGTTTATCCCGTTGGTGCTATAGTTGGCATTGACCCAATTGATCAACAGCATGTCAACAATATCCCATATGCACTTCCACCTTCGGGCTTAATACCGCGGGACAGCATTCCTCCAGCCGAACTAATGCCCCAGCCTTCACGTACACCCGGTCCACGTAAGAAGGGTTCGGTGTCGATATGGGGCGATCGGAAGCCTAGGATTTTACTGGTTGAGGATGATCAGGTGTGCGCACGAATTGGAACAAAATTCCTACAATCTTTTGAGTGTGGTGTTGATATTGCTGTAAGTCCCTATGCCCCCTCTAGTGAAAGTTAATTGTGCATCTTGAGCTTACACTCTCGACAGCGTGATGGACTCGAGGCAGTAAGCAAAATTAATCTCGGTGAGGAGAACCATTTTGATCTCATTTTGATGGATATTATTATGCCTCACCTTGATGGTGTTTCTGCAACTGTCTGCATACGAGAAATGCGTGCAAATCTTCCTATCATTGCAATGACATCCAATATTCGAACTGATGACATTGAGATGTACTTCCGTTATGGTAAGATTGTATTACACAGGCACTTACTTTTTGCAAATATTGACTTAAGTAGGTATGAACGACGTCTTACCCAAGCCTTTTACGAAAGAGGGTATGATGAAAGCGCTTGAGAAACACTTGGGTCATTTCAAAAAGAAAGCACCTACTCTTGGCTTCTCAAGCCCCGGACAAATGTCACATCCGGGAGCCTTTGTCACACCAAGTCAATCGCATCCTCCATTAGGTCTAAACATGGGACAATTGAGCGCGGCCCAATCGATAGTAGATGATTCAGCTTCTGGAAAGTCACCTCAAACTGCTACATCTTGGCAGTCACCTATCCAATTACCGGGAGGATCTCCTGTTGTAACCTCTGCTCCAAATAGTTATATGCAACCTACCATGCATTCCACTAATGGCATGAGAGACCCATCTTATTCGGTGACCCCAACCCACCCTCACCCTCAATCTGGTTTTCCTCCTCCTCTTTCGGGTCTAGGTAACCAGAGACCTCCACATAGGAGAGGTATATCCGATATGAGTGGTTCCAGTACACCAGATGGTAATGCAGATCAAAAACGCCAAAGAATGTATGCTCCGTCTGGGAACTACCAGCAATGATGGAACAAACCTCTAAGTCACCAACTATCTTCCACGATGTCGAGGCAATAGCTCTAGAGAAGTCGACAATCTTGATCAGTCCTAAATAACTCAAGCTTCAAGATCGTTCAACTGAAGATATCCTCGACTTGCCTCTTTCAGTGCTGCATTATATTACTCGGTGTCCTAGTCCGACGAATCAAATTCCAAACACTCTGCACTCTGCCGCTATCAACCTCATTTTATCTTTAATTTGTATATTTTTTCTGTCACATGTTTAGACTTGGATGTCTAATCGCTACTGGACAAGCGTCTTCTTGGACATCAAAAGCTCAGATGTTAGCTTCTTTTATAGTTCTTCCTCGTATAGGATGGTTTGCGGGGATGATACCCCAGCGATCCATGAAGGTATCTCGGTGTTAAATGATAGAGTAAGTGGATGCGAATCATGGCATGGATTGATCTGGGGCGGGGCGCATATATGGACAAAGGGACGGCCGGGAATTATGAAGGTTGACAGATGTCTGATTCAATGTTCAGACGATCTGGAATCCAGCTTGGAGTTGGGCTTGGCGAAAATGAAAAGGTGGTAAAAGGAAAAGTAGTTGAGCCATTGAGCTAGGATTGTAAGGATTGATATCCATTCAAACAAGAGGTAGAGAAAAAAATTGAAAATTTGAACAGTCAAATTGGAACTTTTATGAGATGCAAAAAATGACTGAGCATGAGGGGATGGAGCTGACCCTTTATACACTTGGGTAAACGATAAGAAATCTAGATCGTCAGCCCACTTGGAGGTCTAGATTCTGGGAGACTCAGATATTGTATGCAGTGAGCCTTTGAGGAAGCGAAACGAGGCGAGGCGAGGCGAGGCGAGACAAGGCCAGACAAGGCTAGACAAGGCGAGACAAGGCTGAAATGTCGGAAATATTTATACTGTACTAGGATTAATGTACGGGTGGCTGCAACCCCACTACGAAGGAAGTAGGTAAGATCTTACTTAAAAAATAATGAATGGTAAAGGAAAGGCTGTGAATGACTCAACAACCAAATAATACAGTATTGTGACCCCTCGATTTCTTCAATCTTGGATTTATATCTGCAAATTCAATTCGGAAGATTTGTTGGCTTGAAAAAATAACTTTTATTGAAAGGACTGGATTATTATGACAATTCTGTTCCGCTGAAAGAGACTTTCACTTCCGGAAGCAATTAATACACGAACAAACGAATATGGCACAATCACATCCCTCGAAACCCGCCAAAAATGCCCCAGGAGCAGGAGGAAAAGGAGCGCAAGGAGGAGCAAAGGGTAAAAAGAGTGCTGCTGCAGGTGGAGGAGGAAAGAAAGAGGATGACAGGGACGAAACTTTGCAGGCCGTAGTACTTGCAGATTCCTTCGAAACAAGATTTAATCCTTTTACATTGGAGACACCAAGGTGTCTATTACCTCTCGCAAACACACCACTCATTGAATACACCCTCGAATTTCTCGCCATGTCCGGCGTCGCAGATATATATATCTACTGTGGAGCACATACTGAAGCAGTTGAAGAATACCTTCAAAAGTCCAAATGGGATCCACAATATTCGCCGTCGTCACCTTTTAGCAAACTCATGATTGTTAAAACTACAGCTCATTCGGTCGGTGATGCGATGCGGGATTTAGATGCGCGGAATTGGATTACTGGGGATTTCCTCTTGGTTCATGGAGATTTGGTTTCGAATTTGCCAATTGATGCTGCGTTGGCTGCACATAGAGCGAGGAGGTATGCAAATAAGAATGCTATTATGACTATGGTCTTAAGGTCGGCTGGATTGGGAGAACATAGAACAAAGTCCAATGGTATTACACCGGTATTTGTCTTGGACCCTACAAAAAATCGATGTCTTCATTATGAGGAGATGAACCCTCTTCAATCAAATAAATATCTCAGCCTCGATCCAGATTTACTTTCAGAAAATTCCGAAATAGAGATTCGAACAGATTTTATTGATTGCGGTATCGATATTTGTACACCGGATGTACTAGCATTATGGGCTGAATCTTTCGATTACGAGGTTCCTAGACGACATTTCTTACATGGTGTATTGAAAGATTATGAGTTGAATGGAAAAACTATTCATACGGAAATTGTGACGGATCATTATGCAGCTCGAGCATTTAATCTACAGGCATATGAATCTATAACCAAGGATGTTTTGGGAAGATGGACATATCCTCTTGTTCCAGATAGCAATTTAGTTGCAGGACAAACATATAAATTTCAGCGAGGTGGATTTTGCAAAGAAAATGGGGTTATACTCGCTCGAACATGTAAGATTGGCAAGAGGACAGTATTGGGAGCAGGTACGAGTGTAGGAGATGGTTCTACGATTATCAACAGTACTATTGGTAGAGGATGTCGAATTGGGAAGAATGTCACGATCCAGAATGCTTATATTTGGGATGATGTAAAGATTGGTGATGGATCATCTGTGGCTATGTCAATTATTGCCAATAATGTTTTGGTTGGGCAAAAATGCAAGATTAGTGGAGGATCACTTCTTTCATTTGGTGTGAGAATAGCTGATGGTATGGAAATTACTAAAGGGGCACGCATTACGACAGGGAAGACGGCAAAGGATGACGGAGAAACACCAGCAGCTCTTCCAACCGATCCAAAAATCGTTGGAGAAGGTGGGGAAGGTTTTGAATTTATCGACGATGAAGAATTTGAGGATGAAGAATCTAGTGCCTTTCACTCCAGTCTCATATACTCAACTCAACATCTCAATATTTCAAACGAATCCATCTCTACCATCTCATCCGAGGTATCAGCTGGCGAAGTCGATACTCGATCCCGTCATTCCAGTTTCGCAGGTTCGGTTTCTGATGATGAACATGGACATGGTTCTTCGGAATCTTTCCACCATGATGCTGTACAAGGACTTCTTGATACATTAAGAGAGAACGGTGATTTCGATGGTGCGAAACTGGAATTTATGGGTCTAAGACTCAGTAATGATGCAGATGATTATCAAATCCGTCGGGCGATCGCAGCAGCTTTTACAAAATTCATCGCGGAATTAGTAACAGCCGGTATCAAAAATGCAAGTGAAGCAACACTACAAGCATTAAATGTAGCAGGGGCACAAAAATTCTTAGAAGAGGTCGCTATTGGGATTGAAAGGGATGAGGGGGGTATGAAAGAGTTTTTGGTTTGTTTACAGAAGGGATTGGTGGGAAAACAAAATGCGGCACCGGTTATGGCAGCGCTGTGTCAGAAACTTTATGAAAGAGATGTGGTGTCTGAAGAGGCGATCTTGGGATGGTGGGAAGATGCTGAGGGGGAGGATGGTGGGAAGGCTGAGGAGGCGGAGATGAAGAAGGTTAGGGAGAAGACGGGGGTTTTTGTTGAGTGGTTGAGAGAGGCGGAGAGTGAGGAGAGTAGTGAGGAGGAGGAGGAGGATAGTGATTAAGTTTTGAGTTTTATTGGGAAGTGATGGAAGAGGGGAGAGGAGTGAGTGTATGTTGATATAGATGTGGATGTGGATGGAGTGCTAGATATAAATTTATATATCGTAGCTAGTGTCACATCAACGACTTATACTAAAGTAGATTTCAGAAAATAAATATATGAATCATATAAAACGAAATAAAACCAAGTATAACTAATATTTAGATTAAAAAGTAAGAATTTCGCAATCTATGATTTACTAAAATAGATAATATTAATACGAGTTTGACACTCAAGTCAAGTTCAGAAGAAAGAAATGAAAGCAAATAGGGATAGCACAATACAAGGCAACTACCATTTTCACACTAGTATTTCTTAGTTCTAGCCTACCACATATATATAGATATTACATTCCTAGACATAGCAGCCTCGAACGCATATAATATCAACAATTTTAATAGAATCACTTCGGTTAATCTTACAATTCATGATCATAGCCCGCCCCGGTTATCACCACCCGAGGGGAGGTGCACTAGTGATACCAATTGCAACAGGATAATAATTAATTCGCATCACCCATCCTACCCAAATCTCTCCTTACTCTCCAGACTCTAGCTCCTATACCTCTTCCCTGAGAGCCTGTAAGTTTTTCCACCCAGGGCGTATGGCGAAATGTCATGTCTGTGTTATTAGATGTCGAATTTGGGGTTGAGCTTTCTTCTTCTGCGGTGCTGTCCCCTCCTTCTTCTTCTTCATTATCCTCATCTTCATCCTCATCGTCTTCTACTTCCACTTCATCATCACCATCACCATGTAATTCTTTCCTTCGTTTTTCTTTTTCCAACCATGTTCTCTTCATTAATTCTTCTGTATACGCCCAGCCTGGTGTATCTAATTTTCCACTCACTAGAACTATTTTCTTGTTCTCGTCATTGAGTTCTTCGAGTACTTCTGGAGAGATTGGGGTGAGAATTTGGAGGCGCTGACGATTTATGTCGATTCCTCGGATGAGAGCCGTTCCGATGGTATGTGAAAATTGAGGGTCCAAAGTTATGGCATTGAGAGGATTGAAGTAAGGGAGTTTTTCGTGTGGTGTAGGCATAATCAGAGGAGTTTTTATAGGATCAAGGGTCAAAGGCGCGTTGAATTCGTGAAGGGTTTCAGGGTCGTCTTTCTTGTCTTTTTCCTGTTGGGATAAAGTATAACCTGGTATTGCAGCCGGTTCCTCGATAACAACAATTGACACTATAGAGCCATTGATAGTTTCAGCAAGGAGATCTAGAGGTGGTTGCTCGCCGTAACACATAATACCTAGTATACCGGCATTCTCGCCAGAATACTTTATCTCCCAAGGTGAAACAGATGTTAACGGCGTTGAGCTCCATGCAAGTTCATTCTTGTTTGTAGAATCAAGATGGAAATATGACATTGACTGCATTGTACGAAGATGAGCAGAAGTTCGTGTCATGAATTCACTTGTTTGTGAAGGAAGAGTAATGAGAGGAGTTGTTTTAGCGGCGTCTTGTAAGCTTTCAACGACCTCAGCGGGACCTTCTTTAGACATGTATATGACTTCTGATGGGTGCACTTTGGCTATTAAGTCTACGAGAATTTCAAGCCCAGTTCCTAATACCCAGCCAGGAGTATTGATGACCAAAGGGCAATTGAAATGGAGGGAGGATAAATTTTGATAATGTGCAAATAGGTCGAGTGCGCATGACATATAGAGACTTGGGTCCATAGATGGTGATATTGCGCCTAGAGCATGTGCACGAATAAGATGACTCTTGATCCCAGGTACAGGATGAGTAGTTGACGGACCAAAGTTTGGTTCTTGAATGTGAACGAGGGATACTTGACCAGGATGAGAATATTCGGGTTGCCCAGGATCTAGATCAAGTAGTGCAACACCGGGACCTTTTCTTGAGTTCGGGATGGAACTCTGAGCATCATTCTGACTTGCGGAGAGAAGTCGGTTGACAAGCAATTTTGCAAAGGTTGATTTTCCAGACGACTTAGGACCACAGAGCATGATTCGTTTTCCTGCCCCAGGGGTACCGGACAATTTTGATAAGGTTTTGTTCCATTCTGGCGGGGAGCTGATTGGTTGCAAGTAGGATTTGTGTACAATCTGAAATGTGCTTTTTCCAAGCTTTGCAGAGAGACGACCATGTGCTGATTTGAATGCTCGCGTGTCCTCGTTCCATAATTTCCCGAAGAGCGGAGAAAGAGAATCCAAGGATCTCAGCCCGCAGTCAGACTGATGAAGACGGAGTACGGCGGGGTTGAGTTCTCCATCTGGACACCTAATCACGGGTAATGAATGTGAGGCCGCTGCATATACTTGATGTTTAGTTTTTGAAGCTTTTAGTACAGACCCGAGAATCGTGATTTGTCCTTCGGCCACCTCAAGATTACATTGTCCAAGAATGACCAATCTCTATGAAGTGTCAGATTTTGTGGTTAACAGACTCAAGATCACTGACCTCACCAGGTGCTAGTTTCAACACCAACGTTTTGCTTTTGAGCACTTTGGTATTATCCTCGTTGGGCCTGAAGGTAGATAATACCATTGATGGCCTGTTGGAGATCACTTCAGGCGACTGCTCACGTGAATCAGAACTGTCCTACATCAATACTTGGTAGAGGGATTATAACAGAGGCAGTAGGAGTAAACAACACACCTCATGACATGATTCCCTATGTCTTCTCCGAATCCACTTCCCTCAGCAATGAAGCCTGGGCTTATAGAGGGTAAGTCATTTCCAACTTGACTCGATTTACCCCGAGTCAGACTTCTGGAGGGGAAATCATTTCTCACTCCCTGAGAAACTATTTTTGTATGATTTTCAGAAGATCTCGTCTCCTTTTCTGGACTGCCAGTACTATGGGCAGCAGCTTGTGCCTTTCTAGCTGCGAAAGCACTGACGGCACTCAGCTCTATATTGAATTCAGAAAAATGGTTCTTTTTGGTAAGGCAGATGAACATACGAGGTTTTGTAGAAGAATCTAGCTTTCTTCTTTTACTCGACATTATTATAAATATATAAATACTCGAGCAAGAAATAATTTGCTATGCACATATTTATGATTGTTTTAATTCGAGAGGAGGGTATTTATGAATGAGGCAGCTTGGGCGAATCAAAAAACTTTAGATCCGATGTTTTCCCGAACAAGGCCGAGCCTTGCCAAAAAAAAAGTTTCAATGTGATTTTCCCTTTATTTACAACTACCATTGCACAAATTTCGAATCAATTACCCCAGAACAATATCATACTCTTTCATAATGGGGTCTTCCAAAGCTGTTCCTAGTGAACAAAAGAAAAAGTCAAAGTCAAAGTCCTCCTCCAAATCTTCTGCCAAAGTTTCAACTAAAACTCCAGTCGCCAAATCACCGCAAAATTTCAAGAGCTCTGAATTCGTTGGAGAAAGCGACAATGAGAATGATGAGCCAATGGGAAATAATTCAGATTCAGATTCCGATAGTGACAATGACTCTCTGCCATCGAATCCCGCTAAATCCACACCTAAATCCAAGTCCAAATCTAATGGTAAAGCCGCAGAAAGTAGCGACAGTTCCGAGGCTGAAAGCGAGGAAGAGAGTGAAAGTGGAAGTGGAAGCGATAAAGAGAATGAGCAGGAATCCGAAAGTGAAAATGAATCGAATGCAAATGGAAAAAAGTCTGCTGTGGCGCCGCCGTCTAAGTAAGTTCTTCGAAGCTCGCCAGAGTTTGAAATTATTCGCTGATAATATATTAGAAAGGATGCTAAAACCGTGTCAATGAAAGTTGCGCCCTTCAAGCCCCCTCCTGGATTCGAGAAGACTTCATCGAAGAACTCGAGCATTACATCACAACTATTTAACAAGTCTAATTTAGAGGGCAAGGAGATTTGGTATATCACAGCACCTGCGTCAGTGCCTATCAACTCCGTGAAGGAAATTTCGCTACAAGATGCGAAATTGGGCAAGGCAGTATTTTCACACGACGACAATGATTATGGTTTCATTAACGATCCACTCGAAGATAAGACATATACCAAGATCCTGATACCAAGCAATCCCAAAGATGGTTACTCTATTGGTAACCATCCCCCTGCAACTAATTCCTCCTAATACTAATGAATCATTCTAGAAAGAAAGCCTGTGGACCAGATATATCATATGCAACAAGTAGTCAACATTTCAAAGGAAAATTCCAGCCAGGCTACAGTGCTAGCAAAAAGACCTGTCCGCCAACAGCCTAAAGGTCTTAAAGCGCGATTTCAACCAATTGGATTTGCAAGCGCACCTGGTATCATTGGATCCGACGAAGATGAGAGTGACTCGGAAGAACGCGCTCCCAAGTTCCAAAAAATCGCAATGTCAGAAGACGAGATATCGGACGTAGAGATGGAAGATGCACCGCCATCCTTAAACCCTGCGAAGAAATCAAAGTCTGATAAGTCGAAGAAGAGCCAGAAGGACTCACAAGAGAGTGCGGATCGCTCATCGAAAAAGAAGCACAAGGATACTGGAGACAGGAAGAAAAAGCACAAGAGTTCGTTCACATCAGCCTCCCCAGAAATACAGGAACTGAAAATTTTGAAGAAGCAGACAGCAATTGAGCTCGCGAATCAGTCCATTCCATTACGACTGCGGGCCACATCGCATTCAGATTCGGCTCCTGAAAACCCAACTGATACTAGTCCTTCCAAACCTTCCATACTCCTATCAAGCAAGGCGTCCTCTAATTTAAACACAACACTTCCGCAAGCTCAAACTACCAACCTTCGATCCCACCACGAAACAACTATCTCAAACGCGGAGAGTACGAAGAAGAAAGCTATAAGAGCACCCGTCAGTAAAGATTCAGGTATGGCAACCATTGAGGAAGAAGCTAGACGGGAGAAAAAAGCGCACAAGGAGGCGAAGAGGAGACGATTGAAATCTCGGACTGATAACATTTGATGGTTGGGACATTGTGCATAAAAAGGTTTTTTGCTTTCTCCAGCGGGGATTGGAGTCATGGTAATCAACTTACTCACGAGGCAGACTCAAAAATAATGATACCAAAATTAACCTCATATTACTCCATGAGCAACCTTGTTCATCCTCTGCTTCTTTGCCTCAAGCGAACCCCCTCCCGCAAGAAATGTCGATCATTGTTGTCTTTAGTCTTGGCAAGCAATGGTTAAGTGAGTTATAATTATAGCTTCGTAGCTTCATACAGAAAGCTGTGAAAGATCCAGAAGGATATTAAGAATATTTCAAGTACCAATTCTCCCTTTTGATAGTATTGATCTTGAATATGCCTCCATTCATACCAAACTCTGAATATTTTTCCGTAGTTTCACCATCAAGTTTCCCCGCACCTTTTTTTAATGCGGGATATTTACGGTAGCAAGTCACGAATTAATGATTTAGGGTTTTTCATTGGTTGATGCGGACCTTTTAATCCCCACTAGCGTGCTGGAGGGGCAACTCTTAGCCCGACCAAATTTTCGTATATACTTCTTTGTCTTGCCTTCTGCATCATTTTATTTTTTCGAAGCATCCTCCAGAATTTCAATCTGTAAATCATCTACACTTTTCTTTGCCATTCATAGAACCAAATCGCTATCATGTCTTCTACATACGCCCTCCCAAAGTCTCACCAAGAGGTTTGTTATACTACCAATTATCCCTCTATCAAGAATATTGGGCGGTTTAACTGACTCACATCTACAGATGTTGGAAAAGTCTTTGGTCGAGACTGATCCTGAGATCGCTGAGATCATGGTAAGTGAACAATCAGCTGCTCTGCCTTTATGCCAATTACTGACGAAACATACAGAAACTCGAGATTCAACGTCAGCGTGAATCAATTATCCTCATTGCCTCCGAGAACGTTACCTCCCGTGCAGTTTTCGATGCTTTGGGATCCCCCATGTCAAACAAATACTCTGAGGGCTATCCAGGGGCTAGATATTATGGTGGAAACCAGCACATTGACTCTATTGAGTTAACCTGCCAAGCTCGTGCTCTCAAGGCATTCAACTTGGACTCCGAGAAATGGGGTGTCAATGTTCAATGCTTGAGTGGTTCCCCCGCAAATCTCCAGGTTTACCAAGCCATCATGAGACCCCATGATAGACTTATGGGTCTTGATCTCCCACACGGTGGTCATTTGTCTCACGGTTACCAAACTCCCCAGAGAAAGTGAGTTGCAAAGTGTTGATTCTTAACATTTTTGTGAAACTAATTCATCGACAGGATCTCCGCTGTATCAACGTACTTCGAGACCTTCCCATACCGTGTCAACTTGGAGACTGGTATCATCGACTACGACCAACTCGAGGCCAACGCTTTGATGTACAGACCAAAGGTTCTCGTTGCCGGAACCTCCGCTTACTGCCGTCTTATTGATTATGCCCGTATGCGCAAGATCGCTGATCTCGTCGGTGCTTATCTCGTCGTCGATATGGCTCACATCTCCGGCTTGATCGCCGCTGGCGTCATCCCAAGTCCATTCGAGCACGCTGATATCGTTACCACCACAACCCACAAGTCTCTCCGTGGTCCTCGTGGTGCCATGATCTTCTTCCGCAAGGGTGTCCGCAAGACTGATGCCAAGACTGGAAAGGAGACCCTTTACGATCTCGAAGGTCCAATTAACTTCTCCGTCTTCCCAGGTCACCAAGGTGGACCTCACAACCACACTATTACCGCTCTTGCTGTTGCCCTCAAGCAAGCTACAACTGACGACTTCAAGAAATATCAACAACAAGTCGTTGACAATGCTAAGGCTCTCGAGAACGAGTTCAAGCAATTGGGCTACAAGCTCGTAGCTGATGGCACTGATTCTCACATGGTTCTCCTTGACCTCAGAGCACAAGGACTGGACGGTGCCCGTGTTGAGGCTGTCTTGGAGCAAATCAACATTGCTTGCAACAAGAACTCCATCCCAGGTGACAAGTCTGCTTTAACCCCTTGCGGTATCCGTATTGGCACACCAGCCATGACCAGTCGTGGATTCGGTACTGAAGACTTTAAGAGAGTTGCATCATACATTGATCAAAGTATCAACATCTGCAAGGAAGTTCAAGCTTCTTTGCCAAAGAGCGACAACAAGCTCAAGGACTTCAAGTCCAAGGCAGCCAGTGGTGAGGTTGAGAAGATTAACGAGTTGAGAAAGGAGATTGCAACCTGGGCTAGCAGCTTCCCTCTCCCAGTTGAGGGTTGGAGAGAGTAGATGTTTGATTATTTGGCATTTGTTTTTGGTGTTTAAGGTTCGAGTGTGGGCAAGAAAAAGCAAATAGGGTTCATCATTTGCAGGCGCTACTTCTTTTGACTGATTCAACGTCGTCATGATATACCAGGAAGTGGCAAGGGATTATGAATAAAATTTAGAGGTCGAATTCAATAGACCACATTAGATACCTAGGTAGTAAATCAACTGTTTCTACCGTCACTTTATATTTCAATATTACGTATTAGGAGCAAGGATGTATGTGAATGTTCATTGGTGAGAGTTACTTTGTCAACATTGTCCTACGTACCATTTCCATTTCTAACCAGAGGCATGTAGGTTAGGATCTGATGAGGATAATCAAGTAACAGATGCTAGTACTCGAGTAGTGATACACTAACCGTAACTGAATTTAGTTGATTGTACAGAGTACGGAGGATATGCATCTTTATCTAGGACGACGAATCATATGCACCTTAGTTATTATTAACCTTTTGGGATGAAAGATAATCATGTTCTAGTACGATCCGAGGTACAGTGTATTCCGAGTTAGTTGTTTCGTACCTGAATCCTGGGGCGGTATGGCGGAAGAGCGGTTGGCGCCGGGTCCACATAAACTGTTTGTTGTTCTCGCCTTGTGCCTGACATGATTAGATAAGGGTAGTATGAAAATGAAAATGAAAATGAAAATGAAAATGAGAATGAAGATGAGAATGAAGATGGATGCTGTGATGATTTGAGTTATATGCACATGTGATTTAGTACTCTTATTATTATCTACTCAGTATCTGTGCATTTATCTTCATGTGGCGATGATTTGTTTTCCCCATCTACGTATTCGTAACTTGAGCTCGTTCGCCTTGGAAATGTGAGACTGCTACCGGCACCTTGTAGGATTTTGATCGGTCAAAGATCGATAAGGGAATGGTGCCACTGCCATGGTCTCAAAAATGTCGGGGTATCGGTATCTTTCCTTTCTAAGGTTCCGCCAAGAAGACTCATGACCATTTTTGATTGGTTTAAATTCATGATTGTTTTGCTTTCTCAGCTTATGAGTGGTTGGCGGTTGTGGAGGCAACCGTAATAGGCGGCCGCTATCGTCATTCATTCGTGCTCGAGCCAATTCATTTGATCTTTGATCCTGTCGTGCTATTATTGCTCCTGCTCTTGCTACTGCTAGTACCGAAAGCTCTCTTATCCCATCAATTTCAGCCATCTTCCTTTCTCTTATCAACTCAACAACCAACTCTTTTATTCATCAACCATTTCTGAATTTCATCAAAGACATTCTTCTCTCTTATAACTCGATCTTTCATTAATACGATACGATACACTACATTACATACGAATTAATTCTACATCATGAAGGGTGCATTTCTCGCCGCAGCATCGCTGCTCGGCAGTGCGAGTGCTGGTGTTCACAAGATGCCTCTCAAGAAGGTATCCTTGAGTGAACAACTCGCTACCGCCAACATGGATACTCATGTCAAGCATTTGGGACAAAAGTATATGGGTGTCAGACCTCAATCTCATGCCAGTGAGATGTTCAAGGAGACTTCCGTTCACCTTGAGGGAGGCGATCACGCTGTTCCAGTTTCCAACTTCCTTAATGCTCAATGTAAGTATATACATCAGTAACGAGTATTCATTAGGTACTGACTATTGAATAGACTTCTCCGAAATTACTATCGGAACACCACCACAAACATTCAAGGTCGTCCTTGATACCGGAAGTTCCAACCTTTGGGTTCCATCATCCGAATGCGGTTCAATCGCGTGCTATCTTCACACAAAGTACGACTCATCCTCATCCTCTACATACGAGCAGAATGGAACATCATTCGAGATTCGTTATGGTTCGGGAAGCTTGAGCGGTTTCACTTCTAGGGATGTTATGTCTATTGGTGACCTTAAGATCAAGGATCAAATCTTCGCCGAAGCAACCGAGGAACCAGGTCTTGCATTTGCTTTTGGCAGATTCGATGGTATCTTGGGTCTTGGTTATGATACCATTTCTGTCAACCAGATCGTCCCACCTTTCTATAACATGATTGATCAAGGACTCTTGGATGAGCCAGTTTTCGCTTTCTACTTGGGTGACTCTAAGGATGAGAGCGACGAGTCTGAGGCTATCTTCGGTGGTGTTAACAAGGATCACTACGAGGGCAAGATCACTGAGATCCCATTGAGACGTAAGGCATACTGGGAAGTTGACCTTGATGCTATCGCCTTTGGTGATGCTAAGGCCGATCTTGATAACACTGGTGTTATACTCGACACCGGAACTTCTCTCATCGCTCTTCCATCCACTCTTGCTGAGCTTCTTAACAAGGAGATTGGTGCTAAGAAGGGTTGGAACGGTCAATACTCGGTCGATTGTGCAAAGCGTGACAGTCTCCCAGATCTTACATTCACACTCAGCGGTAATGACTTCGCTATTACCCCTTACGACTACATTCTTGAAGTTCAAGATTCTTGTATTTCCACAATCATGGTAAGTTTTCCTAATGCATTGGTTCCCTTCCCTAGTTGAATGTCTGCTAACGATATTTTAGGGTATGGATTTCCCAGAGCCAGTAGGACCTCTTGCTATCTTGGGTGATGCATTCCTTCGAAGATATTACTCTGTCTATGATCTTGGCAAGAACACTGTTGGACTTGCTAAGTCAAAGGCATAAATGCATAATCTTTGAGCCAAAGAGCCAAAGTTGTAACAAATTTGACTGCCCTAGTATATGTCTGTGGCATGAATCAGTGATGGGAATTTCCTTTTAGTCTGTAGAATAGGAAGGTCTCATTTCTAATAATAACTATGCATGGTTTTCTTAAGGGAATGAGGCCACTTTTTCCTTGATCAAAATGCCTACAATTGATCATTAGGTCACTATCCATTAGTTCCTTGATGTCTACATACCTACTAGTACGGTACAGAATGCAATTAAATTACTATAAAATACAATTGCTTGCTATCTAATTGTGGTAAACGAATGAGAGTAAAATCATGAATGAGTAAAGTAAAGACGGTGAATTATCTAGTACCAGAGCCGTGACATATGGAGTAGAATCCATAGCGGGGATTATGATGCAGCGCAGCAAAACCTATGGTTACATAAGCGAGAACACTAAACATAATGTTGTAGTGTAGTGGGCATACTGCAATCAATATTTTGTTTTGTGAGATATCAGTCCATTCCATACCCGGTCGGTCGGTTCATTTTTCGTTTCGCAGATGCCAAATATGGCGGATTCAGATACTAAGTAAGTTGTGGATTCCTTGGTGTTGTGAAGAGTGAAGTTGTGAAGTTTGTGGAGGAGGGGAGGAAGAGAGGAGGAGAGGAGGGGGGAAGAGGAGAATATCTGCAGCTAAAAAACTAACATGCAAAAATTAGAAAAGATGTAGCGCGCACGAATGAGCGGGGGATCCCATATGCGCCGTTTGTGGATCGTGTGGAGGATTATGTTACGGTGAGGGCGGATGTTGAACCTACGTTGAAGAGGTTTCAGGAGATGATTTCGTAGGTTTTTGGTTTATCTTTTCTTCTCTTTTGGGGAGGGATTGGGGGTCTGAGGGGTAGGTTTGAGGGATGAGGGGTGGGTTGAGGGTTGAGGGTTGGGGTTGGATGATGAAGAGCATTAATTGACCATTGGCTTACTTTTGGAACTTCTTTAGGAAATATCAGTTCATGGAGGTTAATCAACAAAAGAGAATTGCGGGGTTGAAAATCAATATACCGGATATTCAGAAGACGCTTGATACAGTGAGGTTTTTAAAGACGAGAAAGGTATGTTGGATTCTGGGAGGAGGAGGGTAGAGGGCAGGATGAAAGATTGAGATTGAAGCTGACTTCTATACTAGGAGGGTTCGGATCCAATACAGGCTACGTTTGAGTTGAATGATACTTTATATGCCAAAGCCAATATTCCAGCTACCGATGAGGTATATTTATGGTTAGGGGTATGTTTAAGTTCTGGGATGAATCCTCTGGTACTGAGTTAACAAAGATGGATTAGGCCAATGTTATGTTATCATATCCTATCGATGAGGCAGAAGAATTACTTTCAAAACGACTCGCAGCAGCAAAACAAAGTTACTCAAATTGTGAAGAGGATCTTGATTTCTTGAGAGAACAAATTACGGTACGTTCGAGTCACCTATGAACCATAAATGGGAAGAAGTGCAGAGATTAGATTAAGCTGACGAAACTCTCAATAGACTATGGAGGTTGCTACAGCTAGGGTATACAATTGGGATGTTACGATGAAACGAAAAGAAAAGATTGAACAAGAGGCTACGGATGAAAAGGAAGGAAAGAGTGGTAGTCCTAATGGATGATATATAGGAGATTTGAGAGAGAAATAAATGAAAATAAAAAGTCTTAGGGATATTAACGGAATCTCTCTTTTGATATGTCACGATTTACGATTAAGATAAGGATATATTGAGGGGCAATAGTCAACGTGTCCATATAAGCTTAGACCTTATCGGAAAGCAAAACGATTTGTATACAAATTTGTATAATAATTATTTTATATAATCTTTCTATTTTTAATAAACTCAAATATATAATCTAATCCTAATTATATAATAAAAATTTTAAAACTTCGAAAGCTTTTAAAATTCTAAAACTTTGAAATTTTAAAATTTTATAAAACTCTTTTATATTTATTAATATATAATCAAAATAATTTTATAATTTAAAAACTTTATATTTAATTTAATTATCAATTAATTTATTTATATTTCAATTGATTTAATAATATATTTATTTTCGAATAAATAATCAATAATTATTAATTTTAATTTATAATTATTAATTATACAAAATTCTAAAATAGTTATTACTTCAATCAAATCATTATATTTTGAATATTATTATAATTAAATTATATATAATATAATAATTTTTAATCAATAATCTATTGAATTATTTTCATTCAATTCAATCAAAACTCTTATTCAAATTACTATTATTATAAAATACAAATAAATAATTTAAATATTTATCTTTAATTTATTTTATAAAAATTATAATAAATATCAAATTTTTATTATACAAACTAATCTTTATTATATTTTTAATAAATAATTTTTCTTGATTTTTATATAAAAGATTTTATAATTGATCTTTTTTTTTCAAAGAATTGTATTTAATTAAATTGAATTATTCTTTAATAATTTAATAATTAAGATTATCAATAATCAATTAAACAAAAATATAAAATCTAAGATTTATTATTTATTTTTTAATTATAAATTATTCAAATAAAAATTCAATAAAATATTTAAGAAAATAAACTTTAATTATATAATTGAAAAAGTATTATAATAATTCAAATAAATCAAATCAATTATAATTTATATTATTAAATTTCAATAATATATTGAATATATTATCTAAAATAATGATTATTTAAAATTATAATTTTATAAAAAATTGAAAGATATTATTAAAAATAAATTAATAAAAACTTCAAAACTATTTAATTTTTCTAAATTAATCAAAATTTTTATTTTCATTAATAATCGATTTTATAAACAATAAATAAAGAAAAAAAAAATTATTTAAAAAAACAAAAAGTTTTAAAAACCTTATTATCAAAATAAATATTATAATATCAATGATTTAATAAAATTAAATAATATTAAACAATATTATATAAAATTAAATAATCTAAATATTAACAAAAAGAAAAGATATAAAAAAAATAATTTATATTATATCTATAAAAAAAAATGAATATATATCTTGAAATTATTTTTAAAAGAAAAGATTATTTATTATAAAAAATAGAAAATAAATAAAATTTGAAAATAAAAGATAAAATTCTCAAAAAATAAGGATTTTGAAAAAAAACTCAAAAAAAATAGGATTATTAGAAAAAGAATTATCTCAATTCAATCCTGAACAATTAAAGAAATTAGATATCAATAATCAAAATTTTAAAATTAATATTAAAAATAATATCAATTATAAAAAAAAACTTTTAAAAAACCTTGAATTAGAAAACAAAGAATTCGAAAAAGATTAACAATTAATTGAATCTTATTATTTATTTTGGGAAAATAAATTATAATATTTAATTAATTATTTAAATAAGAAACAAATATAATATTATTATAAAGAAAAGAAATCTGATTTCATCGAAAAATATAAAATTTATAATCATTTTATTTTATTAATATTTTATATAATAATATATAATAATACTTACTATATAATATTTAAAAAAAATATTAAAACAAATAATATTAAAAGATATATTATAAATATAAATTCTTTATTTTTTAATAAAGTATAAAAATACAACAAATATAATCTAGAAATTAAAAAGATATAAGAAATCCTATTACAAATCAGAACTTATTATATTTAGTAAAAAATCAATAAAGATAATAAAGAAATATCAAATTAGAATTATTATCAAAACTTTCAAATAGAATCAATAAAATTATTATTTATTATATCCTATCGATTATTAAATATAAATAAATATCAATAAGAATAATTGAATCTCTTTATTAAAGAATAAATTATCGAATTATTATTGTTAGAATTCAATAATATTATAAAGATCAAACAATTGATTATAAAAATCAAATTAAAGAATCAATAAACAAATATCTTGATTGATTTCAGAATTATAAATATATTTATAAATCTTAATTTTATTAAAGAAAATAGAATTTCTATAAAATTAAAATAGGATTTTTATCAATTGATATTATTAAAAAAAAAGAAAACTGAAATTGATAATTAAATATACAAAGAAATCAATATTATTAAAATAATTATATCAAATGAGTATATCAAGCGAATCAAAATAAATTTAATGTTATTAAATAAATATACAATTATCCTTGATATCTTATAAATTAAGAAATATAATCTAAATATTGATTAAGTAAAAGATACTTTAATATTCAATTATTGTAGTTATAATAACAAATAATTATATAATCTAAAGGAATAGACTTCCAAAAAGATTAGATATTATATTATAATAACAATGAATCCTTTATTAATTGATAAAATCAATAAAAAAGAAATTCTAATATAATATAGAAGATTCGTTAAATTCTTTAAAGATTTATAAAATTTAAAAACTTTATTAAAATATAAACTTTGGAATTATAAAATCAATTTCAAAAAAGGATTTATATTTTTATTAAAAATTAAAACTATATAATTCTAATATTATATAGATATAAAAAGAATATAAAATTAAAATTGAAAAGAAAAAATGAATTAAGAAATCTAAATTCTTTTGTATATCTAATGTATTATTGGTATTCAAGAAAAACAATTTAAATAATTGATTTTATAAAAATTATTATTAGATTAATAATAAAACAATCAAAGATATATATCCAATATCAAAAGTTCAAAAATTTAGAGATAAATTGAATAAAGTAATGATTTATATAAAATTAGATTAAAAGAATACTTTCAATTTAATATAAATAAAAAAAAGATTATAAATAAAAAATAACTTTTATATTACTATTAGATTTATAAGAATATATAATTATATTATTCGGACTAATTAATATATTAATTATATATCAATAATAAAACAATAAGATATTCAAAAAATTCAATTTATTTGTAATTTATTATCTAAATAATATTTTAATTTTTTTTTAGAAAAAGAAAAAATATAAAAGATATATATTGAAAATATTCGAAATATTTAAAAAAGTAGATTCAAAATTCAAATTATCGAAATACAAATTTGAAATATAAAAGATAATATTTCTAAAATATATTATTTAATTAAAACAAATGAATATAGATTCTAAGAAAATAAAGAAAATAAAGAATTAGAAAAGATCTAGAAATATCAAAGATATATAATCTATATTAGAATTTATCAATTTCTATCGAATATTTATAAAAGATTTCTTAAAAATGATAAAATCCTTTACTGAAATAATCAAAAAAGAAATAACTTTTATATAAAATAAAAAGACAAAATAGACTTTTCAAAAAATCAAAAATAGATTTATAAAGGAATCTTGATATGATTTATAATTAAAATAAGGATATATTAAGGGGCAGCAGTCAATGTATTTATATGAGTTTAGGTTTTATTGAAAAATAAGACGATTTGTATATAAATTTGTATAGTAATCGTTTTATATGATCTTTTTACTTTTAACAAGCTCGAATATATAATCTGATTTTAATTATATAATAAGAAGCTTTAAAAGCTTTGAAAGCTTTTAAAGTTTTAAAAGCTTTTTGAAGTTTTAAAGCTTCATAAAGCTTTTTTATATTCATTAATATATAATCAGAATAGTTTTATAATTTAAAAGCTTTATATTTAATTTAATTATCAATTAATTTATCTATATTCTAATTGATTATAACAATCTGATTGAGACAGCGGCTGCCTCAGGTTTTCGTATGATTGGTAGTTATAGATTAAGGTTAATAATCACTAGTTATCCATTCGAAGATGAATACATTATTAGATCAATTGAAATATAAATAAACTAATTGATAATTAAATTAAACATAAAGCTCTTAAATTATAAAACTATTCTGATTATATATTTAATAAATATAAAGAAGCTTTATAGAATTTTAAAGCTTCAAAAAGCTCTTAAAGTTTTAAGAGCTTTTGAAGCTTCTAAAACTCTTTATTATATAATTAGAATCAGATTATATATCCAAGCTTATTAAAAATGAGAAGATTATATAAAACAATTACTATACAAATTTATATACAAATCGTTTTGCTTTTCGATAAAGCTTAAACTCATATAAACATATTGACTGCTGCCCCTCAACATATCTTTATCTTAATTGTAAATCGTGACATTGATTTAATAATATATTTATCTTCGAATAGATAACCAATGATTATTAATCTTAACCTATAATTATCAATTATATAAAAACCTAAGATAGTTATTGTTTCAATTAGATCATTATATTTTGAATATTATTATAATTAAACTATATATAATATAATAACTTTCAATTAATAGTTTATTAAATTGTTTTTATTCAACCTAATCAAAGTCTCTATTTAGATTGTTATTATTATAGAATATAAATAAATGATTCAAATATCCATTTTTGATTTATTTTATAGAGATTATAACAAATATCAAACTTTTATTATACAAACTAATCTTTATTATATCTTTAACAAACAACTTTTTTTAATTTCTATATAAAGGATCTTATAATTGATCTCCTTTTTCTGAAGAATTATATTCAATTGAATTGAATTATTTTTCAATGATCTAATAATCAAGACTATTGATAATCAATTAAACAAAAATATGAAATTTGAGATTCATTATCTATTTTTCAGTTATAAATTATTCAAATAGAGATTCGATAAGATATTTAGAGAAATAAACCTCGATTATATAATTGAAAAAGTATTATAACAATTTAAGTAAACCGGATCAATTTGTAACGATCTGGTAGAGACAGCGGCTGCCTCAGGTTTCGTCTGATTGATAGTTGTAGATTAA